ATAAAATTATACATTATATACAAATATAATTTTTATAAATTGTTCAAATTTATTAGATCTAAAAATTATAAAAGGAGCTATAAAATTATATAACATTTTAAATAATTTATTTATTAAAGTCATTTAATCTGATAAAGTAAGTGTTTAGTTATTAAAATTTATGAATCCATAATTATTTTTTTAGAAAATCTTTAGTTGACTTATTTAGGTAATTGTAGATAAATTTGAAACAAAAAAATTTGCTTGGCCCATAATATTTTAATAATATATAATCATTTAAAAGTTTCGCGATTAATTTAGAATCAACTAGATACAACCCTAAGTAGCAAAAGCCAATACATAACAATGATTTATAAATTGAAAAAAAAAGCGAAAAAATTTGAAATATTTAAGAAATTTTAAGTAATTTGCTTTTCAACTATTTAAAAAATTCCAGGCATTAATATAAACAGAATTAACTCAATATAAATATGAAAATAAAGTACTAAATCTGATTTGACACAATAAATTAAAATAAAATTTAAGGAATAATTATTTTAAGATAATACTTATCATGAATTTTTTAAATAGTAAATATCATGATCGATATACAAAGATGTGTGAAATGTATAAGTAGGGAGCAGATTAGAAGATAATTTAATAATTGTTAAAACAGAAAAAAAAAAAAAACTCACAAAGATATACTTGAGAAATACAGAAATTGAATCAGTCATTAAAACAAAAATGAATTTGTTCAAATCTAAAATATTTCCTTGTTGTTAAAAATCTATCTGCTCTACTTGTGAGAATATATTTTTTCAGAAATCCAAATGTTTCTTTAATATCAATTCATAAATACACTGAATCATTTCAAACATTTGTACCAGAGCCTTCCTGTAATGAATTTATTACATTCAATTCTGTCTTCTACCTTATGAAATCAAACAAAAATAATTTAGCTCATGCTAAAAGATTCTCTGTTTGGACAGTCAAAGAAATTACATACTTGAAATTAGCTTAAGAATGTAATATTCCTGCAAATGTTATATTGATTTTTATTAATAATGATGAATTAGTTAAAAAATATAGCCAATTATAATTAAGACTTCTGATTTTTATTAACATAAGTAAGAAGTTAAAAAAATAACTAAGTCAAGAAGATAAAGAGACAGCTAAATAAAATAATAATACTAAGAATACTAATCTAAATATTATTTACATAATTATTTAATAAAATTAACAATGGAAAAATACCAGGAATCAAAGGTGATTCTAAATATACACATCCAATTGTAAAATAATTATGTTATAATCTTCTTTCAAATCCTCTCTAGAAATAATTCAAAGAAATGAAAAATACAAGTTGTAGTTAAATTTGATGAAATCTGCAAAACTAATTATAATTGTTTTTTATCTACAATTCAATATATAAAACAATCCAATCGATTAAATCTTTGATAATTTAGAGTAGAAATATTTTTATAATTATTTTGCAAAATTAACAAAATATATTGAATAAATAAAAGATTTAAGGATTTTTCGGTTTTGATTTATAAAATTATTGGATAATTTCAACAATTCAAATATGTATTTATGTTATTTGTGTCTTAAAATGGTTCATTGAATGATTCTTGTATATCGAATTGATTCGACTAATTTTAATTAGAAAATTTACATAACTAGGCTAAAGCTTATAAAATGGAGGTCTGGAAATTAAGTATTGTGGTGCAACAATCTATTCTTAGTCTTCATTAATCTTAAAGATTTTATCCTAATTCATGTCAAATTATAGGGGAAAGTTTTATTAATTTAACATAAATATTTATTGATTGTTTAAGATCCTTAATATTATTTCTTATTGCTGAATTTCATTCTTAGAAGACATAAATTAGGATTTAATTGTTGATTTTTTAATATTTCTTTTATTAAAGGTTTTTTTTAAGCTTTTATTTTGTAAATATATTTAACTAAAAGAATTAAGAATTTAAATTTACTTCTTTTTTCCCAAATAATCTGATATTTATTAAACTTTTTTTTTGATGGTTTCATCTACTTAATCCCCAAGTTTAATTGATCTATTTTCAATTATCAAATTTTTGAAAAGCTCTTTCATATTCATTGAAATATTAATATATTATTGGGAAATATTTTAATGATTACAAAAAATATTTGAAATAAGCATAGGACGTAAAGATGCTGTGATTTTTGAACCTTATATAAGTATGCTCAATACATTTTTTTTTTTGATCTTCTGGTAAAGTTGCTTTCAATAATCTTCTGAAGACTTTCTTCACAATAGCATAAAATTAATTCTTGACATCTTAATCAGTTCTATAATTGAGCTTTTCAGCAATACAGGTCTATTAATAATGAAATCATACCCATTTGTTCCCATAAATCTATATGAGCTCGAAGAGTTTATCAATCTCAGGTTTCGTTAGTTTTGTTTTATTGAATTTTGAGTCTAGATAATTTTAATATCTCTCTCTACAATCCTTAGGATTCCTTTCATAACCTTAATTACTAAGTTATTCAGAGATCAATTACCAACCTTATTTTTGGTTGGCATACATATTAACAAACTGTTACAAGAGGGTATCCTCCTTTAATAGAAAGTACTTTTACCTGTTTTGACCATGAGATTCGCTTTTTACTTTGAGATATGGAGTGTTTTATCATATAAATTATTATCAAAATGAATAAAACTATTTGAAGATATTTTGCTTTTGAATGTAAATACACAAGGATCTAATTATTTATTAATATAATATATTAATCTTTCATTTTTGCTCAATGCAAGTTTGTAGCACAAATTCTTTGATGGAATAAATTGAAACCAAAACTGTTATTTTTTTTTTTTAAATGTCAAAAATCTACAAAAAAAAGTTACCAAGATGTCATCTTACCTAGTTGCTTAATATGTATTCTAATATCAATCATTTTTGGTATTTATATCTCCAACTTAATCCATATTTCAGTAATTAGATAAATTTTTCTTAATTATATTATGAATGATCTACTGCTAGACTTTACAAAAAAAGGAATCATTCTCATTTAAACATTTAGATCGTTCTTGATTCTTCAAGAATAATTACACTATTATATGAAACATGGTAATATGTTGAGATTCTAATTGAGAACTAATCTAATCAATCTAATCATCATTTAAATTTCAGATACATGATTCAAATAAATGGTAGATTTCTAGGTTATTATTGTGATAATTAATCTCAAGGGCAGCGAATATTAATAAATCTTGAAGCTTATCATAGATTGATTAAAAGTATATATTAATTCCAAAATTTATTTTTTAGATTTTTGTAACCTCAATATAAAAAATCATATAATATTTATTTAAAAATATACATATTAAAACAATTTCTAATAAGTTTGAATTTTCTAAAAAAGAATATCTAAGGTTCCATTTAAAATCTCCACTCATATGAATTACTTTATAATAAATTTGCATGTTGAAATAACTCACAAAACCTATATTCTGAACATTTAGGCTGTTATAGGATATTTTCTTTAGAGATAAGAACTAAAAACAATATTAGTTGACATAGTTATAAATAAATGTTTTGTAAAACTATAATGATAAGATGGTTTTAAATTTTATTTAAAAAAAAAATTAGATTAGAAAATTAGGAAGTAATAAAATCCATAAATAACAGTTTTGAACATATACAAGAGTCATGACATCAACTTAAAGAAGTGAAAAGTAGTAAAAATAAAAATATTAAAGAAAGAGGTGATCTGTTAAAAATTGTATTGAAATCATAAATATAATGATTTAATTGCAAAGAATGCATATTTTGCTCAATAAATTTGAAAGCAGTTGATACAACTAAGCAATTAAGGGATTACCAAAAATCTTCAAAAATCATACTTTGTAGGGGTTGGATTAATAATTATAGACAGTTTGATTAAGTGAATGCTTTTGAGAATTCTGTTTATTTTATTATGACAGAAGATGCAAATCTATCCGGAGAAAGAAAATTGTTATTATTTTCAGGAGTTATAATTATATTAATCATATTAATGAGTGACAAATTTCATAAATTGAGTAGTAAATGGACTATATCTGAGAAATATAATGCTAGTTAAAACGTAGATTATAAGAGAACTATTGTAGATATCTGTTCTTTTTCAACAGTTGAAGAATTAGGATTTCTGATGAAGAAGACGATATATTCAAAATTATCAGATATTTTAAGTGAGCCTTAAAAATGCAAAATGTAATACACTATAACAATATAGATTTAAACAATTTAATGATGATAATGCAAATGCTTAAATAGAAGCAATATAATTTTTTAAGAATGATATCAAACCATGGTGGGAGGATGATAATAATAAAAATGGTGGAGAAATTCAATTTGACATATCAACACAATATTATGCAGTTTATGATTCAATTTATTTGGATATTTTATTATAGATTATAGGATAAGCTACAGAAGAATTACGACATGTAAATTAGATCAAATAATTTAGATTAATGGATTAAGAGTTTTAGATAAAATTAATGCTAAACAAGGTAATAGAATAAGAATTGAATTATGGATGGATATTGATCCAAAAGATTAGGATGAATCTATTGGAAAGTTAATTGAATGGATAGATAGTACTTTAAAAAAGCACAAAATTGATATTGATTAAACTTAATTTAACAAAGTTTCTCACAAAAAATGAGAATTTAATTTGATTATATATAAAAAATTTATATAAATATGGGATCGGTAGTTTGTACAAATAAAAAAAGTCCACCTAGCACTTTAGCTGAAGCGGCCAATCCATACTTAATAGATGAAAATCATGTGGAAGTCAAAGATAATAATGATAAATATTTTGATGAAGAAGAATTGAGAGAATTAGGAAATAATGAATTTAAAGTTTAAAAAAAGGGAAATAAATGTATTAAGTAAAAATGATATCATTATCAAAGATGGCAGTCATTAAATTGTTATTTAGGGTCTGGTTCATTCGGTTCTGTTGAATTAGGCAAGGATATTGAAAGTGGATAATTTATAGCTGTGAAATAATTATCAATTAAAGGATTCAATCCCAAACAAATTTAAGCTGTATATATTGAATCTTGAAGTAGTTAGAAAATTGATTAATTTGAATAGGAAATAAGAGTATTATCAAAATTAGATCATCCAAATATTGTCAAATATTTAGGAATGGAACAAACATAAAGTCATATCAATTTGTTTTTAGAACATGTATCAGGAGGATCAATTAAATCATTACTGGAAAGGTATGGTAAATTCCCAGAGAATTTAGTCAAAATATATACTAAATAGATACTCTCAGGAATTGAGTATTTACATAAAAATGGAATTATTCATAGAGATATTAAAGGAGCTAACATTCTAGTAGATGCTACTGGAATTTGTAAATTGGCTGATTTTGGCTCCAGTAAAAGATTATCATTTGCCAAAGAGGAATGCAAAACTTTTACAGGCACTCCTAATTGGATGGCACCCGAAGTGATTAATGGAAAGGGACATGGAAGATTTGCAGATATCTGGTCTTTGGGATGCACAATTATTGAGATGGTAACAGGCAAACCTCCTTGGTCAGATGAAACTAAAAATTAATACCAAATTATTATGGAAATCATGAAAGGTTAGCCTCCAACTATTCCACCAGATTTAAGTTCTTTGACAAAAGAATTTCTGTCACATTGCTTTTAGTAATTGAATTATATAGAATAATAATAGATAAGAACCACATAAGAGATGGAATGTAATAAAATTATTGAATCACCCATTTATTCCAAATTCTAGTAATACTACTTTCTCTGTTGATATTAGTAATATGTTTAAGCCACTACAAAAATAAATTAATTGATATTAAATTTTATTCTTATTTTGATATATAATTATATTAATGGATTAAGATCTTGAAATAGTATAATTGAATAATAAAATAGGAAAAAGAAATAAATGCTATGATGATTTAAAAGGTTTGGAGACTAAGAAAGCATATTAAGGCTGCCAGACAAGTTGTACCTTCACTTAGAGAGAAATTTCATTTTTATTATTCAAGCATCAGTTTCAATATGAAAGCAACAACTTCTACTTAAAGGTTGGTTATTTTAGATTTTTCTAGATTATTTACTTTTGTGAAAAATAAGAAATTATAATATTTTGCCTTTAATTTATGTGATAATCCAATGTGTTAATAATGGGTAAAACAACAAAGATTAAATCAAGATCCATTACCTTTTATATTCATTAACAAAGTATATATTGGATCGATGGATGAATTACAAATGTTAATTGATTTCAAATTATTTGATCCAATTATGAACTAAGGTTATATATATTAAAATTTTGTATATAGAATATTTGAAACATTGCCTAGCTTGTATGACTCCAAGAGAATCTTTAGAAAATGAGAAATGTTAGAATTGTTAAACAAATTATATTTTCTTTTAGAAAATAGGTTAAGGAGTAAAAATATGTCCAAAATGTAGAGAATAATAAGATGAAGATAAAACAATATGTGAAAAATGTTAGATGGATTGTATTAGAGTTAACAAAATATTTATACATCTTAAAGAAGTATAATGATGATTAATTACATAAAAAGATGCTAATAAAAAAATATATAAAAATTAGTATAATAAATCAGATATTATCCAACAAATAAAATATCAAAAAACATGGACTAACCAATATAGCAATGGCAACTGTCAAAGGGGATAATAATAATCCCAAAAAGAAGTATAGGATTCCAAAACCTATTTTACCACATAATCTATATCTTCTTAATCTAAATCCACATACTCTTCTTGAGAGCTCATAAGGAGCTGCAACAATTAAGTACAATAGGAAGAATGGTAATAAAGCTAATAATACTGAAATGAGGATAAGTGTAAGTAATATTTTTGGTATGATCATCATAACTCTTAACATCATTGGATTCTTAAATGGTTACAAATTGGATCCTTATCCTCCAGGAACTATGATTGAAATGATTAGATACAGACACATCCAAATATGTTAAAAATTACATAGTGATAAGATGAATATTTTCCTCTGCATAGCCAACAAAATTAATATTTGCATTTGTAACAAGTCATATGATTGCATCCTCCTTTTTTTTGGATTGGAGCTTTACAACTAGGACAATCAAATATTAGATTATCTTTTCTTGCTTACAAATATTAAGCATCCATTGCTTAAATACAATCCATTCCTTTATGATATTAATTCCCACATTAAAAACAAATAGATTATCCACATATACAAAAAAGTAAATCATTTCCATTACCTATTACATAATTTTCACAATCCTTATAATAATAAAAATATATATTACTGGTTTTGGACACCATCTAACATTTTTGTTCTAACTAATTACTTATCTGTTATAGAATCTCTTATATTTTTCATATATCTTTTCTTATACTAAACTTTTTATTTGTTCATCATTAAATGCAAAAGTACATGTAGATTATGGACAAGTGATGCTTAATACGTTGCCTTTCAAAATATTTTATGTGAGATGTTAAGAGAGACATTCACTACAGAATTCATGTTTACAAATTAGTGGGGCTATGAATGATTCCTTTGGTTTCTCAATATAACAGATTTAACATTCTTATAAATCTTTTAATTCTTTTGATTATTCTTCAGGTTTAATCTCTAGTTTTACTTCTGATTACCATGACAAACCTGAATCTCTTCTTTAAATTATTTATTTTTATTTTTCTTCTTCAGTCACTAATACCTTTAAACCTTCAGTTTTAATTTCTTGAGATATGATGGACTGCATTTAAGAATGAACTGTTTTGCCATTAAAAGATTACTGATTCTGTAAAATTTAATGATAATTTGGATCACCAGATTGATGAGAATCAACATAATCTGTACCTTTGCATTTAAGTGGTATACTCTTTCCTAATTTTGGTCCGTGAGAAACAAATAGTTATTATTAGTAAATTGGCAATACTAGTTATTAGTATTGAGGTTTCTGTTATTCGAACTAACATAATTACTCTATGTGATCCATATTAATAATTAATAATATTACACTTATTACTTTATATTTTTATCATCTACATCAAATAAATATAATTAATAAGTATTATATAAACATATTAATAATTTCTGAATTTCAAGATCAAAACATTAAGAAGATTCATTTTTTATAACATATAAATGAAGATCAAAAAGACACAAAGAAAATTAGAGAATTATTATCCATCTATTAAGGAGATATATTTATTTCTAATTCTTTAATAGCTTTAGTTTACTATTTATTAAAAATATATTAGAAAATTTTTGTAACATATTTATTATTTTTATATAAATTAACATACTTAGATACAAGATTGATAATGGATATTCATAATCTATTTATACATAAATTTAAAAGATATATTAACATCTAATAGAAAATAGATTAAGAAATAACAAAATTAGATTAAATATATTTGAAATTTAAACCTGAAGTTACTAAGAATATATGCTCAGAAATCAAGAAAAAATGAACTGTTTAATTATTTATCTTGTTAAACAAAAAGGAATGTAAATTTAGGGTTCCTAGCTAATCGAATTACTGTCATCAGTTCTGTTAGTGGAATAAATAACAGATTTTTTTATACAACATCCTTAAATTACATAAATTAAATTTGTCTATCAATAATTAGGTAAATTACTCAATGTTTTGAGGACTCATAAGAACATCGAATCTAATATTAATTATAAAACTAAAAGTATAATATAAATATAGCTTAATATTTAATTTAAGTTTCCATAGTACGTCACATTTCGATTAATCATAGGGGATAAAATAGGCGTCATCTAAGGCTATAAAGGAGATATTGGACATACCTTTAACCAATTAATAATTTTTTAAAATATGCCATATCTCCTTGATGAAATAGATTCAGCAACAGTCTATAAAAGACCAAAAGAAGCTAATTTTCATTGTGTTGATCATTGGGGAATTGTAGTTACCAATAAATCAGGTAGCTATCTAGTTCATAATATGCCTGAAACTGGAACAGTTGCTACTCCGGCTTCCAATATGTCAAATAATTGGAAAAAAGTAGAGGAATTATAAGTTAGACCTAATAAAAATATTAGAGGAATGTTTAAATCAATTGGTTTAACAGGTGCAGAAACTAAACTTCCAAACGGATCAATAAAATATTGTGCTCAATATGGATGTATTGTTGCAAAAAATAGAATGAAAAAATATTTGACTAAATGAAACTTTTATAAAAATTCAAAATATCTAAATAAAAATTATATGAATTTCTAAAGTTTTATGAATTTGTTGATCTTCAATTACTACATAGTATGATTTTTTGATCATTATAATTAGCAAATTATATGAGTAAGATTATATCTTTATCCATAAATAATGATATTATTGAAGTTAACTTATAAATATTAATATTAAGAATGAATTAGAAGTATATACTTAAGAATAGGAAAACTATCATTAAAAAGATTTAGTTGTTCTATGATTATGATTCATATGCATATTTTAAAATATATTAATAATGGACGTTGATGTAAAACAAGGTCGTTTAAGACCAGTGAGAAGAAATGGATTGATTAATGGAATGAATCCTTATCAATGTCTTAGTTGGATATATACTCTATTTGATATAGTTATAGCATACATTTTCGCTTTTTAATTTGAAGACACAGGAATGAAGGTATTAATCTTTTCATTCAGGAACTCCAATTGATACTTCTTACAGTTATAGTTACTTGCATAATTTATTCTTGTCTCAGAGCTGCATTAATAGATCCTACAGATTCAATTGTGAAGGAAGAATAATTATCAAAACTACATGGGTAATATTAAAATTGATATTCAAAGAAAAGAATTTAAGACAGATATAAAATCATATTGTTTAGTATGTTAAGCACATGTATAAGATAAGACTAAACATTGTTGGAGTTGTAATAAGTATAAAATACTATATATTAGATGTATATCAAAATTTGATCATCATTGTATTTGGTTGAATAATTGTGTTGGAGATTAAAATTATTCTTATTTCTTTGTTTTAGTATTATCTTTAGTTGCACTTAAAATTTTTAGATTAGGTTAAGATTTTAAATTGCTTTATCTTCAAACTAATTTTGATATTTTAGTTTATATTTGTATAGCAGTAGATCCTCCTGTATTAATTGTATTGATATATTTATTATCTATGCATTTATACTTTAAGTAATAAAATAACAATATATTTAGATGGAATAATATATCAACTTATGAATATATAAAATCAAAAAAAGAAGCTAAAGATAAATTGATGAAAACATAGAATGTACAAAATAAGTAGATTCAAAATGAGAGTACTACTGGTTACGGATAATTATTATCAACATCTAAACGTTTTGATTTAAAATCACAATTATCTTTAAAAACTGGAGATACAAAAAAATCTAATCCAAACTATTTCTCTAATAAATAAGAAGATGAAAAGAAAAATAATTAATAGACATAACAATAATTAACATAAATTCCAAGTTTATTTACATCTAAACCTACAACACCTGGAAATGATTAAGATAAAAAATAAAAGATTTCATAATTGTCTAAACCAAAAGATTTAGATGATTTAAAAGATAAATAAATATATAATTAAGTGATAGTTGAAGATTCAGAACCATAATTAAATGAAAGTTCTGATGAAGATGATCATTTTAATAATGAAAAAAGCAAGAATCATTGTCCATAAAATAGTCATATATCAGAATTACCTAATAATATTGAATAAATTATTGTTAAAGATGATTAAATAAATGAAAAAGATATGATAATTAAATAAGAGATAGAAATTAAACCAGATAAAGAATCAGAAAATGAAGATATAGTATCAAATCAATAATCTCTACATGCATAAGAACCACCTCTACCTTCAAAATGTTATACTTTTTAGTTAGAATAATAAGTAGATCCAAATAATATGATGTCAAATAACAATTAAAAGTTATATTGTACTCAATGAATTTATTATTGTAATAATTAATTAATTAAAATATTTTTATTATATAAACATAAGAATCATTATATAATATTATAAATTAAATTAAATAACAAATAGATTATATAATAATTCATTATTGATTTTAAGGAAAGAATTTATCTTTTAATTTGTTATAAAATTCATCAAAATGAATTTCATTTTTATTTTCAAAAAAGAATTCTAATTCTTTAACAGTGTTAACTTATTTAAAATTTAAGACTTATGCCACATATTGAAAATTTTCTTAAATCACATCTAGATCTAAAATGTTATTTATTTTCAAGCATATTAAAAGCAATAATTTAATTAAAGAACTTTCTTTACCCAAACATTTTTCAAAGAAACAGATAGATTCAACTAAAATTCCTCTATATGAAATTTTATATTCTTCAAAGATCCCATATGTCAAATTCTAATTATCTTAGTATTATAATTACATTGTTTAAAAAATCATCATTTTATGGTGGTTGCTATTTAAATATCTAATATCCTTTGTATAATTATGAGAATGTCAACCCTATGAATATTGATTTTTCTTAATTTAAATCTAATTATAATTTCTATTTCATCTTTTTATAATCCTTATCTTTAGTTACAAATTCTTTCCAATCTTATTAATCTATAGAAAATATATTTTTATCTTAATTTAAATCATTAACTAATTCTTATTTTAAAACAATAGATATTTTACTCAATGCAAAACAGGCCTTCCATAAACATAAATCATCACTTAATTTTTTAAAATTTATGATCATTTCATTTAATTTCTTCAATAAACCAAAACGATATAAAGAAAAGAATATATTATTCCAGATAGAATATTTATCAAAAGATTCAAAATAAAAAGGCAATATATTTAACAATTCTTTATTTATTTCTTCTTAATCCATTACCATAGATTAATTCATGTTATATAATGTCTTAATCATAGGAGGCAAGAGATTCTCATCATCACTTATATCTGGTGGTGTATTAGGTGGATTTAAATTAATTTTTGATACATTGGGTTATTAGATTGATGAAACATATGGTCCTTTATTTTATTAACAAATGATGATATTATTATGAGTATTATTGATAAAAAAAGGAGCACTTTCTTAAATTTCAATATCATATTCCTATCTTACTTTTATGGTTTCACTTATTATTATACTACATCTCTAAAACTGATTTTAATAAAAACTTAATAATTTGGAATCAAATTTCTAAGCTATTTTTATGTAATCAATTCTACTATTTCTATTTTTTTGTAGTAGTCCTTACATAAATATCTTTAAATTTTATGTATAATTTGTTTCTGCAATAGCCATATTAATTTTCTCTTCCAATTCTCCAAAATTATTAAGATTATAAATAGGTAATTCTTTACCAACAGTTAAATAGTAAATAACTCTACCTAATAAGAATATATCTATTTTTTCATTTAATTAAGTATTGTATAGTTATTCAGGTACTATATAATCCATTTTTGGATAGTATCCAAATTCCATTAAAACTGGTGTATATCCATTGACTAGAATAATATTGTCAATATTGAAACATCTACCAATAATTTAATTAGAATGTAAAATCATAAGAGCAGATACTATATCAGAAATGATTTTTAATATTGTTTCTTCTTTGGGTTTAATTAGATCTCTTAATATTTTGTATTCCCCTTCATATTCAAAGGCTTTATAATCATGACTATCAGCACTCTTTTTATATTTTCTTAGATTCTTGCAATTATGAGTAAAGTTCAAATCCTGAACAAGATATTTTTCTAATTCTTTTTTCATTGTATTCTTTTAGTAATATGCAAAATATTTTTGGCCTTAATTCGATACTTCTCTTATATCAAATGCCATAGACTTTATTCTGGAGGATTCACCAATTTGATTATTATTCATAATTTAAATTGAGATTTGATATTTTTATTATAGTTCCAATCAATAGAAGCAAGATGTCAAATTATTATAATTATTTATTATTCATAATAATTAATTCAATTATGAGATATATTTTCTACCTATTTCATGATTTTTTAAATAAATAATTGCTTATTAGAACCATTCATTAAAACCAAAAGGATCTATTTTTATGTATTCATTAAATTGCTCATATTGTGAAATCTCTTTGACTTTTAAAATTTCCATAATCTTTTTGTGACATTCAAGTTATGGTTTAAAAAGGACATCTGCAAATGCACATAATATCAAACTCTATCTTATTCTTTGAGTTGTTTATATATTCATTGTAAATTCAATATTTTGATTTATAGAAATTAATATATCTAAACATTAAGTACGATATCCATCAAGAAATTTGTTTATATGGTCTGAATAACTCAAAGAATTATTAAAAAACTAAATTTTAAATAACTACTATTCTAGAAAATCTTAATTATCTGATTAACTCTAAAGAACCTATTATTAAACACATTTTATTTCATTATCTCTATTAAATGAAACTTTAATATGATTTACTGTAATTTTCAATTTTTATATATCTTCACTTATTGTTTTCCAATTTTATTATCTATATAATTTCCATAAATTCATTTCTACCTCATTTTTATAGAAATATGACGAATTTTCATCTTCTAATTCTTTTATCAAATGCAAATAAAAATATATTTTACCAAAATTAAGTGCCAATATTGTTAAAGATAATTCTGGAGCACCATCTTGACTATAATCTTTAAGTATACTCATCACATCATTAAAACTTTAAAATTTACTTTATTCTAATTTTAATTAGCACTTCATCAATGTGTCTTCCATAATAATAATTTTATTTGATTATCTAAAGGACTCTTATGTTGTTTATTATAATGACTCTAACGATTAATGGGATGTGAAAATTAAAGATTCCATCAAGGCAGTTTCAGTAAGAACATAAGTGGGATTCTAATTTTCTCTAGATTCTCTAAAGAAAATCTTTTAGTCTATTATATTCTGTTTAGGTTTGTAAATTCTAATTGATGAATAGAATTATTATATATCTTAATGACTTCCAATTAGTTTAGCAAGATCTTTAAATTATATTCGTTTAGATAAATTAAATTGAAGTAATCCAATCATTAGATCTTTTATAAATTAAGAAGGAATTTTAGATAATTCCATATTTAAATTACGAAAACATGTATCTAAACAGTTTTCTTTTAGTTCTAAAGGCTTTCGAAAATATATTTGATAAAGTATACAACCTATCAAGAATTAATCAATTTCAATTCCATAACATCTATATTTTTTATTCAGTAATTCTGGAGGGTAAATTATTAGAGGAGATGATAAGCCAAACTCCATTAAAGTTATTTTCTCTGTTCTTTCGTTCCATAATATATTATTAATATTGAAACATCTCCCAGGGAGATTATGTTAATGCAAGGTCCAAATAGCTTCCAATAACTATCCTATACATATTAATATTTTGAAATACTTGCAATCATTTTCAATCTATTTTCATCTTATGAATGCAGAGATGAAAGTAATATATCAGTCTCAAATTTGAATAGAAATTATTGCTTATTAATCATTTTAGTATGTTATCTTAAATAAGGAGATGGTATGAATAAATCACACATCATAAACTCTTCAGCTATATCTTTATTTGGTTTGTATCTATATGAATAAAATAAATTATTGATACTCATAAACTTTTTCATCATCGTACTTAATAATATTTATTTGAAATCCAAATGATAATATATTTGATCTCATAAAGACTATTTTTGTATTATGTTTAATAAAATAATTATATTATTATTATCTTCAATTATATTCTATTCAACATATAATAATATCAACAAAATATCCTTAAGAGAATTTATAACTATTTATTATATTAGATAAAATAAATGGGTTTTCTTGTTTGAATTGATAACATCTTAAAATGGTTTAATTTTAATTAATAAATTACTTGATCTAAAAATGCAAAAACATAATATACATAGTATATCTGCTCATAGAAGGATTATTTCATCCTCCATAAAACCTTCAGTAAGTAGAATAACCAGTGCACAATCAAGATCTAAATCAAATTATAAAACAGTTAATTAAAATCCTTTTGGATTCTTATTTGAATCTGTTATACCTATTATTCCAGAGAAGTCTAATGTCCCATTAAAAATAATAGAAAAATACTTTGAAGAAGGTTATTTAATTAACAATCATAAAACAATAGTTTCCACTTTAAAACATGTGTCTGGAGAAGTAAAGAAATATTTACAATATAATTTCATCTAAGTTTAAGAACTTACTAAATCATATTAAATTTAAGTTAAAGATCCTAAATTATTGTTTCTTATGTATGAGAGTCTAATAAATTTAGATAAAAATATTATTCAAGATCTATTTGTTAAAAAATAATAACTGGATAATTAGGATGATAATAAAGAACATCCTAAACATCATTTTAGATTTGATATTTTAATTAAATGCATTGAAATATTTAATGAACTTGTATCCAGTTTATTAAAGATTATAGATGATAAAGCTATTGCTATATTTATTGAATAAATTTGGAAAGCAATTGTGATCATTTTAGATTTAAATACATAATGGTAATAAGATCGTTTTCAATCACTAGTTGATGAATAGATTGAAGGTTACAAAGAGAGATTAGAATAAATGAAAAAAGAATATAAATAATTAGAAGAAAAGTATCAAATGTAATTAAGAGGATATTAATTAAAACTAGTAATTGAATAAAAAAAGAATGTCTCATTAAGAGAAGAAAATAATAAGATTTGTTAATAATATAATCATTTAGAAGATCAAATTAATGAACTTAGTAATATTGAACATGCTAAAGGTGATCTTTAAAATATTAACTAAAAATTACATGAAATGGATTTAAATTTTATGAGATTCAATAAAGAAATATATGATTCTCATTAATAAGCATCAACTTCTATTAAATAATTAGCTAAGTTATTAACAATTAAACCTATTATACCTAAATCATTTATATAATAAAAATATGAATAATTAAATATTCATTATAAAGAATAAAAACCTTGTATTGAATTAATACTCAATCCAATAATATCCTAAATTGAAATTGAATTTTATCATGTTGATCAACACAACAAAAAATAATTACCAAATGATTTCCTTTAATTTCTATTTCAAAATCTTAGTTTTTATCCCTCTTAATCAGGTGTTGAATTATATTCATTATGGATACATGCTGATGAATAATAATTTGTCAATAGTAGAATTGAATTATTAAACAAATTGAATCAAAATAATAATAATAATGATTATTACATAAATGTATGTTAATAAATCATTGGAATTAATACATAATTTCCATCATCTCATAAAATCATAGAAGAAACATTCAGATATATTAAAATTATAGAATTAGCATTTTTGTAATAAACATCACATAATTAAAATTAATAAAGATCCAGTTTATTTCTTAAATAATCAAGTTCTATTGATTTTGAATTAGAAATTAATTTATCAAAGTATTGTAATTATGTTCTATAACTGTAGTTATTCAACCATTTTGCCTCAATAATTATATGAATATGTAGAATCATTGTCTCAATCCAATATCAAACTTATACAATTTACATATCAAATTATAATATTCCTCTAATAACAAGAAAGACTTAAATGGAATTCCTTTTCTAAATTTTATTTGAATAATATCAATAAATTTAATTATAGATTAGATACAATTGAATAATTCTACAATATAGATGTAATATTGGTAATTAATTTTTATTAATCATTAGATTTGGTAATTGATAATTATTCATTAAAGATCTATGATAAACAAGAAATAAGATGAAATAATAATAAATGAAGATTTCTTTGAATAATTATATTAACTTTGGTTATATCATCCAAGATCTTTAATTAAACCATCAAATGAATTGCAATTAACTTAATCATCTTCACCAACTAATAAAAAAACAGCATCCCAATAACCTATATAGAAATCAAGTCCTCAATTAAGAAAGTAAGGAACTATGCAATCTGAGACATCTCGTAAGAAATGATTTTATATTATTTAACTACACAATAATATATTCAAATTTAATTTATACCTTTTCATCTAAATAAAATTAGAAATAGAATTGAATTTTCTTTATATAAGAAAAATAAAAAGGTTTTTAAGGAATTGATAAACAAAATTGATTAAATAAAAAGGATTCATTTAATAAATAAATAAAAATTCATAAGTAAATAAATATCCTTAAAATTCTTAATTCAATTTTCTAAACTAATACTATCTAATAATAATATATAAATTCCAATTATAAACTATATATCTGCATAAATTAATCTAGAGGATAATTATCTACCTAATAATAATAAATTTCTAAAATAACAAATGAATTGTCATTTTGAAAGTTAGAATCATTTTGAAAGAAACTATTAGTTTATATAACATCTATTAAATAAATCATAAATATAATTGATCTAATATATCTCAACAATAAATGACTTTTCTAAATAATGTTACACAATTAACATGAAGAAATGATAATAAATTTAAGTCTTGATATATGGAATTAGATCTTCTCTAAAAATGCTTAATTATATACAATAATTAAATGAAATTAAACTTGTATCTAACATAAAAAATGAAATTTCGATAAATTTAAATTATAATTTGATATATATTGTATAATTGCAATAAACAACTCATTTGTTCTTCTTGCCACCTTTCTATTTTTTTTGTTATGAATCAACTTAGACCCAACCATCATCACTAAATTTAAAATAATAAATACTCTTAATCTCTTTATTCTTCTTATTTCTTATTAGCTTATGTATTCTTAGCTTTGGATCTATAAAATTTAAGAAGTTAAATTACCCTTTTTATTATTTAGCAGCTAATGCAGCTTCTTCTGCAGCTTTAGCAGCTAATTCAGCAGCAATTCTAGCTTCTTCTGCAGCTTTTAATTTTAATGCAGCAGCAGCTTTTGCTTCAGCTTATAATCTAGCTTATTCTTCTTATTATAATTTTTATTATTAAGTCTTTTTGTTCTATTTTTTATCATAAACTTCTTCCCATCCTTCATCATCATCTTCAGGTTGTTATGGTTTTAATTTATCATTTGTAGATTTAGTTTTTTATGTTTAAACTTGTTGTTAATTTTTTTATTTTGATGATTTATTTTATTGTTATTATTATTGAGCTTATTATTATGATTATTTAGATTATTATTTACCATTTGTTTTAGTATTTTACTAATTCTTTTCATCTTTTTTATTATTTTATTAGTTCTTTTTTTCACCTTCACTTTCAGATGGTGAAGATGCTCTTTCTGGAGATTTCTTATCTGGAGATTCAGATGATAATCTTTCTACTTTTTATAGTTTTTTTAGTTCTTATGCTTCAATAAGTTTTTATTTTTTTTTTTCTTCTTTCAATAATCTTCTTCTTTCATACAATTCTTCTTTGGTTAATTCCTAATTAGTATTAACATTAGTTTAATTGAATGGTAACTTGTCCCACCCTAATAATATTCTAATATATAGATAGTAAATTTACACTAATGATCCTAAAGAGAGTATATATCCAATACAAGTTTCAAATGGTCTTTAAGCAACTTTGAGTGTACCTAAACCAACACTAAATAATAGATTTGAACATTTTACGCAAAAGTTGCAACAAGACCGTATTGAATTTCTTTAGATAACAATGGCATTAATATAATAATTAATAAGATGACAAGTGTATTAATTAATTTAAATGGTGTATTAATATATAAATTTCAATCTGTTAATTCATCAGACTCATTTAAGATGAGTCCATTTTCATGATAGTCTCTTTCTTGAATGGCTTTGGCATCATGAAATGTTCTTTGAAGAATTGTATGAGATAGAACTCCAATTCTAAGATCCATTTATTTGATTTCTAACTATTAAATTAGATTATTATAATAGATACTCTCAATTTAGTTAGACTAGCTTTGATTCTAATTACAGGAGATTAATCTGTAGAAACACTTCCATGTTCATTTAATTTATTTTGAACAGTTTCAAATTTCTCTTGTATTTGTTTATATTAATCATTCATTTCTTTTTTGGCATTAGTATAATTCTAATATTAAAGTTCAATCTTTTTGTATTCTTCATTTTTCTTTTTGAATTCATTACACTAGATTAAGGAGTCTGCTTACCATATCACTCATATTTTCATTAATATTATATTCTCTCTTTGTAATTCTGTCTAAAATCTCTGCCAATTCATCACTCATTTTTTCTAATTTGATTCTAGCTTCTGGAAGTATAGTCTTTATTTAATTTGAATATTATTTTGTAGCATCAAAATGTTATCTCCATTCTCCAGCATCTGGTTTTATGACTATTTTAATCTTTTGAGCAGCCCTTTCAACTTCTTTAGCCCATTCTTTTGGATTTACATTTGATTCAATAACCATTTTATCTTCACTTTAATATTTGAATTATAATAGTTACTCTTTTTGGAAACCCTATTCATTAAATACATCTTCAGGTTCCTCATCTGATGCTACTTCTGGATCTGAATCTGATGATACACTTCCTGTTTCTTAAACTGGTTCATCATCTTATCTTCTAATAATTTAATATTATTGTATACGTTTAAGATTATTATTCAATTTTGGCTTTCTTATATTGGAATTTCTTTTTTTGTAATGCTTTAGTTGCTAATTAGAGCAAAACATAAACAACATATTCTCCAAATCCTTATTTTAATTTAAGTGGAGGAAAGTCAACTTCAATCCCAATATTTTTTAATTCATTTACTATTATATATATAGAAATCTAATTACTTATATTTTAAGATAGAGTTACAGGATCATCAAGTTTATTAAAATCACTGGTCTATACATCATTTTATTGAAATAGCCATTTCACTAATCTATTCAAATACAATTCAAAAAGTTACGTTTTAAATTAAGTGAATTATTCACTTGAATTAGTTTGATTTACAAAATAGGCTCTATTCAAAGGTTTACCACCTCTAATATTAGATATATATAAGTTCAATTACTTCTATTTTAAATAACTTTGTTCATAATTCAATAATATTAATTTGTCATATAACTCATCCATCATTGCTGTTACATCCAATTATTCCTATTAAATTAGAATATATTGATTACTTAACCCGCTTACTATTCTGACATTAATAAATTAATTAATATTTGAATATACTTGTTTAATATATATATTTATATATATTAATATTCTCTCAAACTTACCAATTATGCAACATAATTTTTTATAATGATAACAATGCATTTTCTCTAATCATTTAATCATCACTTCTTGCTTATTTCATTATTTCTTATTTTGCATTCAATTATTCTAAAACACTATTAATATTATATAATAATATTACACTTTTCCAAATGGATGGAATCTACAAAACTCTCCCAAATCATAACAAGCAACAGCTATATTTTGATTATTATTTGATTTTAAGATTTCTGCTAATTTCCTATACTCTACTCACATGAATTACCTAATAAGTAAGAAATCATTCTCTTCGAACTTCTTGACATTCTCCTTCCAGAATTTCTCTGTATGTACTGGACTCCAATTCAAATTTTATGCATTTAATTCTTTTACATATTTTTCAAATGAACTTATTATATTTTATAAATATATTTTACGTTAAAATCTTCATATTCTTTTCTAATATTTCACCAACATATTTAATATCATCTATTAAATCTTAATCTTTAAGATTTCCTTTTAATAATAAATCAACCACTTTGATTAATCCATTATCAACCATTAATTCAATACATTATGCTGAAACATCAACTAAATTCTTGAAACAAGCAAAAGAAACTCTTAATATTTTTTCTCTTGAAATCTTTTACACTGATTCTATAATCATTCTAATTAATCCAATTTAAGGATCATTGAATAATGGAATTGATTCATTAGTAAAACTTAATAACCATAATGCCAAAATTGTATAATAAGCTATATGTAAATCAGTTGGATATTTCATCAATAGATTTGATATTCTATATATATATATATATAATTATTTATTACATTTTAACTCCACCACTCTTTATAAATTATACTGCTAATGAATCATGTTTAAGAAAATGTACACATATTGGCATAATCATTTAATCAGAAATCTTTAACTTATTTCCTATATTGATATATTTAATATACCTATTCCTCCAATAAATAATATTACCCATTCTTTTGCATCATTTCCTCCTTCTTCTGCTATTATCATTGTGACTATCTTTGCTGCTGCTTCATAAACAACTTTATCATATCCTTCAAGAAATAAGAATTATTTCAATTTAGGTACAACCTATGGTGTCAATGCTCTAATGAATTATTTGAAAAGTCTTTAATTCTCTATTATGTAATTACACATTTATACCTGATATTATTGCATCAATTGTTGTTAAAATATAAGTCATTAAAGGTTTATCATGTGCAACATTTTCAATTATGTCTAAAAGCATCTAAAATACACCAACAGAATCAGTTTCTAATAATTTCTTTTAATCTTATAACTAATTATTGTATTGAATATATACTTTAGCTTATGTAAATTTAATGAACATATCTTTAGTTTCTCTCTTTATAGATTTACCATGTTAATCTAATTATTTAAAGCAGTCTTCACAGTCTTTCAACACCTTATTTAGTAATTGTTCTTATTGATAAAATGTTATGGACTGACAGAAGTATTTCCTGTTTCTAAACATATATTAATTATAAGATTTATATTGATTTTATATTTGATTTTATTTATATATTTTATAGACTATTCTAAATAATTGTAACAAACTTTTATCTTACAATTTAATTTTTCTTATTCTTAAAATTGAAATCATAATCAATTTTTAATAGATAATCAAAGAAATTAATTAACATAGTTGATAATATCAAAACTAATAGAATCATATAATTTGATAAATCAAACCAAAGTAATAAGCACTACTAACGATTTATTGTCACTTATTTATACATTTATTTGTGATGAATCATTAATAAACTAATATATAACATTAAATAAAATACCTATATGCATTAGTGAATTGGAACATTGATATAATTATATTTTTCTATTTCATCTTTTGGTAACATTTATTTCATATAAAATACTTTTGCTCCTTATTAAAGACTATTAATATTTTCTCCTATCATAAATTCTAATTTCTTCACTATGAATTATAATGGCTCTGTTAATCTCTTTATCTTTAAATTCAATTTAGTCCATATTGAAATATTTAATCCATTTTTTAATTAAAACTAAATATATATATATAATTTATATTACTTTATCAACTTCTCCTGGTTCACTCTACATCATAAATGGAATTGCAAGATTTAAGAATGTATTTCTATACTAAGTTGAATTCTAGAGTATCTTAATCAATTCCATAGTCTGTAAAGCAGCAATACAAGAAGTAGTAGTTGCCATAGCTGGAATAATCTAAAGATAATTAGAATATATAGATTACTCTTCCTGCTTTTAATTTAGTCCACATCCAATCAACCTATTAAATACCATAATTAATTGCTCTACCATTTGTAGCAGCAGTTATAAATGATACATGATGATTATTGTCATCATCTTTTTCGAATTGTTAAGGTTATGGTAATGTTGGTTTTACATTATTTAATAATTATCTTGCTTCTTTAATAAGTTGATCATAATTTTAAACTTCTTCTTACATTTATTATTATGATTAATTATTTTTATCTTATTTCTCAACTATCTCTTTTATCCTATTCTATTTTATGTTTATCTTTGGAATCCTAATATCTTTTAGTAATTCATTCAAATCATATTTTTAAGGAATTGAAGTATTGTAAATTTATGCTGTTAATATAGCAAAATCTTCAACAAATTGAAATGCAAATTATCCAATGAAATCAATTGGTTTAGGAGGTCTTTTTGGAGGAGCCCAGAATAATTTACCTTCTTTAGTTAAAGAATTCAAGGGATAAGCATTCATTAAGGTTATGATATCATAATTAAAGAGCTTCTGGAATTTCAATCTACCCATATGTACACATTATTAAAATGTAGTAGGATACTTCTTTAATACTTTGATGGCCAAATCAACAGTTTATTATTATGGAGAGGGATCCTACATTAATTACACTAAAGCTTATGGTTTTCTAAAGAAGTATTATTCAAATTTATCTCTTGCCCATTCTAAACAATGAATATTAGATTCTGGAAACATTCTTAAAGTACAATATGGTATATCATTGTTTTATTCTGGATCTTATTTACTTGCATAACTTTCAGTAACATCTGGGATAATAGATTATACATGTCCTTTTGGTCCCAAAGTTCCACTTTCAATTAATGATACTTTATTTTCAACACATTTAGAATCAATAAATAATCTAGCTTATACATTATCTAAAGCATTTGTTACACAATTCATTTATGTATAAAATTGATTATGATATATATCTTAAGTTTCTTAACATACCTTATCTAATCTTGCTACTATATTAATATCTGGATTCATCTATTTAACAACAGCAGCAGCTGTCAAACTTTTAGGTTTTCTAATGTGTTTCTCTCTAAAAAGGAATTAACGACTTAGATTTGAATTTTCAATTATGTCTGGATCTGTAACATATATTTTACCAAATTTACTGACACCTAACATAGCATAATTTTTAAGTAATTCACAACCTATAGCTCCTGCTCCTACAACAAAGACTTCAGCTTTGAATATTTTTTCAACATTTCCAATAGTATTAGTCATATCATTATATCTAGTTTTGAAATTCTATTTAAATCCAAATTACTACATACATTTTTAGTAGTTATTTAAATTAACTTCGAGATTGTTAGATTAACCAATCTTAATAAAATTTAATTATGTTAATTTAAATGGAAGTACATCTTCAAATGATTAAACATAAGCTTAATGAATTGGAGTATATTTCTTATTTATGGCTTTCAATACTTCTTAAGCTACCATACCACCAATTAATGCACATAAAGGTTAGAATTATGTATTGATTGATAATAATGTAAATAATGATAATAACTCTTCTTAATATTTATTAAGTATATCTTCCTAGTATTTTATATTTAACAATTCTCTAAGATTTTATGATCTCATTAAAGTTATAAACATTCTAATTTTTTCTATATCCCAATTATCTGTCAATAATTCACTTGTAGTTTAATTCATACAAAAATGAATAATATCTCTTTTAATTTTATCAATTCCATCAAATGTTCCAACATTATCACAATAATGATTTAATGAACCAATTACCTTATATATTCTATCAAATTATAATTTAATAGTTTATTTCTATTAATAAGCTACACCATGACTAATATATTTAGTAAATAATCTATTTGTGATTAATTCAAATGATGATCTTTTAACATTTTTAATTTAAAATAGTTAATTATAACTTTCTCCAATTCCTTATAATTATTTAACTTCTTAAATTAATACAAAATCCTTTTCATTTAAATTATGATTTTAATTCTTAAATAAAGTAACTACATTATTAGATATATTTTCAATATTAACTTCTGATAATTATTCACCATCTTTATCAACAATTGTAAATTCATTACCAAAATCAGTTATAATTCTTACAAAAATATTTCTAGTTTATGCTAAAATAACAGCAAGTTTATTTTAATTTGATATCATACTTGCAATAGTTGGATCTTAAGTAACAAATACTTAAATTTCATTTAAATTTAATTCATTTAGACTATTTTAGAGAACATCAATTTTAACATATGGATTTAGATGTTTTAATTTATTTAAAATACTAAAATCTCTTCTCTTATTTATATCTTATTCTGTCAAATAAAAATTACTACCTAAATCACTCATCTAAACTAATTAAGGATCAAATAATATTATTCTTTTTACACCTGATAATACTATATTCTTTGCTATTTCAATACCTAAACCATTTAATATATGTATGAAAATAGTAGATTCACTTTATTTCTTTACTGCATCTAAACCAACAACTCCAATATATCTACTCATCAAATTCTATAGATTTTGATCATTTGAATCAAATTATCTTTATTATAAATTATTATTATAACTAATATCAATCTCATTGATATTCAAACCTTAAGGCATCACTTTTTTATTAACTATCTATTATTATTATTATTATTTTTAAATATTATCTAAATTAAAACTTATTTCTTTCTTCTTCTCATTTGATATAGTCTGGAAATCCTTTCCAATATTGAGTTTCAATTTCTCCAATTCCACTTTCAATTCTTAATATATTTTAATCAAATCTTATTTGTATTGTTATGGCTAGACAGAATAAGTACATTGATTCTAAGTTTGATGGTAGGTTGCTGGTAAATTCGCTTATTCTATCCATTATTCAATCTCTTATTTTATCAAATCTTTACGCAAATAAAAACTCTTCTTTATTACTTCTTCAAATCCTTTAGGTGGTTTTTATAATTATTCTATCATAGCATATCTAATATTCTATATCTTGATGAAATTGCAATAACCTCTATTAGCCTATTCACCATTGGGTGTTCCCATCTAAGATTCCCATCCTGGTTCATTAAACATTACATATTCACTCATTACCATAGATTAAACAGATACTAATATTTATAAGATACTAGAGAAATTAGCAATCCAATTATCACCCCAAGTACCTAATAAACTTAAACAAACCTTTCCACAATTATATAGATTTGGATTAAATCTTACTTTACCATGTCCTGTTGTTGCCAATTTCATTTTTGGAGGTCTTTATGGATAATCATCACCAAAAAACATATCATATAAGAATGCTCCATGGGCATAAGGTGTACCACTGGCACCAAATATAATAGTTCTCATACAATCCATTCTATCATTATCATATCTTATGAAGATTGAATTGGTTGCTTCAAGTGGTAGATTTTCATTTATTGTTGAAATCTCTGAGACTAGTTTTTACATTTTATTTTATGATGGATTATTTGTTTATACATAATAGTCTTTCATATTAGTTAGGTAATTTGCATCAGTCTTAATTTCACATTTACCAACAACTAATCCTTTCATAAATGGTCTATAAAATTGATGCATTGTAACATTAATATCTCCATTATTCTATAAATCTTAAGATATGTATTTTATAGTTATTAATTTTGCAGCAAACAAACAAGATTCCACATATTAATATAATGCCATAAATTTATTTAATTCTTTTATTTTGGAATTGAATGTTTTAATAAAAATCAGTATTTATTAATTAAATGATTCCATTTATCTAAATAAACATGTATTCTCTTTTGATATGAATAATTGCAATGTCATTTCTCTTTATGATAAATATTTGATTATCTTTAACATTTAATTAAATGTTTTTGAACCTTCCAATGATGTTATATTGACACTCTATAAATATTTAATTACTAAGTTCATAATATTTGATTATTGAATACACTCTAATACTCTTATATTAATAAACTCAAGATCTAATAAATGGATTAAACAATTTAATAAATTTTCCAAATTTAAATCATTATCATTTTATTTTTTCTCTATTTTATTCTCTTCTTATTATTTTTATTATTATTAATTAAATTGTTATTATTTTTATTACTATTAGATAAATTGTTATTATTGATTAATAAATTGAAATCCATTATATTCAACATCTCCATATCCAATACCTTTAGGCTTTCCTTAATTTGGGATTAATTATTTAAAATATTAAACTTTTGGCTTTTCAAATTTCACTTAAACTTATATTTATGACTGAGTATTCTAGTTAATTAAATTCAAATATTATTCTGTCTTAATAACTATTTTCTCCAAAAGTTTATGTTCTAATAACATCACAATCTTAAGAAAAGGTTTCTTCTTTAATAATTAAACTAATTGTTAATAAATCATTAAATTTATCTTTTTATAGATCTCTTTACTTTCATTTTACTTATTTAAATAAGCCAATGCTAATAATTATTATAAGAATCCTTCACTTTACATAATTTATTCTTGAAATCCATCAATCTAACATAAAATTGTCAATTCAAAAATTAAATCTTAAACTTACTTTTCTGCTTTAACTATTTCTAAATACTTTTATACTTAAGCAAGTATTTTAAGAATACCACCCATCTTTTTTTCAAAATATAATAACATTGGTTTACAATGTTTAATTTTAATCTATATTTACTAAGTAACTGGCTTATCTACATATATATCATTTATATATTTATCTTTCAAATTATCAATATCTATATTTTCATTCAAATACTAATTCAATTCTTACACTGTTACTGTTTTAGGTATAAATTAAATTGGCTACATTCTCAAATTAGAATAATAATAATTCAATTTCTTTAAATAGTTATTATTTAATGATTATAGATCATCTTCAAATAAATTCTCTTTGTTCACATCAAAAGTATGTAATTCTATTGATAATAAATAACACTCTAAGCCCTATAAAGCAGCATTAATTTGCTCCATTAACAATGTCTTTTCTTGCAACTTCTAAAATGGGAATCCAAATCTACTCTATTAAAAATCATAGAAATTTATGCATGCTATAGGTTAATTATGATGACTAATCTAAATCATATGTTATTAGATATCTAATAAAATATGAGGTCTCCCGTCTAATGCATTTACATACCATAAATGTTCATCCTAAACCATCATGACATAAAATGATGATTCATTTGATCTAGCTTATACATAATTTTATGTTCTTCCATCTTAAATTAATTAATTGACAAAACATGCAAGTTTAACATTTTCTCCTCCTACCATAATTTCAAAAATAAATAAAACATTACTTCTATTTTCTAATACTTTTGTTACAATTTAAGAATTTAAATGAGGATTGAAAGCACTAAATGAATGCAAATGAATCCAAGAACCTATTATTTAATTTTATTTTTCATTTATATTATTTTATTTTTATTAAATTGAAATAAATTTTAATTTCTATAATTATTGAGGATTTGTATATTTGAGATTCTCCACATAATAATCTTCAGGAAAAAGAGAAAACATAGCTAAATCATTATATTCTTAATTCATTATAATTTACTAATTTTAAGGTTAATTAAGATTTTACTATTATTATTGTTTACTTTTATTTAGATTCTCTAAAACTAATTAATTTATTTTATCACATTAACTTTTTATAAGAAGTTCAGTTAATATTAATGTTGAACCTGACATAGTTTTAGTGTAGTTAGATAATAATTTATCAGTAAGTGCTTTACTTTCAGCTATACTTAATTTTGGATGGAAACATATAGGCACTAATTAAATTAGTTCATTATTTAAAATAGGCAAAATAATTTTAGTTATCATATCCAATTTTTAATGTTACAAATAAAGTATGAAATCTTCTTATAATATAATAATGAATTATTTATCTAAATTATCATAACTCAATATTCTTATAATTAAACTTACCATTTATTCAATAATCAAAGGATCTTTAGACCAATTACATTGATTAACAGTATTTTCAATTGGTTTATTTTATCTTAAATATTGATAAAGGTTATGATGAAAATTAATTTGAAAGAAAGATTACATCATTTATTAATTGGTTGTAAATGCTATGAAAAATTATAATAGATTTTGTATTTCATGATTAGTTTCTAATTAAGTACTCTTCTATTCCAATAAACTATTTATTATAATTATTAGATTACCTTTAAAGAGTAGATCTTAGAATTTCAATTGTTTCTTTAAATAATCCAAAATTTAATTCTGGATCAGATAGATAAGTTAATGCCAGTAAATCTAATTTATAAGGCTTCTCAAAATTAGTTTCAAATAATTCATTATTTATTTTATTAACTATCTAATATTGTTTTGATTTAAATGATGTTCTACCTAAAAATGGTTTCGGAGGATTAATAGAAAAAATAAAAAATCTTAACATATAAATTCTAATTTAGGAAAAGAAATCATTTTCTTTATTTACAATTTCTTCACTTAAAATAATCTTCAATAAAAGATCAATTAATTATTTATCACTATTGATATAATATCCAAAAGGATATCCTGTTTTAAAATCTTTTAAACCATAATATTATGTTAATTATTATGTGAATTCCGAATTCTATCCAATCTCATGAATTTAAAAGAACATCTTCAATAACCTATTTAATTAATTACTATATTCAGGAGCACCTAAATAATATTGTATAAAATATACCTTAACTGTCTATATCTGTCAATTACAATAAATATGTAAGATAATTATAAAATTTTGCTTATCGATTAAAAAACATTGATATATTTTATAATATAGCTTCTTCTAATTAAGTAGCGCTAGCTTCTTGCAATAGAAACGCAAATCCTGGATCTTCAATATTATTTGGATCAATTATTTAAATAAACTATTAAGTTTATTAAGCTTAAATAATTATTCAATATACTATTTAGTTAGTGACTTTCAAACTGTGTTAATTATTCTACATTAATTATTTAACTGGAGCCTTCAAAACCAAAATAATCATCATAAGACATTATTTTCTATCAGAATAAAAATTATTAAAATATAAGATATCAAATTAAAAAAAGAATAAGTCCAAAATTTAGGTTCTGTATTTAACAATTACATATAATAAATATAACAACATTTATATATGTAATTAATGAAAAGACAAGTTAGTATCCTAAAATACTTTGAATTAATATTATCACATCATATTAACTATTCTAGATAACTTAATTCTTTATTAAGTTATCTAAAATTATTTAAGTATTTTATATGAAGATTATGTAAATATTCAACCATATAAGAATTTACAATTAGCATAATTTTTATATTTATATTTTATTAAAATATCAATGATAAAGTTGCTCATAGTTATAGTGATACTCAATATAACATTATCAACTCCTATTATTAGATAATAAATATTATTAAATAAGAAGGCAAAGAAATAACCTACTCTTGATTGGAAAAGTGTTTCAGAATACTCTAATAATCCTACTTATAATTAAGTCGTTGAAGTTGCCAAAAAGAACTGTTCCTAATAGTGCAAATTAAGCAAAACTGTCAAGCTTAAAAAAGTTTTAAAAGTTGCCAAGTAATTAGTTTAAGGAATGTTATGGAATGTATTATTAATTATGAAATTAATAGTTATAAGTTGAGTTTTCTGATTAATCAACCAAGGTTTTGTAAGTCTATGAAGATTTAGATGGTTCATTTGAATTTGATTCCTGTAAGGATAACAATTGATATAATATATTTAATATAAAACGGTGAGATTATAATTATATTTTTAATAATCAAATTTTAATCGAAAGGAATGACTTAATTTATGATAAGAATTTATATTTTTAAAACTGTTTTCATATCAAAGGTAATACAACATAATAATAATTAAAAACTAAATTACATTATTTTATATAAATAAATAATTATATAGTTTAATTAATTATATAAAAGACTTAATTGAAAAAGCATTCAAAAAGATTATTGCAAATCAAAACCATACAGAAAAAAAATAAAATTAAAAATAGTATCTCCTTATGTAATAAAATAAGTAACATTTCATCAAAAAAAAAAAAATTATCAATCAGATAAAACGATAATTTATTTCAGAAAATAAGGTTAGCATACTGATTCTTCACTCTAAAATTTAGAAACAAAAATAAGGAATTTATTAGAAATCTGATTTGAATCGACCTCATTTTTTGAATTAAAAAATCACCAAATAGTAAAATGATTAGTTCTGTTGAATTACAATTAAGGTCTATATATATATTAATGAATCTTATTTATATGGGCTTGAAGATCAATATTCAAAGTTATTGATAAAAATCAACAATTTAATAAGTATTAATAAATCATATTATAGAACTTAATAATAAAGTAATATAATTGAGAATATATAATTAAATGATATTGTATCTTTAATAAACAAATTTAAATCATCATACTAAAATAGAAACTCAATCTAAGGTATTTATATAGATCAGATTAATTTTTAGTTATGTTAGTGAGGTTAAGATATTAACTTAGACAATTTCAAATGAAAGAGACTGAGTTAGTTATAAGATTATGACACTTATTTAAATAAATTTATATTTAATGAAAAAAAATTAATATCAAATAAAGGTGACATAAGATAGTACACCTTCAATTGAGAATATTACATAATAAGATTTCTTATCAAGTATCAGAAGATAAGACACTCCAAGAAAATCAAAAGTTAGATTCGCCAAGGATCCTTTAGAAAATGAATGCCCATTAGAGTAACCAAATCCATTTCTGTTCAATGAATAATTGAAACTTAGCTTTAGGGATTATTTAGAAGGATAAAAAACTGCTCTGAACTTAGTTAACGAATGTAATCATGTTATTGGTCAGACTCATAAAATGGATCAATTTAAACTATTTTAAAATGTAAATAGATTTCGAACTTAATTGAAACAAAGATCATCAATCAGAATGTTTATGTTATAATAAAATTCATATGCTGATGATCTTCTACAACGTAAGATCAAAGTTTAAGAAAGATATAATAAAATTAAATAATTAATTTAATAAAAAATGAAATCAAAGAATAAAAATGATTCTTTAAGAGATGTTTAAATGTTTAAACATTTATTTGATACATGTGAAAAGAATGTAAATAAAATCAAATCTAAAAATTTATTATCTGAAAAAGCAGATGGAATAAGAGAATATGATTAAATAAAATATTAAAAAAATCCTACAGGATCACTTAGGGTTAGAGTTAATACTTGTAATTAATAAGTTAATAATTAAATAAGAGTGAAAACTCTACCATAATAATCTACATTACATTAGACTATGAAAAAAGAAAGAGAAAAAATGAATGCTAAATTAACAGAGTTTTTAGAACATGATTAAAATTAAGAAAGGAATTTATAAATTAAAGCAAGAAAAAATTTAATAAGAGATTTAAAAAAAGGAAACAAAAGATTTCATTCTTTTGAACCAAATTAATATAATTTAACAGATCCACTCAGTAAAGATGTCAAATTATATGCTTATATGTTTATGAAACCAAATACTGATGATCCAATCTTAAAACCATCAAATCATTTAAATGTACTATCTCTAAGTACTAGAACTTAAAAGAATTTAAATAGACATTATTTAGCTAATTTCAATGAATAACTTTCACATTCTCGAGATCAAAGTTTAGATGAAGATTCATCATTTAATTCTATGTTAGAAATCAATATTGATAATTTATATAAAAGAAGTGCTGATCTTTAAAGTAAGATTTTGAATACTAAATCTGAAAAATTGGTTAGAAGAATAAGATAATTTTAGAAAGTTAAATAATTGACTACATAAATAATTAAAGTTAATGAATTAAAACTCTCGAATATTAAATTATTATGATTTTTATATATACTTAAATTCATTTATTTATTTATTATCTTCCATATATTCCAGCACTATATTGTCTTTTATGTTGTATTTATTTCCCTATATTATATTGAGGCTATTATCCTACTCTCTATTATAGATAAATATTATTCTGATTCCTAGGGGAAATGTCTCGAATACCATAATTTTGTTTCAAAAATGTTGGTTTACAATATTATTGTCCATGATTTCTTTAATAAATAAGATATATATACTACTACTACTTTTAATCTTAATATTATATTTTTTATCCATAATATTATGGAGTCTAAGGATGATATTCAAATTTTTAAGCTTAGACATTTTAAGGTTTGGCCAAAGGAGGCTTGCTTTTTAATGGAGCACCTTATGATGGTACACTAATTAATTTTTTTTTTAATTATTATTATTATTATTATTATATATCCATATTTATTCTAGGTTATTAAGATACAGGATTATCAGTCTCAATTTTAAGCCCTTATTAAGAATGAGATCTTTAGATCTTATTTTCATATTTAGACTTTGGTAAATTATCCTTTAATTATTTTAAATTAAAAGGGAGTTTTATTGTTTATAATAATTTTGCTTACTTTACACCATTCTACTCCACTTCTACTAATAATGATCCACTATTCTTTATTACTTTTGGATTCTTGAGAATTTAATCACAATTTGGTCTATTCTTGGGATCAACTTATAAAAGAATCTTTAAAACATCCTATAAATCTTAACTAAATTTTGGTGGAATAGGATCATATTAACCTGCTTAAATCTTTTTGTTTAATGTTAAAAGATCTGCAGCTCTAAAAGGAGGCTGAAATGTAGTTAATTCATAGATTATACAACCAATTGACCAAATATCACAAGGCCATGAATATTATTCACCCTTCCAGACTTCAGGTGCAGCATAATCTATTGTATAAATTTATATCAATACATGGAGTTCCTGTCTAGGTCTTAGCATTTGCTCCATGAGTAACCTTACTTATATTCATATCTCCTATTTTATAAATATTTCCTTTAGGAGTCTAGGATACAAATACATTTGCTGATTTTAGATCCCGATGTAAAATGCCATTCTCATGCAATATTTTCACTCCAAGTGTGATCTATGTTAATATATTCCAAATTTCACTCTCTTATATCCCTCCCTATAACTTTCCTTATTTTAAAATTTGATTTAAGTCTCCACCAGATGCAAACTCCATAATTACATAAAGAATTCTTCCATCTTAATCAATAAAAGCATCCTTAAATTCTACTATGTAAGGAGAATCTAAAGATGCTAATATTCTAATTTCATTTAAAGCATTTTCTCTCTCTTTCAAGCTCTATTGTGAAATATTCACTTTCTTCATAGCATAATATAAACCATCTGATTTTCTTTACACCTAGAGGTATCAATTCTCAACATACCTTGTATACGGAAGAAAAGGATCCTTCTCCCAATTTCTCAAGTATATTGAAATCCTATATTGTACTATTAGAATATTATTATTGCATGAAATTTTAATTATAATCACATTCATTTTCAAAAAAAATCGAATTCTTAATTTTCATAATTCTCCCAAGGACTAAATTCAAGAGTAGGTTCACTCTTTTTCATTTTTATTCTTTAAGATAGTCTTCTCTTTTTTGTCTATATTTATTTTGCAACTTCCTTTTACTTTTATATGATATTTGGCATTTGAATAATATTTTCTTTATTGGCAATTATAGTCCTACGAGGTAAAGGTGGTTTCGAAACCTATTGAACTTAAGGAAGGTGTTCTTCTTCAACTTCTGTCTTAGTTTCAAGTGATTTCCTTCTTAATCTTTGCTTTTCTAATTTCAAATGTATAATCCTCAATGCATTTTCACTTGTTTTTCCTAATTACAACCCTTTTGAATAATCCTATTTTATTTCATTGATTTCTGTAATTTATTTCAGTTTTTCAACTTTCATAGAAGTAGATCTTTGTTCCTTATTAAATCCAAATACAAAATTGTAAAAATTTTATCGTTGATTTTAATGACAGTTTATCATTTATTTTATAAAAGTATATAATCATAAAAATTAGACAATTAAATTTAGAATAAAAATGAAATATCACTTTTTTTAAGTAACAATTTTACTATCAAATTTAATAATTTTGATTTCAATTTATATGATTAGATGACTTTAAATTATTTTATAATATTTATATATTTTTTATTATTTAGAAAAGGTTTTAGATTAAAGAGATTAGATTATGATAATAAATAATATGAAATTGTTATTAAACTTGAAAATTTATCTATCAAACATCATCATCCTAAATGATATGATCCTTTTCTAATTTAGGGATTGTAATTCTACTTTTAGGACTAAAGAATGTTTTAAATTACAGATTCTAAAATAATGATAAAGTCCCTTGAACAATAATCAAACAAATAATTATTGCAAAAAGAACTAAGAATATTTTTTCTAACAAATTAGTTTTTTGAATTGAATCTGCTTTTATAACTCCACAAGCTGGAATAGAAGCATATTCAAATTTTTTGCAAAGTTAATTCATAATTTATTTAAATGGAGTATTGGTTAAATCTTAATCATCTAAATTTAATGCAAATTTAGTTTTATTGTACTGTAATTATTTATATTAATCTAAGATTCTATTAGTTTTTAGGGATTAAAATTAATCTGATTGACCTTCAAAACTATTTTCAATACAATTGTCTATAGATTGAGTAGAAATATTATTATTTAAAAAGTAATTTTCAGAACATGATTTCATTTCACTAGGTAATTGCATACATTGTTGAGAGAAATAAATAGTATAATTAAAATAATATTGAGGTTCTTCTTCTAATATACATTATTATCTGAGCATTTCTGTCAAGATAGTTTGTCCTGATACTGATTCAGAAAACTCTTGTAATAGATATATTTTTTACAACAATACTAACCTCCTCCAAAGCAATTTGATTCTGGTTATTTGTATTAATGTCTAGTGAAACAACTGTAACAAGGTAATAAGTGTTATGCTATTATTAGATTTACTAATATAATATTAAGAATTAGATTACATCCTTTTTGTTTGAAATCTAAGAAATATGATTGAAATTGTTCAAAGAATGGCAAATGGGAGTTGTCCATAAAATCTAAGCCAATAGTCAGATTGACATTTTGTCTTACATCAATTGATTATACCAATGAAATTAATATAAAGAAAAGCATTAAATTTTTATTAATGAACAATAGTGAATATATAGTGAAATTTGTCACAAGTTTGCCATAAGAATATTAGATTAGTAATAATGAAATAGCTGTTCAAGGAGATATGAATTAAAGTGATCTTAGTTCTCTAATTTAATAATTATTGTCAGCTGAGAACACAGATTAAGAATATAATTAATTATTCGATTTCTTTATAAATGGAATCAGTTTAAGATCTACTCTACATGAATTCATTACATCAAATGAAATTGCAACTGAAAAAACATTATAGATAGAATATTTATTTGCTGTACCAGAACCTAAACTTAAGCAAACTATAAATATGAATGATTGGATCATAGCAATAGGTAAATTAAATAATCAAATATTAACATGTTTATCTAATGGAGATATAGTTGTTTGTTCTGAAAAAGGTAAAATTTTGAAAACATACAAAACTAAAATGGCAAAGAGTTTTACTATTTTTGATAATATCATAATTTCAACTCATTGGGATTGTACTGTTAGAATTTAAAGACTTACAGATAATTTGGAATTGATAGCATAAGGTTCTTTACCATCATATGGAGAATGTAGTTGTATCAATAAAAAGAACACTAATGAATTTTGTGTTGGTACTTCTAATGGAGAACTTATTTTCTTTGATCTTAATACAGTTAAATAATAGGTAATTGAAATGATATAGAACTTTAAAGTTCATTAATAATAAATAACATGTTGTTAATGGATTAGAAATAGCACTATATTGACTGGATCATATGATCATTCCATTTGTATTTTCAATAAGAGAACAGAAACTATTAATAAATAATTATTTGCTAAAGATTCAGCTATCATTGGATTATGTTATTTAGAAAATAATTAATAAATTGTATCTGTTCATGAGGATGGTTATTTAAAGTTGTGGGATAGTTTGAGTGAATAATTGATAAAAATATATAAGAGCTCATTGTCTTAGTTGACTTGTATTGCTGTTAATGCTAATGGATAAGTTATAGTGGTATTATATTTTATTAATCAAATTTAGAGTTCTATGGATGGAAATACATACTTATGGGATTTAAGAGGAGAAGTACCATTGTATTAATTGAATGGAGAAGGTAAAGCATTTGCTTGTACATGGATAGATAATAAAATACTATTTGGAGGATCGACTAATAAATTATATGTGTATAATTGTTGATATATTTATTATTTTATTATTATTATATTCTTATCATTTATTATTACTATTCTTAATATATTAATTATTTTATTAATGAAGGCAGAAGTAACCAAGAGTAAGTTGTCAAAGGAAGAGTATGAAAAATTCAAAAGAGCTGAGAGAAGAAAGAACAATAAGAGCAAAAAGAAATGCACTAAAGAAAAGTAAGAAATTATAGAGGAGGTAGTCAAAGGTGATGAAGAGTAGATTATATATGATGAAGAGACCTTTCAAGAGATAGAAGTATATATCAGATTGAATATTGTAGATAGATGCTCTTATTACAGGAAAACATTATGACAATTTTAAACAGGTTTTTGATAATTTCAATTAACATACTGAAAGATTGATGATGAAGACATATGAAAAGGTTTATGAGAATGAAAAAGAAAAGGAAAAGGAATAAGAAGAATAATAAGCAGCTGAATAGTAGTAATAATAATAACAATAATAAATTCAATAATAAATACATGAACCTAATTAAACAATTTAAAATTATTTATAATAGGGAAAAAAGAAAGAAGCTAAATTATCAAAAAAATAAAGAAAATAATTAAGATGGTTAAAAGTAGCAGAATTAAAATAGAAAGTAAAGAGACCAGATCTTGTCGAATTTTGGGATATCACATCTCCAGATCCTATGTTTTTAATTTAATTGAAGAGTGTACGTAATTCAGTAACTGTTCCTAGACATTGGTCATAAAAAAGAAAATATTTGTAAAATAAAAGAGGAATATTGAAAGAACCATTTTAATTACCAGATTATATAGAAAAAACAGGAATTGCAAAATTGAGAGATCCTTTTGTAGATAGAGATGGAGGTAAGATGGTTAGATAGAAATTAAGAGAAAGAATGAATCCAAAATAAGGAAAATTAGATATAGATTATTAGATATTACATGATGCTTTCTTTAAATATTAAACAAAACCAATAATGACAAAACATGGTGAAATCTATTTCGAAGGTAAAGAAGAAGAAATGAGAGCAAAAAACTTTTGTCCTGGAAAAATGAGTGCTGAATTGAGAAGTGCACTAGGATGTACTGATTTTTAAGCACCTCCTTGGTTACCAAATATGTAAAGGTATGGACCTCCTCCAAGTTATCCTCATATGAGATTTATTGGAATGGCCAGTATCTTTGCTGAACCTTCTTCATATCATACTTCTGTTAAATAAGTGATTGAAGATTCATGCAAAAAAGCAGATTAACCAGGACTATATGCTACATTTAAATATTATGATGAAGAGGATCTAAATGAATTATCATAAAAAACAGGATTATAAGCTGATGCACCTGTAGATAAATCATTGTGGGGCAAAATAGAAGAAGTAGAGGATGAAGGTGAAGTAGAATAAGAAGAAGAGGAAGAACCTGAGGCTCAATAGAGATAAGAATAACAATTTGATAATTCATCATATCAATTTGGAGATTCAGAGACTCGTCTTCCTGGTAGATCTATTAGTGGACTCTAAACACCAGATGTAGATTTGAGAAGAAGTAATTTATTTTAATAATAATTATTTAGATTTACAGAATGATCCAAGACCTTTGTATTAGTAATTGGAATAAGTCCAGGTTGATCCTAGTAGTGGAAACTAAATTTTTATGACAGGACATACATATGTATTGCCAAAATAATGATTATTATTATTACAATAAATAATTCATATTGGGATTTATGTTTCATAATAAGTACTATATTTAAGAGTATCTAATAGAACTGATTATGATAGAGTTGTTAAACGCATTCTCTCCATTTTGATTGGAATATTTCTAACAAGTAGTAATATTGGATAGAAGTGTATTGGCAATAAAAGTTAATGAAGGAGTATTTTTGGCAAGAGAAAAATTGTTAAATTCATTACTTTTGAAATCAAAGAGTATGATTATGAGATTGATACTGATTTTACAAAAGCTGTTCCTGAATTTCATTCCTGATGCAAGATTATTTGTTGAATATGCAAGAAAGGAATCGTAATTTAATTATGGTGAACCATTTAAAATGAGAGTAGTAATATAGATAGTTTATGTTCTTGCAATTGATTTTAGGAAAGTGATTCAACGATAAAATAAGAATTTCCAGACCTTAAGGGATAGCCTTATTTATTATAATAGGTTCAGATCAAGAACCTTAAATCTATTAAACAAGTAAATTACTGTTTATACACAAGATTCGACATGAAATAAGATTTAATATCAAGCAGAGAGGATGCTGATGAAGAAATTCATAGTATTATGAAAGTATAAGTATAATAAAAATAAGTAATCTGAAAATGTATTTAAGGATTTAACTTTAGAATATATTGAAAAAGATAAGTAATTTAATATTTGAAGAATATGATGAAAGAATAAGTAATTCTTAGAAAATTATAAAAATTTAGAATTGGCAGTAATTACCATTTCAGAATAAAATTTATATAGAGAAATAAATGAACAGATTAGATTTAATTGAAAAGTATGAAATAAATGAGTATAATATAATCAATATTCAAAAGTCCATTAATAATTTAGCTCTCTTTCCTTTAAAAAAGTCATTGAAAGTTTAAAAATGATGATCTTCTTCTATTTTATAAGGTTCAGAATAATCAATATCATCTTCAAAAACAATCCTTTTTGTTGGAAAATATTTCTTAAATAACTGTTTACTAGTGGAGGCATAATTTATAGCAGTCTTTATCACTTCCTCATTTTATATGCATTATTACTGTCCTGGAAATCCACTTAAATTATATTATAGAAATACCCAAATCTTGCTTTGTACAATTATAAAAATTATCTTATTGATGGCTATTAGTCTTCTAAAATAATTTTTAAGACTCTTAAATCTGAATTATCATCCCAAATTTCAAATTCTTCTTCAGCACTTATATTACTTTCAGATGTATAAATAGATACAAGTGATGGAACCTATTGATAATTTATTAGAGTATTTGAATTAATTTGGCAATCCAATTAACCCTACTAATCATCTAGACTATCTTCATCACCTAGATTCTATAAAAATATGGTTTATACTAGAATATTCTAATAGTTATTCTTATGATTGTGATTTTTTATTTGGATATTTTTCTATTGGCATATATTCAAAGGTTATGAAGCAAATATTCTTTATTTCAGATTCAGATTAACTTTTTCGTTTTCTTGTTTCAAATATTTTAGTTTGATTCATTTTTAATTTATTATTTTGCAGAATATTGATGTTTATATCAAAAATGATAATGGAATTCATAAATATTAAAGATATAAGGGATGATATTTTATTAAATAGTGAATTATAAATTGATAAAGGTTCAAATATTTAGGTTTAAAATATATTTTATTAAATGATTTATGTATATATAAACAATATTATATATCAATAATTCATTAAGTTCTTATTATTATTTAAAATGTCATTCATCAACTTAACTTAAAATGTATTAGGAATCTTAGCTTATGGAAGATTGGGTGTAATTATGTCTAAATATGTTTCTGTAGATGCATTTGATTACATCTCTCTTTATTTCAACCATTTTTCATAATATTCATTCTTTTATTTCTTTTTTCCGTTATTCATAATGAAGTATTCATTACATTAATTTTTCATACGATTTTCAATAGCCTATTGATGAAATCTATTATTCTAAATACCTAAGCTGTTCATTAGATTAATTAATATTCAGTTTATTATAATGTGAATCATACTAAGTACCTGGAAATTTCAAAATCATTTAATTAAAGCTATGAATTTCTCGAATATTATATTATTACTAAAGTAGAAAGAATACTATAAATGCTCAACAAAAAAAGAGAGATTTTTTGGATAATATAATATTGTTGATTAAGTCAACAAAACAATACAAATAATATATATTAATAAATCTTTATATTTAAATAACTTTAAATATTATATATGATTAATATCATTAGAAACTCAATGAATATAGAATTGTTATAGTAATTATTTTTATATAATAATAATATTCAATTATTTGATTCCTTTTAGAGAAACTTGATTTAATATTTATCAAATTCTAGATATAAATTATAATAATATCTGATTCATTATATATTGAAGATTTCATATTATTTAAATAAGGAGGATATATAAATATATATATGCATTGTTGAAAGAGAGACTCTTATCATTATAGTCATCTCTTTTTATAATATTAAAGAATGTTTTATACAATATTTAATTATAATGAGACTGTTAATTATTTTAAATTGCAATGAAGCATAGAGCTGCAACTAATAGTTTAAATCAAAAGGAGAATGAGAAATGTATTGGGAATCAATATGCCCTCAAGTATCGACCACCCTTGCAATAGGATTTACTTATGAACCTAAAGAATCAGCAATTGAAGAATTTGGATGCAATTAGTTAAATACTGCAATCTAAATTTTGTAAAGTAGAGAAGAGAGACAATGTTGAATACTTTAAATTTGATTTTAAAAAACAGAATATTTGTGATAGAGTAAAGTTCTTAATCAATCAACCAGATGATGATACAAATAAAACTGAATAATTCAAGGCATAATATAAAGTGGGCAGTCGTATTGGTTAAGGTGCATATGCTACAGTGAGAATTGCAATATAGATAGAGAGTGATACAAAAGTGGCAATAAAAATATATGAAAAAACTAAGATTAAAGATTTATAGAGAAGAAAAGGAGTGAGAAGGGAAATAGAAATATTAGAGAAATTAGATCATCCTAATATAGTTAAGATTCTAGATACTGTAGAATCAAATAATCATGTGAATATAATATTAGAATATGTTAGCGGTCATTCATTACACCATTTGGTTAGGAAGTAATTGGTAATATATTAATTTAAATCTTAAGGAAAAAAGATTAGAAGAAGAAATTGCAAAAGGAATATTCAAATAAATTTTAGATGCAATTTAATATTGTCATTCCAAGAACATTGCTCATAGAGATATTAAATTAGAAAATATCTTATTAGAAGGGCTCAATCCTAAATTGATAGATTTTGGATTTTCAACATCTTTCCCTATTGAAAAGAAAGTGAAAATGTTTTGTGGTACTCCAAGTTATATGGCACCAGAAATAGTTACAAGATAAGAATATAGAGGAGACAAATCAGATGTATGGGCATTAGGAGTAGTGTTATACACAATGTTATAAGGTGTATTTCCATTCAAAGGAGATACTGATTCAGAATTATATAATAAAATCTAATCAGGTGAATTTACAATCCTTCATGATATATCTAAAGAAGCAATTGCATTATTATATGGAATGTTGACTATTGATCCAGATGAAAGACCTACTGTTGTAGAATTATTGAATTATCCTTGGTTTAAAAAATAACAATAAAATTAAGAAAATGAAGATATCAAAAAGAAACATAAATTACCAGATGATTTATAAGAAGATCTAAATACAATAACTAAAAATATGTCTTATATTACTCCTACTAGTTAAATTAAATAATAGCTTTATTTTGATTTTTCTCATTTTAAAAACAATTCTAAATAAAATAATACTAAAGTAATTATTTACCTAATTTAGGCTATTATACCAAAACCTACTTATTTCACTACTACAAATGCTTAAACAAAACAAAGAGAACCATAGTTTTTTAAAGTTGATAAAATTCTTACAAAAAATGAACGACACACAACTACACATTCTAAAGAAAGATAACCTACACTATCTAAAGAAAGATAATCATCTTATAGTTTTGAATCTAGTAGAGGTTTGTCTTAAAAAAAGAATCCACATTAATTGACTGTTCATCCTAGTTTCATTCCTAGTGAAAAGAGCTTTAATTCTGTCAAGAGTCCATCAGTAGGTATGACAGAAAAACGTTCTTTCAATTTTTTTTATAATTGATTATATTTCAAAGGTATTGTACAAATTATTACATACATTTTTTTTAATTTTAATTAAATTCCCATATTGAATACTTACCTAATAATTAATTTAAAATGAATTCAATAACATTTAAATGGGAAAATAGTTCAGAAGTTTAAACGATACAAATATAAGGAATCAAAATATAAGTAAGAGACCTAAGAATAAAAATTGAATAAATGTTCAACTCTAAAAAAGATGATATCCAAATGTTATATGAAAATAAGATTTTGAATATTAGTGATGAAATTAGAAACAAACAAATGATAATATTAATTAGAATTCCAAAAAGAAGAAATATTTGTCTTTCCTGTTTCTCTAAAGATTTAGAGATTTTAACTCCTTGTTGTTAAAAATCTATATGCTCTACTTGTGAGAATATATTTTGTCAGAAATCCAAATGTTTCTTTAATATCAATTCATAATGTCATTATAAATACACTGAATCATTTCAAACATTTGTACCAGAGCCTTCCTGTAATGAATTTATTACATTCAATTCTGTCTTCTACCTTATGAAATCAAACAAAAATAATTTAGCTCATGCTAAAAGATTCTCTGTTTGGACAGTCAAAGAAATTACATACTTGAAATTAGCTTAAGAATGTAATATTCCTGCAAATGTTATATTGATTTTTATTAATAATGATGAATTAGTTGGTTGTGCTAAAATGATCAATCAACTTGTCGTATATGATTAATAATTCCCAAAACTTAAGACTTTTAAAATTCAATGGCTAAGAAAATAGCCATCCATTAAAACTATATATGATTTTCCATCTCTTGAATTATATGAGGGATTTAAAATTCAACATGGTATTGCAAAAGCCATATGTCAATCCTTTCCAATTGGATAAATGTAAATTGAAGTTAAATAACAATAATCAAGTACAGCTGATGAATGGGATCTTGATGAAATATTGAAAGATCAAGAAGAAACTATAAAAAAAGATGAATAAATATAACCAATTATAATTAAGACTTCTGATTTTTGTTAACATAAATAAGAAGTTAAAGAAATAAGTAAGTAAGAAGATAAAGAGACAACTAAATAAGAAGATGATACTAAGAATACTAATCTAAATATTGTTTAGATTATATAGACAACATAAGAATTATTTAATAAGATTAACAATGGAAAAATACCAGGGATTAAAGGTGATACTAAATATACTCATCCAATTGTAAAATAATTATGTTATAATCTTCTTTCAAATACACTTTTAAACAATAATAATAATAATAAAAATTAATTAAAAAAAAGAAAATATTCTAGAAGTAGTTCCAGTAGTTCAAGTAGTTCCAATAGTTCAAGTAGTTCTAGTAATGAGTCTTTTATATCAACATCAAAAAAAAGAAAATTGTTTAGTAATAAATAAAGTAAATTAAAAAAAGAATTAAACTTAAAAAAAGAGAAAAAATAAGAGAAATGGAGAAGCAATAACAAATATACATTTTATGAAGACAAATTAAAAAACAAAAAAGATTTATAAGCATCAAAAAATTAAGAGCAATAATCATAACATGATAAATCTAGAAATAAATCAAGAAAATGAAAAATAAAATGTGTTTTTATTTCTAAATTATAAATAATATTTATATTTTTTCAATTATTAATTCTATAATAAAAAAAAAATTTGTAAATTAAAATTATCTTAGTAATATCATTTCTATAAATTAAAGTAATATTTTTTAAATAGAATTAAATATATAAGATTGCTTTTAATTTCTCTATATTAATCTCTGTTATTATTAATAATTTATAAAGGATTAATAAAATTAATATATTGAACAATATTTTATGATAAAATTTATTAATCTTTTATTCAACTAATTTAATAGTTATTTTTGATATTTATTTCTTGTTTATTTATAATTATAACTTTGGAGAATCATTTTTAATATTATTGAAATTAATATAAATAATTAGTGATTATTCAATAATTAATTAATATTTTTATTTTTGTTTGTTTGTTATGAACGGGTTTAATAAATTAAATATTGTGAAATATTATTTCGTTGACCTTAATTTGAATAAGATATAAAATTTAATTTTCTATAATTGCTATTTCCATACAATATGTATATGTTTAGAACATATTTAGGCTATGATCATTTTTATAAGAAATTTAATTTAATTTTTTGTAATAATTATTTATAATAAAAAATAATAATCTGATAAATTCTGGAACTCAAATTTTTGTTTTAATAATTTAGACCAAAAGGAGCTCAAATTCTTTGGTTAAAATTTGCATTACTTATTAGAGAATAATTTGTTAAATCCTTATTAAAAAGATAAAAGAGAACTTATAAAATAATTTATTCTGCGTTTCAAATTTATAGAATTAATAAAAAACAAAAAATATTTGAAACAACATTTGTTATTCATCTAAAACAAATATAATAATATATTTTCAAATATTCCAAATAGTTGAATAATTATATGAATAAGTCGAAATGGGAATGTACGATAATTCAGATTACTATTATTGATTAATAAATTTTTACATGGTTTGAATCTAATTTAATAGAAGGTTGATGCCAATTAAATGGCATACTTGAAATTATTTATTATTGTTAGAATAGAGATCCATTTTCAAATATTTTATCAAATTGATATTCATTAAATGCATTCTCAAAATTTGTATCAAAATCTATGTATGTGAATTCTAATTTTTTTTATTAATACAAAAAGATGGGTTATTTCTTTTAGATCTTTTTTAAAATCTATTATTGATGAATTTCATCATAGACAATTTTTGTTTTTTGGCCATTATGTTTATTTTTTGTCAATTATTTATTTTCTTTTCTTGTAATTTTATTTAATAGGTATATTTAACTAAAAATTATTATTTTTTAATACTTTTCTTTATCCAAATATGATGATATTTGCCTAACTTTTTCTCTAGTTTCATCATTTATTTATTCTCCTTAAGAAATTGATTTATTTTGTCTAATGAGATTTTGAAAAAGTTCTTTCATATCATTTTAAATATTAATTTTCTTATGGTCCATCTCATTTTCATTACAAAATATACTTGATATCAATAAAGGTTATAATTTTGATGTAATTATTGAACCTACATAAAAAATAAAAGTGTATACTTTCAGTTGTTTAAAATGTGGCTTTTAATAATCTCCTGAATACTTTTTTAACATGAGCATAAAATTTATTCTTTATATCTTAATCTGTTCTATGATTAAGCTCTTAAGCAACACAAGTCTAATTATTCTTAACTTATACCCATTTGTTTCCGTGAATTTTTATTAGTTCAAATAGTTTATCAAGTTCATGTGTAGTGAGCTCGCTTTTATTGAATGAATTATCAAGGTGATTGAAAAATCTCTCCCTACAAGCCTTTGTATTTCTATCATAGCCTTATTTTCTAAGAGATTGAGAAATTTTTTTCCAGCCAAGCCTTTCATTTTGGAATTTATGGACTAATTACTTTAAGAGTTTGTCTTCCTACTGTAAACATATTCTATACATTTTCTGTCCATAATATTCTTTTTTTTGATGAAGGAATAGATGAGTTCAGCATATTTATAATTAATAAGAATAAGATAACTAAATTATGATTATAAGTCGTTATCACATTATATATTAGAATCATTAAATATTAATTATAATATATATTAAGCTATATTTAATCAAACATATGTGTATCTAATTTCTTAATTTTTTTGATTTCTCAAATGATTAAAAGTATAGAGAGTAACTACAGTTTGTATGATTTGAAAACTAAGAATTTCGATGTAAAGTAGAAATAGTTTTTGTAAAATGACCAATATTACTAATGTTAATACACCTATCTAAGCTATTATTTGAAATTTCAAATAATTAGACAATCTTTGAAGTACAGATATTTTGAATGTCCAAGGAGTTGACCAAACATAAGATTAGTCAAATTTGCTTATTAATAACAATAGCAACCTTCCACAAAAAGTTAATGAAATAATATGGAGCATCTTAAACCAAATACTTTATTAACGAATTCCAATATACTCTGGATCTATCTTGAATAAATTCATGAAAACTATGTAAATTTATGATGAAAAATGCAATACAATTACTGAAATCATACAAAATCCATATATCAAATCCAGAGTAACAAAGAAATAAATAAATAGAAATATATGGATAATGTGTTCCATTATAGATGCTAAAGAATAAAATATTATAAAAGTTTCTGATTCACTACTCCAAAATTTGCGAGATAAAGCAAATAAAAAAATAAGAATTACTATTGGACTAATTATTGGAGGAGTAAAAACAAAAGAATCTTCTCCATTTTGAATAGCTATGTCTACTGTCTTATTAGTATTGATAGTATCATTATTTGAATGATTAGTATCATTTACATTATTACTATTATTATTATTACTTTAATTATTTACACATGTATTATTTACAATAATTTGATTTTCTTTACATATTAACTAACATGTATTATTCATTAATGTAAATGTGGATTTGCATGCAATACAATCGGTTAGATTACAAACTCCACATTATTCTATACTGCAACCATAATTAAAAGTATATTTTATATTTGATTTTTATAAAATTCTTCCTAATTCATTAAATGCAGTAAGATTAAAAAATTCAGAATAATTACTTATTGGATTCATAAAGGATACTTTAAAATTTAATACTTAATTTCCTTTTGCAATTATAACTTAATTATTGATATCTTCTCCATTTAAAGTAAAATTGCTTAATAATAAATTGTCTACATCTAATTGTAATTTACCATTGACAGGAATATCGAAATAAGTATCAAAAGTTATAGTGATATTATCTGTTTCATTTATTTAAGTATTTTGTTTAGTTATTTTCAAATTCTTAAATTCCATGATATCCAATTATGGTAAGGTCAAATTGCCATAAGCATATAAATATCCATCTCTATAATATCCTACTTCCCAATAATTTTATTCTTTATCAAAGTATTAATTAGTCATATTTAAAGAATATTATGTTTAATTGATATACATAGATGAAGCATTAATTTTATTTTCTTAATTATTTGGCAATATAAATGGAGTTCTCAATATACCTTTATCTTACAAATCAGGAGCAATAGTAACTTGCCAATTACCTAAGGCTTATTAGTAATTATTATCAGTAATAACAGATAATGATAATAATTGTGGAATTGCTGACTATCTAAAAATTTATTCAGCTATCAAGCATTAATCTTTGTAGGCTATTATTGTAATAGTATAAGGCTTTACATTTTAAAAATTATTAGCTGAAAATTAAATATTGCTAACCTAACCATATTATAACTAATTTTCAACTGAGATGCAATCTTAACATTTTAAATCGGTTAAAGTAGTTGAAATATAATATTTAGTAATTTATGTTGAATCCAACCCATTAATTGTAAAAACTGATTCTTCTCCAATATTAAAAGATGATGTACTTAATGTTGAAGCTAATTTGTATTTAACTAATTATGGAATTACTTAATTAGATTTTGCTAATTCTTAATTTTAATATATGAGTTTAGTCTAAAATTAATAAGAATCACAACCAGGTAATAAGATCTCTAATTTTATTATAACTTTATTTAACTTTTATTCTAATAGATTAGATTTATAAATGTTATTAATTTAAGAACAATCTACATCCTAAATTTTACAACTATTTGTCTAATATGAGTTTATCAATTCAATATAAAAATTACTAAATTGTTAATTTAATTACAAAGATAATATAACTAAGGCATAATTTAACATTATTGTTGTATTCTAAGACATAGTCATTTATATATTATCCTTAACTGGAGTATATGAGATAGATCTTTTGATGCTATCATAATTATTTAGAGTAACCTATACATCAAAACTAATAGTATTCAAAGAAAGAGGATTAATAAATTGTTAAAACAATGTATTATGACAATTAGATTCATATGAAGTAACATAATTAAGTTTTACAAGTGAAGTAGTAAAAATAAACTTACTCTATTCATCAAGATTGCATATTATAACTTTTATTGCTGTTGGCATTCCAACTACTTAATTTTCTGTGGACAAAGTATAATCATAGTTACTATTTATTGCTTAAACTACTTAAGATGTTGAAAACATTGTAATATATCCATTATTAGAGTCTAATATCTCTATTTTATAGTTTATTGGTTCATTAGATTTAATCATAAATTTCGAAATAGTTATAGAAGATTTTGCATTAGATAGTAGCTAAGCATTAGTGATAATTATTTTATTATCTTAAAGTATTATGGAGTCAAATATTATCCCACTTAATTTAGCTTAATTATCCATAATTCCATTTGTAGTTATTATTAATTGTGATTATGTTGGATATGTAATTGAAGTGCCATCTATGTTTATTATCAATGGAGCTTATATATAGGTTGTAGATGGTTAATTTATGGATATTGGCAAATTTTTCAACTAAAATTTTAGTTAGACAACCTCTGTAAAAATCACTGATTTTGTAGAAATGACTGAAGCATTTAATTATACTGGATCAGTAAATGTAGTTATAGGATTGTTTACATTTATAAATATAATTTGAAAAGTAGGTGTGGCAGATTTAAAAGTAATTATAAATTTACTGTAAACTAAATTACAAGCTCCATTGGTCAAACCTGTTACACCACATACAATATTTTCTTAACCAATTATTTGTTTAGGTAATTATACATCTACTTATATATCTGAAGATGTTGGAAAAATTGCAGTGATATTAAAAGTAATAGTATTAGCTGTCTATTAAATTGTGTCATTCTTCTAATCATAAACTATAATGACTGATGCTAAAGAGTTAATTAGTAAAGTGCTTAAAATTGTTAAAAGTGGATTCATAAATAATTTATTATCATCTGGGAAACTAGAATTTTTATATAATACCGACTGCAAAATTTAGTTCACTTTTTATTTCACTATATTTATTTTAATAAAAATATTTATAAAGCACATTTATGGCTAATAGGTGCTAATTTGAAAACTCTAATGATATTGGTGTTTTTTCCAAACTTACAAATGCATATTGTTTAGTTGCATTAGGTGGAAGTGAAAATTTCTATTCTGTTTTTGAAACTGAATTAGGATTGAGCATGCCCGTAATTCATTGTTCAATTGGAGGTACAAGAATTATTGGAAGACTTACTGCAGGTATTTGAATAATAAATTATTCAGGAAACAAAAATGGACTTCTAGTCCCAAATACTTGCACTGATTAAGAATTAAAATAGATAAGGAATTCATTACCAGATGAAGTTAAGGTATTATAATCAATCAATATATAGGTTAAAAGAGTAGAAGAAAAACTATCAGCATTAGGAAATTGTGTTGCTTGCAATGATTATGTTGCATTAATTCACTCTGATTTAGATAAAGAAACTGAGGAAATTATTGCTGACACACTTGGAGTTGAAGTATTCAGAACTACAGTGGCATAATAAGTCTTAGTTGGAACCTATTGTTGTTTTAACAACCAAGGAGGACTTGTTCATCCATTAACTACAGTTGAAGAATTAGATGAATTAGCTAATTTACTATAAATTCCATTATGTGCAGGAACTGTTAATAGAGGAAGTGATATTATTGCATCAGGACTAATAGTCAATGATTTTGCAGCTTTTTGTGGTATTTATAACATTAATACCAATAGGTCTCGATACAACATCAACTGAAATTACTGTCATTGAAAAAATATTCAAATTATAGGATAAGAATAAATAAAATATGAAAGTATAAATTCGTTAAGACATGATGCAAGAATTAGAATGATCTTAGTTTATTTTTGTATATATTTACGCCAAATATTTTCTTAAGAAATAACCTTCTCAGATTTTTATGAATAACATTTTCAGCTTAAAGATCTTCATGATTTATCTCTGCTGTTAAGCATTCCTACAAAACCAGTCAAAAAAATAGGAAAAATAAAATCTTAAAATTCTTATTATTTTTTAATTAATGAAAAAAAATAATTAAAATATTACATGAAATTTTCATAACTTAATTTTGAAAATTCTTATAGAAGATATTTTAGGTTAATGAATATATGTGATTCAGGAAAAGTTGGTTTATCTTTTCATACAAATTTATTAGAAAATATAATTTCTTAAGAATGCCTGCCTACAACATAGTGGGGTTTAATTCTTCCTCAAGAATAGAAAAAAATAAGAAATGAATACTCATGATCTAATAATAAGCTTTTTTCTTAAAATTTTATTTTTAGTATAATGAAAGAAAATAGTAGTAAGGTGTTACATATTTTAGTATTTAATGAATATAGCTTAATTAGAATGTCAAATAAATGTAGTATGAAAATTTAAGAAAAAGAATTTGCAGAATTTCCATGATGGAGATTTATATATCCTTGTAAGTGTCATATTAATTAAATTAAGAATGTTTAAAAGTATTAAAAATTTATTTAATTGCGATTATATTTTAATAAAAGATTAGTCGTTATAGAACTAAAATTTGTTTTATTAAAGCTATTTCAAAAGCATTAAAAGGCATTCTTGTTAATTCTTGAATTTTTATTTGTTGAAATGATCAAAATTTGATTAATAATCAAAAATTAAAAAAAAAATAATAAAATTTTGCACTTACAATACCTTAATTTGAGGAACTTTATAATATATTTGTATTCTGTCATTTTGACAAAGCTATTCATAACATTAAAATTGAATATTTTTATGCGTTAATGTCTTATTTTCAGTTTTATTTATATAGCTTTTCTTTGTTTGCCTGAATACTTACAAGAATTGAATTTGTAAATAATTATAAATATTACCTATTTTATTGGAAATATTTGATGGAATCAGATTTTAATATTATATTAATAGCGATTTTCCTCATTTAATTTCTTAAGTTTAAGCTATAATCAAATATTCTTATATTCTATACGGATGCAATATTAATTGATTGTATATAAAAATATGAATTGATGTTTAATTTAATAATTTAGTTTCACAAAGAGCTATTTATATTATTAATTTTTTTTAAATATATAGTAAAATTTTTTTCTAAACTCTCAATTAATTATTCTCATTTAAGGAAATATTTTGAAACTAACAATTTATTCATCTACACTAAACAAATTACTCTCTTATGTAATAACATTCAAAATATCCAGGTCACTAACTAACATGTACCTTCATTCTCTTATTAATTAAAATTATGGATTTATTCTATAAATTTAATTATATTTTAATTTTAATTAAATAAGAAATAATTTGTTAATTCATGATTTTCATCTAGATATCCTTTTGAAAGTAGTTACTAATCATTTTTGAACAATCCTAAACAAAGAATTATTTATAAATTGTAATCTTAGAGATGCTTTTTTTCTCGAAATATAAAAATCTTAAAAATTAGAAGTTTACTCTTTGATTGTTTTCCATCTATAATATCATCTTAAAATGTTTTGTAGAGGTGATATTAACCTTATTGTAATTGGTCCTCAAATATAATATATACGAATCTTCTTTTTATCAAGATTAGAATAGAAAAAATTCTTCCTTTATTTGCAACATCTTAAAAATATTGATATATATCTAGAAAAGCATAGCATCTATTCAAATAATTAAAAGTAAAAATGATCCCAAGAACTTATTTGAAGTTTAGATGATAATTTATAAAGTTTTGTATTGAATGCTATTTTGGAAATGAAAACCAAGGATAAATTAGATCACAAAATGATCTCAGCTTCATAATAACAAATTTAGAAGATAAAAAAATAAAAGCTACTTAGAGGATTTAAAATGAAAAATTCAACAATTCATAAAATATAGAAAAGTATAATGATAGAGAAACAATTGGTTTCGAAAAGGTTATTAAGTTAGCTTATCATTATACATCATAAATGACTTCAGATTTTGGAACAAGGAATGTGTAATGGATTTAAAAATTTAAAAATTTTTTAATTCTAGTCGATTAATTAATCTGTTAGTTCATCGAAATGTAGTATAAAAAGAATTGTGAGTTCGTGAATTTCAAAAATAATCAAAAACGATAAAAAAAATGTTCAAAGTTATTGTTGTCTTATTTTTAATCACAACATTATAGGGTTCGAATATTAGAAGGCACCATAATATTATGAAAAACTAAGAAGGGTCATAATAAGTTCTAGCGGAAAATAAACATCATATTAAGAAGTCAAATGAATAATAGAAGACATTATTAAGTGATTAGGAAAGTCATGAAGAAGATTAAGTTGATTTTTCAGCAAAAGAAAGTTTACTTGAAAAAGATAGCTATAATTAATCAAAATAAAATAACTAAGAAAAACAAGATAAAGTAGATAGATAGGGTGTTAAATTAATTGAAGAAACTCATACTAAAGGAAGCAAGAATAAAGCAAGAAAAGATATTAATGTTGCAAAATAAAGTATATTATCATTAATAATATAGAAAATAATAAAAACTAAAATTTATTAGAAGAAAATGTAGTTGCTGATGGAAGAGCAAGATCAAATGAAGAATGGATGTAAAAGATTGCTAATGATGTTTCCACTATTAAAATGAACATCAAATCATAATTAGAAGCTGATCATATAGCCTTTGTTGAAGAAAATGTAGTTGCTGATGGTAGAGCAAGATCAAATGAAGAATGGATGTAAAAGATAGCTAATGATGTTACAACTATTAAAATGAACATCAAATCTTAATTAGAAGCTGATCATATAGCCTTTGTTGAAGAAAATGTAGTTGCTGATGGTAGAGCAAGATCAAATGAAGAATGGATGTAAAAGATTGCCAATGATGTTTCAACTATCAAATAAAACATCAAATCTTAATTAGATGCTGATCATATTGCCTTTGTTGAAGAAAATGTAGTTGCTGATGGAAGAGCAAGATCAAATGAAGAATGGATGTAAAAGATAGCTAATGATGTTACAACTATTAAAATGAACATCAAATCTTAATTAGAAGCTGATCATATAGCCTTTGTTGAAGAAAATGTAGTTGCTGATGGTAGAGCAAGATCAAATGAAGAATGGATGTAAAAGATTGCCAATGATGTTTCAACTATCAAATAAAACATCAAATCTTAATTAGATGCTGATCATATTGCCTTTGTTGAAGAAAATGTAGTTGCTGATGGAAGAGCAAGATCAAATGAAGAATGGATGTAAAAGATAGCTAATGATGTTACAACTATTAAAATGAACATCAAATCTTAATTAGAAGCTGATCATATAGCCTTTGTTGAAGAAAATGTAGTTGCTGATGGTAGAGCAAGATCAAATGAAGAATGGATGTAAAAGATTGCCAATGATGTTTCAACTATCAAATAAAACATCAAATCTTAATTAGATGCTGATCATATTGCCTTTGTTGAAGAAAATGTAGTTGCTGATGGAAGAGCAAGATCAAATGAAGAATGGATGTAAAAGATAGCTAATGATGTTACAACTATTAAAATGAACATCAAATCTTAATTAGAAGCTGATCATATAGCCTTTGTTGAAGAAAATGTAGTTGCTGATGGTAGAGCAAGATCAAATGAAGAATGGATGTAAAAGATTGCCAATGATGTTTCAACTATCAAATAAAACATCAAATCTTAATTAGATGCTGATCATATTGCCTTTGTTGAAGAAAATGTAGTTGCTGATGGAAGAGCAAGATCAAATGAAGAATGGATGTAAAAGATAGCTAATGATGTTACAACTATTAAAATGAACATCAAATCTTAATTAGAAGCTGATCATATAGCCTTTGTTGAAGAAAATGTAGTTGCTGATGGTAGAGCAAGATCAAATGAAGAATGGATGTAAAAGATTGCCAATGATGTTTCAACTATCAAATAAAACATCAAATCTTAATTAGATGCTGATCATATTGCCTTTGTTGAAGAAAATGTAGTTGCTGATGGAAGAGCAAGATCAAATGAAGAATGGATGTAAAAGATAGCTAATGATGTTACAACTATTAAAATGAACATCAAATCTTAATTAGAAGCTGATCATATTGCCTTTGTTGAAGAAAATGTAGTTGCTGATGGAAGAGCAAGATCAAATGAAGAATGGATGTAAAAGATTGCTAATGATGTTTCAACTATAAAAATGAACATAAAAAATTAACTAAATGGTACTCAATTTGTACAATAAAACCATATTGATAGTGCATTAGTTGATGAATAACAACCTTAATCCTAAGATTATTGGTCCTAAAAGCTTAAAGAAGATATTATTAAAATTAAATAAGATGATTCTAATAAAAAATTGGAATGATTTATTCAAATAACAATAATAACAATAATTTTCTTAGTTTATATTTATTTTTATTTTGTTCTTTAAATTAAAAAAAATTCATTTTAATTATAAGTTTTGACATTTATAATTACCTAAAATTTATTTTTTACATTATTTATATCTATATAGCTAATTATTATAAATTATTTAATATCTATTTATACCAATCCCATTATAAAACCAATATATAATGATACTATTATAAATCAGAAAGATTATTTTTATGAAGTAGGATGGCTTAAGAATAGCAAATAATCTGATGTAAAATACTGAATTTAACGTATATAAGAATAAGAAGCAGAAAAATTAATAGTTACCCTAACAGTATTCAAAATTTTTTAACATCAATTTAGGAGGAAAAGAGATGATACTAATTTGATAGATTGAAGATTAAAAATTATAATAAATAATCAGTATTTAAAAAATGTAAATCTTTAGAATATCCAGATTTAGTAAAATTATGATATTAAAAAGTAAATTTTGGTTATTTCATTCTAAATTCAAATTTCTTTCTTCTAAATATACACAAAAATTATAAAGCAATTATTTTTCTTCTACTACTGATTTATAATTTAACAGTTTCGTAGCCTAAAAATATCAAGAATGTTTATTTAATTATATGGTTTGGTAACATAAGGCAACTATTACGTAACAAATAATGTGTCATCAATTTACAAAATATTGCCAACCGCAATTGATTTTTGAACTAATAAATTAGCCTTACCCATAAAATATTGTCAAAAATGATCAAATGTATAAAAAAAATATGATCAACTTATCTAAAAATATTTTATGTTAAAAAAATGCAAGAAGGATCATATATTTTTTCTCATCAAAACACTTAAACTTTACCTAAATTAGATTATTTTATATACTATGACAGATATAGATTTCCTCTTCTATTTGGGATCAAATGATTTTTCATACAAAAATGGAGTTGTATTTGAGAATACCATTGAAAATCTATTTAACTGTTTTTGACCCAATGAGGAATTTCTACAAATTAAAAAAAAACTCTGTAATTAAAATAGAGAGAAGCATTAACTACATTTTTCGCTGAATTTTTCGATTATTTTATTGATATGTGATATTCATTACCTTAGATTAGTTTTGACCTTTAAAATTTATTTATTTAATCAATTCTAATAATTTCCTAAGTTTCAAAAAAGTAATCCATAATATGTAATAAATATTCTAATTGAATTTATTTGTAACAATCAAATTATTGAGATTAAATTAATTTATTACAATTCTCTCATTATTTTTTCTATCATAAGATTTTCGAATTAATTGTATGAGTTCAAATGATTATATGTGTAAAATAATAGTTTAAAGCATATCAGTTTATTTCAATAGTAATAAATTGAATTCATTTTTGCAAATATAAAAATGATATTTAGTTTAATTGGATTGAATATATTAAAGAGTTATATTATTTTATCTTAAAGATAATTCTTATCATTGTTTATTGGAAAAGAATGAGAAAAATAATTACAATTTGAAAAATAAACATATAAACTCTTTTGTGTATATTATATATCTATTATCATTATCATTTGCTTGAGCAAACCATATAGGTTCCAATAAACATTAAAATTAATCCAATCCAAGTCTTTTACTTCAATTTCTATTTTTTTAAACGAGATTCAGTGATTACAGTTGTTGCTGAGTTAACACAATTCACTATAACTGGTCCTAAACTTAATGGAGTATGACCCAAAAGGTAGTAATAAAATATTGATGCGCTTTGATTTATTCCAAAAGGAATTATAAATTTATAATTAAGGATTGTTTGAATAAAGGATTTAAATCCAAACAGGTCCTACTATTTATTACCGACTCCAGATTCCATAAAAGGATTTGTTATTCCCCAAATTATTCCAACAACTAATAAACCAATTATATAAATCATAAAATATATTAATATTGCAATTTATGATTTTATTATAATAGAGAATATTATTTTATTTTAATAATATGATTGATAAAATAATCTAATAGAGACTATATCTATTTTTTTTAAGATTTAAGTTAATAATAAAAGTGAATTAAATAAAATCTAAAAACTATAATTATATTTGGTGCTGTTTTTAATGAAAATAATTGAACAAAATAGGATAAGGTAGATGGGATCATAACTTAATTATAAATCTTATGAATATAAAGCATAACACTTTACTAAACATCAATAAAATTTTATATTACTAAAATTACATCAAATAACAGCATATCCTCCTTCGCTTGATAACCCTCTAAATTTTTTGATTATCCCAAAAACTTTAATAACAGTGAAATTAATCCCATCTTTGACCAAATGTGGAAAATCTTTCCAAAAATGTGAATGAGGTAGTGCATCTACTCCACTAAGCTAGTATTATTTTTTATTGTAAGCTATTCCACCACCAAAATAAAGACCAGCTGCTAAAATAATATATAAAAGCATTGTTTAGCTTCCCCCACCTATGATAATTATAATAATTACTAGGAGAGGATCCTGATCTACAACCAGCTGAGTGTTAAATACCCAATCTTATATTGCATTTACTAGAATCTATAACTCGAAAGTTAGGTTCATCTTTTCCACATGTAATTTCAAAAGTAACAGATCTTGGACTCATTTACATTTGTTCATTATCTGCAATTATTTTTTGTAATCCACCATCATCTTTAACATCAAAACACATATCGCCTTATAATTAATTTAAGAATAACCTTGTTTGTAAGTTATGGAAATGCCTAATTCAGGATAAACTGGATTAACATAGCCAAATTCTTAAGTTTCTTTTAATCCTAAAACCTTTTAATTGATTTATGAATATACATCACAATTTTCAGTCACTTTTCCCATCACTTCAAGTGCTTCAAATGCAGCAACATCCCGACCTTAACATCGAACCGCTCCTGTACAAAAATTAAACTCGTAAACCATATTAAACATTCCCATGCCTTTATAAATTTGCTTAGAAAAGTTACTTGTATCAGTATCAGGTACTTGATAGTTATTGATGTTGTGAAGTTTTGAAATATCATAGGTATAACCAAAGGAATCGTGCCATAAACAATTTTTGTCTGTAGCATAAGACGTGGTGATTAAAAACAATAAGGAAAACATTATTTTATAATATTAATCATTTCATCTAAAATAACTACGGAAATTTAATTCATCAGCTATTTCCATGCTTTGATTCTTTTTGAATGATGGTTCAAAGTTCTCTTTTCCACATTTATTTTACACATTTTTTTCATGAGAACAAATATGCTTAAATGGTTCCTTAAACTATTATATACTGCTTTGCATATCAATATATGTTGGACTACTTTAATTTAATTGAGATTAAAAGTAACTTTAAAAAGATTCAATCTCACTTTTACTTATCTCTTCTGTCTTTTTATTCTCATTTGCATCCCAAAATTAAACATTTATAGCTGAAGTATCAAATAAGTATTTAGGATATTTAATAGGTTTAGAGGTTTTCAATTTTAAAGATTCCATATTTTCACCTTTAAGCTTCATTTCTTTTCGTAATTTAACTTTATATATATTTTACATCATAATAGAAATATTCTCTAAAATTTAATCTAAAGTTTCATTGTTTAACAGCATCATCTCATCTATATCAATCATATTATGATAACATAAGGCGATTTTTAATAATTTATTCCTTTCATCCTATAGATCTTTACTCAATTATTTATATTTTCTTGTTTTAGCTTTTTAATTTGCATATCTCTTTTTAGTTTAAATAACAGATTCTTATTATTTTAATTTTAATTCATTAACTTAATTTTCAATTGTTTATTTCACAGATTTCAAAATTATAAATTCTTCTTCTAAATTTTGATATTTCTTAATCATTCCAAAAGAATCAATAATATCCTATTTAATTTCAACATCTCTGCATCCTTTTTCTGGTACCCATAACACTCCAACACCATGGTAGTGTAAATGAGTCCATTAATATGGTAAATTTTTATTAATCATTGCTTAAATATGATCAGAAGTATTAAATTAGGATTTAAATATTTTTCTTTGTTCTTCAAGCTTTTCTATTATTTTTATCATCATTTCTTATTGTTATTTATCATCAACTCTAGCTCTTTGTAATTCCTCTATTTTTGTTTCATAATCCTTTATTACCCTATTCAAACTTTCATCATTATCAAATCCTACTATATTTTTGGAGACATTGTTTTCTATTTTTTTTGCATTTGTTCCAAATCGTAAAGTAGACAATGTTTATTCAAACTAACTATAACAAGGATTAACACAAAGGATTATGGCAGTTCTTGAATTACCTCCTAAAGATGATCTTAAAATCTTTGTTAAAGGTGAGTTTCGATAAGGAATATGTTGATCACTAAATATTGTTAAGTACTTACTTCCTTCCTTATGCTCTTAGAGATATAACTTAAGTTAAAAAAAACAAACTTTTATTGATATGTTTGGATTCATTTTATCTATCTTTATATTGAGTCCCACTTCCACCTGCAGAGGTTCCTCTTTTTTTAAGCATTGAATCATGAATATTAATTTTTTCTGAACCTGCCAAATCAACAAAATTCAGTATAGATTCAGTTATCACTGAATTTGGACCAATTGTATTAGGGACACATCTTACATACAATCTGAAAATTGTATGAGATCTACTACTACAATGATTCATAACAGTTGATGCATAATGTCTATTACTTTCTCCAAATTGAAGAATATCCATTATTTCATCTATTGTTGTTACTACTTCTTCAATTGCTCCCTTAATAACAAATTCTCTATTAAAATCTTCATTTATTAATAATGTTTCACTCAATCTCTCTTGAGTTGATAATAGATCATAAACTTAATCTGTATATATTTCAACATAACTGCATCTTAAAAAATATTATTTATCTTGTTGTCTCTAAATTTCTCCAAAAAGATCTTTGAGTGCTTATTTTAATATTCCTTCTTCTTAATCATATCCCATCATTGTGTAAGTCTTACCACTTCCAGTTTAACCATACATAAACACTGTTCCATTAATACCTTACAATGATGATAATGTAATTCTTTAGATCTATTACTAGTAAATAAATTTTGTGGTGTGTTTTGGATCAAAACATTAATCTATTAATATTTCATTGATTATTTATACTGAAAGTAAACTCTACTCTTTGTCCAGGCACAAATTTACGCATTCTAACTAAATCATTAAATCTGTCATTGGAAATTGTAATTGTGTCTTGATTTTGAACAGACCAAATTTCAAGGTCATTGTTATCTTTCTCTAAAACATTTGATGGCCTAATTCTAACTACAACCTAAATATTCTCCATTAATTTAAATTAAATTATGTTTTAACAGATTATTTTACAATTAAAATGTAGAAATTGTATTGATATTAATATTGCTGATAATTCATTAATCAAAAGACCTCTTCTCTAATTTCAAGGAATTCTGAGGCAGCACTCATCTTTTGAGTAAGAACTTCTTATAATCTTTCAACAACTTCCAATTATTATTCTCTTTCAAAAGTTTAAGCTTCATATTAGGATTCTTATTCAGCAGCCCATCTTTCTTAAATTTCCAATGAATCTTCAGCATCTTCAAGGAATAACTATGTTTAATTTAAGATCATACAGTTTAATCTTCTAAGTCTTCAACAGCTTCTTATATTGTGACTTTGAATTGAACAATTGAGTTTTCTAAGAAGGCCTTTCTTTCAACTAATCTCTTGTGTTCTTCTTATAAGTGACCACTTTAGACTTCCCAGTTTGCAGCTTATCTCTCTTCTGTTGCAAGGAGTGATGCTCTGCTAGCAACCAATTATTATCTAATTTAAGCTAAGAGTTCTAAGATCTTAATGATGCTCTTGTTATCAACCTTTGAGGCTAATTATGTCAAAGCATTGATGAGTGGCTATAATTTAGAATGATATTTAATACTTTGAAGAGAGCATGTTTGCTTTCCATTAATTTAGCTTAGACTTTTTCGAATCTGCTCTTAAGTTGAGCAAATGCAACACCTGCTTACAAATGTTAAACAATCTTTGAAGCTTCATCAATGGCATCCATTTAGTCAACATGTTCTGCATCCTTTCTAACCCATGTTTCGTGTTATGATTGTCTTGTGGCAGATTCGTCAGCAAAACTCTTTTCGTTATTGGCAATATCAGATGTGACAACTCTGACTTCAGCTTCAGCTTCTCCCAATGCTTCAGTTGTTGAGTCTCTTAAGTTTGAAAGAGCAACAATTTAAGTTTAGTGATAAGCAATTTCTTATTCTAAGTCAGCAATGATCTAAGATTGTAATATTTAACTATACCTTCTCGAAGGCAACTGTGTCACTTTCGTGAACTTTGTCAGCTTTCTTTTAATCTCCATTGAGTTATGAAGCAATGTTGTTTAAAAGGATTTAGATTTCTCCAACTGGTCCTCCTGTTGCCAATTAGAGTTGGAGGACTGACAATACAGAATTACCAAATGAATCTTTGTTGATTTATGCCAACACTTCCTTTGGACTTTCACTCTTTGCTACTCTAGCAGTTACCACTGCCAAGATAAGTGTCAATATAGGAATGATTCTAGCCATATTAAAATTATTAATGAATTATTATCACATCCAAGCAGAAGACTAAAAAAACCCGTTTTTTAATAATTTATTTATATTCATTTTAATTCCATTATAAATAACACTACATCTTAATTCTAAAATTATATCAAAAATATGTATCAATAATAATCAACATATATATTCCCATAAAAAATGTCTAACATGATTAAATATAGTATTAACTAAATATACTTATTAATAGATTTAAGATTAAAATAATAAATAAAAAATATGATTAGATATATACAAAACAACTGTCATTTTAACTAAGAAACTAGTTTAAACATTTTGTACTTTTTAGTTTATACAAAGTTAGTTTAAAGATTATTAAAATTTAATATATTAATATCTTTTTAAAGAAAATCTGTTCTTTCATTTTTAATTTCAATAATAATTATTATAAATAATCTAAATTCATATTTCTCATATTTAATAAGAGACTGTTGTAATGACATTTTTGTGATTAGATTTGAAAATGAAAAAAAAATCATAACAATCACTGAAACTATTAGAGATTAATTCTATGAAATTAATTATGATTAAATTTAATAATTAATTATTAATTGATTATACATATAAATTAAGAATGAAATGAATTCATCCTTATTTGTTATCAATATTCATAATTATGAATGTAATTATTAACAATTTATATTTCTTCATTTAAAATAATAGATAATATAAGAAAATAATATAGGAATCAAATATTAATGTGATATTAAGTAATATTGTTACTTGAAGATAGTTTTAAATTTAAAGATTAAAATTAGTCAAGTATTTTTTTATTTAATTTTTATATCAAATGCGTCAATAAACTCATAAAAACACTTTTTTAAAAACTATCCCATTTACAACTATATTTATGGAATCTTTAAAGTAATCTTCAATGTGGGTATCATCAAATACGATTGATGGGAATAGCTAATTTTAAGGTATAGAAGAATCAATAATTCAGGCAGGTTACTTTTAAAAGTTGATAATTAATGGGAATCAGTATAACTTAATCTACATCCTGAGAAATTATATAAAAAAGGTGTAGGATCTGAGGATTATACATCTTATTGTTAATTATAAGCATGTTTTTTAAAAAAATTTACTCATTTTGATCCTACAATGCCTAATTATAGATATGGAATTAGACTATAATTTGGATAATAATTAACTCATTTATTAACTGAGAATTCAGATATTTTCAAAAAATGGTTTCAGTTTTTAAGAAGATTTTGTATAATGGATAAATTTGCTAGAAAATATAAGGTTTTAGGTAAAATAAAGCAAAGTGATCCTGTTTTTGGTTAATGTTTATTTTCTTGTGTAAGAGTACAAGATGCAGAGTATCATATTGTAAAGGTGATAGATAAAAATGTTATAACAGCAACATAAAAACAAAATTTATTTAGAGAGATAAGTAATTTAAGAAAATTGAGTCATACATAAATATGTTATATTGTTGAAGTACTTGAAGATGAATAAAATTTATATATATTATATGAATATTACTTAGGGATTGATTTAAGATCATATATAAAGGAATCACAAATATATTAGATGGCTGAATAATCAACATAAGGATTGGATGAGAAATTGGTAGCAGATATTATATATGGTGTTTTATAAGCAATATAACATATGCATTCGAAAGGGGTTTTTCATAGAGATTTAAAAATGGAAAACTTGTTCATACCAGAAAAGAAGCGTTTACCATTTGTTGTATTAGCCAATTTCTGTTATTCTGAAACAACAGATTAAATTTAGTATAAGAAATGTGGAACTCCTGGATTTGTAGCACCTGAAATATTTAGGTCTAAAAATTATACAAGTAAAGTGGACTTATTTTCATTGGGAATAATATTTTATATTTTAGTTTATGGAAAATTACCATTTGAAGGTAAAGATTAAGAGGAAATACTTAGATCAAATGAGAGATGTGAAATAGATTTTAGAATAGAGTAAAATGTTAATATGATTAAAATAGAAAAAAAATATGTAAAAAAATATCTATATCTGGAATGGATTTACTAAAAGGATTATTGAATAAAGAACCAATAAAAAGATTATCAGCTGTATAAGCACTAAATCATCATTGGTTCATTAAAATGGGAACAAGAAATTAAAGAAATTAATAATATCTTTAAGTTTAAAGAGGGAAATCTTTGTCAACTATTATAGAAAATTCTGTAGATATTACATAAAGGTATATTATTTATATTATAATTTTAGTTATTATTAATCTAATTCTTAATTACACTAATCTACAAAAGATGATGACAGATTAGATAGAGTAGAAAAAGAATTTATTAAAGGTAGTCTATATGATAAGTTACTTCATTTTAATAGTATTTAATATTAACCATCTAAAATTCGTCGCAATTAATAATCAAATTGAATATTTAATATTTATATTTATAAATTTATGTTATAAACAAATATTTAGAAGATGTGAGTAAAAATTAATTTATTTATTAAATTTTAATTATGACATCCAAACTTCTGATGATTCCAAAAACAAAATTCAATCCTCGGTTTCATCCAACTTCTAGAGAAATCGAATTACTTAGTTAAGTCATAAAATTTGAGTAAAATGTTGATTCTAAAGTAAAATTAAATAATAATAAGGCATTTACTTTGCATGAAAGTCCTTTAAGTGTTCATGGGAAATTGCATTTTGGTCATTTTTACAATAAAGTGCATAAGGATATACTTAAAAGGTATAAATTACTTAGAGGATACAAAATTACACCTTCTATGTAATTTGAATTATTTGGACCATAAGTTGAACATGCTGCATTCTAATAATTAATATAAATGGGAACCACTTAAATGGAATATAATGAAATTGCAATAAGATAGATATGTTCAAAATATGCAGAAGAACAATTAAAATCATATTTGGAATAGATTTAAAGATGGGGTATATTGGAATAAGAAATAAGCTTAACAATTGATCCAAGATATCAAAAATAAGTGTTATATTAATTAGCTCATTTCTTAGAATAAAGTATTATATAGAGATATTATTATTTTAGATTAAATTATTAGAGAATAAAAAATAGTTATATGGTCTAAATCTAGATTTTCAGAAGTACCTCTTGATTCAGTTATTATTTCTTAAAGGGATGTTCCAGCACATGCAATTAAATTCAAATTTACAAGATTAAGTCCAAGTTTTAAGAAATTGAAATGCTCTTTTTATCTAGTATTAGAATTGCCATCACCTTGGAAAATTCCTAGTGCAAAAGCTATTAAATTAGTAGAACAAGAATGGTTGGTGATGAAAAACAAGGAAGCTCTTATAATGAGCAAGTAATTTTTTAATACTCATAAAGAAGAATTTTCAATGTATCAATTTGTTGGAACAATAGAAACATCTGATTTTGTTAATTTGACTGTAGATAATGGATTAAATGAATTTGTTGATTTAAGAATGATAGAAGGAGAAGAAAATAATATAATTTGTCCTGCTCATTAAATGGATGATATACCTATTGCAAAAAGATATAAACTTGATAGAACAGGTATGGTAAATGAAAATGGTTAATTGGTTTATGAAGATGAAGAATTTGATATTCTAAATAATGAAGCAAACTAATAAATACTTAAAGAACTTAGAGAAAGAAATAGAATTCTTGATGTAGTAAGTTCTGCATAAGAAGTATTTTATCATCATAAAATTACTGGAGAATAATTACTTTTAAGAAGTGTTCCAGGATGGTTTTTACATTTTGATGAAAAACTTATAGATGAATATAAAGAAAAATACAATTTGAATGAAATGAATACAAAATAAAATAATAAAGATGAAATATATACACCATATATAGAATTAATGGAAGCATTATGTGGTTAATGGTGTATAACTGAACATAATGTATGGGGAATTCCAATACCATTATTTAAAGCTACAACACCTAAGAAATTTTAGAAATTAAAAAATGGATATTTATTAAATGCAGATATAGTTAAATATTTTGCTGATTTAGTAGAAAAAAATGGTAGTGATATATATTGGAAATGGAATATTGTTGATTTATTACCAGATGAATATAAACCTTATGCTTAAGATTTAGAAAAACATACATGTGTTTTAAATAGGAATTTTAGTTTACCTCAATAATGTGATTTAATTTATGAAGGAATAGATTAAAATGAAGCCTTTTTATTTAGTAGTTAAATGATGATGATGTTATTTTAAAAGAAATTCAACAGAAAAATTCATACACATACTGTTTTATAATTCAATAAAGATAAAATTAGTAAAACTAATTGTTTTACATTAGAAAATATTATTGAAGGATAAGTTAAAGGAAATGAATAAAAATAATATGGAGTATATTATATTTTTATTATTTTTAGTGTGGTGTTGATGTTTTAAGGGCACTTGCCACATCTATTAATGAACATGATGAATTTTCATAATTTATGTTAGATAAAAAGAAAGAATAAATAAATTATATTAGAAAAATATATTGGTAGATTATTGGTTGTTTAGAAAATGCATCTGTTACACCTGTTGACTTTAAAGATTTACATTTTGTACTTATAAATTTATTAATATTTAGTTTGATTAATATATTTATCAACAATTAATCTTATTTGTTGCTAATATTACAAAAGCTTATGAAGATTATAATTTTGGATTAGCTTATTAATTATATATAGATTTTATGCAAAATTATGTTTCAATATATGTTGCTAGTACTAGAAATAAAATTATTGCATTTCATAGTGAATATCAAAATAGTTTGTATATCTATTACAAAATATATGATATAACATTAAATGTTATTTAACCAATATTATGTTTTAATGCTAGAGATATACATACTAAATTACCTACTTCATGGCCAAAGATTCCAGTTAGTCATTATTAAGAAGCATAATAAAATATTGTGACTTTAAGTTTATTACACAAATTATAAAAAGAGATTAATACTTAAATTGATGAAGTTTAAGAACGTATTAAATAAAAAAGTATATCAAAAAAATTGGAAATTGTTTTTATACTTGAACCTAATACTTTTGAATTTAAATTAATTGATATAGATCCTGATGAATTAGCATTATTTTTTGATTGTGGAAAAATTACTATTGAAACTGATTTTTTGAATAAGAAAAGACCAAATCATATTTGCATGTCTTCATTTTTTGTTAAAGAACAATTTTATCATCAAAAAATTAATTATCATGTTAAATTTTATCAAATTAATGATAGTTAATGTCCAAGATGTCTTGAACATAAACCTATTGTAACATAAATCTGTTAGGATTGTACAGATTATATTTAAATAGAAGAAGAAAAATTAAAATAAATTAATTGAAAATACATGTTTATATAATTTTATAATAAAATATTAATTCTAAATTAATAGATAATTCTTAGCATCTCATATTATTTATATATATATATTTTTAATTTATTTAAGGAGGGCAAATAATTTGTACTTCTAAAATATAATTGATTTTTAAGTAATAAAATAATATTTAAAATACAGAAAATCATTTCAAATCCATACATGACAGTCTTTTATTAGAAAGTCTTACAGTATTTATTAATTTAGGGTAGAATTAATTTGGGATTTAAATTTTTGGTGTCATTGGTGAGTCTAAACCTTCATTTCTATCCCAAAGGTCATATTCTATTGATTTTGATTAAGTATCAAGATTTTTCTAACTTAAATTTATTGATCTCAAAGATTTTCTCTCTATGGCTTATTACATAAACTTATTGTTTAAGAGATTAAAGGAATCCATTAAAAAATCTAATATAAATATTAATAAAAATTGCTCCATTTAAATCTTAATAAATCTTCATCAATATTAAGATTATAATAAATTATTAACTTTTTATTAATAACATATCTAATTTTATAATTTAGAGACTCTAATACAAATAGTATTATTAATTGTCCCATATATTTTTAATTTTTTATAATAAAGTATTTTTGATATGATATTTCATTAATTATACATTTTTTATAAACTTATTTTTCTCTTTATATATATTAAGATCTTTAAAAATTTCTATGTTGTCATTTTTACTTTCTCATTATATTTTCAATAATGAACGTTAATAATTATTTAATACAAGCATAACATATATTCATATATTCATTTGAAGAGATCTTCTTCCATATTTACTGTTTAACTAAACAATTAAATTGGCTCTTACGGATTTAGGTATTTTGTTTAAATTAAAATTCTCCTAATCAGATGCTTTTGTATATGATTGATTGAGATCCACATACAAAGACTAGACATTTTTTTCAATAAAAGTGTCTATTTATTACTTTCTGATTTATGAGGTGAAGTTTTCATATTGTCTTTTTTTCTTCTTTTCGCATGCTTTTTAATGAAATCGATTCTTTTCTAGACTAAAAGAGTTCATCAATTAATATTAATAATGGTTAGATAAATCAATGATAACATTCACTATTATAAACTTAATGAAAATTCTATAAATATAGATTAGATGGGTCATACTACTCATGATGAAGTAATGAATTACATAATAAAAAAACCCTAAATTTCAAGTTTAATTAACTTCTTAAATTATTTTTTATTTATTTAATGATATAATTATACTTAAGTTTCAGTTGAGTTAATCCTAAATTTTAAAAGATCTCAAATGATATTAATTCATTAACCTTAATAAATTTAAAATTGCATCTCAAAACAAAAACAATAGATTTATAATTATAACTGTGCAGATACTTTCATTTCTTAAATAAATATTTATTTCTTTATACATATTTTAATATTTGCTTTTTCAGTAATTTTCAAATAATAGCTTTAGTTAATTAAGACAAGTATTAAGAAATCCATATTTTAGTATTGAAGCCTATTATTAATATTTTTAGATTAACTTTTCAATTAGAAAATAATGCATTCTTTTTTTATGAATATATTTTGATAATCTTTATTTATTATGATGTAAAATTAATTGATTATATATTAAAAGTTATTATATTACTTTAAAAACATTAACGGAGATGTTTAAATATCTATTAAAGTATATTTACTTTTTTCATCTCTTCTAAAAATGACATAAAATTGTTGAAAAATCTAAATTAGATTTGTCAATTTAATAAGAATTAAACTCTACATCTTAATCATAATCAAAGAGATCAAATTTAATTTAAAGAATATTATAATTTAATTATTTCATAATCTTTCATATTACAAATCGGTTTTACTTTATATATAAAATAATCTTAAACCTTATATAAGAGTTTAACTTTTCTCAAATTTCTGCTAGATTGTAAAAGAAATCATAACTTAATTTCTTAAAATATAATTCTGAATTATCTTCATCAAAATTTATATCAATTATTATCAATATATATTAAAATTACTAGTAATTGAATAGTTTTTCTTAATTACAATAAAAGATTTCTTAATAATGAACAAAATTTTTGAAACATTGATTTATAATAAAACTAAATTAAAATTAATAGTTACGTTAATGGATCAAAATCCAATAAGCAATATGATTAGTTAAACAATTAATAAGAAATTGATATACATTTGTGAACATTGTAGAAAAAGTGAAATTCAAAAAAAACTTGGGTATTATTCATATTCAATTCAAATTGAACCTAAAAAGTAAAATTAATCTCATAAATTCAACAATAATCTTGAAGATAAAGAAAATTAGATGATAGATGTATTTAATAGAACTAAAACATCTAAGAATCAATCGTTAAAGAAAGTTGATAAAACTAGTAAATTAATTTTAGAGATTAGAATTCCTAATCAATAATAAATTTAATAGTACAATTAATTATAATAGAAGTCTTTTATTAAAAAAGATAACAAGTTAAAAAAATGATAAATCTAATGAAATCAGACTATATTTTAATATATTATATTATTAGATCTTTAAATTATCTTAAATATTTTATTAATCTTAGATTATATAGATTGTCATATAAATATTATATATAAATCATATAATAATGTATGATACTCTAGTGTTTAGTATTTTTGATAAAAATTAAGTTTTTAATATATAAAATAAATTTCCTAAAAATATATATGAAAAAATTCAGGGAATTGAAAAAGACAGGAGATGGAACATTTGGGGTTGTAATAAAAGCTGAGGATACTTAAACTCATGATTTAGTTGCAATCAAAAAGATGAAATAAAAATATCACAATTTTGATGAATGTACTAATTTGAGAGAAGTTAAGGCTTTATTGAAATTACAAAATCATCCCAATATTGTTAAACTTAAAGAAAGTATAAATAATTAGTAATTAGTTTTCCTTGATAATGATACTTTATGTTTAGTGTTTGAATTTGTAGAAAAAAGTATTTACTAAATGTATACTCAATAAAAAGAAATGGTACAATAGATTTATTAATTTTAGGGTAAAACAATATCAGAAGATTAAATAAAATCTATTATTTATTAAGTTGCCAATGGTTTGAGTTATATGCATAAACATGGATATTTTCATCGTGATCTTAAACCAGAGAATATGTTAGTCACCAACAATGGAGTAGTTAAAATTATTGATCTTGGATGTGCAAGAGAAATAAGATCTAGACCTCCTTATACTGATTATATAGCCACAAGATGGTATAGAGTATTATATTCAATTAATATAATAGGCTCCAGAAATTCTTTTGAAATAAGTTAATTATAATAGTCCTGTTGATATATTTGCATTAGGTTGTATAATGGCAGAACTATTTTTAAATAGACCTCTTTTTCAAGGAAATTCAGAATTGGAATAATTTAATAAGATTCTCTCAACTCTTGGGTACACTTTCTTAAATCAATTAGAACATTTACTTAAACAGAATGGCCAGAAGGATGTAGATTAGTATCTTAAATGGGTTTAGCACTAGCTTAGTTTTAGCCATTACAGTTATAATAATTAATTCCGAATGCAAGTACAGAAGCTATCAATTTATTAACATAAATGATTAGATGGGATCCTAATAAGAGAATTACTGCTACATAGATGTTGACTCATCCTTTTTTTTATAATATAGAGAAAATAGCACCATCATTAATATTTGAAGAATAAATAAAATCTAAAGATGAATTAAAATTCTTTGAGTCAGATAATAAGAATAAATCTTATAGTTAAAGAGATGAACCACATACACAATTCAAATAAAAATAATAATTTTAATAATAAATTAAAGATGATGATAGCAATGATTTGGATGATATTCTAGATTTTATTACAACAGAAAATAAACCAATCCCATCTAAATTAACAACTTAAAGTGCTAAAACTTTAGATTTTGGTGAATATATTCCTACTTAACCATTAAATCGATAAACTAGAAATTTATAATCAAGTTAATTATAAGAATAACATAAAAAGGATAATAATTCTATTTATGATTTTAGTCATTTACAAAGTTTTAAGCCAAACAAATAGCCAAATATAAATTCTAAATATTGATAATTTGAATTCTTGAATTTTATATAATTGCTTATATTATATTTTTATTATTTAAGTCTCAATTAAATTACTTATAAGTATTTGTGATTCTTCAATTAATAACAACATTCATTTTAGTTATTGTTCCTTATAATTTAAACTAATATATTCGGTTATCATACATTTCACATGCACATTATAATACTAAATTAAATATATATTTAAATATTGATAAATAATAAGATATTATAAAATTATGGGTAGTTAGTGTTAATGTCAAAAACCAGAACTCTAACTCAACTATGAAGAAGTCAATCCACAACACTCTAAAGTATTATAGGAATCTATTGATAATGATGATATCTTCAGTGATTTAATTCAATAACACTGTTCATTGTACTTATATTAAAATGGCTCTTTGCTTACATCCAATAAACCATTATCTCCTAGATCATAACATTAAATTTTATTTTTAGAACCAAAAGACTTATTTGATGAAGGGATAAATTATCAGCCCATTATTTTACAAGGAATTTTGACTTCAAGAAGTGACCAATAAGAATTATCATATGAATCTCCATAAACTGAATTAAATGGAAAAGACAGAATCAAAAAAAAAGTAAACTTCTTAAAGTGAATATAAAATTGACAATAATTATCAAAAATTTTGAACATCATCATATTTTATTAAAATATATATTCATTAAATACATTATGACAATTATATTGATAAGAATCAAAAATAAATAACATGAAATTTCAATCTTTAAACTATTATGATTAATATATCGATATATTTATTATAAACTTTTTTAGAGAATTAAAGTAGAACTTTCATATTAATTCAACAACTTTACTGTTTGTAAATGATTAATAAAATAAATTACTTATTTCAATACTTAACAAGACAAATAAATTTTATATTTAATATAGTTGCAATTTAAATTCAACCAAATATTATCAAAATCATAATCCAAGTAAATTTTGTTATCATCATCCTCAACATTATTAGTTTATAGTTGTTTAAATTTAATTAATAATTGATTTTCTAAATTTGCAAAATTTATACTATTTCAACCTAAAATTATATAATTAGATTCAATTTTAATATTTTAAATAATAATATAGATTATAATCACTTTACCCAGCTCTATTTTAAACTCAAAAATGTTTTAATTTAATATCTTATTATACTTATACTACATTTATTATTAATATCATTAGTTCTTAAATTATTTCATATTGTCTTATTTTAATCATAATTACTTGTAATTTATACCTCTAAATCTTAATACTTTCTATTATTTATTAGTAATTCGACTGCTTATGAGTATTAATAAATAAAACTATATTTGGTCTAATTAGAATTTGGAAGACTGAAAGGAAATGGAATTAATTTTTTAATGATCTTTATTGAATCATCTGAGTGAGTTCTTTGACATTAATTGAATATTTATCATTTTTATATATATTTTAAAATTTTGTTTTTATAAATTATTCTTTTATTTATAACTTCAACTTTCTTTATATTCAACATTCCAAATCATTTTATATTCGGAGTAGAGATTCTAATTTAATTAGGAACTAATATATATCTTATCATTTAAATCATATAAATATTAAATAAAAAAAATCATCCGAGGCAGGAGTCGAACCTGCAACCTACAGCTTAGGAGGCTGTCGCGCTACCATTACGCCACACGGACATATTAAGTAATTTACAGTTAGTCCATTTATAACTTGATTTTGTATTGTAATCAATAGATATTTAAAGTATATTGACATTTTATCTAATTATGGAGTACTTTTGAAATAATTTAAAGATAAATATATGAATTGATAATTAATATATTAAAAATATTTTATAATAAATATAAGTATTTTTTATAAAAATATTTGTGTCAGAAATCATAATTTTTATTAAGTAGCCTGTTGACTGAGTTTTTGACTGTCCATGCAGTACCTGATGATAGTGGAGCTTTAATAAAGTTGAGTGACACTCCTTTGTAAAATCCTTTGATGATTCCCTCAACTCTATAGATAGTTTTTATCTGCACCCATGTGGATCTTAAATTATTATAAAATAAAAAGTACGTCATTGTTTAAATCTCTCCTTGTTAGAGCAATACATTCTATCCTTACATCCTCTTCTTTACAATATCAAAGGGATAAGCTAGAACTTAAGCAATAATGGCTCCACTTGCCCCTAAAGTAAAGTCTGTACTTTTATGTTTGGCTATCCATGGATATTTTTCAAGCAGATATTCTTTCATCAATGTAAAAGAAAAGAAACCACTTCCATGATAAATTCCTACACCTATAATTCCTATAGGTAATCCAGAATAAAAGGACATGAATCCTTCAATTTTATAAATCTTCAGAGCTGCATCATAAATGTTTTTATAAAGGAAAGCATCTTTCTACATTGCTAATCTTGTTCGTAAAAAATCAAATGGGTAGGCTATACTTTATGCAACAATGCCTGAAGTTAATCCACATAAAAATAATCTAATTTTTCTTAAAATTGTCTTATCTTCTCTATCTGGAGCAAATCTACGTCTCAAATAATCGAAGGTTGAGAAATTCTATTATTTATTAATATGTTTTACAATGGCTGATTGTGGAAATATTCTTAATATATTGGCCTAATTACCTCTCCAAAAATTGATCAAACCATGATGTTAATACACATATATTGCATCTTGGATAGCTGCTTTATAAGTGAATTGAGTTGATCTAGTCTATTATCGATATGATAACACATCAATACCAAATATAGCAATTTGATTCTTTCAAATGGAGAGATTACAGTTTTAGCACAAACTCCAGCACAACCACCTTTTGATAGATTAAGATTCACTACCTGAAATAAAACTCGTCCAATAGTCTTTTTGTTTATTAGTCATTTATTAAATATGAACATAAATCAATCACTAAATTGTTAGAAGAGCTCAAAAAACTAATTCAAATAGGTTGATTTCAAATCTATTAGTATTTTTATTTCGAAATCAAGTAATCTAATTTAGAAGATAAAATTTGAGAATAATGAATATTCAATAATTTATCTATTATATATTTCTTCATTATTCTATTGAATTATTTATTTAGGTAGATATTAGATTTCTAAATACATTTAAATGATTTATATACCTTTCGTTATTTCAATCTCGGTTAAGGCTTTAAGTAGTTTTTATATATTTACATCCTTTAATGTATCTGCAATAATCAAAGGTATATTTATGTAAATATAATATTTAAGATAGGTATCATCATAAATAATAGTAAAATCATAATTTTGAATAGCACTACTCTTGGAAATATATATAATAATACAGGTTATTAAAAGACCATAACAAATAAGTTTTATTATAATTTTGCTAATGTTCCTAAATAATTACATTGAAAATAGAGTAAAATCAAATTCCTAATAATATTTCTATCTTTTTAATATGTAATAATTAATATTATTCATATATGTAATTCAATTAAGATTGGTTTTCATTATTGGAATTAAATTAAGATAAATGGATCAGAATGAAATAATACTTTTTAATGAGAATTATTTAGAAAACATTTAAGTTTCTTCTTAATGTTCCAATAGATTTAGTAGGTTAATTTAAGATTTTATTGAATTAACCAATTGGATTAGATTATAATTATGTTAATAATAATTTGATTATATAAATATATTTATATCCATAGATGATTTTGCATAAATGTATCACTTTTTTTATTGTTCTAATCCTTATTTAATGCGAGGTACTAATTCCTCTATTTAATTAATAGATATATGAATTACCTCTCACTTATCTAGCTTTTTCTCTGATTTACTACATATTTTTGCTTTTAGCATTTGCTCTAATTTTTTTGAACATAGGAGCATATTTAAATACATCTGGGATAACTACAAATCTGATCTGACTTCCTCTTAAGTATACTTATTCTAAAGACATGGGTCTACCATCTCTTGTTACCATTTAGACTTCATCCAATCTTACATTCATTGTGTCCTAATATATATTTTTTATTGATTACTTCTGCTTCTGCCATATATCCAGTAAACATTTCACCAGTTTTTAGTTCGACTGTGACTATATGATGAACTGCTTCATGCATAATTTTAAGTGGTACTCCTAAAGACATTACTTAATTTTTATATAAATTATATAATTTTAATTAATATTTACTATAATTTAGTGGAAACACTAAGATTTTATAGGGGGGAGTGAATTAAAAAATCAATAACTATTGAAATCAAGTTAATTTAGTCTTTTTTTGAGATTCTGATTGCAAATAAATATTAATAAATAAAAGATTTTAATTAAATAAAAATGGACAATAAGAAATGTTTATTTGAGAGATTTGGAGGTGATCAATAAGTTTCTGAACTAATTGATCAATTCTATTATAAAGTCCTCTTTGATAAATTATTAAGAGATAAGTTTCTCAAAGCTGACATGAGTCGTGTAAGATATCAATAGAAGAGATTCTTTTCTTAAATGATGGGTGATAAAAACACTCAATATACAGGCAGGTATCATACTGTTATCTAAACATTAGAGATTTGGTTGAGGTTCATAAAGGATTGAACATAACAAATTAGCAGTTCGATAAATTTAAAGTGCATCTCAAAAACATAGCATAGGATATGGAAGTAGGAGGAGCAGATTTGGAAGAATTACTCGATCATGTTGAAAAGTATAGGGAAACCATTGTGTTTAATAAGGCAGCGTGATTCTATAATTATACATTCACATAAACAATTTCATCTATATACTTTACATACGCATCATCATGAATGAGAATAATGAAAAACAAAAAGGTTCAGCAATTACATTGGTTTTAATAATAATAAATCTATTTTTTTTATATATTCTCAAACCTTTAATCATATATAAGAATAATCTACTCATTTAAACAACTCCATCTAATCTATTTCTCTTTCTTTATAAATACATTGAAATAAACATATCATTAACTAATTAAATTTATTCACAATATATAATTATATAATATAATATATATATATATTATATAATGTATTTTACTTCAACCTTTTTTTTTATCTAAATTCTCAAATTTTACCCATGATGATCCTGACTCAATACTTTCCAACTAAATTATTCATACTTATTATACTTACTTCATCAGATATCTCTTCCTCTGTATGTCCACTTCTTAACACTGATGTCCAAAAATTAAGCCATTCTTCCTCTGATATTGTACCACTATTATCAGTATCAACTGATTTAAATAATTCTTCAGTATTCAATTTAGCAAAATTACTCTTCCTATTCAGATTTTAAATTGCCTTATATACCAATATTTTATTGTTTCTGATTTTTCAATTGATTTAGAACCATCAACATCAAATCTTGCAAATAACTTAAGCACTCGATCTCTCATTTAAGGAGATAACTATTTGTAAATCTTAATTAATTTACTTCCTTTCCTTGAGTAGGACCCATTGTTAATTTTTATAAAATTTTAATAATGAGCTCAAAAGATTCCCTTCAATAACCTCTAATACAAGAATAAGAATCTAAAACTATCATTTTGGAAGATCGTTCAGCCACAGAAATGAATATGGAATAAATTGTTAATGATAGTGCTTTTGAATGGGGTTCTACATCACTCTTAGAAGAAAATAATTAAGTTAAGGTGATTCCATTCGTTGCTAATGAAACAATCCTTTATCGTAGAACACTCGAAAAGAATAATAAGAAGTTCAACTTTTTTTAAAGATGCTTCAAAAGTAAGAAATCCACAAATCAGGTTACAATGGCTTAAATCATAGACCTTAGATAAAAAGAGATATTTAAGGATTATGCCTATGAAACCAAAAAGACTGGATTTCTTACAGGGATGTCATCATATATTCATAAGGTAAAGGTGCTTGAACCTGATTCTTAGTTCTACATATATTGGTAAGTTCTAAATAGTATTTTGGTACTTTGTTTCTTCTTCCAAATTCCATTTATGTTAGCCTACCAACCATTAATTGATGAAAAGTATGCCTTCCATTATAAATGCTATGAAGAAGTGTCATTATATATAGGAATCTCTATATTTGTCGTCGACATAATAGGTACTTTCAATACAGCATTCTACAAGTAAGGATAATTGATAAGTGGCAGAAAACAGATTGCCTTTAATTATTTCAAGAGCTATTTCTTTTTAGATTTAATTCCTTTATTATGTTTGATAGAATATAGATGTCTATTGTTTAATGAGAAATAATTGGGATTCGAACAGTTTTTGTTTATTTTAAAAGTTTATGAAGTCAATAAAACTAGTAATATGATAAAGGAATATTTATAACTTGAACCTTCCAAACTAGCTAGATATAGATTACTTACTGTAATGTTGACAATAATATGGTTATGTCATTTATTTGCTTGTTTATTTTTTTTTGTTGGAAGACGATAGTTAAATAAACAATTAGGAAATGTATCATGGTTGAATCGTTGTGATGTGGTTACTATGAATGGAGGATATGAGGATATGCCAATATCTGAATTACATTTATACTCATTTTATTGGGCTGTAACAACAATGATATCAGTAGGATATGGTGATGTTACTCCAATGAATTTCTGGGAAGTTTTTGTGACAATTATTACTTAATTTATCTCTTGTATTGTTTTTGCTTATTCAGTCAATGCTATATGGGAAATGATTTATTCATAGAATGAAAACAAATAAAAATTTCAGTATAAACCAATTTATTTCATTATAGAAAATATGTGAATGCTATTTAAAGATTTATGGTAGAACAAAATGTAGATAGAAAATTGAAGGCACGTATTGAAGCCTATTTATTTCATTTGTGGTAAACTGAAAAGGCCAGAGATCATGAATTAGAATAAGCAATGATTCTTAAATTGGCACCTGCTTTAAGAGAGGAATTGATATATCAAACCTTAGGTAAAATGCTTAAACAGAATAATTTCTTCTCCTGTTTCTCATAAGATTTGCTTATGGAATTGGCATAAGAAATTTAGTAACAATATTATTCATAAGAAGAAAATATATTCATTGAAAATGAGGAGACAAATGACTTCCCTTTATATTTTTTAGATAAAGGATAGGTTGAAATCTTTTTGGATAGTGATAAAAGAATCAAACTACATATCATGAAGTATGGTATTTTGGGAATAATTGGATTTATTACTGGACATAGAAGAAGTGCCTCTGCTCGTTGTTTGACTTATTCAGTGATTTGTAAATTGTCTAGAGTTTCATTTCTAAAATTATTAGATAAATATGAAACTGATAGATAAAAATTTTATGAAATAAGACACAATATATTATTCAATAACGATTATGAGAATTTGAAATTACGATGTTATATTTGTGAAAGTAGAAGTCATTTAGCTATTAATTGTAAAAGAACTTTATATCTTCCAATAAAAGATTAAGTAATTTAATCTACTTATAATGTTTCAAATATTAGAGAAACAAGTTTCAAAAGGAGAATAGTTAAATAATAATTCAAAGCTTTATCTCATATTCGAGATGTTTAAGTTAATGCTTTGGCTATTAAGAAGTACTTTTAGATTACAACATTTAATTTGGAATCTAATGATGAGGATGATGAATATAGTTCAGATGTAGATGATTATGAAGAAGAGATTGAGAATATTAAAAAGATTGTTGAATAAGAAAAGGAGAAAGCATAATTAAGATAGAGAGGATAATGGTTAGCTGATGATAATTATGAGATGAAGATTGATGAAAATAAAGATACTTAAAGTTTAGAATTATCTGATGGTTTAAGAAAATCTTTAGTGAATATAAAGAATTCGGAAGAGGAATAAAATAAAGTTAAAAAGAAGAAGAAGAAATTTTAAAGTTTTGTAAAATTACCTTAACCAAAGAAAGTAAGGACTTCTTCAATGTCTAGTTTAACTCCAATTCAAGAATAAATTAAGAAGGTTTACAAAGGATAAAATAATAATTTATCTCCTAATACTATTTAAATACAAAGAAGAAAAAGTAAATTATTTTAAGGGAATGAAATTAATGATAAATAATTTGATAAAATTCCATCTCCTGAGAGACAACCAAATAATGAGTATAAGAAATAGGAATTATTACGAAAAATGAAATTTTTATAGATAGCTCAACCTAGAAATAAGGAGGTATCCTTAATAATTGATGAATTAAGGTAATATTCCCAATTGTTACTTTAGGAATTATATCACAAATAGTTAAAGTAATAATTAACCTACTAAGATTGAAAATGATGCTAATGATAATTCTGATGTTGATAGCTAATTTAGTATTGATTAGATGGCTAATTATGAATGTTTCTTTTAAGAAGAGAATCCTGAGAAAGTAATTAGAAAATATAAGAGAATCTTTAAGGAGAGAGTTAAATAGAGAAGAACAACTTTAATTAGATATTAGGATGAGTGATATAAACAATTAATTTTATTTCAAATGTAATAATAATAAATATTACCTCCATATACATTGACATTAAAAGAATTACTAAATAGACCTAATTTAGTAGTTGTATCTGAGGAAGGAATGAGATTTAGAACTGAAATTCGTGAAGATACTAGAAGTGCATCACCAATTCCCAAGAAAAGTAGTAATAAGACACTTAGAATTGACAAATAGATAACAAGTGGAGCTTTAAAGATAGGAAATTCATCATTTTATTTAGGAAGGTAAGAAGTAAAGTGCTTAATTGAGACAAAAAGATCCTTTATTAAATAGTAGTCATTAAAAGACCTAAATCTAGAAGCCTTATGATTAGAAATTAATGGAGAAATTAAGTAGTAAAATTTTAAGAGCTGAAACTCCAATTTAGACAATTTCCAATAGATTATAAGAATTATATAATGAAATTGATAAAAATAATAAAAAAATAACGAGATTTGAAGAAACAATTGATTAAAGCAATAAAGAGGCTACATTAGCTGTAATAGAATCAAAATTAGGGAAATTACATGAAAATTATTAAATTGAATTAAAAAGAAGAGAATGGACTCAAAAAGTATGATATTTTAAATCAAATTATGAGCATATTTAAGAAGTATTGAGATAGTAGAAATTATACAATTAAAGATAGAATGAATTGTATGATAGTAATTTTGAGAGACCTCGTAATAAAGAAATTGAAGAATAATATTATAAGGATCCAAAATATTTATTGAGAAAACAAATTAGATTGCGTGATTATTAGAAATATAAATATGAAGTAGAGTATATTTTGAAATGAATAGAAATATTGGAAATTGTAGCCAATAATTGGAAAACTTTAGTCCTGAGAAGAAATCCATTTAATTAGATATTATTTTATTATTAAAATATTTATTAAAAATTTAACGTATATATATATGAGTCAATTGGAACCATTTGAACATCATTACAATAATCAATATTAAGAGGTATTTGGATGTTGTCATTAAAATCGACATAATTATTCAGATAAAGTAATTTGTAAAGAATGTGGAATATTTTTAAATAATGTAATTACATTTCATAATATATAATAGCCAAATACTAGAGTATACAAAACTCTAAAAATGAAATATAGTGCCTTTTTTAATCCAATCAAAGTGTTATAGAGTATCTTATCTGAAGGCATACCAATAGGACCTATTAAATAACGTTAATAGATAATTGAATTCATTTTATAAGCTTCAGAAAAGTTAAATCTATCATTAAATACATCATTTTTAGCAATTAATTACATAGATGAATATTTAAGTAAAGTTACTATCAATGAAAATTAAACTTATTTATTTGTTGCAACTGCTTTAATGTTAGCAGCAAAAGCTTAAGAACTAGATGAACGAGTACCTTTTATTAGTAAATTGAAAAGATATGCATCAATGACAAATCATCCTGAAATCAATTAATATTCAATTAGAGAATATAAATATGCAGAGAGATCATTAATTCAAACAATGGAATGGAAATTATAAAGAGTTACATTACTTGATAGAATAGAAACTATACTTTCATTTGGAATCATAGATGATGATGATAGTTTAGGATAATAATAATAAAAAGAAAATAAAGATACTTTACATTAATAACATGTAAAACTTAGAGATTTATAAGAAAATTAAATATTATTTTATGTAAAAGAGGTTGAAAATAAATATGCAGATGTAGCATTACAAATAATTAAAGGTATCAAAAATATATTTATAAATTAGATGAAAATTTGTATTTTAAAACAGATCAAACTATCTTAGCACTTTCTTGTATTGCTTATTTAAGAAAAAAAGCAGGATTGTTAAATATTTGGTCATAATAATTATAATGTCTGACTGGTATAAGTGCATAGAAAGTTTCATCATCAGTTTCATAAATTATGACATTAATTGCTAAAAGTAAAAGCTTTAAAACTATAACTAATCTTTAATTAAATTCTTAAGAAACCAATTTCTAACCTCTTATACCTAATAATACACTTACAACCATTAGTACAAATCATCTCAACAATAGACCATTCCCTTTCGAAACTAAAAGATAATCATATGGTGATGTGATGATGATGCAGAATAATATATTAAAGATTCCATTATATCAATCATAATCAACTGTACAAATTCCAGATATACAAAAATAAAATCATTTATATAAACATACTAATTTCACTACTACTACTACTACTAATTATTCATATCTAAATGAAAATCCTGTTACTCACATTGTATAATAATAATTTGCTACTCTTTAAAATCAAGAACTTGATAAAAAGTATGAACAAGTACATAAAGTAAGTGCTAGTATTTTCAGACATATTCAATGAATATATATATATATAGATGAATTATTATTATAATATCATTACTGTTATTAAAACATATATTTTATAGCTTCATCAATAAATTTGTATACATATTGATATTATTCTGATGTATGTACCATTCCCCATCGTTATTCTCTTAATCTTCGTACTACTCCAAAAATAGAAATACGAAATTAATCTGGATTCTCAAATATTTCTTACTTTTATTTATATTATTTTACTTGTAATATCATTTCCTACATAAGATTAATATGTTGTCAATATAATCATCAAATTTACTAAGGATATCAATGTTCCTGTTCTTCCTATACCAGCACTATAATTGTTAAATTAAAGAATATAATAATTACCTGCAATGAAATACAACCTTTTAATCATTCTATACTCTCTCCAAAATTTAATTTAGCAATTCCTTTATTGTATTAAAATCATTATGATTTGGAACTCCTTAATCTGGCCATCCACACCATTGTAAATGAGTTACTTATTTTTCTTCTCCATTTTGTTCTTGCATTTTTAAAGTCCTTTTTATTATATTATTTCCTAAATCATCTTGACTAACGAAATTTATAGTAATATTTCCAATAAGTAAACTATCTCCAATATTTTTAGGCCAGTATTACTCACATTACACCTTTAATAAATTCAATGTCTCAATTACCTTTCCATTTTCTTTTAAATTACAAAGCATTACTATCATTGACACACTTTCTTAAGAAACCATCCTCCAAAAATGTCCTATTGTTTAACTTACTGGACCTTATGTGGCAATCATCATTTTCTCTTTTCCATTTATTAACTAAAATCTTTATTCATTACTTTACATTTATGTAATCAGCATTTATATATGATTCCTTTTAGTTCTCTTCTTCATCACATTTCAATTTAACTACAGAATGTTTAACTATAATAACATTATTTTGATACAAGGAATGATGTTGTTATATCTGTTTAACTTAAGAATATCTGGATGGAAATCATAAAGGTTATCATTGTGATACTATGTTTCTGTAAGACGTCTCAAAATCTAATAGCCTTTATAAAATATTCTTTACTCTGAATTCCATTTCTTAATCTCGATTCTGAATTTATTCACTAAACTCACCTATTGGTATTCCTTTTTCAATGCTTATTAAATCAGCATTACCCATTACCCATTCATATGAGTAATCCTGACTAATTTCTCTACCCTCTACCTATAAATTTTGTAACATTTTATTTATATTATACCAACTTTTAATTAATCATAATGACTTATACTTTATAATATATAAATTGAACTCAAAAATTGATATATTATATAAATATACTATATACAATCCTAATTTATTTACAACATTTATCAAATATTGGAAATTTTAGAAATTTTGGAAAATTTATATAATAAATTATAAATAAATATTGCATTGTTCCAATCGTAATATTATAAAATTGAAATACAGAAATATCAAACTATCTCATAATAAATATTTCAACCATTCTATTAAAATAGTCTCTTAAACTTATAAATATCTATTTAATAATGTTAAATCAATTACTACAAATCTAATTTTATATCAATATGTAATGACATGTTTAATGTTGAAAATAGTATAAATTTGGATTATATATACTGAGTTGAAAGTATCAATATAAAAAGTACTAAAATAGATTTATTTTCATACAATCATAATTAAGATTTTTCATAAGTTAAAATAATTTAAACTATAATCAACATACTTATATATTTTATCTGTTCAATTCTGATTTATAATTATCATAGAATTCTTTTTTAATTTTATCTTTTAATTTTAAATGAATTGCTTATCCTTTATCTTACTTGTATTATCATATAAAGTATTTCTATAAGTGAAGATTTTTACATTTTAGTCAAGAAAAAAAAATAGAAAGACTACTCAAAGATTAAGTGTGATAAATCTTTAATTTTTAAATAAATATAATCTTATTATAATTTTTTGAAAAATATATATATCTAATAAAAAATAGATTATTCCTTTTTATATTAAATGCATCTAACAATATGTAAATAGTCTATTTCAATAAATAGATTTAAAACTATTGATTAAATGAATAAATTAAATGATATTAGCTAAATATAAGGCAATTACTTATACTCAGCCCAACTGTTTTTTAAATATTGCGAATATTCAATTTACATCAATAAAAGATATGTTGAAATTGATGAATATAAATTTATAATTATTATATATTAAAGAACTTTCTTTTTTGTGAAATTTTAATTCTAAAGGAACTAAATTATCATTTCCATTAATTTTAATAAAATAGTTCTCATTTTGAAATCATCAATAATGTGATTTCAAAAGATAACTATAAAAAAATTATTTCAAGATTCTCAATCCTGTTGATATAAATTTTTTAGTTATATTTTGTACTATTAGTTAAGTATTCTATAATAAATTGAATTTTCTTGGGTTATTCTTTTTTTTTGTTCATTTGTTACCCAAAATGAAATTACTAGAATTATATGTTTAGGATAGTAGTATTTTCTATAGATAATTAACTCCATTTTTAAAGTATATTAGACTAAATACAACTGAACATTGTTTCAAGGTTTTTATAAAGAGTCTAGACACTGTTTCAATCCATGAATATATGTGACAGAAATCTAAGACTTTAAGTCTTATTTAATAGAATTCTTTATAAATTTTATAAGTGCTGAGGATTCTCAAGTAATAAAGAAAATGGAACTGAAATTATAGTTGTAGTACCAGATAACTTAAAAATAGTGGATATTCAAGAGTATAGAATTTATTTAAAGTTATTAGTTTTAATTTAATCTAGTTGTCATATATTTTGTTGATTTCACAATAGAAGGTGAAGAGATTAGAGCTAAATATAATTTTATAGACTTTAGAAACTGTATCCTCAAGTTATAATCTCACCCTTTATATGAAAATACTTTTTTCTAATTAATTTATCCATAGATTCATATTGCATACGATATTTTCTTTTAAGATGCTGAATAATTTTCTTGGGAGACAAGAAGGAAACGATATTTTCGATAACATTTTCAAATCATTTTTTTAACTTCCAATCAGAGTACTTAGATTCTAATAGGGATTCTATTTCTTAATCACTTTATTTCTAGTCATTTTGCTTAATTTTATGATTGCTTATAACATAGCATCATTTTGTATACCATGTATTTGAATGTTTAAATGGAATAGTACATGAATATTATTATTTTATAATTCAATTCACTTTGCTGCTTTCTTTAAAGGAATGAAGAACTTCTAGTTGACAATTAAGTAAGCTATGAAGTGACCTGTTCCATACACGAATCCTGTAAGAAGTGGATACAGTACAAGCTTTTTGAAAAGTTGATTTTCATCCTTTTTCTCGGAGATTAGGTCTCGATAGTCCATTAATTATTTTTATTTGTGATGTTAAGATTAAGTTTAAACTTATTTAGAAGAAGTGGATTTCGTTATTCCAAACCTTGTATGCTCTTTTCTTAAGATAAAGAACCACCTAAAGGTATTTTTACCATTTTAGAATTGCAGGTTTCCAAAAATTTTAAAGAAAATCGAAAAATTAACAAGAACAATTCATATAGCCAAATGAGGAGAAGAAGGTTTCAGAAAACACTAATTAAGAGGAAGCAGAAAAGACCATTAAAGAGGATTAATAATAAGATGATCAAATTCCAAAAGGTACTTTTTTTAGCATAATTGTCATAGTGGAAAAGCCATAGAAAAAGAAGTACCAATTTACTTATGATCCAAAATCCTTTAATGTCTAGGAAGAGAATTAGAAGAAGGAAGAGTTGAAATAAGATTAATAAGAAAAATAGGAGAAATAAGAGGAAAAATAAGAAAAATAAGAAAATCAAGAAGATGAAGAATAATAATAATAATAATAATAATAACAATAAGAGAAGAAAAAATTTTAATATCCAAAAATTGATTTTAGTAAGTTTACAGAGTATTTAAAGAATCCATAGAATCGCAATTATATTTTCATGTTTTTAGGTGTAAGTGGTTTAGCTGCACTTTATACTTATTTAAATATAGAAGAAGAAATCACTTATACTGAGTTTCTAAAGAATTACTTAGAAACTAATTAAGTAAGTTAAATTAAAGTGTATAGTAATGATAAGAGCAAAGTTAATTAAGCTTCAATCATAACAACTAGAGGAGAATCTAAAAAATTGATTCTAGGGAATGTAGATCATTTCTTAGAAACTCTAGAACGTTTTTAAACTGAAAAGGGAGTTTATCCTGAATAATTTATACCTGTCTCATTTGAAATTGAATTAGATAAAGGAGAAATGATTGATAGAGCATTAAATTTATTGTATTATGGAGTTTCAGCTGTATTGATTTTTTATATCTTTAAATCACTCAAAGGTGGTATTGGAAATGCTGGAAAAGGAGGTAGTGGTGGAAATGATGTATTTGGTTTTGGTAAATCAAATGTAAAGTAATTTGGATTTGAATAAAATGTAAAAGTTAAATTTTAAGATTTGGCTGGATTGGATGAAGCTAAATAAGAAATTTAAGAATTTGTAGACTTTCTTAAAAAACCAAAAAAATACAAAGAAATGGGAGCTAAATTACCTAGAGGTGCTTTATTGGCAGGACCTCCAGGAACTGGTAAAACTATGGCTGCAAAGGCTTGTGCAGGTGAGGCTGGTGTTCCATTCTTTTTTGTAAGTGGATCAGATTTTGTTGAAATGTTTGTAGGAGTTGGTGCTAGTAGAGTCAGAGATTTATTTAAATAAGCAAAAGCAAAGTCTCCTAGTATTATTTTTATAGATGAAATTGATGCAGTAGGTAGAAAGAGAGATGCAAAAATTGGTGGAAATGATGAAAGGGATAATACTTTGAATTAATTATTAGTTGAGATGGATGGATTTGGAACAGATAGTAATGTAATAGTCTTGGCAGCAACAAATAGAAAAGAACTACTTGATCCAGCACTTACTAGACCTGGTAGATTTGATAGATAAATTGATATCACATTACCAGATATTGAAGGTAGAAAATAGATATTTATGGTTCATTTGGCTCCAATATAATTGGAACCTTCTAAGACTATAGAAGAATATGCAAGAAGATTGGCTACTCTAACTCCAGGATTTAGTGGAGCTGAAATAGCCAATCTTTGTAATGAAGCAGCAATCATGGCAGCCAGAGCTAATAAGACATTTGTGGATGCTAATGATTTTGAGATGGCATCAGAAAGAGTTATGGCTGGTTTAGAGAAGAAGAGAATCATTAGTGAAGAAGAAAGAAAGACAGTAGCATTTCATGAATCTGGTCATGCTGTTGTCAGTTGGTTTTTAAAGGGAGGTCATCCTCTTCTTAAATTAACTATTATTCCTAGAAGTAAGGGTTCTTTAGGTTATGCTTAATATTTACCTAATGAATCCAGTTTGGAGACTAAATAAGAATTATTGGATAGAATATGCTGTATTTTGGGAGGTAGAGTGGCTGAAGAGATTTTCTTTGGATAGGTCACTACTGGAGCATATGATGATTTAAAAAAAGCTTATGATGTTGCTCATAGTATAGTTACCAAGTTTGGTATGAATGAGAACATTGGATATGTTGGATTCTAAGAAGGATAATTTTAGAAACCTTATAGTGATGGGACTAATAAATAGATAGATGATGAAATTAGGAAGCTTATTGAAGAACAGACAAATAGAACAAGATTATTAATAAATGAGAAAAAAGAATATGTTAATAAGTATCTTTTTTTAATAGGATTTTAGATTGGCTTCAACTTTGTTAGAAAAAGAGACTCTCGACTTATAAAAAATAATTGAAGTTTTGGGAGAACGACCATTTGCACCTAAATCAAATTATAAGGCATATTTAGATATAAAAAAAGAAGATTAAGAAACAGCTTCTAAATGAATTATATATTTTATATATTTTCTAATAGAATTTATCAGATTCTATACCTGGTATACGGGTATAATTTTATTATATAATAATTGGGAATTTAAAACAAATGTATCTTTTAAATAAATTAGGATTAAAGCAGAACATATAAGTGGGAGTTAAAATTATTAAATTAAATTATCTTCTCATCATATGATACATACAAAAAAGCATTCTAAATAAACCAAAAAATCAAAGACTAGCGATGATTTCACTGAGCCTCATCCAAAATTATTACTAGAACGTTTCCCTTACACCTCAAAAGATTTTTAACTTAAAGATGTTCCTGTACTAGCCATTGATCAAAGTTTTTTTAATGATCCATTCAAAATGATTGATGAACTCTATAGCAAAGGTTATGAGTAATTTGGAATTGTAAAACTGATTCTACCTTCAGATTTAGTGATTCCCAATAAGAAATTCTTCTCTCAGTTAGAGTCTAAGCTTAAGGGTAAGAGAATACAAACTCGTATCTAAACATTAAACACCCAAAGAGCTGGAGAGGTATTTTCCTTTATTAGCATAGATATTTGGTTCTAACACTCTAGGATTTACTATCTAGGAGTATATGAATCTTGCTAATAAGTTTGAGTGCAGTCATAGATTGTAAGGGGTAAGAGAAGTGTCTAATCAAATTCGATAGAATGAAATAGAGTTCTGGTCAATTATAGATTATCCAACTAAATACGAAGATATTGAAGTGGAGTATGCAGCAGATCTTTTAGCATCTAAATATGCCACAGGGTTTTAGGAAGGGTAGTTAGGAAATCTAAATGGGATAAATAAAAACAGGAATTCAATTTTCTAAGTTCTTTAGGAAAAGAATGAAATTAATGGTATCTCAGTACCTTGGTTGTATTTGGGTATGAAATATGCTAACTTCTGTTGGCATAAGGAAGATCTTAATTTAAATTCAATGAATTATATGCATGCAGGAGCTGCAAAGACATGGTAATCTATTTGATTAATAATCAAATAGGTATGCTGTGCCACCTAGTTACAGTGATAAGTTTCTCTAATTCTTCAATAAAGCTTATGAGAATGAAAGGAAATCAAACCCTCATTTATTGTATGACATCACTTGTTAAATCTCACCTATAGAGTTGATTGAGAATGGAATCCCAATTCTAAGAACTGATCAACAACCAGGTGAATTAATATTAACTTTGGGTGCTACATATCATGCAGGTTTTTCTCATGGTATTTATAATAATAAAAATAAGGACTAAATTGTAGTGAAGCTGTTAATGTTGCTCCAATTTAATGGTTAAAAGAATTCGATAAAGCAACATAAGAATATCGTATGGATGGAAACTTAAAGAAGGTAATTAAAATGGAGATTATCTATTTTAGGTGAGTTTCCCTTTAGAATGGTTGCTTTGTAAGGTAGCCTTGATGGCTGAAGAGATAAAGTTCACAAAATAAGCATGGTAAAAAGTATATTTTTTAAATTATATTTAAGTTGTTTGAGAAATTTAAACAAATGATGGATTAAGAAATTAATCATCGTAATTGTATAATAAGTTTGTATGATCATGTTAAAATAATTGAATTTGCAAATAAGTAGGAGAAATATGATAGAAGTGTTTGCAAAATCTGTTCCAATTATATGTATTTAAGTTACATTTTTTGTGGGAAGTAATATATTCCATAATTTTATTAGATGTTTAAAAAAGGGATGTATTTGTCATTAAAGTATTTGTGCTTGTTCCTCTCCATAAATATCACTATATAATCGATACAATAATGAAGAACTATAAGTGATGATTGCTACATTAGAGTCCAAAATTAGAACAACGGGGTCGTGATTAAATACTTTATATATTATATTTTAACAGATATTAGTGAATAAAAATTAACAATAAAAAAAATAACAAATTGCCTGTGCATGTCTGAAATCGATATTACCTCTTAAGAGAATACTCTCGAACTACCTAAATTTGAAGAAAGTCTTCCTGATTTTAAACCTGAACCTCGCAAAGATCTTAAGTATGAAATCAAACATGAACCCAAATCATCATTTGGTCAATCATCTAAAGACCTTATTGAATAGTACAAAAGTAAATTTAACTCCTTTAAACAAATGGCTGAAGATTAATAACCTTTAGCTATGGAACCATCTGTTATTGAAAAATCAGAAAAATCTGATATTTGGAGGAGTGATGCTGAAATTCTAAAATCTCCTAAAGAATGGGATTGGAATATTTTGGGATCTAAAAAGGCTTCAACAACTAGTAATCAAATTCATTTTGATGTCCATGTACCAGATTCAATGGTTTCTGAATAGGAACACAAAGCATAAATTGCCTAACATAGATAAATGATTTTAGGTGTATTAGATTAGAGAATTGAACCAGGTTTAAAATTACCTTCATCTCATTAAACTTAAAAACCTGTTGTTGGTGAATAACATTCCAATTATTAAAATATTTTGGAAAAATTTAGAAGTGCATCTTCTTTAGATGATTTAACAACATTATTCAATACAGTTTAATAAAGAAAAGTAGTTGATTAAGCAGCTCCTTAATAATAATAATAATAAGATGATTTGTTCTCTAATCTTGATATTAGAAGAAATAAAAAGGCTGAGGCATAAATTTAATAGTACAAGACACCAAGTAAATCATAAGAGGAAATCTTTGAATATGGATCAGGAAATAGAACTACTTCATTTTTCTAAAAGAAACCTTCAGCCCAAAAACAATTACTTTAAAGCCCAAGTTTGAATAATCAATTCAATTATAGATCTGATTAATCAGTAACTTCTAAAGTCACTTAAAATATGAACTTTTAAGTTGATGTTAAAGATCATAGTAAGACTAGTAAAAGAAAGGAAGAACTTTAAAGTTTTATGGGTAAATTAGGTTTAGGTAAATATGAGACTCCTAAAGTGGTGATCAATTTGGAGAGTAATACTTAGAGTAGTAAATTATTTATATATATTAAAAGATTCCACAATAGATAGAATGAGACAATATGTAAATGGAACACCAATGAGTGCAAGAAAGAGTGGAGGAGGTTTGGGTGATTTGATAAATGAACGTTCTTTAAATACTACAACATTTAAGTAGTAAATCAAATCTTATCATAAATCTGGTTCAAAGCCAGATGCATAAGGACGATTAAGTGCAGATAATCAAAATTTATCAGAATAATCACTTAGAAATTTGCATCTAAAATTAGTACATTAATAAAAGAATGGAATTGGAAATTCTGGATTAAAATATGCTAGATGTTGATTTAATATACTTTTATATATCGAATTATATATAGGTCTAAATATATAATAATAAAAGTCAACAACAAAGATCTTCTTACTTTTTCTTTTCTTGTTATTATTGTTATTATCTATTTTGTAATCTTAAATTCGATGTCTTCCTAACTACAGCTCTAGTATTATGAAGTTCTCGATTTAATATGTTTTTTGTGATATGAGTGAAAGCAGCTTCAATATTGATAGATGATTTAGCACTAGTTTCATAAAATGGAATTTAATATAATCTTGCTAAAAATATGATTAAAGAACATTACATAATTCTAATCCTTCTTCATAAGATACTTCTCTTCGTTCAGTAATATCTGCTTTATTACCTACCAATAATCTATTTACAGATTCTGATGCATATCTAAAATATTATGAAAGATTTACTTATCTATTTCTGCCATCCAAGTTTTTACATTTTCAAATGATTCTCTATCAGTAATATCATAAACTATTATAATTCCTTAAGCTCCTCTATAATAACTACATGTGATTGTTCTAAATCTATCTTGACCTGCAGTATCCCACTAATATAATAAAATAATGATTTACAATTTGCAATTTAACATTATGTTCTCCTAATGCAATAGTTTTAGTTTTAAAATCAACACCTATTGTGTTATAAAAGTTGTTTGTGAATTAATTTTCCTTAAGATTATATGAAATAGTACAGAATAACGCATAAGCATACATGATTTTCCCACACCAGAATTTCCAATTAACAATACTTTGAATAGGAAATGACTATGTAAATTATAAATGAAATCTTACTAATCAGAGTTGGAGTTCATTTGTATTTCAAATATTTATTTATTACGGTTAATAATTAAATAAATAATGCGTAAGTTTATTTCAGCATTTGGATTTAGTAACACAATTGGATTCATTGGTTTAGGCAATATGGGAGTATCATTATATCATATGATTATTATAGATTGGAATGGCTCATAATCTAGCTAAAACTAGAGTTGTATATGCATATGATGCAAGTCCTGCATGGTAATCTAAAATTGAATCTACTAATATTAAACCTGTATCTTAAATAGCAGATGTTGCTGCAAATGCAGATACTATTATTACTATGTTACCAAATGATAAGATAGTCAAAAGTGTAGCTTAAGAAATCTTCAAAAAATAAAACAAAACATTGATTGATTCATCTACTATCTCACCTTATGCTTCTTATGATTTGGCTAAAATGGCATAAGATACTAAAAACATATATACAGATGCTCCAGTCTCAGGTGGTGTTGGTGGTGCTAAATTAGGAACATTAACATTTATGGTTGGAGCAGAAAAAGAATTATATGATAAAATATCTCCAATTCTCAAAGAAATGGGAAAAAATATTTTCCATTGTGGAAAGATTGGAGGAGGATAAATTGCTAAAATGTGTAATAATATGGCATTAGCAATTTAAATGATAAGTGTTGCTGAAGCTTTGGCTTTGGGTAAGAATATGGGAATGGATCCAGCTATGTTAAGTTCAATTATGTCTGTCAGTTCTTCAAGATGTTGGTCTGTAGATACTTATAATCCAGCACCAGGTGTTATGCCTAATGTACCTAGTTCCAAAGATTATGATGGTGGCTTTATGGTTGAATTAATGCTCAAAGATCTAGGAATTGCTATTGAAGCATCTAAGAAAAGTGGAACTGATACATAATTAGGATAACATGCTTAATAGATTTATAATAAATTGAATGAACACTTTGGAAAGAAAGATTTTGCAATTGTATATAAAGAATTAACAAAAAGTAAATGATTTAGATATAAATTATACAATACATATGCATAAATTAATCATAAATCATCTCTTTTATCATTACTTACAGTTTCCCATTAAGCATCATCTGTATTTACTTTTTCCCATTTAGTTCCATCTTCACTTTGAGGTGGTTCTGATGAAGTTTCTGGTTCTTCTTCGATTTCTACTTCGAATTCTTTGACTGGAGCATCTCTATCAATACCCAAAGCAGAATTAAATAATTTATAGAATCTACTAGCAAACTTTTCAGGATTAGGAATAGAATAACCTAAAATATATATATATTAAATACCTGAATTAACTAAAGCAGCTTCATATAATACTCTAGCCATTTCTTCTGTTTCTTAATCTGGATCATCTTTCACTCTTTATAATAATTCTTAGATTGCTTAATGATTTGGATTGATTTCTACAATCTTCTTACCAAATTAATGTGAACCACCTTTACTTGAATAAGCTTAAGCTTTTGAAATTCTTTCCATATTTGCAGAATATCCTGATTCAGATGAAACAACAATAATTGGATCATCAATTAATCTTTATGAAATGATAACTGAATCAACACTTTCTGATAATAATTTTCTCCACCAATCAGTCAAAGGTTAAAATACTTTCTTTAAAGCCTTTTATTTCTTTCTTTATTCATCATTATCTTCTGGTTATTTGAAATCACCTTTTCCTACATTAACTAATTTTTTTTATTTGTATTCATTTAAATGTTAAAATGTAAATTCATCAACTGGATCATCTAATAATAATACTTCATATCCTTTCTTTAATAATCCTTATATAATTGGTGAAGCTAATAATTATTCCTTGTTTTCACCAGCTAAATAATAGATTGAATCTTATCCTGGTTTAGTTCTCTCAATATAATCATCAAATGATGTTAATTCAGTTGAATTTTTACTTGAGTACCATCTAATAAATATAAAATATTAAAATACCTTGTTAATTCAGCCAATTTCTATCTATTTGAAGAATCTTCAATAACACCCAATTTAATATTCTTTCCATATTCTTTCCAAAATTCATTATACTCATCAATTTTCTTTTTTCTCTTTTCATCTTTCAATCTTTATTATTCTTCAGGTGTAGTTTCTGCCATATTATCATCTTCTTCACCTTCTTCTGTATCTTCTTCATCTTCATCATCATAAGAAGCAGCATCTTAGAATAATTCTAAAATCTTCTTAACTATCTTTCTACTTATAACCTTTAACATTTTAAGTTATTAAAGTGTTTCTCTATTAACATTTAATGGTAATTCATCTGAATCAATAACACCTTTAACAAAACTTAAATATCTTGGAAGTATATCTTCAAATTCTTCACTAATTAATACTCTTCTTACATATAATTTCAAATTTGTTGTTTATTTACCATAATAATTATCAAACATATCACTTGGTGCTCTCTTTGGAACATAAATAAGAGATGTAAATTCAACTTCTCCTTCTGCTTTAAAATGAACCCAATTAAAAGGATCTTCACCTGAATTCTTTGATAATACTTTATAGAATTTCTTATAATCATCATCAGAAATCTCTTCTTTTGGTCTCAACCATATAGCCTTATTTTCATTAATTTAAACCCATTCTGATACTTTCTCTTTAATTGTTTTAGTAGCTTTCTTNCCTGATTCAGATGAAACAACAATAATTGGATCATCAATTAATCTTTATGAAATGATAACTGAATCAACACTTTCTGATAATAATTTTCTCCACCAATCAGTCAAAGGTTAAAATACTTTCTTTAAAGCCTTTTATTTCTTTCTTTATTCATCATTATCTTCTGGTTATTTGAAATCACCTTTTCCTACATTAACTAATTTTTTTTATTTGTATTCATTTAAATGTTAAAATGTAAATTCATCAACTGGATCATCTAATAATAATACTTCATATCCTTTCTTTAATAATCCTTATATAATTGGTGAAGCTAATAATTATTCCTTGTTTTCACCAGCTAAATAATAGATTGAATCTTATCCTGGTTTAGTTCTCTCAATATAATCATCAAATGATGTTAATTCAGTTGAATTTTTACTTGAGTACCATCTAATAAATATAAAATATTAAAATACCTTGTTAATTCAGCCAATTTCTATCTATTTGAAGAATCTTCAATAACACCCAATTTAATATTCTTTCCATATTCTTTCCAAAATTCATTATACTCATCAATTTTCTTTTTTCTCTTTTCATCTTTCAATCTTTATTATTCTTCAGGTGTAGTTTCTGCCATATTATCATCTTCTTCACCTTCTTCTGTATCTTCTTCATCTTCATCATCATAAGAAGCAGCATCTTAGAATAATTCTAAAATCTTCTTAACTATCTTTCTACTTATAACCTTTAACATTTTAAGTTATTAAAGTGTTTCTCTATTAACATTTAATGGTAATTCATCTGAATCAATAACACCTTTAACAAAACTTAAATATCTTGGAAGTATATCTTCAAATTCTTCACTAATTAATACTCTTCTTACATATAATTTCAAATTTGTTGTTTATTTACCATAATAATTATCAAACATATCACTTGGTGCTCTCTTTGGAACATAAATAAGAGATGTAAATTCAACTTCTCCTTCTGCTTTAAAATGAACCCAATTAAAAGGATCTTCACCTGAATTCTTTGATAATACTTTATAGAATTTCTTATAATCATCATCAGAAATCTCTTCTTTTGATCTCAACCAAATAGCTTTATTTTCATTAATTTAAACCCATTCTGATACTTTTTCTTTAATTGTTTTAGTAGCTTTCTTCTTTGTATCTGCATCATCATCATCATCATCTTTAACTTTTACTTCATCATCATCTGTATTTTCTTATTGATCTTATTATTCAGGTTCTTCTTCTACTTATTTTGACACTTCCCTAGTCACTTTCAAATAAATAGGGAAATTAATAAATTCTGAATATTTTTTTATTAATTCTTTTATTGTACTTTCTTCTGCAAATTCAACAGCATCTTATTTCAAATGAATAGTGACTTAAGTACCACGACCTAATGTATTTCCTCTAGGATCTTTTGATATTGCAAATGAATGAGCTGCTTATGATTCCCAAATATATTAATCATCATCTGTATTTTTTGATGCTACTGTAACTTTTTATCCTGCTAAGAAACAAGAATAAAAACCAACACCAAATTAACCAATCAAATTTACATTACCTCCTTTAATAGCTTCAATAAATTATGTGGTTCCTGATTTTGCAATTGTACCCAAATTTGATATTAAATCATTCTTTGTCATACCAATACCACTATCTGTTACAGAAACTGTCTTTTCTTCTGTATTTATTTCAATTCTTATTGCTAATTCAGTTTTATCACCTAGAATTTCTGGATTCTTCACACTCAAAAATCGAATTTTATCTAATGCATCAGCAGCATTCGAAATTAATTCTCTTAGAAATATTTCCTTTTAAGTATATAGAGAATTGATAAGGATATCCATCAACCTACCTGTTTCAGCTTGAAATTCATGTGTTTCTTATTACTATTCCAATAACTTCCTTTACTCTTCAGTCAAATCTTGAGTCATCACCTAAATGCCAGATAGCATAAAGAGTAGCAATAACCCAAAGGCCTTCTATTTAGTATGCATTAAAAATATTTATGATTCTGCGCAAAAACTACATGAACATATATATAATAACACGTGTTCCTAGACATTCTAGAAATTAATTTAAAAATAGCCCGTCAAAGATAATATACATTATTGGGTTTATTTCAAATGATCACTATTAAATTTAATATTGATGGTAGAGTAGTAACGAGTCCATTTCTAAGGATTACTTGGAGCCACTGCTTCTCTGATATCTACACTTGCTGTTTAACCTCTAGAGGTTATTAAAATGGTCATGATTGTTAAGTCTAATCCCAAAAACTATAGATTAACAAGTGCATATGGATCAGTGGAATACATACTAATCAATGAAGGACTCAATGGATTTTATCGTGGTTTGCGTAGAATTATCTTTCTTTACATAAGGCCCTGCAATAGTTAGAAATATGAGCGCTGGCTTCCTATATTTTCAAATGTTATCCTATGTTACAAGCGTACAACGTAATGTTTCATAAGACTTTCTTGCTTCCTTTTTTGCCAGAGGGTACATCACAAATCTAATATTAAAGAATATCCAATTTCATTACTAATCCAATTCTCTTAATTGAAACTCGGGCTGAAGTTCCTGGGTACTAATACACATCATTATGGAAGACAGCTAATACTATTGCAAAATAAGAAGGTTTAATGAGCTTCTTTAAAGGAGGTCTAACTTGTTCAATAAAAGACAGTCTATTTGCAGGAGTATAAATTAAACATGAACATTAGATCTATTATGTTGTTTATCGTAAAATGCATGAGATATTATTAACTGCTGATTCTGGTTTTTCCCCATCAATTACTTTCTTATCTGGAATGATTGCAGGTCTAGTGGGTACTTGTGCTAGTCATCCCTTTGAAATTCTTAGAGCCAGATTATAAACCAATTATTATGATGATTAAATGACAATTATGTAAAGATTTAAAAGTACATATCAAAATGAAGGACTATATGGGTTAATTATTTTAATTATTCTTAGATTTACAAAAGGTCTAAGTCCCAGATTGGTTAGAAAACCTTTAGCCAATTCACTTTCATTTCTCCTTGTAGAACATTTAAATCACATATTCTATGGTACTTAATTTCACTCTTGATTGTTTAATTTTAATGTAATCACTTTAAAAGATTAAAAATTTTCTAAAGTTGATAAAATATTTATTGAGTTACAAAATTAATTATTTTTATTATGTGCTGAAATTGTTATTACTAATTTTGGATATTAATTCTTAGTATATCTACTTATTTAGAATATAATTAAATAATTTTTGATTAAAAATTCCAAAAATAGAACAATTTATTTATAATTATTAAAATATAAGAATTTAGAATAAAAATTATTAGAGTTAAAAATCAAAATAAATGATAATAAAAATAATTTCATTTTGAATATTCACATATACCATCACCAAATGAACAACTTGCACTAAAGTAGAATCTGTTTTCATCATATGTATTATTAGCTATACCAGAGATTTCTCCATATAATTAAATACTTTAGACAGAATCATAATGAGATCTATATAATAAAATAATATATTACGCATTTAAAATATGCAAATAGGAATTGGATTCAGCCAAAAATAAATGAGATCCATTTTTTGAATAGGTTATATTGTAGATTGGGAAATCTGATCCAATAAATTATTATAGTGGTAATTTTGGTGAACGCAAATCATAGATGACAGTTGATCCATCTTCACTAGATGAAGCAAGTTCATAACTTTTACAAGGATTAAAAGCAACAGCAAAACCAAATTCATTATGAGGATCTAAACTATGTATAATAGAATCTGATTGAACATCTAAAACATTTAATCCTAGTCGATCACCACAAAAAGCAATTTATTTACTTTAATTTACACTAGTTAAATTAACTGAGGCTTTATCTTAATATTAGTATATCTCTTTGAGTCCATTTTAATAATCAAATATCCTAATAATTCCTCTATTATCATTAGCAATCAAGTAATTTTAATAAAAATGTACATGATTGATAAAATCTCTTTTTATATTGATTATCTATTTATCTATTGTTCCATTAAGCAAATTAATTAACAAAATATCACCATTCATACCAGCAACAGCACAAATGTTATCAAGTACATCTAATCCTAAAGCTTCAAGTGGTATTCTTGTTGTTTCAGATTTTAATTTAGCCACATCATAAAATACAATTTAATCAAAATATGTATGTAATAATAAATTAGGAATGCTTCCCATAGACAAAGTATATTTTGATTAGAAGTGTGCACTTTTCATATTTGTAACATGATGAAATATTCTGAATTCATATTATGTATCATCTTTTTTTATTTAAGGAAATTGTGTTGAAAATTTTTTTGGTTGCTTAAATTTTTTATAACTTCTCTATTATTATTGATGTTCATTATATCTCTATCTCTAATAGGGAGTGAGTCCTTAAAGATTCTTTTTGTCTCTATTGATGAATACTTATTATTGTAATGGTTGGAGAATCATTAAAAATATATAAGAAATTAATTAATAAAATAATTTATTATTACTACTTAATATTTCAATTGCAAAGTCTCTTATTAAGATAATCTGTCACGAGTTGCTCGATTTTTTTATTTTTCTAAATATCAGAAATTAAATTATATAAATCTGTAAAAGAAGGTTATTATACTTCTTTTAGTCTTTCCAAAAAATATAACATTCTATATATTTAATAATTATATTATTACGATAAATAATCTTGAAAATATTTTCGATCATTTTAATAATCGAATACTCCTCTGACTTATGTAATTCTATTCAATTTCTAGATATAGCTAACAAAATCTGGATTTATAGCAGATACAGGATAAAATGAAGTTAAATTATATTTTTCTATTTCCTAAGTTATTACTTAATGATATTTGATTTTTTTCTAAATTTCTGAATCAACAATTTAAAGTGAATAAAAACTTTAAAAATTTGGATTTTTTTAATTTTAAGATATCATTTAACTTGAGTGTTAATAAAAACATTATGACAAACAATGAAGCTACAATTTAATTCCAAAAAATTCTTGTTTTAATGTTAGTTACATATTTCTAAAATCATTAAAAATTATAATTACAAAAATTTTTCTAAACTTTCTAATGTTTAATCAAGAACAAATCCTGCTTAAAATAATTAATCTGATACTGCTTTAACCTATTAAAATTAAATAGGTTATCCTAAAATATGCATAGTTGGAATGGTTTATAATCTTTAAGTTGGAGGATTGATAAATGGTCTTGGTTATGCTGATTAAATCATAGAATTAGGATTTGGAATATTAGGATTAGGAGGATTTCCAGTTGGAATTGAACTATTAGGATTAAAAGGAGCAGTAAACACTTTCCCAGTTGTGAATTAAGGTTGTGTTTAAGGATTGATAAAGCATTATTACTTTTGAGTCATTGAAATAGGTACAGGAAATGTTTATTGAGCTTGATTTGGAATACTAGGAGAAATTTATTAAACATTGTTTTATTTTTCAACTGGCTTTTAAACTTAAACAGGTTCTTCTTCTTATTCTTCTTCATCTGAATCTAGATTATTAGAAATTAATCTTAATTATTATTTAATTATTTACCCTGATTGATTCACTACTAAATTAGATTCCTCTTAAATTAATGGATGTTTAAATAATTCTTCCCAACTGACTCTGTCTTTTTCATGAAATTTGAGCATTTATTCAATTAAATCAGCAAATTCATAAGTCATCTAAAAAATGTCTACATTCTTACCTCTGGCCATTCTCTATTTACTGTGACTGGAACCTTTTCTAAATTTCTTAAAGCCTTTTTTATTTACAATTATGTATTTGCAACATAAGGTAATCCACCAAAAATTAATTCATAAATGATTATTCCTAACTTAATAAATATTAAATATAAATGTTACTGAAAAAATGTCAGCTGAATTTGAGAATCGATTATCAAGATACAATTAAGGAGCAACATATTTTGGTGTTCCTACTTTTGTTAACTCAGTATTTCCTTCAAATACTCTTGCTAAACCCAAATCTGCTATCTAATAACATTTTAATTATAATATACTTTATAAATTCCATTCAAAACAAGTATATTTGCTGGTTTAAGATCTCTATGTATAATATTGTTTTAATATAAAATTTTATAACCATTAACTAATTGTTTTAGTATATTTAATGCTTCACTTGGTTTAAAATACTTCTACTCTTCCTTTCTTTTCTTATCAATTATTGATTATAAATCTGATTCACATTTTTCCAAAATTAATATAATCCTTTCTACATTTAAATCTACATATTCCACTCCTACAATATTTTTGTTTCCCTTTGCACATATCATTATCATTTTCATTAATTCAATTTCTCTTATTGTTTTTGGATCATCTAATTTTTCTTCAACAACCTATATTATTAAAAACTTAAACTTTTGCACACAATTTTAATTATGGATTCTTTAAATCTTTGCATTAATATACTACTCCAAATTATCCTCTACCAATTTCTTAATTCTTATAAATCTCATAAGATTAAACTTTGATAATATCCTCTTCCTTTTTCATGTTTATAAATTTTATTTAATAATAGAAAAAGCATTTTCATGTTTATAAATTTTATTTAATAATAGAAAAAGCATTTTCTATTTACGAAAATGATTTATTCATAATAGAAATTCAATTTAAATTATTAAATATCCATATATATTTCAATTTAAAATCCAAAACCTTCATTAATATATGATCTTATTCTTGATAATATATCAAAATAAATTAAGAATCATTTGTTATACAAAAATACTAAAGAGTATTTTAATTTTTTGTATTTATGAATATTGTACTATACTCATAGGTTATTTAATATGGAATTCTCACAGCTACACTTATTCATTTCTTTAACAATTATTTTTTTTCAATCTATTCTAATAATAAATAATGACAGAACTCTTCATTATTTTCCAAAATCAAAATAATATATTACTCAGATCCAATAATCTATTTGACTTTTGAAATCTGATAATGTTAATATTGAATAGAATTTCATATCATCAAAAAATGATAAATCTTTTATTCAAACAAAAATTTGATGTCAAGTTTTTCATTTTTTTTTCCTAAAAACAAAACTAGAATAATAGATTTCTCTTAATTTTAGACCCTAAATTACTAAAATTGTGATAAAATTAAAGAATTTCTATTTTTGTATTCAAACAACTTCATCCTTAAATTAATCCAAAAGCAATTTTATAATGAAAGAAATTCTTTTTGGTGTAAATTTTTCTTTGTTTAATTCTTAATTAAATTATAGTTACATCAATAAAAATATTCATTTTAATTTGAAAATTAATCGATTAGATAAAAATATTTTAGTTAATATACTAAAATAAGTAATATATATTAATTATAACTTTTAATGATTTAAGAGATAGGAATAATCATATAATAATAATAAGATATATTTAATATATCATATTCAGATAACAAAAATGTCTTATGTTTTCATGATAAAAATAAAATCATATTATTTTATACATTATTTGACGGGCTATGTAATTAGCAAATTTGCTTTTATGACCTCTAATCTTCTATAAAACTTTAGTATAAATATATGAGTTATTTATTAACTTAGCTACTTTGGTTATATTGAAATGAGGATAGTATTTTTCAAATATTTATACCTTATCGATATTTAAATCATTATTTAATATTAATGTATGATGATCTTCTTAGGTTTCATAATTATTATTTTGGTTATTACCTTAATTATTATTAGGAGTATATGCAGTATTTAGATTATTATTTGGTGTTAAGAGACTTCTATTGCTCACTTATTGAAATAATTTATTCTTAAACAAATTTTTGATATCTTATTAATTAAGAGATTATTATTGAGAATGTAATCCAAGTGTTTAATCAGGAAAATCGAAATCCTCTTCTTCTTATTTTGGGAATCCAAATCTTATTAATTATTTTGTGTCAACCTAAGGTATTGATATTTGATGTTCCAACATATTTTCTAAAGCTTTTTCTCTAATATTAAGTAAATTAAATCTCTTTCTTTTTCTTTATCGAATAAATGATTATCTTTAATGATCAATATTACTATTGTATGCAGTTATAATTTTATTTCTATTTTTTCTAAAGATTACTAATGGACAATGTTTGAATTAATGATGACTAGAACAAGCTTCACATTTTATTTAAGTAGAATTATCTCCAAATTAAGTTTTATCAAGAATCAGTCTATATTTCTCATATTACCTTCTATCTTTCTATAAAATTGATAAGAATTCATTCTAAGTGATATAAGCAACCTATACAAAAGTTTAAGCTACAATATCAAATTACATACAATCTTAAAAAAAGAATTCTCTTTCACAAAATAACTTACCACTTGTATATGTTTTTATTGTTCTATCTAATAATACTGATTTCACTTTTCCAGCTAATAATATATACACTTTATCCGAATGATCATCTTTCTTAATAATAAATTCTTCTGGTGCATAAGTCTTTTCATGTATACAAAAACATAATTTCATCAAAGTATCCTCTGATAAATTCAATCCAAATAATTTTGATTATTTAAAATAACTATAATACATTGCAATTTAAACTTCTTATTTTAATTTTGGATTTAATTATCCCATTAATTCATCCAAATCTAATTCTTCTTCCTACTTAAATTATAAATAATATTCTATATATTTCCTTACTCGAAATTACAATTAAGTATTCAATCCTCTTTATTTTATATGATTACTCACAAGTCTAAGTTTAGAATTATTAATATTCTATTATTCAGCCAATTTATAAAATATGCTTTAAATCATTCCCAAAGCATAACCAAACGTCCCAACAACCAAAAATGTAAAAAAAGTTACTAATATTTTCTCTGGAGTAGTAACTGGTATTATGTCTCCATATCCAACTGTCATTGAAGTTATAGTTACCCAATAAAGGGATGTAAAATATTTCACATATGCATTAGCTTCATAAATATCCTATTAATGTAACCATGTATGTTAGTAGCCCAGATCTACTTCCAAAATGGCAAAGTAATGAAATAAACAAGCACAAAAATGAGATATCAATAATAAAGAGTATATTAAACAAAATAGAGAATAAATAACTGCTGTTTTTTCTTTGAAATTTGATATTTCTTCTATTACTACCATTGTCCTTCTTACTTTAGTCATTCTTATTAACATTAAATAGTTTGCAAATTAATATCCAAACCAAGAAAGTATGAATGGTAACACAACTGTCAAATCAAGGAAGAATTCTCCTTTTATATAATGCCAAAATATATCCTTCTTTGAAGTATGTAAGATTCCTCTTGCATAATAACCTTTAAAGAAATTTAAAATTAATTCCATCAGAAATACACAACTTGGTAAAGTGCTAAATAATAAATAAGCATTTCCTATTTATTCTTTGTTCAAATCAAAAGATAGTTGAAGTGGAACATATAAAATATTCACAATTGTTACAAGCATTAAGATTACATCCCAAACAAATAGAAATTTATCTGCTGGCAAGAGAACTGTTTAATTACTCTTAAGAAAAGTCCATATTCTCCACCAAAATGCATTTTTCTATTTCCCCTCATATTTTACTTCTCCATACTAAAAAATGAATTTAAAATATATCATACTTTTGTAGGTTTTGTATCCAAAAGATCATTATACAAATAGTATTAAAATGAGCTACTAAGATCATGTATCAAATTGAAAATATCCTTATTTAAAATTTTAAACCTGTATTGTGTTGAGAAGTGTTTCATTTTTGTTATGAAAATGACAACTTTCTAAATAATCTTGAGTGGTTTCGATTTCCATACACTATTTATTTATTTGAATTTACTCATTATTCTCAAGAAGTTGTATCTCTTATTCAACACTATTCATAGCTTCCACTTCTAAAAGTTTATCCTCTTATTATCTTGCTTCTTTCCAAGCAAATTAGAGTAAGAATTTAGGTTTATTCATTCTTAATCTTTTTATTAATTAGCTAATAATAATTATCACTATTTATTAGATAATTTAAATTCCATTTAGAAATGAAACATCTAACGCTGAGATATATTAATTGAATACGATTTTTATAAAGATGAAATCTCAACTTTTTAACGGATTTTTAAAATTCCTATTCTTAATTATGTCTTCTTAAATTTAACTTATGATATATATTTTTTAGTCCCTAATTGAATAGGTTTATACGCATATATTTATGACAATAATGTTGAAAGAATATAAATAAGCCAAATTAAATTGGAAAAATCTCTATTGAAATTTTTAATTAAAAATAATTTATATAAGAATTATTCTTAGAACTATATGATATTAATAAGTTATTTTATATCTATTGATAAATTCTAAATAAAGTAATTAATTATTGTGAAATCAAATAATCGCTGTCTTCCTTATTGTAATTTACTTGAAAATTAATTAAATTTACCAAATGTAGTTTATATATAAATTAAATTACAAAAATATTGAATATATTAAACACGCCCTATTAGGAATGATTATTATTTAATACTTAATAAATAATATTTATTTAATTAATATATATATATATTTAACTTTCACAATTAAGAGTTGAGTTTAATTGAGAAAGAAGGAATTGCACAAATTAAACAAAATATTATTAAAATTAAAGAAGCAATTAATTTGTTATAAAAATCAGATATAAAATTGTAATAATTAAGAAATAATTAATAAATAACTATCTCATTTTAATTAAGTAGACCAATTTAATAAAGTAAAATTTATGGATGAATATTGTGTTACTTCTTAAAGAAATAGTGAGAGTAATGAATCTGATAATTACTTTAAAAAGATTGAAAGAAAAATTTTGAATTGTGGTATACATATATTAGAATAAATGGATGTATTTTAATTTTGAACTTTTGGATTAGAATGTGATGATCAGTTACTCAAATTCTTAAATATTATGTTAATAGTATAATTAATTAAAGTTTAAGATTGGATTCTATTACTTTTTCCAATTTAAATTAAAATTCTCATAATATAAGATGTCTAGTTTTTATTTTCATCAATATGATTTGGTTGAATATAATCTTTATGAATTAAGAAATAAAAAAGGTATATTTATGTAACATATAAATGATTTTAATAAATGTTATATTTTTAATTTAACAATTAGTATTATAATAAGAAAGATATATCATTATCCTTGGAATTATTTGTTATATTTAATATATTTAAAAATTAAATTAAAGATTTAACATTAAATGTAAAAGTCTTTATTTTTGAAAACAATATATAAATAATCATTTTTTTTTAAAAAAGCTATCTAATTTCATAGAGCCTGCTCCAATTTATTAAGTTTTTGGTTTTGAAGTTTTGTTTGTTATATTAATTGCAGATTCTTGAGGTTTAACATCTTGGTTTTTTGTTTAAATTTCTTTAATTGGTTCTTCAATGATTGGATCATTCTTAATAATTACTTCTTCAATGATTGGTAATTAATTTAATTCTTTAGGTTAATTTTAACTTTGAGATTATTCTTATTGTTTGCTCTTCAATATAATTTTAGGCTTCTTAATTACTTAATCTTATTATGGTTTTGAATCTTTATTTATAGTTTCTTAAGCTGCATTATTATTTTCATTAATTAATTTTAAAGAATCATTCTTAATTGGATCTGCTGATTTAAGTTATTTTGATAAATTAACTTATGTATTGAAATCTGAAGAATCATTTTTTTTCTTATGATCCAATCCATCAACCTTTTTATTTACAACTACTTTTTAGGATTCTACTGTCATAGCTTAAACTAAACTTGATAAATTCACTTCATGAACAGTCACTTTAAGTGGTGCTTATCCTCTAATATATATTAATGAATAGTATACCCAAATGAAGGTGGAAAGAGATCTTCATCTACAATCTGATTTTTATCTGCCAAGGCATATAATGAAATGTCCTTAATTTTCATATTCTTATTTATTTGATTTGCTGATAATAATGAGCTAACTAAACCATTTCCATCATTAGCTTATTATAATACAGTAAAAACAGCATCCACTTGTTAGAAATTCTTTTCATAATATGTATTTAAAGCTCTAAAATGAATTGAAACCAAAGAAATACTAAATAGCTTGAAGTCTTTCATCTGGAAATTTTTATAATAAATGAGTTCTTGTAACCTATTTTCTAAATATATCTTTACCATTCTATCTGAACATATCTCATGTTTTATATATGAATATATATCCTCCATTTTAATTGTAAATGAGCGGGAGAAATTATTTAATTTATTTAACAAAATATATTGTGTTACTAATTCTTATAGTATGAAATATGATATATAATTACTAATTATATTTTATATATTCTTTAACAATTTTATAAATTTAAAGTTATTAACTAATTTGTTTGAATTCATAAAAACTAATAAGAATGATCCAAAAATTATTATAATTAAATTTTATTTTTATAGTATTATAGATAAAAGTATTTAATAAATAGAAGTATGAATTCTAAATTATTATTAATAATTATAATACTTAGCATTCATATTTCTTTTAAATATTAAATTTCATTTAATATAAATATATTATTCTTTTAATTAAATATATTTATATACATCATAGGTTTCAATAAATCAATATTAGTATATTTTTCAAATTACTGCAAATGATGAAGAATGAATTAAAAATCTATTTTTTGATATAATAATTAATTTTTCAGGTTGAATGTTTATTAAATATAGAATCTAAAATAAAACAATATAATTAATTTATCACATATATGATTATTAATTAAGGTATAATAATATTTATATATCATATCAAAACTTCTTTTAGATTGCTATCCACTTTTTGTGTTTTTTTGGGAAATGATATTATTACCATACCTTTGTAGTGATTTATTTATGTTTATCAAGTAACCTCTATTAAAAGCGAAGTTCTGACAAATCTGTATTGTGATACAAATTTTGAATTCCTTATTCTAATTGTTCTTAAGTTAGGATTGGAAGAGCTTCTATATGCATGTCTTCTATGTCTTTATGTTTAGAATAATTAGTCTTAACTTATTGTTTTAAGGTTTCATCATCTTATTTCTTTTTATCGTATCTCCTTTATAATTATAGTAATTTGCCTTCTGTATTGATAATTGCCATTAATTTATTCTCTCTATCTGTATCCTCAACAATTGTACTTAATTGAGACTAATCAGTTGAAATTCTATTTTTGATGTTAAGACTGTTCTCTTTAATCTCAATTCTCTTTAATTCACCTAATAAATATCTCCTTCTCTTAGTCATTAAGTCTAAGGCTTAATAGTTCATAAGCAATTACTTTTATCATCCAATATTTTTTCGACTTACTTATTCAAGTAATGGTTAAGATAGTCATTCTTCTTTTGAATTTGTAAATCCTCTCTTATATGTTATTCTAAGATATCTTTGCTTTGAAATCCATTTAAAGAAATAGTTGCAGCTTTAGTGAGATTCATAAGTGCAACATCTGATAAACTCTTACGATATAATGGATTATCATCAACGTCAAGAAGTAATGAATTAATTATACCTGTTTATTTAATTTCAGGAAGTGAATCTTTGCTTACTAAAACAGTCTTTTTCCGTTTTAGTTCTTCTTATTTAATTAATTCAGCCCTCATTGCATCCCCCAATTCTGTAATTAATAATCTATTCATTTTAATGTCGAAAATTAAAATATTATGAAACGATTGATTATGTATCAAATATAAACGGTAATTCTAGACAAGAGTATTATGATATTGATTCATTTTTAAATTGAATAAATTGGAAATAATTAATTTAATATTCTTATTACATAGAATAGTAGTTGTATCGAAAATAAATCAATAAATATGATGAATTAGATAAATAAATTTAATTTATCAATTAATTCTTATGGAAATGTTTTTGCAATTTAGAGTTTAAAATTTAATGTGTGATATTAATATTTATAAATGTAATCTCGTTCATAAAGAAGAAGAAGAATATTGAAATAATGCATTCAAAAAAAGAGTAAAATAGAAGACAATGCTCATGTAACTTAGGAAATAGATTCTGAATACGAAGATGTAAGTGATATGGAGGAAGATGAACATATTTAATATGAAGATGAATTTGATGATGAATATGGTAAAATTATCAAAATAATTTAGTTAGAGAGTGAAGAAGGAGAAATCAATATAGATAGTGAAGATGAAGAAATATTGTAAAAAGAAGAGTAATCTTAAGAATAATCATAATAAAATCAATTATAATAATAACCTATATAATCAAAACTTAAAAGAAAAAAGAAAGGAATGGAATAAGAGAGTCAAGAAAATTAAAAGAGAGTATGGTTCTATGATGAAGCTGAAAATTTAGATTTTGATAATAGAGCTTATAATATGTTACATAGAGTCACAACTGAATGGCCTTGTTTATCTTGTGATTTTGTATTAACTGAAGAAGAATAATAATAATATAAAAATAAGGAATACCAAAAAATGAATAAGTATCCATATAGTGTTTATTTGGCTGCTGGTACTCAAGCAGCATAACCAACTAAAAATTAAATATACTTATTAAAATTATCAAAAATGCATAAAACTAAATATGATGATGATGAAGCATCTTAATCAGAAGAAGATAGTGAAGATGATAATCTTAGTAATGATGAAGAAGGTTAAGTACATTTGAGTAGTGTTACAGGATTAAAATGTGGAGTAAATAGAATTAAAACTATGAATGGTTAAGCAATTGCTGCTTATTGGAATGAAAATGGAGATGTTAATATTTTAGATCTTAATCCATTATATAAAAAACTTTAATCTAATTAATAATCTTAATTTAATTTATCACAATTACATCATAAAGTATTCAAAAATTAACATGAAGGATTTGCATTAGATTGGAGTCGTTTAAAAGTAGGTGATTTATTAAGTGGTTCAGTTGATGGTAAAATTTATTTATATCAATTAAATAATAATGATTGGATTAGAGAAAATAAAGCTTATGAATATCATAAAGGAAGTGTTGAAGATATATAATTCTCACCAATTGAAAGTTTTGTATTTGCTTCATGTTCTACTGATGGATCTCTATGTATTGTTGATACAAGAGAAGGAAAACATAAATAAGCTTAGATCTTGGTTAAAGCTCATAATTGTGATGTTAATGTAATCTCATGGAATCAAGTATCAGCTACTCTTGTTGCTACAGGAGCTGATGATGGATGCTTTAAAATATGGGATTTAAAATATCCTAAAAATGATGCCATTTCTGAAATTCAATTCCATAATAAAGCCATTACATCTATATAATTTTAACCAAATAGTGATTCTAGTATAGCTGTATCATCAGAAGATCATAAATTGTCTATTTGGGATTTTGCTGTTGAAAATGAAAATAATAATGAAGAAGATGTACCAGATTAATTAATGTTTGTACATTAAGGATAAAAAGATCTTAAAGAATTAAAATATCATCCTGTTTATTATGAAATGATAGTGAGTACTTCTGCTAATGGATTTAATGTATTTAAACCAACTTTAGATGAAGAAGAAAAGAAATCAGAATAATCTGAAGAAGATTAAGCTTAAATTCCTGTTATTAAAGAGGAAGATCTAAATAAATATTTTTAATAAATGTCTATATAATGAAATATTATTATTAATAATCATTTGTGTATAATNTGAAGAAGAATAATAATAATATAAAAATAAGGAATACCAAAAAATGAATAAGTATCCATATAGTGTTTATTTGGCAGCTGGTACTCAAGCAGCATAACCAACTAAAAATTAAATATACTTATTAAAATTATCAAAAATGCATAAAACTAAATATGATGATGATGAAGCATCTTAATCAGAAGAAGATAGTGAAGATGATAATCTTAGTAATGATGAAGAAGGTTAAGTACATTTGAGTAGTGTTACAGGATTAAAATGTGGAGTAAATAGAATTAAAACTATGAATGGTTAAGCAATTGCTGCTTATTGGAATGAAAATGGAGATGTTAATATTTTAGATCTTAATCCATTATATAAAAAACTTTAATCTAATTAATAATCTTAATTTAATTTATCACAATTACATCATAAAGTATTCAAAAATTAACATGAAGGATTTGCATTAGATTGGAGTCGTTTAAAAGTAGGTGATTTATTAAGTGGTTCAGTTGATGGTAAAATTTATTTATATCAATTAAATAATAATGATTGGATTAGAGAAAATAAAGCTTATGAATATCATAAAGGAAGTGTTGAAGATATATAATTCTCACCAATTGAAAGTTTTGTATTTGCTTCATGTTCTACTGATGGATCTCTATGTATTGTTGATACAAGAGAAGGAAAACATAAATAAGCTTAGATCTTGGTTAAAGCTCATAATTGTGATGTTAATGTAATCTCATGGAATCAAGTATCAGCTACTCTTGTTGCTACAGGAGCTGATGATGGATGCTTTAAAATATGGGATTTAAAATATCCTAAAAATGATGCCATTTCTGAAATTCAATTCCATAATAAAGCCATTACATCTATATAATTTTAACCAAATAGTGATTCTAGTATAGCTGTATCATCAGAAGATCATAAATTGTCTATTTGGGATTTTGCTGTTGAAAATGAAAATAATAATGAAGAAGATGTACCAGATTAATTAATGTTTGTACATTAAGGATAAAAAGATCTTAAAGAATTAAAATATCATCCTGTTTATTATGAAATGATAGTGAGTACTTCTGCTAATGGATTTAATGTATTTAAACCAACTTTAGATGAAGAAGAAAAGAAATCAGAATAATCTGAAGAAGATTAAGCTTAAATTCCTGTTATTAAAGAGGAAGATCTAAATAAATATTTTTAATAAATGTCTATATAATGAAATATTATTATTAATAATCATTTGTGTATAATNTGAAGAAGAATAATAATAATATAAAAATAAGGAATACCAAAAAATGAATAAGTATCCATATAGTGTTTATTTGGCAGCTGGTACTCAAGCAGCATAACCAACTAAAAATTAAATATACTTATTAAAATTATCAAAAATGCATAAAACTAAATATGATGATGATGAAGCATCTTAATCAGAAGAAGATAGTGAAGATGATAATCTTAGTAATGATGAAGAAGGTTAAGTACATTTGAGTAGTGTTACAGGATTAAAATGTGGAGTAAATAGAATTAAAACTATGAATGGTTAAGCAATTGCTGCTTATTGGAATGAAAATGGAGATGTTAATATTTTAGATCTTAATCCATTATATAAAAAACTTTAATCTAATTAATAATCTTAATTTAATTTATCACAATTACATCATAAAGTATTCAAAAATTAACATGAAGGATTTGCATTAGATTGGAGTCGTTTAAAAGTAGGTGATTTATTAAGTGGTTCAGTTGATGGTAAAATTTATTTATATCAATTAAATAATAATGATTGGATTAGAGAAAATAAAGCTTATGAATATCATAAAGGAAGTGTTGAAGATATATAATTCTCACCAATTGAAAGTTTTGTATTTGCTTCATGTTCTACTGATGGAACTCTATGTATTGTTGATACAAGAGAAGGAAAACATAAATAAGCTTAGATTTTAGTTAAAGCTCATAATTGTGATGTTAATGTTATCTCATGGAATCAAGTATCAGCTACTCTTGTTGCTACAGGAGCTGATGATGGTTGTTTTAAAATTTGGGATTTAAAGTATCCTAAAAATGATGCTATTTCTGAAATCTAATTCCATAATAAAGCTATTACTTCTATTTAATTTTAACCTAATAGTGATTCTAGTATAGCTGTATCATCAGAAGATCATAAATTGTCTATTTGGGATTTTGCTGTTGAAAATGAAAATAATAATGAAGAAGATGTTCCAGATTAATTAATGTTTGTACATTAAGGATAAAAAGATCTTAAAGAATTAAAATATCATCCTGTTTATTATGAAATGATAGTGAGTACTTCTGCTAATGGATTTAATGTATTTAAACCAACTTTAGATGAAGAAGAAAAGAAATCAGAATAATCTGAAGAAGATTAAGCTTAAATTCCTGTTATTAAAGAGGAAGATCTAAATAAATATTTTTAATAAATGTCTATATAATGAAATATTATTATTAATAATCATTTGTGTATAATAACATACTCTTTAGACTCAATTAATTAGTGGCATTATTCTAAATCTAAATTAAAAACTAAACAAATTTCATCCAATGTTTCTTAATTGAAAATCATATTTTTAATTGTTTCATTTGCATCCTTAAGTTTCTCATCATCTTTTAATTTCTAACCAATAAATTAACCTTCAATCCCTTTTTCAAATCTCTTTGAATATTCTAATGAACATTCCATTTATTATTCTTATTATTCTTTTGAATTTTTATCTTCCTCATTAAATCGTTCACTCATCTTAACATAATTAGATGGGGCAACTAAAAAAATATTCTCCAAATTTTATGCTTTCTATATCTAACTTGCACAAATAAAAAAATATTCATGAACTCTATTTAAAAAATTGTTCAATTATCCATATCTTATTAATTTAGTTAATGATATCTATAATTTATTAAAATATATACAAATTCTAAAACTCCTTTATTATTTTCTATATAATCTCTAAGTGTAAGTCCTCTTTTCATTTCAATATACAAAGTCTATAAATATTATCTAAGTAATTCAAAATCTAATGTTTATCCAAATTTCAATTAAAATGCTTCATGTTTAGTATTAATAATTTATAAAATATCCTCTTACCTAAATTCATGAGTAAAAAAGTTCTCATTAATTACATACATATTTGTTATTTTTATCATATCTACTAAACGAATTAAATTACATTCTATCATCTCTTTTATTGCAGTCTTTATTTATTCTGCCTTAAATTCTTTCAATTTTTAACAAATTGCTCCAACACAATTAATACCATTAATTTCAGGTATCAATTTCTCTAATATTGGATTAAATGCTGTTTAAACTCCTTATTTTATATTAACTATAGGAAATGGTACTTAACTATATTTAATTATGATATTTTATGGAGGCTATTGTTATTATGGCAATCTTAAGAACATATATTATGAATCATCAAATTCTACAAAACTTTCATGTTCTGCACTTATATTAATATCTTAATATATTTATTTTATTAGAGTATGTATTTCTTCCTTATTTTCATCATTTCTATATATGTAATTTCTATTGACTTCAAGTTATGATATAACATATGCCAATTTTCTTACGATTTCAAAGTAAGCATCTTAATTTTTACAGAATTATTCTTTTTTCACTTTTATGGCAACACTTAAAACATAAATGGCTCTTCTATAAACTGAACCATTTCTCATAACCATTGGAATATTTATTATATATTATGATTGATACTCTCTTTATTTATTAATGATAAATACATCATAAGTAATTTACTTCCAAGTTCTTCTTTGGGTAACAAAAAATCTCCCAATATTTCAATATTTATTGCTTATCTAAATGGAAAAGATATTGATGTTTTTACTCATGTGGATACTATAGAATGGCTTATTTGCCTATTAAGTCATGGAATTCACACAAAATAATTGATTCAATCATAATAATTAATTTAATATCTCTTTAATTTCTTCTTTTAATCTTTTTCCAAACGAAGGGCATTCATTTATATGTTTAGAAATCAAACTTAAAAAAAATTGGTTATCAATCTTCTTTAACTAAATCAATTTATTGAGTTATTATAATAATTTCCTAAAAAATTTAAGAATTGTTAACATACTCATTAAATTACTATTAAATTTCTATTGTACATTACTAATCTGATATATTAATATTCTTTTTTGGTTTATTATCTTATTGCTTTTTCATTTACTCTTTTGACAATGATTTTTATTATTTAGGTTATTTTTCTGGTCTATCTGAATTCTTATTAGTTTTTTATTATGTAATTTTATTGAAAACTTATATTTCACATTCTTCAATTTGTTTCTCTTTTTAAGTTTCTTCAAAAACAGAACTGCTTTTCATAATATTTTCTAATTATTTATTTTAAACCTAGAAATGCATCTATCTATTTACATTGTTTAATTCATTGATAATATCTTTGAATTAATCACACTTACTGGCAGATGAAGTTTTGATATGTAATTTTGAATTTTGAATTTTTTTTTCTTCTTTTTTTTAAGGTATTTCATTTAAATCATGTTTACCCATAAAAATATCTGAGTATTTTAATGGTTCTTATATTTTGTCTTTAGTCAAATATCTATTGTATTTAGACAACAATTCTCGTTCTTCATTATTTAATAATTCCATAGTTATTTATATATTTATGATCAAAACTGAGATCTATTAAAATTTGGCAATCGCTCAACTTCTTTGATAAATTCCACCATTTGCATAAATGACAATTATTATGTGAATTAACTCACAGTCTCATCTATATCTTATTAAATTAATTTCAAATTCTTCATTTCTTTGTTTAATTGGAGTAAATACCTAAAATATTTAATATACAATAAACTTTTAAGATATTTTACGATGATTCAATAATTTATCTATAATTGGAAGTACATTATATATTAAATTATTGTCTTCTATTTTTGTAAATTTCTTGACAATCTCAACATAATTATTGAATTCCTCATCATCTAAATTAATTTGTTCAATTACAAGTGTTCCCTCCATCAATGGTACTAATTAACAATAATCCATAATTTCCTTTTAAAAAGTTTCTTTGGATATTTTTGATTGCATATTTCATATAATCTTTTCTTTTAATTCCACAAGTTCCATATCTCATCTAAACTATAGTTTCTATATAATATTACCATATATGAATCAATAACCAATTATGCTTATTCAGATTAATTGCATTGTATAATCTAATCAATTGCATTAGAACTTCCAATAATCATACTATTAAGTATAGGATGTGAAATCAATAATGAAGTTAGATATTCAAATGATTTCTTGGTTGTTTTTTTGTATTCTTGTATTTTCTCATCCAAATCAGAAACCTTAAAAATAAGAACCTTTTTTTACTTTTTTTTCTAACAACTTCAAATAAACTTTCTTTCTTAATCTTGATTTTTTAGCACTCTATCTTAAACGTTTGTTTTTACATTCCTCATTCAATAAATCATTTGCTGAGCCTAACAATCCTGCCAATCCACCTCTTTTATCTTTTAAAAGTTCTTCAGAAGAACTATCTTCTTATAAATCCTCTTGTAATTCTTCATCAAGCAAATTGTCTCCTTTAACACTTAATAATGATGTTATTTTCTTTATATAAGCATTTTTAACATTCCCTTTAATTTCCTAAATTTAAGGTTGTTAGTCTCTTAAACTAGCATTAGATTAAATATGTTATAATGTAGATTTAGCTTTCTTAATCTTTTTGCTGTTAGGTATGAATTACTAATTAAGATATGGAGTTTAGAGCATGTTTTAAGTGAAAAGATTTTATAAATTAAGCATCCTTTATTATTCATGTAATTGTTATAATAGTCTAGCATTCTAAGCTAAGAGCTATTCTTGATTGATGTTTGGCTAAATTAATGAGTTGTTTGTTTAATTATTGAAGCCAAGTATAAATTAATCTATATCTTCAAGAGGTTATTACATAAAAATTATTGAGTATAATCATAAGTGATAAGTTAATATTTGAAATTATAATGAATAATCAAAATACACAACATAATTGTTTGGAATCAATAAACAATATAGATAAGGATAAAAAATGATTAATAAATTTTTAAGGAGTAGAAATTAAAATTGAATTTAGAACTTAATATTTATTGTATTCACTGTAGTAATATTTTTTATTTAAAATTCATAACTTAATCATCCATTTTTTATGATGTTTATCTTGTATAAAAAATAATTAGTTATTTTATTAACCTTGTAAACATTCATATATATATAAATGATATTTTAATGTTTTATTTTAAAAAATAATACTCTTTTTCATTTGTTTATGAAGTAGTAGTAATGAATATTGTTAATTTGATTTGATTATAACCGTTTTTGTATATGTTTATGATTGTTATCATTAACATTTTATATTAAGAAAGAAAACAATTGTTGATTATATATATTTGTTTATTAATGATCGTCACTTTTGTGGAAGCCATTGAGGATAAGTTAAAGTTAATCAATGTTGTGAATTTGGAGTTAGACTTACTAATTTTGATACTATACTTTGTAAATTGTGCCCCTTTAATATTATAAGTACCTGTGCATTCCATTGGGAATAGTTTTCAATTCATTGAAATGTAAAAATCAGAGAATTTTGTACAATTTATTCTTTGGCTTATTTTTTACTATGATAATAACTAAGGAATGGTTCATATACATTTTTATTTGGGCCATCTTAATTTACTTTGTAAGTAAAATGTTCAAAGATCCTTATTACCCAATATTTTTAGTTGGATTCATCATCCTGTCATACTGCCATGTGTATAGATTAATGGTAATCCTATATATATGATTTCTATATAGTATGATTACTTGAGTTGGAAGATGGATTATAATTGCATCCAGATGATGATAACTGCTCGTTATATATATTATGCAGTTGACAAGTCAAAAATCAAAGAGCACGATTCTTTCCTTATGTTCCTATCTTACGTTTTCATGTATCCAAATCTTTACCTTGCTCCACTTCCCTATGTAAGCTTCGTTAATCTGATAATTCGTAAAGAAGATTTTACTCATTATTCAATCAAACCTGCCCTCATTAACTTATTTAAGGCTATATTATTTACAGCTGGTGAATTGTTCATCAGACCTAAATTTGATACTGAGGTTTATTTTTCTGAAAACTGGACTCATTACAATTTAATTCAAAAAGTTCTAATCACATAAGCAGTTTCAGTGGTATTGAGATTTCAATATTTTACTGCTTTTAAACACTCTTAAGCAGCTATGGATGCATTTGGAATTACTTATAATCCAGAAACAAAGAAATGTGATAGATTTCCAGTGGCTGATTATCATTATGATATGGAAAAGAATATAATGAAAAAAACAATGATGTGGAATTCAAATGTATAAGTTTGGTTAAGGTATTGTTTTTATGATAAATTGAATCATTTGTTTGGATCACATACATATTATGTAACATTTTTAATTAGTTGTATTTGGTAAATATTAATTTATTATATTAGGCATGGATTCTATATGACTTATTACTTATTTTTTGTGTTTTGGGCTATTAGTGTATAAATTTGCAAATATTTCTATAAAGCTTAATCAAAATTTTATTTGTATAATTATGAATTTATTTATAGCATTCCTGAAAAGATTAGACATGCTATATGTTGGTTCTGGAGTTGTATGACTATTGATCATTTTGCAACAGGTATGAAAGTGTTGGATTGGAACAAGGCCATTGAATTCCATCAAAGTGTTAATTGGATAATACATATTTAAGCTTTGGTGTTATTTGGATTCTTTGCAATTACAGGCTTTGGATAATAAAAGACAATTAAAAAGAAGGATTGAATTATATTGAAACAAAAGTAGAATCTAAATACAATAAAAAAATTCAGAGTTATCTGTAACGAGCATAAGTTAGGATTGAGTACAGTAGTGATATAACAAGCATCACAACAATTATAATTAAATAAGATGCAGGAACGAAATCGAATTGTGCCATCAATCTAACTGCTTCCCTTATGTTAAAAATAAGCTTACTAAAAGTCTAAGATTTTTCACTCTTTATAATGTATTAAGTATCAATTATCAATTGTTCTTAAATGGTAAATTCTTCTATTGGTTTACCATTCAAATATAATTGAACATCTAACAACAAATCATCAGATTTCGAAAACATATATATACTGATCGGTGGATCCCATGTATCCTTCATCTAAAACTCACCTACGCCCTCATCAACATCAACTTCAATATACTCTGCTTGCAATATGATAGAAGGGATCATTAGACCAATAAAGAACACAGCTATAAGCCTTTTTACTTATTCGAAATACACAGCAAGAAATGACATATTGTTCTCCTTTTAAACAACGAGAAATATTATTCTAAACTATCTGCAAAAGGATCATGTCTTAATTAATCCTTCTCATGTAAAAAGTATTTCTAATCAATTGGCCGAAATTCCATTCCTGATAATTGCACCTGATGTTGTTTCATTAATTATAAATAACAATTTCAAGTTCTTTATTTATGTAACCACTTAAACCAACCAAACTCAATCCAGCCTCTAATATTGACTACAAAGAATTATAGAAAACCCTTATTCATTTCTAAAGAGCATAACTTGAATTAGAAAAGACTCGTTAAGGCTCTCCTTTGAAATCTGTCTCCCCAATGAGAGAAATGATTAATTTCTAAGCATTACAAGATGCAGGACTTATTGAACTAAATGAAAAAAGTAAATAAGTAGATGGAGTTAAAATCACACTTGAAGAAATAGAAAAAGCATTCAAAATACTAGATGAAAAGAATAAAGGCACAAAAATTTCGTTACTTGAATTAAAAAAGAAAATACCTGCTATCAATCCCAATTTTCCAAAAAGTGAATACAAAGCATTAACACAAGGTAAACCAGAACTCAAAAGTAAAGATCTCTATGAATTACTTAAGTAAAATGAATTATAAGATTTTGATCCTCTTGAATAGGCCTTTTCACTACTTGATCCTAAAGGAGAGGGTAATTTAGATATTAATAGATTGGGAGAAGTGTTCAGTGTTCTAGGTTATGGTAAAATTGATAAGAGAGATCAAGAAATACTCTTAGAATGTTTAGATGTTGATAAAGATGGTAAAATTGGATTGTAAGATCTAAGAGAGATATTTGAATCAGAAAGACATAAACAATGATAATTATTAATATATTTAATAACTATGGATGAAGTTTTATCATAGATATCAAATTAAGTTTATGAATTTGATACTTTGGGATTAGTCTAACAATACATATTTGAATTATCAGAGAATTTTAAAGAAAATCATAATGCTTAAGTAGACATTTAGTAATTTGTAATATTTTTCATTAATAAAACTGATGAATAAGGAATTGAAGGATTAATACTAATCTCAAAACTTATTGAATTATATTAAGATATATAGTCTTAATAAAATGAAAAAGTACTTAAATTAAAACATATAACTGATTATTTGATAAGTAGTCAAGAAATTTGTAGTGAATATTTTAATGCTAAATTTCTACCTTCATAAAATAATAAAATTTAACTTACTCGTCGTAATTTAACTGATATAGAAATTTAACCTCCTGAAATCTTAGGCTTAAATCCTAGTATGCTTAGAAGATTGTAAACATAACTCAAAATTGAAAATATTCATATGAATAATCAAATTATTTATGCAATAAAAGGAGATAATGATATGTTCTTAATTCTATAATTTTGTGAAAGTGTTTGTATGTTACATGAATTTCAATTTAAAAAAATGTTATAACCAAGAAATATGATAGATGGAAATTTTGTAGTATATGGTTATTATTCAACTAGATAATAAAGATTAGGAGTAGTATTAAGAAATAACACATTGATATTTTGGGATAAAAGAGATAATTATTCATATGATTATTAAATAGAAACATAATTAGAATTAAAACTTATTTCATATATAGAAATTTAAGATTTATGGATAAGTTCAACAAATAACTGTTTATAAATATGGAATCTCGAATAAGGAAAATATTAAAATCTATAAAATCAAGTATTTTCTGATGGTATAATCTAATTATTAGAAGTTATACATTTATAAATGTTATTAGTAGCCTCAAATCCTAATATAATTAGTTGTTGGGATATGTTTGAATAGAAGTTTTTATTTAAATTTTAAGTATTGCATTAAATACTTTATCAAATTGTTTGCAGTAGATAATTCTAATTGATTTTTACTATTGGTTTTAACAATTATATATCCTGTTATGAATTACATGCTTAATATAACGATTATAATTTGAAATGCTAATTTTTAGGTCATTCTTCAACAGTTTAATGCATTGAATATATAGAATAAACTGCATTATTGATTTCTATTGATACTAAAAATGTGATTATATTATGGGATATACGTTCATAATAATAGACTCAAATAGTACATTTATAAACTAGAATTCTTACTAAATAATTAAAGTTTTATTGTAATAAATTATGTCTAATTGCTAATATGTTATAAACTTTGAGTTTTGAAAAATAATTGCATCTAAATAAATAAATCAAATTATTATAAGTAATTTATGATTAATGGAATAAAAGAAATATTATAATAACTAAAGCAGATATTCGTATTTAAGATATAATAACTGGAAAGATATAATATATTTTAAGTGACTTTTAAAATGAGATCTCAGCATCATGTCTTATTGAACATGGATACTCAATTATAATTGGAACTATAGAAGGTGATTTGTATAAGATTTCACTTAAACATGGTTAAATCTTAGAAAAATGGGAATCCTTTTATTAAGATGAGATTATATCTATTTAATATGATGAAACATACAAAATTTTACATATTGTTTCTATATAAGGAATTTTAAAATGTTTACCTTTAACTTCATTAAATGTTTGTAAAGATAATATTTATAAAGATAAATGGGCAATACGTCAACTTTCAGTGAATATTTGTATTAATATATGTCAACTTTCAATTTTATAAGGTTTATTAGTTGTAAGTTATGAAGATTTCATTTAAATTTGGAATTTGGAATATTATTGTGTATCAATATAAATATAATTAGAAGATAATGCTATTGTTACTTCTATGATATTTTGTGATTCTCTTCCACTTTTAATTATAGGAACTAATTAAGCTGATATCTTTATATTTTAATTAGTTTAAAAGAATGATAAATTGTATTGCACTTTAGAAGGTCATTTAAATATTGTAAAAGCTGTTTTAATTTAAAAATTAAAAAGTGTATATCCAGATCGTATAAGTATTATGAATAATTTGTTTTCAAAAACATCATTGGAATTAATTGAATTATATGATGAAGGGGATGAACAAATAGAAGTTAAACATCTTTTTAATAATAAATATAAATTAATGACTCATGGATCTTTTGCATCTCGCTTATTAGTACAATATCATTAAGAAGAACTTAAATTATACATTGCTACAAATAGAGGATCAGCCTTAGTATTTAATATTACATAATTAATTAATAAGAAAGTAATCATTCATATAAATTATTTAGAATGTAGCCAAGAAACTTGATTAAATTAATCAAAGACCTAATTATAATCCTTATAGAGTTGTTTACAATAATTTATAAGGAAATTTTATTGATAATTATTAAATAGTTTAGAATCGTTTGATTAAAGATTAAGTTAAAAAGAGAGAATCTAAATTTGAATAGAGTAATAAAATTAAATAAAAGTTCAGGAATTCTTTAATTAGATATAGTATTTTAAAAGGATTGAAAGATAATCCTGAATTAGATATTACACATACCTTAAAGGAATCTATTTTTTCATTTGATGAGTAACTTGAGACTGCAGATTAAATTCACAATGATATGATTATTTAATTAAACTTCCTTTATATTGATCCATATGAAATATTGTTCCATAAAAAAACCTAACTCTTAATATCTGGATGCATAGATGATACTGTAAAAGTATTCACAACAGATTTTATTTAAATTTGTTAATTTTCAATTCATAATCCTATCCCTTATTAATGGTAATCATTATTAAATGAGAAAAATAAATTAAAAGCTACAATATTGGTTTCTTTAGAATTACTTTAATAGATTTTACCTTAATTAAATTTAGAAAAAAGAAAAGCATATGATATAGAGAATATGTTAAGATAAAATTCAATAAAACATATCAATAAAAACTCTAAATAATCTAAGATTTTGAAAAAAAAAGAGACTATTGGAAATTAATAGATTATATTAAAAGATTCTTTCTTAAATAAACGAAAAATCAGTTTATGCAATAATATGAAAATGCCTTAAATATCTAATTAATTACCACCATCATTACGTTATTATGATGAAAAAATTAAATAAAGTAAATATCAATAAGAAATTCATGAATAAGATTTAATCATTCAATAAAATCAACAAAAAAGATCATAAGGACTTTAAATTGAATTGTAAAGATAATAAAAAAAAGAAATATTAGATTATTTAACACCTGAGTCAAATGGGAATCAAAAATTCTTTGAAGATTTTTCAATTTAAGCTTTAAGTGCTAGATTAAAGACAGAATCAAGAACTCATTAGAGTAAAATAACTAAAACAACTAATGATACAAAAAGGACTTTTACTAGATAGAGTTTAGATTTTTTTGATTATGCTGAAAAGAAAGATATGCTAATAACTAGAAGTAAGATATCTTAGTCTCGATTTTAAACAAGAAGATAACATAATGATTTTCATAAGATTTTGAATGAATTACATGGTAAATTGAAAATTTCAAAAAAATAATCATGACTATTTTTTTTTCTTGATTTTTTTAATTATTTCTTTTTAAGGTTATTACTTATGTTATTTAGGTTATCTTTTGTTTTCACATTCTGTACATTAACAATGTGAAGTACATTTTTTTCCTCTTATAAAACATTCACAATAACCTTTCACACATTTTGTCTTCTTACATTTACATCCCCATACTTATTTTGTATCAAATGAATCTAAGTCATGATGAGATGCTCTTTATTCTTTTAATTTAATTTATTCAACTGCTTTAAGTACTCCATCTTCATGTTTACCATCATTAAAACAATCGTTACATTTACATTCATTTGTGCAAAGTCTTCGATTATGAAAGCATGAACAATATAATTATAAACAATGTGTTTTAGAACAATGACAAGCTTTGAAATCATCTTCTTCAGTTGGAGAATCATCAACATTATAATTAGTTTTATTGAATTTTCTTCGAGTTTAGATATAAGGTACTTATTCTACCTTTTCAACTTACTACATTTCTATTATATTTTAATCCACTTTTTCTTTATGCTTCTTTAAAGGAGATGGACTAATTAATTCAATTGACATCTATTTTCTTAATTAATGTTAAGAATCATCAATAGACATTTATGAGCTATGCAAATCATTTTATTTTATACAAGAATTGTAATAATTAAGGACCAGGCTGTATATCTAATTATTCTACAGAAGGCAAAGAACTTTAGGTATGTGGCTGTAATAATTCTAGTTTTTCATCTACTCTTTTTTAGTTTACATCTTTTTGATTCTCTTCATTTATTTTCAATTCTGATGGAAATTAAAATACATCATTATTGTTAGAGCTATCCTAATTGATCATCCTTAATTTTAATTAAAGTAATAAGTATTAAGTCTTTAATCAATAATATACAAAATTTGTTATGTACATTTAATTATTTGTAAAATTAAAGATAATTTAACTAGTCATCTTATAATTATTATATATACGTTAATTTAATACATGAATTTAGAAGAAACTCTCTTAATTCTTTTTGAAAGGACACTAGAATCCAGTAAGGATGATCATTTACAAACAATACTTGCAAGTCAAGCTAAAATTATATAGTAAAAGAAAGAAAATGTCACTCCTGTTTAATCCTAAACATCTGCCATTTAGAAAAAGTTATAAGTTATAGAGAAGAATTTCATAAATTAAGATGCTTTTAAAAAGAGAAGAAAATCTAAATATGACCATCGATCTAATACTGGCTCACAACATGACAATGAGGAAGTTCCAACAATCATACATGATGAAGATAATCAAGAAATAATTACTGATTAGATTAGTTTATAAAAGTTAAAAAGTGATAATTCAAAATTACAAAAACAAATTACAGAATTGGAATATGAATAAAGAGAAAAATATCTTAAAAATTGCAATGAAATGGAATAAATTAATAAAGAATAAAAGTTGTTATTGGAAAATGATAAAAAACTTAATGAAAAACAAAGAAAATTAAATTAACGATCATAGTTACTATAAAATAAACAATAAAATTTACATAAATAAGAATTCAATTATTATAATCAATAATAAAATATAGATGAATGTTAATAAGAATAATAAAGATATGTATAAATTTATTTAATTAAATAGGATAATCAATTGAATAATAGAAGAGATGAAATGGAAAAGTTACAAATTAAATTAAATAGTTTTGTATCCCAATTATTGAGTCTACAAAGAAATAAAAATAAAGTTCAGTGTTAGTTAAATGTATAAATTGATGCTGTTGAATAATTGGCTTAATTTATACTTAAGGAACGTTCCAATCTATAATAGGATTAACAATATCTAAGATAATTCAAAGAAAAGGTTTTAGAAGAAAAGAAACAAGTTCTATAAATGTAAGATTAACTATCATGAATTATATATAATATTTTACTATAAACAAATTAATAAATCAAATTGTAGCAATTGTTAATCCAATACTAATTGTTACACATGATAAAATCTTCAATCCTAAATTATGTAATGATGCTTATTTCCCAATATTTAAATATTTCTTAAGTAAATAAGCTAAAAATAAATTAATAATTAAATTCAATGAAGATTCACTGGCACTTACAACTCCTGCCTAAAATATATTATCAATAATATACCTAATAATATGTTTAATAAGCATAAACAGAACTGAAGTAACCAAATAAAGTCATTATTTCACCTATGACAGTACCTATAATTAAATTTTTTGGTTTATTAAACAATTAAATCATTTCTAATTACATTTGTTTATTGAAATTCAATTTAAATGTTTATATGATAACAAACATAATACGTGTAAGAATAAAGAATTCCATATTTCCATATATATTATATTATTGTCCTTCATTTTCTCCTTTTCCAACATAACTTATTATATTAGTATATATAGCATGTGACATATCTGAAATGATAGCAAATTTAACAAATGGTTGAGACCAAAATTGAAATTAGAATATTTTAATCAAATGTCCATCAGTAGCTGGAGCTAAGCCACCAAGAAGTATTAAAAAATAGGCAAGTAAATGTAAATAACTGGATAAATAAGGCCTATTAGATAGATAGTTTTAGAGAATTGAGAATAAAAATGCAAAGATTGAAGAAAACTAATTAACAACATATAAATACTTATAAAAATGGTAATATGACTGTACTAGATGAATTCTCAAAGGCTCTAATTATGAAATGATAATGATAATAAGAGAATATTCCACTTATAATCAATAAAGGTAATGATTAAACGGATCCGAAAACTGTATAATTGCCTACTAACTCTGAATACTGAGGTCCAATCAACTCTATATAAATAAAGTATCCAAATATCTAAATATGTTTTATTATTATTACAATAATATAAGTAGTTAAAGCACATAGTAACATTGTTTAGGAATGAGTGAGATGAATGCTTGATGGTAATTACTATTTCTTTTATGGCAATTCTGATTCTTAACTATCCAAAATGACATCGAAAGCAGTGTCTGCACTTGCCCAACAAAATGCAGATGCAATAACTGCTGAAATCCAAGACATTGATTTACCCATATAAATTATTATATAATCATTTTTATTATTTTGATTTTCTTATTGCATCCAAAACTGCCTCTTTATCTCCAGCATCTACATTTTATAATAGTTAAAATAATCTCTTTTTCCTCTCTTAAATTTCTGCTTCATTATGTTATATTCCTAATTCTTCTTCTAAATCAGGTATATCATTTGGATCCACTCCATCAGACTCATCATCTTCTCCTTTTTATTATTCCTCTTCCTCCTCTTCTTCTTCTTCCTCTTCTTTCAATTCTTTTTCTTTCTCCTCCAATTTAGTCTTGAATTCAGTCAAAAATTTATTGCATTTACCAATTAATGGATTGTTAGGATCAATCTTCAATACTTTTATTATCATAATTATATTACTTTTTTGAATAATTACATGTGCTTCCTAATATTTGCTATTCTTCATACATGATAAAAATTCCATTTTTAATTCAAGTATTTCATGATTTGTTTAATCCATTTTTATATATTAAAGAATATGAAAGAAGTTTTAATAAAATATCTAATCAAGAGATCCTTATATTATAGTGATTTTAACTTATTTGAAAAAAACCTTTATTTCATTAAATAAGGAAAGTTTATTAAAGTCCTACTTCAAAAATTATGACAAGAATGTAAAATTTATGTATGATACAATATATTTAATTTGGTAATTTTATTTGAAAATCTATTGTTTACATGGTTATCATAGAACATGTAAAATCTGTATCATAAATATTCATTAAATTAAAAAATATCTTCTTTTAACAAATATTTGATGGTATCTTTTATTCAGCATAATATACTTGATCCAAAAAGATATTAAATAGCTTTTCATCTAACTAAACATTTAAACCTACTTAGATAGATCAAAGAGAGAGGATCAAATTTCTTAAAATTCCTAATTCCCATAAGTGAATAAACCATCAACTATTTAAGAGGATAGAATACATCTACTCTTTAGAATAAATCTAATTTAATTAAACTTCTTGGATATAAATCATATATTATTTATTTAGTAGAATATACTAAATCTATGTAATTTATGGAGACTCCTACAAGAATTACTAAGTTATAATATTGTTCAATGTTAATATCATAGATATGTAATTCTTTTGTAAAAGTTAGAATTGTCAAACCATCAACATAAAATAAGACAATCTATTATTCATATTGATTCAAGCTATTCAGAAAGTACTAACAAAATATTTTAATTTAATAAGTATAGATTGAGTATTAATAATATTTTACAAAGAGATTTTTTTGCAATTAATTACAAAATTATTTTATAATTAATTTAGCTAAAAATTCATTAAAACAACTGATTATTAATTAAAAGTCTTGTTTTGGGGATCAATATATTGTTAAAGAAAATAGTTTAAATTAAATATGAGCTATTTTTTATTTATAAAATATATAGTTATTTATTAATGATTTTGATTAAGAGGTACTTTTTATATTGAATTGCTTATTATTAAATTTATAAGGCGATTCAATTTAACATCATTAATCAAAAATAGGATTACTGAATAATTAAAATAATTATTAATAAAAAATATGATCAGAGCTTCTCCATCATATTCATTAGATAACAGTTTTTAACTCAATTTTTTGAAGAAACAAATTTGTAAACCCATTATTTAGATAAAATCACTCGTTAAAAATAGAAAAACTAGATCTAAAAGTTAGGAGGCTACCGATTCTGATTAATAAAATTTTAGTTGTATTCAAGGTCCTTCTAGAAGAAAAAGTTGTTACTGCAATTAATGTGGATGTATGGGAAAGAAACAATTACAATTTATGGATCTAAAATTATCTAAATAACCTAAAATGATTAACAAAAGAGCATAATGTAATATTGATAGAAGATGCACACTCAATATATAGAGCATAAGTAAATTGAATTCAATATTTAGAGATCGTAGTGTATTTTATCGTAGGAACACTTAAAAAAATTCAGAAAAGGTCGATAATTTAAAATCTCCAACTTATGATTTAAGTGATTCTAAGAGTCCTGGATGGTTTATTAGATAAATGGTAATGAGAAAATCAACAATAAATGTTTAAAAACTAGTGGAAAAATCTCATTCAAAATATTCCAATCAGTAATCTAATAAAAAGATTATGGTTGATGATCTACTAAGCCCTAAAAGCCAATAAACCATTCATTTGCCAACTAGTACTCGTACTGTGTATCAAAAGTGTTGCAATGATAATTCTTGTGTTAGAATAAGGACAGTTGCAGGATTTGATTGTGAGAACAATTTAAATTCACCAAATCATAGGGAGATACCTAAATTATCTCCTTATCTTAGTTTTAGATAGATTAATTTCAACCTACTAGTACCTTTAAAATTGAAAAGCAAATCTACATCAAGAAAAACCAATAAAAAAATATTTTTCCATTCTAAAGTATAAAATTGATTATAATTTCTATCTTTATAATTTCATTGTATTATCTACCTTTTTATTTTATACAATTTATTGAATATTTATCCTAATTACAAATTAAAAATAAAAATGAGACTATATAAAAAAGATTAGGAAATATATATTATATAGAACCAAATTTATAATTTAATGATAATCTTAAAAATAGAAGAAAAGTTGTAAATGTAATTAATGTGGAAAAAATAGTGAATTTTAAATAAGGTTTCATGATGTTCAGATCTTATAATGGTCTTATTAGACATATTTAATTAATTAGATATAACAAAAATACTAAATTAATTATAAGGCAGATTACAAACATGTTAAAAAGATTATGAAAATTTTGATTTATTATCTAAAAAAGGAAGAAAAAGCTGTTATTGTATTGAATGTGATTATATGAATATAAAAATTATAATATTCCATTATATAAGAAAATTTCTATCAATAATTGTAAAAAATAAAGAAAAGTTATGTATATTAGTTATTTAAAATTTCATGATATCAAACACTAATATGAGTAATAAATCTTTTTAATATTAGAAACAAAAGTCAATTTTTTAGGAATATTAAATATTAAAATCATGTATTAAAATTTAATCATTAATCTTCCAAAATAACTACTAGATTACTCAAGTAATCAAAGCTAAATTTATCTAATTTGAAATTGAGACTTTCTTGGACTCCATAATTAATTCTCCTTTTGGTGATTAATCCTCACAATAATAGTACTAATTGGAATCTATTTCAATCCATATTTTGGACCCCCTAATAAGTGTTTTTCCTTACCTTGAAATTTTGTATCAAAATTGCTTATGACAATTAATTAAATAAAAAATGTATAAGAGGGTTTGAGAAGATCTTTATTAATAAAACGGAATTGATTTATATATTAGAATTTCTTTTTTTTTCTTAATTAATGGTTATTAAAAATAATGAAAAATATCTCCTCCTCATAAGATCTTTAAGCTTTAACTTTGATTGATTCTTATTTTGTAGTTTTAAATGACAGGAAGAGAATTCGTCAAACTACAAACTTCTAATCTGCCTAAAGAAAATTCAAAGAAAAGAGTGTAAAAATTAGAAGAAAAAGTTGTCATTGTTAATAATGTGGGGAAATGAGTGCATTATAATTTAATATGATGAATGTTCCTTTCTAAAAAAAAGAATAAATAATTGAAAAAGTCAAAAAGTAAAATTAAGAAACTCCTAGCTAATCAAAAGGTATAACTTCTTTTGTATAATATTAGAGAGAAGAAGTATTTTTTATCAATTACAATCATTAAAATCAACAGAGAATACTAATGTAAGACTTTCTCTCTAGATTCATGGAATTGGCAAGAATTTTTGTAGACCAAGCACAATTAAACAATTAATAGCAGAAAGCAATTAAAGATCAAGAAGAGGAAGTATATATGGTAGCTACTAAGGATAAACTTCGACATCTGATAATCATTCAGTAAAATCTCTCAGTATAAATATTTTTCAAGATTAAAGTCCATTAAAAACTTAATCACCTAATAATGAAACTATCACAAATAGAAACACTATTTTGAGTTCAAAATAAAATTTAATGAAAAATACCTATTTCTCTTAATCAGTTCGTTCACTTAAAACAACTTAATAATCATAATTTAATAAATATAAAGGTTGTATATTGCCTAAACTTAATTAAAAAAAGCAAGAAGATTGATTCTTAGATATATTTAATAAATGAATATATATATTTTCTTCAAGAATTTCTTTTTATATAAATGATTTTATATGTCTTACTTTTGAAAATCACTGAAGTTTATTTAGAAATGATTTTAGAGTGGTCTATATTAAGAAAATTTAATTTTTAAACAAGTTCTTTATCTTGTTATATCATTAAATAAAATTATTATAAAATGTCATTGACCTTGAATGAATTTATCAAAAAATTAAAAGCTAAAGAATTCAAAAAAATAACAATTGCAGCAGGTGCAGGTATAAGTGTTGCTGCTGGACTAAGTGATTATAGAAGTAAGGATACAGGATTATATGATTAACTAAAAAAATTTAATTTAAGCAATCCAGAATAGGTTTATGATATTAATGTTTTTAGAAAGAATCCATAATTATATTATTCAGTATGCAAAGAATTTGGAACACATAATTTAAATTTACAACCAACTTTAGCTCATTAATTTATTTATCATTTAGATAGAAATGATTAATTATTAAATTGTTTCACTTAAAATATTGACGGTTTAGAATTAGTTGCAGGAATTAGAGAATCTAAAGTGATATAAGTTCATGGACATAGAAGAACTGCAAGTTGTATAGATTGTAAGAAAACTTATTGTGTAAAAACCTTTTATTAAAATGTTGATAAAAATGAGATAATGAAATGCGTTGATTGCAATGGTTTGATTAAACCTGATGTAGTATTTTTTGGATAGTCACTTCCATAACTATATTTTCAAAAATTGCCAGAAATTTAATTGAGTGATTTAGTTATTATTATGGGAACTAGTCTTTAAGTTTAACCATTTTCAAATATGATTTATAGGATAAATGAAAATGTTCCAATAGTTTTAATAAATAAAGAAACTAATTTGAAAAGATTGGACCCTATTAATAATAAATTGTTAATAAAAGGCGATATTTAGGATATAATATCCTCAATCATGAAATAATTGTGATATTAATGGTTCAATTATTTTCCTGCTATAAACATTATCTATATCTTTGAGTAATAATGAATTGCCAATAGGGCTTTGTTATTATTCAAATTTTAATTTAGATAATTACTTAATTATTTATAATTAATTTTCTCCATATATCATCATACTTCTCTATATATACTCATTTTCTTAATGAATAAAAAAAACAATCAGAGTCTTACATTCTTCTCTTATCATAAATTCATTGAATTCATTGATTAATTAAATTTCATTATATTTCTACAATAAGTCTTATAATTTGATAAAAATCACACAATATCCAACAGTATAAAACTTTTTATAATCTTTGAGTAATTGTTAAGAGAGGGAGAGTTGCAAATTCAATTTGACATCATATTTCAAATCTGTAAGATGTTAATACTCTATTTAAGCATTAAATTATGGATAGAATGAATGGCATAAATCAAAAATTTATTTATCTTTATCCACCCATCTAATTTGATATTGATTTTATTGAAAATTGAATGTATCTATCAATATTGTCTTCATTATCAATTAGGATATTTCTACAATTTCTTATTTACATTTATAATTCTTGTCTAATTACATATATTCTGCCACCAATGTTACTGCAGAACCTACTTTTTCTATCTTTTTAAATTGACTAAATTACTATCCTTTATCCTCATGATGATCGATACAACCTATTTGATTATTTGTATATTTGATATCATTATGATCATAAAGAATTAAATCATATTAATTTAAATCCACATCATTAATAAATATCAAATCATCAACATTGAATAATTCAATTGTCTCAAAATGAGATCCAAATGATTGTCTATTATAATTAATGATTGGTGCTGTTGGGATATTAAATTATGTCATATGATAGGCTAAAAGAATTGATCCAACACACGAATCCATGTCAGCTGTTGGATTGCCTAACACCAATTACTTTACATTCTAAAGCAATTTGATATTTCTTAAAAATTGATTAATCATTATAATATATATATATTTATAAAATACATATATAAATTTAGAAAATGTCAAATATTGAAGAATTCATAGATTTAATTAGTTATGCACCTATAGATGTAAGAAGGGCCTTCAGTAAAGTCCGAGAGTTGGCAAATTTAGAAAAAAAATATGAAGAAACTTTAGAATCAACATAAAACCTAGTGTTTAAAGTGAAATCAGTAGATTCATCAGGAGAAAATGGACAATTTATCTTATAATTGAAAGAGTAAATCCAAAGAAATCATTTATAATTGCTTGCTTTACATAGAGAAAGAATTGCAGCTTTAGAAATTATTTAATAAAATTATTAAAAATATATAGCAACACTTGATATTGAGGGAGAAAAATTTTTGGAAGAACTAAAATAGTTGCCAAGAGAATAAGAAGATATATCTCGTAAATCTCAAAGAGATGTAAAGGTTGAACCTCCTGTTATGGTTCAAAAGAGTGACAAGATTAAAAAAACTAAAAGACCATTATAAGATGAATAAGTTGAAGAAGCTTAATAACATACATATTGTGTTTGTCTACAACCTAGTTATGGAACTATGGTTGCTTGTGATTCAAAAAATTGCTAAATAGAATGGTTTCATTTATCATGTGTAGGATTAACTGATGTTCCAGATGAAAAGACTAAATGGTTTTGTCCACATTGTAGAATGATGAGATGATATATTGTTTTTTAATTAAACAATAAAATACAAAAAGAAATCCAAAATTTTATTCCTCTTTTAAATATAGGAAATAACCTTTTTTATTCATTTATTACTCTTTGCATTATGGATTATATCAATATTCTTTTCATTAGCTTCCAATTGTTTTTAATATAATAATTTTATTATTAATTATAATAATTAATAATAAATTAACTCAACCCACTCCATCTTAAGCAAATTCTTTATTATCATTAAATATTCAGAATTATTATTATTTATAATTTTTTAATTTTATATTTCATTATGGTGATATATATTTTCACCATTAATATGTTATTATTAATTAATATATATTAAAATGTAGTTATTTAATTTTAATACCTAAATTTTACAATACTTCTCTTAAATAAAATAGAGATTTATTTATTTTGACATTATCTTATAGTTATTACATTCTATTTTAATCTTTCAACACAAGCTATGTATATAATATTAAATTCACATTAAAAGTTGAACTTTAACTATTTAAAGTATATATTTTATGAACTCTACTTAAAAATTTTATATTAGCTTAGATATTCAATTTCACTAAAATCAGATGAAATTTTTGTGAATTTATTTTTCAATAATAAAGATCATTTAAATTTCAAATTTATTTTGAGTAATTAGCCATTTATTGTCTTGAATTAATTGATTCAAAATTCATATTTTTTCTTTATGTTTTAATTTTGGAACTGGAATAACAATCATTTTAATAATATTGTTAAAATTATTATTTTAATTCTCTATTAGAATTAAATCCAAAATTTCCTCATGCTATTTAATTATTCTTATTTCATCCTATTTTCTCTACCTCTTAAAGTATAATTATTCCTATTTCTCTATTCTCAAAAATAGCTAATGAATGAAGAAACTAAGGCATACAACTGTACATATTTGATACTTAATAATACTCATAAAAATATCACCAAATTATGATCTATCCACAATTCATTCAGTAGAGAGTGATATTAACCCATTTTTATTATTAGCAATTTATACCTATTCATGTTATCAACATTGTTAATTCAAGTCCAATATTTTTGTAAACCCATCCTAATGTATATATAAACTATCTAATTTTTTAGATATCCCTATTTAAATTACTAAGAGTTATTTTCAAGTCTTAAGGACACTTTTTTATCCATACTAAATATTGTTTAACCTCAAAGTTGAATTATTTATTGAAATTGAAAAAAAATTTATATTTTCTAATATCTCAATTTTGTATCTTAACGCTAAATTTTTGTTTAAATAAATTCACATCATTAAATTTAAATAAATAGTAATTTATAATAATTGGTAAGGGTTAAAGTATATTTTTAAGCTTATTTGTTATATCAATACCCTAAAACAATTATATTATTAAATGTATGATAAAAGAATCTAAATAAAGCTGACTCTCCCTATTATTATATAACTGATATCAAATATGTTTTAAGATACAATTTTAGATTTGAGAGATAAATTATGGTTCAACTTACTATAAAAAATAGTTATTTATTTATATTAATAATAAATATTAAATTAGTTCCTGAATTTAGTCTGAGAACATAACTTATTTTTATTTATAACAAAATAATATTATTTTATAATAATATAAATGAAGGCTTTTTATAATTCTATTTAAAATAAAATACTTTAAAAAATAAATTATTTAAATTTAATTACTTCAATAGAATCATGCTTCTAATTTTAAGTCAGATTCTTAAATTAATGATGAATTTTATTGTTAGGTAGTCTCATACTATTTTAGTAATTGAGACATTAAATCTTACAAATTATTTTAATGTACATCTTTATCATCCTTTGGTATAATACATTTAGATATTTTTATTTGTTTAGAGGAAGGTGATTTAAATCTCTTAGGACTTCTTCTAGGACTTCGTCTTGGACTTCTTTTTGGACTTGTTTTAATGAGTGCTTTAGATTAATTAAGTTTGTAAGATGTTTTTTTAGGTCTTTTAATTTGACTATTCTCTTCACTTGATGTTTTCTCATTTTAGCTAGCTTTCTTTTTATGTATATCACAAAAGAATTTGAATTGGCTTTCAATTAATTTTCCTATAATTTTAATAATAAAATTAAATACCAGTTGAAGAACTTTTCATGAGACATGTAAAATGAAATGCCTCTGGACATACAGCACAACATACAGTAGCTCCAGTTCTACTACATAAGAAACATTTCTAAATTAAATAATGTTAATTACAGTTTATTTTGATTTATTAACTTCTTCATCAATATTAGTAGGATCACATTATCCTTATTTGTTAAAGAAAACTAAATTTTAACTCCATAATCCACACATTTCATGTAAATCAAATTTATCATTTTGATTTCTATTAGATGGGATTTACAAAAGAGGACCTAAATTAGAGTCATTTGCTTCTAAACCACAAAAAATACAATTTCCTTCATCTTTTTTTGGATATTATAATTTTTAATAAGAAAACTTTTGTAATCTTCCAAATGTTATAATTTAATCTTTATTATTATTATCTTTATTATTATCCTTATTATTATCTTTGTTTTATTTAAATTTAGATTTTTAATTATCAGTTTATAAATCTAATTGAGGAGCACTTTGAATTTTTAATTAATTATTTTCTTTTTATTATTAGTTACTTTATTGTTATTGAAATACTAATAAATTTTACTATGATTATTATTGCTGATTATTTAATTAATTAATTATTTAATTATGTTAGTTAAGGTTTGTGGAGGTTTAATTTTTTTGCCCTCCATTTTATACTTATTTAAATATTGGAAAATATTTAGTTTCTTAAGGGATTCCTTTTTATACTAATTTTTAGTCTGTTTATTTGTTAATACATTCTTATTCATTAATATCCTCTATGATGAAAGTTTGTGGATTGGAGGGAATCATTTCTTTTAATTCTCTTAATTATTTATCAATTTCTTTATGAGTTTTATTGAAGAATTCTAGTATTTTGAGTTAATTTAATTATTATTTATCTAGTTATTTCATACTATTTGATTCATCCATAATAGCATTAACATGAAATCTTCTATCCAATTTTTCTTATTATTTTCTTTTTAGATAATTTGTAAATTTTTGAATAGTAGCTTTTGTCAAGGCTAATAATTAATCAGCATCAGAAATAGCTTATTCAATTTCTTCTGCTGCTTATTCTAAGTATAAATTCATAATAAAAGAATGATTATAATATAAAAATCAAATAATTGAAAGGAATTTAATGAATATAATTAATTATTTCAAAAAAAAGAATTTACAATAAAAATTAATTTTTAATTAAAAAAAGTCCATTCATCTTAACATAAGGCCTAGATACTTATTCAATTGAATTCATCTTATTATTATTATTATTACAAAGATAATATTATTTAATAAATGCCAATATAAAACTATTTCAATCAACTTTTCTATTCATCCTTTTCATAAATTTTTCAAATTCAAAAATTTTACGCTTACTATTTAAATTCTCATTTATGTTGTATGTTGATACATTTTAATGACTATTATCTTTATCAAACTATTTGGAAACTTTGTAATTATTAATATTAATTAGATTAATATCTTCCATATCTGTTCCTGTTTTTTATACTCAGCCAAAATATAGATCTTGTTACATTATACTCTAATCAATTCAATACTTCAAATGTATTATTGACACTTTTGAATAATAATGATTGTAAAAATTTTTAAATTATTTAGTCAAGTATGGTTGGTATTAACTTATATTATAGTCAAAAATACTCATTTCTATTATTGTTCATAGTGTTAATCATTTGATTGATGTTGAACAGTATATTCAACAGAAGAAATTAGATTTTTTTGTATTATTGATATGATTCTTAATTTTATGGAGATCTTCCCCTTTAATTGAATATATCTACAAAATTTGCTTCCTTGCTTCCTTTCTTTTTCAAACTTTTTTCTCAGATGGAATACAATTGTTTTAGCTGTTGCATATTTAATGAAAAGTTTCTAAGCAGCCTATATTAAACTTAATCCAGTATTATACTTCTTTAATTTTAAACCCTTCCTTGAATACAAGTTGATGTAATTGTTCTTTTGATTCTTAAGGGACTTTGATATAGGTTCTTTTATATTCCTAAAACATTCCTGGAATTATATTATTTCGTGTTCTTAGTTCCTTTTTTTCAGGAGACAACAAGATCTCAGAATCTGCCTTGAGGGAAAGTACTTCCTAATGAAAACTCTCAGATTTATTCATTAATTATATATATATAAGATCTTTTCAATCATTACTTATATATAAACAGTCTATTGATGCGTCATAATTAGAATAACTTAAAAAAAACTATACTGATATCTTGTTAAACTATTCATTTGATAACGATAAGCAAATTTACATAAGATTGATGGATCTATAATGAAAATTTCTTAACACAATTTCTATATTTATGATATTTCTTTATTTAATTAAGTGCTAGAGATATAATTTAATTTAATAAAAATACTAAATTAATTAAAAACTTGTAAGCTACAAAAGAAAAAAATATCCTAATTTACAATTAGGAATCCTTTTATTAACTTTTAAATTCAATCAATTTCTTACTCTCTAAATTTAGATTTAAGAATTATTTATGATTTTGTTGATAAATTATAAATAGTGAAAAAAATTTATAATGAATTCTTTTTCATTTTCATTAACTCAAACATTACACTCTTAATAATTTTCATATGACTTAAAAAAGAATGAGATCATTATTATAAGATAATAAATGAAAACTTAATTTAAATATATAGTATTCTATCATTTATATTAATTATCATCAATCTCCATAAAATCTTATTGTTGATTTGGATGAAATTGTAATTTCCCAAAAACAAAGCAATTTTCTTATTTGATGAAACAACAAATTTATTTTTATAAAAATTCAAATAATCAAGAACATCTATATTTTAATACTTCATTGTGATTCTTATTTCAATTAATTTTACATAAATTAATACACAACTATTTAATGTAAATGAATATTACCCTTTCTTTTTTAATTAATGAAGTTCACAATGAAATAATTACTAAATTCCTTAAAATCATAATCTAACATAAACATATTTTTTTTTTTTGTACTTCAACCATCCTTAAATTATAAAAAGTAGGAAAGAGTTTAAAAATAATCTTAAATTGACTGCGAACGTTTCTCTTAAGGATTATTAGTAAATTCACCAATCTTTTTTACAAAAATGATAACATATATCAAATTTCAGAATATGAAATTGTCATCCTGTCTTTTTAGTTTCTTATTTCCTATTTGTAAAAGTATTTTTATTTATGATACTTTAAGTAAATAATTATAAGATTTACAAATTCTTAGGAAGCTGGATTGACTTCTTTAAAATTTAGAATATTTTCCTTTAGAATTTGTTTTTCTATAAAAAAATAGTTGATTATATATAAATTATAGATTCCTATAATTAAGAAATGATATTGAATTGTTTAGCATGGTCAAATGTCATCTAATCTATTTTTAGAATGAGAATAATTGAGTAATAGAAATTTTGAAGGCAGAAATTATAACTAATTTTGTTTATCTATACTCATCTATTTCTAATTATTTATTAATGCTTAAAGAACATATTATCAAGAAGATTTAACATTTCATATCTATTTTTATGATAAACTATGTAAAATTTTAAGATGTTTTATTTATTTAATAAAATATACAATAAATTAATTGAAAAAATATATAATTAAATGAAAATAGAAACTTTTCAGAGAATAGTGGTTATACATATATATATATTTTGAAAATAATCTTTTTTTTGTTTAAATGTAGTTATATGTATTTTTAGATTAATTTGGATTAATTGATTAATATAGATTGTGATATTGAAGAAGAAAGAGTTATTGGAAATTGGAATAATAAGGATATGAAAAGTATTATGTATGAAAATATAAAATTAATAAATAATATAAATCAATTTAGTTAGGAAAACAATACATTATTCGAATGGATATGCTCTCTTTTTCTTGTGTACGACCACATACTATCTTTTCTAAAACATATTACTTAAAAGTAATAGAAGATGAGGTTATAATTTCTGCAGTAACTTAATTATGTTATCTATTTAGTTCAACAATTTCAAGAATCCAAAATATAAAATAGAACTTAAATTATCAACTTAAATAGTTTGGAAAATGGGGAAATAAAATTTAAAAGCATTTGGAATATTTTATCAGAATAAAATCAAATATTTTGAAGCTTAACATGTTTATTTGGAATAATTAAAAAAATTGATTGGAGGACGAGTAATCTATAGAAATATGGCATCTTTTTATGAACCAATATAATTTATTGGAGAAGGAATGTCAGCAAAAGTATATTAATTGTTAAATTAACAATTTTAGGTATTTCGAAGTATAGAGAAATAAACCAATAAGGTTGTAGCAGTAAAAATGATTAAACAAGAGTTTGGGAGAGAAGAACAGGCTTTAGTAAGTTTTTAAATAAAATTTAATTAGGACATAGTCAAAACAGAAGTAAAAATATTGTAGTCACTCAATCATCCAAACATAATAAAAGTGCTTGAAGTTTATGAAAATGACTAGACTTTTTGGATTGTATAAGAGTTTGTTCAAGGAACACCTTTAAGTGAAATTTTAAAATAAAAACTACCAACAGAATAGATAAAGATGATAATGATCGTATATAAACATGATATATCAATAGGGTTTATTGAATACTGTAAGTTATTTGCAATCACTAAGAATTGTACATAGAGATATTAAACCAGAGAATATTATAGTATAAAAAGATGGTTCAATTAAAGTAATTGATTTTGGATTTGCAGCAAATTTGAAATTTGGATCTGTAAGTAGTGTATGTGGGACACCAGGTTATTATGCACCTGAAGTACTTAGATAAAAAGAATCAAGTTTTAATTCTGATATGTTCAGTGTTGGTGTTGTGTTATTTAATTTGTAATTATATATATCTATATTAGAATTACAAATCAACCTATGCTTAAATCAAAGATGTACAATCCTTAATAATTTGTGGCAGATGAGGAAGCAGCTGATTTATTGAAATAAATATTGGAAGTAGATCCAGCAAAACGATTTACAGCTTAATAAGCATTATAACATCCTTATTTTAAAGGATTTTATTAAATAAATGAAAAATAAGATAATAATTATTCATCTGAACATCAAATATTACAATAACAATTACAAATTAATTAATAACAACAATATTAACCAAAAAAAAGTAATAAAAGTTTAGATGCTAAAACAATCAAATCTCTTCGAACTACTAACATAATGGATTAATGATTTTGATATTGAATTAGTAGTTGTACTATATGTTTATAGATTTAATATTAAAATCTTAATTAATTTCAATTCTATATAAATATATATATATATATATATTTATGATAAATAAATAACATGTTTTACAAGATCACTTATTTTACTTTTTTTATTATTTCAATTAAATTTCTCTATTATTATTAATTAAAATACTTCTCTTATTGTCATTATTTTTAAGTGTTTAATATTAAAATGAATATATTAGATTATAAAAAATATATTTCACCATAATACAGATCATTGTCACTATTTGCTAAAAAGAAAATAAAAATAAAAGGTAGATCAATTAGTTTTGAACCTTAAAATCAATTAAATATATTCAATATGAAAGGATTGATATTTTAAAAGGATTCATTAAGAAGAAAAAGTTGTTATTGTATTGAATGTGGAAGTTTAAGTAAATTCTAATATAAATATATGAATCTTAAACATATACCAAATATGAAAAAGAAAATTCAAATTTAATTAAGAGCTGAAAAGAGAAGATAAAGTAATATATTTATATTAAAATCAATTAGCTAAGAACAGTACATTTTACAAATATCGTACAATTATATTTGATTAAGTAAGAAGAAATAAAATTGAATAATAATAAGTTGAATCAGTAGAAGCAACTCCAAAAGAATCTACTTGCCTCAAAGAATCAATGCATAGATTAAAAGAATATTTTGATAAATAAGAAACTCAAAAAATTGAAATTCAAAATAAAACTCGAAATTTTCGCTATTTTGGTAATAAAACACCATTAAGTTCTCCTAAACATTATAAATCTCCTCGGAATAAAGAATCTATACCTTATCTTAGTTATAGAAGAATTGAATTGACATAATTAAAACCATTAAAATTTAGTGATACTCTCAAATCATTTTAAACACACAAAAAAACCTTATCAACTTAATCTTGAATTATATATATTATACATAAGTAAATAAATTCAACAACATGAGTAATACTTGTTATCAAATAAATTACATTATTCTTATATTTAATCTTTTTATGGTGGAATCCAATATGATTGTTTATTATTATGAAAAAATGTAAGTCTCATATTTACAATCAATCCATAATTATAAGGATGATAAAATTTTGGATAAAATTTTAAATATGTAATTTTATCTCTTTTTGTATGTTCCCAAGTTGTCTATCCAGTAACAATTAACATAGTATGATATAATAATAAAGCACCTGTAAAAATACCAAATCCAAATGAAATTGCTCCAAATAATAATATCACAAAATATTAATATTAATATTTATTATCCTTTTGTTCTTCTTCATAAATTGAATAAAGACTTAATTGTTTATTAAACTAAAATAAACTATCAAAACATAGTAAACATTAAAAAAATAAAAACAACCAAAATATTCTATGATTTAATTCACCTATGCATCCTCCTACCCAAAAACAATGATGATCATATTTTGGTATACATTTCTTACATTTTGTGCAGTGTTTAGTTCTAAATGGTTAAATTATCTTGCATTCCTAACAAATATTTCTTATAGGTATTTATGATTCTTATTAAGAATTATCTCTTTGTTAAGTTGAAATCGATAATTATGATAATTCCAAATCATCATCACCTTATAATGGAATACCTGATGAATCACTACATTTTATATAAAAATATGCAGCTAATATTGCTTCAATCAATAATCTAATTCCAATTGATAGAATTAATTCATTCTAAAATAATGTTAATATAAGAAAGCCTGAAAATTCTGTTGTAAATAGAAACCTTTTACAAGCTATTCCTATATCTTTAACTTCATTTGGAACAACCATACTTATTTATATTTATATATAATTATCTTATATAATACTATATTTTATATGATTTTTAATCAAAGCAATTATAAAATTTATATATAATAACTAATATTTATTAAATTAAAAAATACTTCAACTTTTCTTTTGATACTAAAATTGAATATCATATTTGATTTAATTGGTTTAGTAAATGCTTAATTGAAGTATTTATAGAAATTAATAATCTAAAGAAATATAATTTTAGGTAATACCATTATTTAAAAATTTCTATCAATATTTTTGATTTAAATATATTTAGAATGTATTTTACGTTTTAAAAATTATATTTGTAAAATAAAAGATGGATTTTCTTGGGATCAGAAACAATAGATTTATCAAATATAAGAATAATTTAGATTAAGATGTTACTTTCAGAGATGAATTTGTCTTAACATTAGATGCTGTGTCTCAAATAAATGTACCAATTACATAAAATTTTAAATTGATATCAACAATAAAACACTCACAAAGAAAAATAAACTATGATTGACATGAATTTTTTATTTATATAAACAACTTAAAATTTATTGATTCTTTTAAATACATTCCTACTTCCAAATAAATATAAATTTGATTATCAATTTGAGAAGTTTCTTATTTAGATAAAAAGTAAAAGAAATAAGAAATGAAGTAGACTATTAATAAAGTTGAATGAAAAAGATGGGAAATTAATATATTAGATTTATAGAATAATTTGTTAGTTAAATTATTGTCTATTTTATTCAATATTATTTTAATATTGGAGATTTTATTATAATTATATAAAATAAAAAGAGAATATTAAGATTTGTAATCATTAATGTTATTTTCTCTTATGGATATGTAGATTTTATAACAGAATAATGTATTTGTTGAATAAGTTTATAAATCATTGATTAGATAGGAAAATTAATATTTTTTTTTTAAAGAAAATATGATTTCTTAAAATGAGTTTCATTCATCATGATCCACATGAACTTATTAAATACTCTTAAAATATTGAACAAAATTAATGAGAGAAAATTTTTGTTCTTCTCTTTTAACTTATTTAAGTTATTATCTTAAGGTTTGTTTTTTACCACCTATAGTATTGCCCAATAAATTAGTAATTTAACTCTATAGATGAGGTAATTCAACTCTTGGATCATATGGTGGTTCATCACCATCAGTAAATGAATCTTCTAATTTCTATTTTAAGGATTTGAAATCATTAATCATACATTTATCTACACCTCTAATATCAGGATCACTTGTTGTTAGAGTCTACTTCATATCATTACCAATTATAAGATAAAGTAATAGGAGTAATCCATCAATTTTAGAAGTCAAATCAAATGGTCTTCTATCTTCTACATCAAGAGGTTTATCACCTCTAATGATTGATAATTTTTCAGCCAATCTACCTATAGCTTCAATAAATTCATGAAAATTCATTTAATAATGTTTTGTTGAATAAAGTTCATCTTTTTATGTGATCATAGATTATAAATAAATTAAGTAACATTCTCTTTCACTAAGATCATCACAAATTAATTTAGATTACACAATCCAATCTTTAAAATCTTATACAGATATGTAATCATATTTATATAATTATTTGTCTTTCTTACTCAATCTACTTATATATTTAAATAAAGATTTTAACATTGCTAAACGATCATTAAGAATAATATCACATTTTTAATTCCACAATCTACTCTTTCTCCACATTTAAGCTTAATCAAATTTGGAAAAGTATTCTTAAGCTTATTTATTGATTAAATTAATGGCTTCACTCATTGTTGTACATATACCTTATCTAATAAATTTATCATTGCACATTCTTATCATGATTTCTAAAAGTTAACAACGAACCAATCCTTTATCAAATGCTTATGGAAATTAAACATCTTTTGCACCAGCTGTTGATGTAAAACTTATATCTATATCATTTGTTTTATAACCATCTAATAATGATGTTTGAAGTAAAAAATCAATATAATCTTATATAGTAATACATGGAATTGGTGTATTAAGTGAACCAGATGCATGATATTTATAACAATGAAATAATTGACGATAAAGTATTTTAAGATTATCTTTTATTTCAATCAATTCAGTATCTTTTACTAAACGAGTGACTTTGGAATTTTAAAAATCAAATTCAAAACATTCATCTATTAAATTAGGTGTATCTGGTTAAAAATGTTTGAATATAGAATTTTCAACTGACCAACAATGTTTTTTTATGTTAAGATAAGGAGAGAAATCAAATTTAGCTAATGGTTCTCTAGGTTTACATTATACCATTGGCATATATTTATCAAATAATTTTTATTTATCATTTGTATAATATACATTAACTTAATCCATAATATTTCCATCTACTAAAATTTCATCATTGTATAAAAATGGTATTGATTATATATTCATTTATTTTATATTTTAATCTAATGCTGGTTATTGAATACTTAAAATAGGATTTGTAAAGAAATAATGAATTTCTTTATTTGGTGGACACATTTTAATATAAAAGAATTCATTATTTAAAAATGTCATTAAAAGAGGTCTATATTCTTCAAAATCAAAATGAATGAAAATAGGTTCATTATATAAACTACCAGATTTATGAGCAGTCCATTCAAATTTTATTTCTTACCATCCTTCACAAATCCAACAAGTATCAAGTCTATTAATTTCATTAAATTTTTATTTATTCAATTTTGTAGATCTAATTTTTCTTGATCTACTATATGGTATAACTAATATATCTTCTCTCTTTATTATTAGATTCTCTTTTTTTGGTTCATCTAATAACTTAAAATATTATGGTTATTTATATAATAATTATAATTTATCTTATCGTTATTTGAATTATTAAACATTATTAATTAAAAATCCATTAGGATTTACAAATAATTCTTGTTGATTACCTTCAAAATGGAAACCATAAATTGTTTCATTTTTTTGAAGTGCTTCTGCAATTAATTAAGCTTAAGAACTTGTAAATTTATTATAAGAAAGATCAACATGTAATAATTCATTATATGGACGTGATATTGCTTTATTAATTGATTAAGCACATTCCAAAGAGGCTATAGTATTATGAGAGAGATCAAGTATTTTAATACTAGTGTTTTTATACATAGCCTTCCAAATTATAGTACCTGCACTACCATTAAAAAAATTATATCCTAAATATAATTCCAAGAGACGTTATGTTTATTTAAGTAAATTTGATATGGCATTACAAGCACACTCTGTAATTTAATTATTGTTTAAATTAATACATTATAGAGTATTATTTGTTAATAGATGTTTCATAATTATTTGACATCCTAAATCTCTAATGTTATTATTTTCAAGATTCAATTTATAAATTTAATTCTTATATGTAAAAGCCATCAATACTTCCATATGCATATAATTAAGTTTACAATTTTATAATTCTAAATCCTTTAAAGTAGTAGGAAATGTTAATAGTATGTTACGTAATTGAATTGGAGTAAATTAATTATGATTTAATTACATTACTTATATTTATCTACTTTATTATGTAAGCATTGCATTAGAAAATGCATTACAATCTTCACCATTCCTTAAAGCATGACTTACATTAGCATTTGTTAATTGTAGTGTATTTTATATTAATCCAAAAGTTTTTGGCATTCTTTCAGGTTGTGAGAAATTCAAACTCAAATAAAGATTATGTGGTTATTATTTATATAGTTTTGTGTAATCATCTAGTTTTTAAGAGTGTCTAACGCTTTTCAAAAAGTCTTAAGTGCTTATGGCAGACAACTATTTGCTTATGTAAAATGGATATTTTACTTAGCTAATTTCATTTTATAGAAATAATTAAATCGATCATTCCCAATTGATTTTATACCAGGATTAGTTTTACATTTAAAAGCTAAAGGTGGCTTTTAATTAATTTATTGATCTTCCTCATTATTTACTTTATTTATCAAATCCTATTCTTAATCCATGAAACCCTACCAATCCAAAATTTCCACTTTCATCAGATCTTTCTACATTTCTATACTCTCATTCTTCTCTTGTTCTTAGTCATATCTCTTTTGAAATGGTTATTTCTTTTTTTTCTACAAGTTGCATATTTATTTAGTCTAATCAATATATGATTTAGTTATTTCACTCTTGTGAAGAAAGAGTAATTTTCTATTAGCTGATTAACTTGATGTACCTATAGTAGTAAGTTCAGCATATTCATCCTTCATATTAAATAAAAAAATATAATCAAAGTTCAATTTTAATCAATCAAGTTTTACAAATACTCTGAATCTCACTATTTTCAGTATTAAACAATAACAAATTTGATTTAACTTATATTGAATATTCAAATTTGTTAAATATACTAATTAAGTCTATATTAAATAGGTTATACTGTGAATATTTAAATAATTTATATAAACTAACTTGATTCAATTACTGGAATATAAGAATTATAATCATTATCTATAATCATGCATAATTATTATGTACTTATTGAAATTTGAAACACTAGTAGATTTTTTTATAAGGAATTTAATTGTTTTCATTAAAATAACTAATATAAGAATAAATAAATGATCAAAAATAATAATATCAATTAATTTTTATTTATTGTTAACACACTTCTATCATCATTGTTTTTTATTACTTTTAACACAGAAGTTTCTATGATAATCAAGAATCTAAATTGAAATGTATATAATAAATTGCTTGGATCAAATAAATTTAGAATAATTCAAATCACATCTAAGAGATTATTGATAATTATTAAATATTAATATCCTTTTTTTTCTTATTAAAATAGTAAAATAAATTATATATCTAGTGTTTTTACTTTTTTAATGAAAACCTTTTATCAAAATAAATCTAATTATTTCAATCAAAATATCATAAAATTTAAATATTTTCATTCCTATATACTATTGCTTACATTATTTAATATTCACAATCTAATCCACTTTTTCTTCTAGAACTCTACAAAAAGTAATGTAGTTATTGAGATTTATATAATTTTACAATTCTTAATATTGATATAGACAATATTTGTTTTTGCTGTAATAATCTTTAAAAGATTTTTTAATAGAACTAACAGAACATATAATTAATGTTTGTTATGTAAGGCCTTGTTTTACATGGATAAATTTAGGTTTATAATTATTTCATTTTTATTTTGATTTTTGTCATTAAATAATGATATTGAAATATTTGAGATTATTATATAGTATTTAAAAAAAGAAGACTTATTTCATTTTGACTTTTGAAACCATTTTAACTTCTTATAATCTATTTTATTTTCTTAATTCTTCTGAAATTTATTGATGAGTATTATAAATCTTTATTTATTCTAATACATGATAAATATTAATTTTAATTAAAGATAAATGGTTTATTCATTAAATCATCTATTTTATGAAAAAGAGAAGATAATATATATTTTAAATATGTTCTCTTAGTCTATAAAAATGATTTTGTTTAATTGAATAAATATATTGTATTATATTTATAGAATATGGATAGAATTGATTAAGGTTTAAGATTGGAAAAATAAATGATATTGAAATACAAGAACCAAAATTTCAAAATTGCCCAGCACTTTCTTTTAATAATTCATCATCGTGTTTTTCATCGTAATTCTTTTCTTATTTAATATTGAACAAGGCTTATATCAAATATTACTTTTATTAATCACTAATATTCAAAGATAGTAGATTAAACTCATTCATATGCATTAAATTAGTTTCAGTTATTTTCATCCCTTCAAGAGTGTGTAAAATAAAATCCGACTTAGTTTATATAACAAACACTTTACCCCAGATAATTTCCATAATTCATCTTATAATCTACGAGAATATTTGATAATTGGAAGTTTTGTTTACTATTATTATTTTTAATCAGGTGTAGTAGGAGCTGTACGATGATGTTTACGTTATGTATTCCATTTTTTTTTTTATCTGTCTGAGAAATCTGAACCTCTTCTTGATAATGGATTAGAAGAAGTAGTTATCGAACTAAACAATTCTAGTGGTTATCCAACTTCCATTTTCTCTCTATTAAGATCTTGAGGAATATAATTAGGAATTATAGGCCCTTAATAGTTTGAATTTGATTTATAAGGAATTCTTAATAAATTTTAAGTATTGGGTTCCTCAATAATCCATTATTTTTCATTTTATTATTTAGGTATTCTAAGAAAAATTAGTATTAGAAAATACCTGCGTTCTTAATCATTATGAAAGAATGGACACTCTTTTTTAATGCAATTAGGTTATGCACAAGGTTTAGTTTTATAGATTAAGGGATGATATTCATATTCTTTCCATCCATGACAGTTTGAACAATTCTCTTAATCAGAACAACCTCCTTAATCATACCTTGAAATTTGATCTGTCTTATTCCAATTAGGACATTCTTTAGGTTAAAGTAATTAAGGATCTCTTCTAAAATCTTATGCATTATGAGCATAAACACAACTGGCTCTATCATGTCTTTAATATATATTAATGTATTACCCTACTATATAAGGACACCATATAGTTTTATAATGAAACATCCAGAATTTCTTATCTTGTACCAATTATTCAAGTTTAAGAGGAAGTCTCAACTCATATTCATTATGTGCAAATGAACAATAGATTCCATATTCACAATCCTTATTTTATACACAATATTTGCTCTTATATCTATTTGGATGGTACACTTATTCTACTTTGTTGTGTGAGAATACACACAAATCTCCATTAGGACATTGCTCAAACTAAGGACAAATTTGACACCTTAGGAATCATTAACAGTATTCTCACTTATATTTGAATTGATGAGGATCACGTCGACGATCAGATTCATCATGATAATATGGACAAAACTTTTTATGTGTACTCGGATGTTATTAAGTACAAGGTTATGTTTTAAATTGAGCAGAATCTATTTTTCTTTGCTAATCTAAATTTGTATAAGAATTTTCATGGGAGCGTACTTTTCTTAATTGCATTGAAATATATATATTAAATTTATTTCATATAAATTTAAAACTATCATAACATATATTTTCATAATCTCTCTCACTCTCATAAATTTTATAAGATTAACATAAATTTTAATTCTTATTTGAACAACACTCATATAAATTACTTACTTTACTTATTTAATAATTTTGATATTTATATAAAAATAAAAAAACGAATATATACATCGAAAAATATAGATTTAAAATTTCATATCCCCATGTTTAACATAGCAAATTTATAATCTAGGTAATCAACTGAAATTTTACAATAGCTTGTGTAGATGTTTAATATAATTAAATAGATATTGATTAAATTAAAAACTGATCTTAAAAATTGGATAATAGATATTGAAGGAAGAAAAGAACAATTTACAATCAATTTATAAGTATCTTCAAAATTATCTCCTTTCTACATATGCATGTAAAAATAAAAAAAGACTTCTGCATCATAATATTGACATTAGCTAGAGTAATAATGTTTCTAATTGCTTTTTCTCTGAAGAACCATTAGAATAAATAGCATAGGCATTTATAAGTATTTTCCATACTCATTGCCATATTCACTGTTGTAATAATAGGAGACATGATTGATTATATGAAAGAAAAATAATTTAAATAATTATATTTAGAATATAAATAATTTTATTTATAAATTATAACTATGAGAAGAATAATTAAAAAAAACTATACTATAAATATAAATTAAAGTGAATCTTCTTGATCTATTAGTGTTTATTTCTAAAGAAATAATCTTTAAATAATCTTTGCAGTTGAAGAATATGATAAATTGAATATAACATTTTTTTCGATTGAATATATAAATATAAACCATTTATAATTATAATTGTATAACAACTAGTAATACAATAAGTCTTCATTTATGCTTAATGCAAGTATTTCATAACTGATTAATTAACATTTTTATAAAACATGTTCTGCATCTATTAATCATTTGATGCCTTACTTATATTTTAGTTGTCTAAATGTATATATATATATATTAAACTAAATATTGAGACAAAAATAACAATAATATATAATAACATTATCATAATTTAGTCTATTATATATTATGTTCCTCTTTGTTTTTCATAAATATAATAATATTTGATAATCATTAGTGATATACGATTGAATTTTATAATTTAATATTAGACAAATAGTTTATGGAATCAAATTATTTATAAAATTTTATTTAATTCATTTTTAGTGATTTTCTCACTCAATTTAAGTGATAAGCAAAAATATGATATTCTTATTCGTTATTATTGAATTTCCTTGAATTAAAATATCATTTCATGCTCACAAGATAATAATCCAGAGAATAAATGTCTACTTAAAAGATAAAGCAACAAAATTCTTATATTAATTCAAGTCATTCAACTGAATAATCAGAAAATGTCTTAATTGAAATTTTAGAATTATTAGATACAGGAAATAAAGTCTAGGTAGAGACTGATTATCTTGAAATTCCTTTAGATCCTTAATTGAAAAGAATAGTTGATTATAATAATTGTTATAATAAGGAGTTATTTGACTCTTTAATCAATGACCAAATAGATTTAGGTAATTGTCTACTAAACCATCAAATCAGAGATTGGGTAAGAGGAAAAATGGTTGATTGGATGATTTAAGTATTCGCCTCCATTCAATCCAAAAATGAAACTACTTTTTTCAGAGCTGTAAATTTGATGGATGTTTTCCTGAAGAATTCTTAAAATTACACTGATTAAGATCTTTATTTAATAGGTGTCACTTGTATATTCATTGCTTCTAAGATTGAAGACATTAATTGTTTAAAAATTAAAACTATAACTGAAAATCTATCACATAATAAATTCTCATAATATTAAATCAAATAAATGGAATCAATAATATTATAAACTTTGAATTATGATATTAATTTTCCAACTGTTTATGATTATTTATAATATCTAAGATATTAATTATTTGGATTGTCTGAAAAGTATTGAATTAATAATATATTAGTTAATCTGTCATAGTCATTAATGAAACTGCTGATTATATTCTAAAAATGTGTTGTCATGATTCATAATTAATGTAATATAAATAAATGCTTTTGGCTGCCAGCATTTTAGGATATACAATTTATAATTATGTAGAATTACATTTTTCCAAATTAGGAGAAAAATTAAAAAAATAATTATTATATACAGTAAATTTATTAATAATATCATTTAGTAAAATAATCTCTTAAGAATTGGATAACTTGAATTAGCTGATTATTTGAATTGTCTTTCAAAAGTGGAAGAATTAATTTAGTGTTTTCACTCCAAGTATCCACTCTATAACAACTTAAAACAATTTAATTGATTTTTAATAATTATTTATTATCTTTTTATTAAATTTAATAAATAAAATCATACAAATAAAATATATATCTATAATTATCAATTTTAAGATTAATTTAAATAATAATAATAAAGTATTATCTATTAATTATAATAACTAATTGATTAGATTAATATATATTATAAAATTTTAATTAGAATTTAATGGAAATGAATATATATATATATATATTGAATTGAATGAATTATTTTAGATTTTTCATTACCAAAATCACAAGTTTATGGAATTATAATATATATATTACTATAGATTACTATTCATTTAATTTATGGGTGATTTAATATAATAAATTATAGAATTTTATTGAATGAGTAAGGATAGTGTGCCTATGTTCAAGTTTATTGTAGTTGGAGATCAATGTAAATGGATATGTCAGACTTAGCTGTTGGCAAGAGTAGTTTTGTTAAATAATATTCCGAAAGCTAATTTATAGAAGGGATGAGTAGAGCAACAATTGGAGTGGAATTTATTAAGAAATTAGTAACAGTTGATAAACGTAGAGTGGAATTATAAATATGGGATACTGTATAAAGTTTTGAGTGATTGAATAGGCAGGATAAGAATAATTTAGAAGTATGATAAAGAGTTTTTATCGTGGAGCTGCAGCTGTGTTTGTGTTATATAGTATCAATTAAAGAGATTCATTTGAGAAGTTATAAGATTGGTTAACAGAATTACATGAGAGTGCTCATGAAGAAATTGTCAAAATCCTTGTAGGAAATAAATCAGATATGGAACGTAATGTTTAGAAAGAAGAAGCTGAAAAATTCATGAATACAAATAATTTTAGTTTGTTTTTTGAAACATCTGCAAAAACTGGAGAAAATGTAGAAAAAGTATATATATCCAAAATAAATATCTAAGGCATTTGTCGAAGCTGTTAAATTAGTGATCATGAGAATGTTTACTAGTGATTCATTTAAAAACTCTATCAAAACTACAAAAAAAACTCCAGCAAGTTCGAAATAGAATACCAGTAGAAGTGATTAACCAATTTCAGATATTACATCATTCCCCACAAAACCAATATAATTGTAATCCAATCACACTTAAGAAAATAAACATAAAAAGAAGGAATGTTGCTGATTTTTAAATTTGCAATTAGAATGTTATTTTATATATATCTATTAAACTTATTTATTTGCTGGCACTCAATTTGATTAAATCTTAATTTATACAATATATGAGTTTGTAATTACTCATATATAAATATACAAGTGATTTAAGATTTCTTGAATCATATAATATTTGATTTGGAATCCATAAATTTAATTATCATAATTATTTTATTATATTTAATTATTATCTGGATAAGTATTAATATTATTATATTGATTTATAATCAAAGTGATTATTAAAAACTTAAATTAAACACTTTTTTGTTTACATGAGAAAGTTATCAAAATTAGAAAGAGAATATAATTATACATAATTGTTATTTGATTCCACATAATTTTGAGTCTTATACTTAAAATTTTGAATAATTACTTTATATAAATATAAAACTTAAAAAGAATCAAAACTTGCTGATGTTAAATATAAGAAAATCACAAAAAACTTTTTTCAACTTATTTACTCTTTTTTCATCTTTGTATTACAAATAGAGTATTCAGGATTATTTGTCAATCTACTCCAATTCTCAAGAGATACCCTCAAATAGATCAAATAATAATAACTAATTTTATTATTATGAAATGTTAAACCCTACAATTCCAAAGGGTATAAAAAATTGTGGAACTTTCTAATAATTTGCAGAATTCATTATTTAAGTGATAAATTTAACATAAAAATATGTAAATCATTATTTTTATTTGTTAGACCATTTTTGTGAATAGCTTAAAAGTAGATCTTACATTTAAGGAATATTTATAAATATCATAATTTTAAGTTTTTAATAACATATCTAATATGATAAATATAATTTATATTTTAAGTATTTTCTTATAATTGAATTTACTAATACATAAAAAAGCAAGAGGACCTAATGAATATCTTAGATTTTATTTAAACTTATATTAACAATATTATTAGTTTATTAATTCTAAATTAATAAATATAAATTAATATAAAATTTCAGAATATTTTTTTATCTCATATTCTTCCATAAGTGGTATGTCATTGTTGACGTTGATGAGAATATTATATAAATTATTTGTTGATGATTAAATCAACAATAATGTTAAATAATGAAGAATAATTGATATAAAATGTATCTATATTATTGTTATTTATATTAATCAACCCCATCTGAATCTTCCTGGTGGGTAGAATGGTCCTGCTATAAATCTTTCTGATGCCAAATAAGCCTTGATCTAAGGAAGATTGGAAAATTCATCATGATGTTTCTTTATGTTTGCTTATGAATTGAAGACATCTGCATTGAATGCCTTTAAAGTTTCTTCAATTTCAAAAAGTTGGAAATCAACATAAGTGATATTATTTCCTGATGCCCATGTTTTTCCTGCCAAGAAAGCATTCAATTTTTCAATAAGCCAAAGAATTTCTGTTTTGAAGTATTCATCTTTCTTTGCAGCATATTCTTCTTCTGTTAAAGTAATTAATGTGAAAAAAACTTTCAATAAATCTTAGAGTACTCCCTTTGTCTGAGCGAGAGCCACTTATTCATCTGGAGTTGATCCTAATAAATCAGCTCTATTAGCTTTGTGTGCCAAATAAACATAAAGAGCACCACTTTCGAAAACCCATTTGTCTCCATCTTTAACGTAAGGCAAGTTCACAAGTACTTCATTATTAAGTGGAGGTTAAGCAACTTCGCCAAACCATTCTTCAGGTTTCACGTATCTTTTTTCTTCAAATGGTAAACCAAGGTATTCCAAATAGTATCTCACTAAAATAAGTATGATTTCATACATGGTTAACCAAGTCCTCTGATTCCCCAATATCCAAATAACAATTTATCTGCCATTATGTTAATATTTAATAACCCTAAATAAAAGTATGCAGATTATAAATTGCGAGATATTAGAATTTATCAAAATTCGAATATTCTTTTTCCGAATTCAATAGGAATTCAGAATTTTTCTATCTTTTCTGTCTAAATCTCTTCTAATTTTTAATTGTTAACCTGAAAACTTAGAAAGTCCTTCATTTCTAAATTCAATCCTCAATTGTTTTCATTCTATTATTAAAGTAATAAAGCTTAATCATTATGTAAGCATAAAAATAGAAAGGAACTTTCAAGCTATCACCTTGAATTCAATAAGAAATTCATATGGATATCCAATTTCTCACTTTTTATCCTTCTATAGAAGCAGGGAATTTGTATCTTCTTAAAAAAATAATAAATAAATTATTATAAAATATATATTCCTAAACTTATATAACAGTTTTATAATCTCATAAGAATTTTAGTATCGATTATAACGATGGGTAATAAGATGGGTGTTGATTTAAATTGCATAATTGATATGAAAATGTAGAATATCTTTTCCAAAACAATACTATTATTATTATCAATTTCTCTTTATTTAGTATTTTATATGTAAATTGACACTTAAAATATATTTCATTTAAGTTTGAAGAAGTTATAGAAAAAGTAGATGTGTAGAATATTTACAAATAAAATATTATAATTTTATTTTAGGAATTTAGAAATTCATAATAATATTGTTGATATAAATTTTTCACCACCATCTCCATCTTTTAATTGGATAAAATGGTTAAGCAATAAATCTTTCTGAAGAAATGAATCTCTTGATTTATGGTATTTCAGCAAAGGCATCATGATGTTTTCTCAGGTTTTAGAATTGATCCAAAATTCCTGGCTTATAAGCTTCTAATGTTTATTCCAATTCAAACTAAAAAAAATCAACATAGGTTAAATTATTCCCTGTTGCCCAAGTCTTCCCTTAAATGAATTTATTGAGTTTTTCAATTATCCACAAAACTTCTGTGTTGAAATATTCATCTTTCTTAGCTAGATAATCTACTTCTGGAAGAGCAATTAAGGATCGAAATGCTCTATATAAATCTAATAAGACTCCTTTGACTTATTCTACAACAACCTGCTCTTCATTTGTAGATCCCAATAAATCAGCCCTATTTGCCCTATAAGCTATGTAGATATATAGTGCTTGACTTTCAAAAATCCATTTATCACCATCTTTAATGTAAGGAAGATTGGCAAGAACTTCTTGATTTAAAGGAGGTTTGGCAACAGAATCAAACCATTCAGATTCAATTATATTGAAATTCTTCTAGGTATATGGGATTTCAACATATTCCAAGAGATATCTCACTTAAATATAAAATATTGGATACATGGTTAACCAATTCCTCTAATAGTCCAATATCCAAATTCTAATTAATCTTGCATTGTTAGTTATTAAATAAAGCAAAGATGATTCAATTTAATATGATATGCTCTATAGAATTAATCAAAATAGGGAATTATTTAAAAAAAGGAGGAATAAAATAGGTAATTGTAAATATTATGAAATATATTATTGAATTAATTGTCATTATAAAATTTATAATAATAATAAAATCCTCAATATATTTGTGTCAAAGCATTATGCAATCATCATCATCTTCGATTTGGCCTGGATCATTTAAATTCTTTACAGTCACATATTTTTCATATTGTTCTTATTTAGATAAGACTTTGATTTCCTTTTTATCTTTGAAATAAGTAAAAATTCTTACTTTTAGGTTTCTCTTGTAAGGATCTATATAATTCTTTAATTTTTAATTAGTCTTCTGCCTTAAGTGTTTGTAATCTAAAGAGGGGTAATTCTTAACCTTTTTCACCAGTAGGCCATTTCTTAATGCAATGAACATGATACCAAACCTTCTTATCAAATTATTAGCCTAGTTTTTAGTAAATTTCAATTTATACCTTCATCTTTTCTTAAAAATATATGTCCAATTTTTAATTCATGCTTGAATATGACAACATGACAAGTAGCACATTTAATTCGATTAGAGAGTGCATATTCACACTCAAGAAATTATTTCATCTTCATTTTAATTATTAAATAATTATAAATTGGTTTTAATCAATTTAAATAAGATAATTGTAAAAGTAATGAAATTTTTCATAGTGATATTTTAAATTTATTTCAATGAAATTATTTTAATATTATTTATTTAATTAAGCTATTCTAAATAGAAAATATTTATTAGAAGTAAGTTAAAGTTATTATATTACTTCTATTATATAGTATAGCAAATATAATATTAAATAACTTTGGAAATTCAAATATTTTTGCATATAGAATATTATTTATAGATGATATTTTTTAAAATTAAATTAAAATTTTAGAAGCCTATGTAATTAATTTGTTTTACTTTATTGATTAAATAATTAAATTTGAATATAATTATATATTAATTAATAACTACTCTTATATGGTTAAATAGATTATTATATAGGGTTTGAGTATTCAGATAATCAATATTGTTTCATTCTGAATTACACAATCATTCAAATGATTCACCAAAAATTAAAATAACAATTTAAATTATTTATTAATGATAGATGCTTTAATTTTATTTCATTTTCTTTCTAAATACAATATATGAATGTAAACAAATTTTTATTGAGACATCATCAATAGGGATTAGATTGTATGTTGAAGAAGGCTGTATTTGATTTAAAAGTTTAAATGAGTCCAGTATAGAATTTGGTAATTTTAATATTTTTTTCCTTTATTTACTAGTCTTTTCTAAGTTGATTGTCAGAATATACAAGTATTTGAATTACTCTTTCAAATTGTATATTACTTAATCTCTTAGAAAAAAGATTAATCTGATGATTCTAAATTTATCTGCTAATTTAAATTCGATTTATGAGATAGAAAGGAAGTCAATAATTTATTTTAAACAAATAAGAATATATGGTATCATCTCAGCAGATGGACAGTAGATCAATTTCAGAGTATTAGAATGTCTAAAGGGAATCTTAGAGTGATTTAAAAATTACTTAATGTCCCAAAATAGTTAAATAAAAGGGGAAAAAGTACATGAAGATTAGATTCAACACAAAGCAATAACTCTATAGTATGGTACAAAGATAGGGGATGAAAATAAAAGATGTATATTATAAAAGTTGATGAGATGTTTAGGCAGCCCAAATATTAGGTATCAAATACGCAACTGCAAAGACTATAATATTTCACTAAAGATAGAAGAGGAAAGCAAAAAAGAAATGTGGTGAGAGAATGTGTGGATACACTAAAATAGTTGGAATTAGAGTTTCACGATTGAAAATAATTTGCATAATTGCAAATGAGATTGTGCATTAATAAGATTACAATTTGTGATCAATATATATATGCTATGTTCTTGTTACTTACCATAAAAAATTTAATAAATAATTTTAATTAGAGGAACTATGAAAGGATTAATAAGAGAATATAAAGAAAATCAGTAAATTTTAAGTTAGTAGAGGGGATGTTCTTGTTTATTTGTTATTCTTACATCTTTTGTTTCAAATCCAGTAATGATAAAATTTTACATTACTTTCTTTAAGTTAGTTTACATTAATATATTAATATATGCTGATATATATATAAATGTAATATTCATTTATTGTTTGGCCATTTGATCTTCTTTAATAAATAATCAATCAGAATCTCTGGGTTATGCATTTTCAATGAATTTTGATTGATCCATGATACTTTAGGTGCACGATTATTCTTTTGTTTCCATGACACTTGGAATAACAAATTTTGACCATCATTGTCTTTTCTTATTTATATAATTTCATCTGCAGAATCTCCATCATCATATGTACCTTCTCCTACTTCTTATGGTTTTGCTTTGAGTGATTATTCAAAATCTAACACATAAGTCATAACAGATTGTAGATTTTCTATAGGTTCCCAAGTTTTTTCATTTTCAGAGTAACCTTGCCATTTTACTTCATATTCAGTACGACCATTCTTGACTCTTTTATTTGTTATAGCTTCAACCATATATTCTTCTTATGAAGACACTGACATAGGAGAGGCAGACATGTTAAATATAAATTAATAAGAAGGAGTATGTGGATTGGTAGTTAAGACTCTCTTAAATGTCTGGTTTTAATTTGTAATTTAAGAAAATATAAAATGGCTGTTGTGGAGGCTGCAATTTAGACAGAAGGTGTAGGTAGATTTGAATATTAAGATGGTACAGTGTATGAAGGTCAATGGAAATTGATAGAAGGTAAGAAAGTGAAACATGGTAAGGGACGAATAGTGATAGCAAGTATGAAATATAGGAATGATAAAAAGGTTCATTGTCTACAGACAACGATTTGAAAGAAGAATACAATGGAGAATTCGAGAATGATTAAATGTGTGGAGAAGGTGTTTACATATACAAATCAGGTGCTATTTATAGAGGACAGTTTCGAGATAATAGACATAATGGAATTGGATTCTATTAATTTCCTGAAGGTTGTACATATGAAGGAGAATGGGTAAATCATAAAATGCATGGAGAAGGAGTGTTCATTGATAAAGAAGGTAATAGATGGGAAGGAGAATTTGTCGAAGGAATTTATCAATCTAAAATGTAGAAATAACTTAAGATGGAAAAGATGTTGAATAAAAAAGAAGCAGAAATAAAAGAAAATGCATCTCATTTCTTTAATCGTTTTATAGATGCATATGCACATTCAGATAAAAAAACAATGAAAGATAATATGAGTCCATTCTTTGCAACAACAGAAGATATCAAATTATATGTAAAGGAACCATATCCACAATTTCCAGATCGTCCTCCTGAGAAATGGGAAGCAGGAATTAAATTCTTATCAACAGGTTCTTTGAATATACCTCGTTCTAATACTGCAGCTAAAATTCTTGATCCCTAAAATATTTTAGCTGCTTAATTCAGTGGAGTAGGTTAAGTGGCAGAAGTTTAAGTGCAAGAAAACACTAGAATTGTTAGATTAGCTATATGTAATACTGCTGAAGACAAATGGGTTATTGTATTCTATCATGATAATGAAGAACAAGAGATTAAGAAAAAGAAGTGAAAATATATAAAAATAATTAAATTATGCCACCTAATAAAGAGGAAATTGATTTGAATTCCTTGCCTCCTTTAAAACATCTATGTATAACTATTAGAATTGAAGCAGCCAAATCAAGAACAATCAAACTACTCAATATTCTTAAATCTTGAAAATAATTATAAAAGTTTATTCAAAGAGATGAAATAATCATTTTTTTAAAGAAAAACTATTGTATATTGATCCTGCCCTTCTACTTTACCTGATAAATATCAAGTCCTTTCTGTTAAAAAAAACTAAGTATTTGACTGCTTTAGTTTAAGCTGTGGAAAAAGTAGCTCCTCCAAAGAAAGAGGATAAGAAAGATATAAAAAAAGGTAGTAAAAGAAGCTGCAGGAGTTGCACCAATTGTTAAACCTAAAAAGGTTGCTACTGAAAAAGATTATACTAAGAATTTTGATTTGGTTTTTATTGTTTAAGGTTTTCCTCAAGTACCTTTAGAATAGATAAAATTAATTATACATGAGTTATAAATTGGGGTAGTATAGATTATCAATTAAATTGCATAACCTGAAGAATTCTAAGATGATTTCGAAAGAATGGAGGAATTTGTTCCACTCCCTCCTATTATACGTCAATAATCAGAGAAATCATTTAATTATGTTTCCGATTAAAGAAAGGTTATAGATGAGATTAAATAACCAAAAGGTTTATCTTTACCAGCTGATCCATTAAGATAATTGACTATCAAAGAACTTATTTAGATATGGATGTAGATGTTGAAGAAGAAACCATTAAATAATTCTATGAAACTATTTTCGAAGAATTTATTAATTTAGTATAGATCAACAATAATATGCTGAATGAATAGCCAATAAGAAACCCATTCCATTAATAAACAAAGAAGCTCCAAAAGATCATTTTGATCTTCAAAGAATTTAACATTATGCTTAATTAGCATTAGAACAGGAAAGAGCAGCAGAAGAGGTTGACTTAGCTGAGAAAAATAAATGGGACCTAAAAAGGAGGCAAAGAAAAATGAAGCTGAATTAACGGCTGAAAGATAAGCAGAAAGATAAGCAGAGAATTAAGAAAATAGTAAATTCATGATGATATTGATTAGTATGTGAAGATGAAATTTAAATTACATCTATAATATTATAAGAAACAATTATCTGATGTATAATTATAGAAATTTGGACCAGGAAGTCTATTCGAATGTTTATTAGATTAATGAGAAGCTAAATCTACTTATTTTATTAATTCTTAAATTCCACCTAGTTTTGAAGAATTCGAAGATTCTGATCAAGTTAATAAAATTTTGGTTAGCTTTAGATAGAATTTATATGGAAAGAAAAAATAGGAATAAATTAAGATAGAAATTCAAGCTGTATTTTATGATTCATAATTCATTATGACATATTTACCAGATGATGATGCACTTATGATATATTGCTATTATAAAAATTCTACTTGTATAACTTTAAGGAAATAATGGTCAGCTGAATGGAGAGTTTTACCAAATCGTGAATATTTTATTTAAATAAGGAATTTCAAAAGCTATTATTTTTATGATGTTGATTATTAAAAGATTGGATCCATCATTACTGAAAGATGCAAAATTATGTATCCATCTAATAATTCATTAGTATTTGTTAGTAAGTTTACAGTTGGAGATAAGAAGCGTCTTTGTGCTTGGGTGATTAAAAAGAATGTAGTAATCGGTATTTAATTTTGATTTTATGCATAATTAAAAGAATTGAGAAAGAGTGCGTAAGATAAAATAATGAATTTGACATTTAAAAGTAGTTTATATTTACGATTTACATAAATGGGAGAAGTAATTTAGTAAAATCCTACCAAAACCAAGATGGTTCAGAGTAAACATAAAATTAATTCAATCATTATGGTAATACAGGTATAGTGACTGAATTGATAATTAAAGGGTCCTTAAAAATAATAATTTAATTCTTTTTTCTATATAAAATTGGATTATAATTTACTCTATCAGTTCTAAGTAGGAAACAAAAAGAGTCGTAACTAATTAAGGAACAGTATTTATATATAAAAAGGATGGTTCAATAATAGTATTATTTTCTAATGGTAATGTTTCAGAATATAAAAATCACATATAGATAGTCACCAAAAGGAGTTGAAAAAATACTTTGTGTAATCAAAACAGATCCCGAAAGTGAATCCAAAGTTTATATACGAGATGATCAAACCCCTAATTATTTACGATAAAGATGGCCACTCATACACATAACATTAAGATGTAACTATCATGTTAATAATAGGAGATAAAATTATTTTTGAGCATCCCAATTTTGCTAGTGTAATTGTTACAATTGATAAAACTAAACAAAGATATGGACCTATTATCAGAAAACAAAATTTTTAGTTAGTTTAATTTACTGTAACAAATTTGAAAGATCTAATGATAGTAGAGTTGTTGAGTCATTTTACTTTAGATTAAAATCTGAAAATCCTTTATGCACTAAATTATATGAAGAATTATCTAATAATATCAAGTCTATCTCATTCATTATTGAATTGAAATAACAGCATAAAAAATTCATTGATGTCAAAATACCTTAACTTTAAACTATGGATATAATACCCAAAATCATTTAAAAGACTACTATTATTTCTTATAGAGTGTTTAATTTTGGTAATTTTCAACAACATCCACCATTTGATAAAAAAGAGAGAGTTTTTCATGATACATGGTAAAAAAGTATGTTAAAAACTTAGAATGAATTTGGAATTGTTCAAAAATTAGATGAAGAGAAAATAAATTGAATTTAAAATCTAAATAAAATATTAGAGAGCAGAAGAACTGATTATTCAAAAGAATCCTTTGATTAAGCTAAAAGTGAAATTTAATTACCAGAACAAAAAATTACTACCATTGAACCTCTTGAATAAAGATTGCTCAAAAGTGCTAGGGTTTAATCAACTGTCTAATAAGCATTGTTGATTTATCAAGAAAGGTCTAAATTATTCGAATAGAAAAATAATCCAAACCTATTACAGAAGTAAAAGGATTTTGCAAACCATATTTAGAAACTAATGGAGGCTTAGAGTTTCTGAAATTTGCTCCCGAAAATCCACCTATAAAAAAATTAAGATAAAAGATTTTCCATATAATTGATGAACCACAGGAATTATAATAAATAGAGTAATTTGACAATAAACCAGAGAGCATAGTTCTTTTAGAATAACATCATCCATAGCCATAATATAATAATAAGATAATATATCAATAGGCTGCTTCTGTAAGTAAATAAGAAATGAAGGTATGCATCAAACCATAATTAGAACTCTTCATAAGAAAAACAATTTGGATGAACTCATAGATAAAAAAGACCTTATGGTTACTGATGATATTAATTATAGTTTAAAAAAAGATCTTTTAATATATCCTATTACAGTCTATTTTTGGGATATCAAATAAAATCGAAGATATGAATACAAAATTAATGTAAAAAATGAAGATATCTTGGCCAAAAGAATTGTATTCAAATAACCTTTAAATACTAAAATAAAAGAATTAATGAAATAAATGGGATCTTTAAATATTTTTAATATTTAATTTTTTAGATCTCTTTAGGATTAGTCAGAGAAGTCTTTATTCAAATATAAACCGATAAATTAGGCCAATTTTCTGATGAATTCTAAATCTTGTCTAAGCATTTAATTTATACAATTCCAATAAATAAATGGTAATGTTCTTGAGCCAACAATCTTTGACAAACTTGATTCTAAATAAGTTAAACTTTCTAGTAAACCAATATTGAAGAAATAAGTCAAAGATTTATTATCAGTATTATTCCATTCTTTAATTTAGTAATTAAAATAATAAAATAATATTGGAGATAGTCAAGTTTCTGATTTGCTTCCTAAAATTAATTATGACAAAAATTATAAAATTGATCCATTTCAAAGTCAAAAGAAAGAAGATTAATCTTATGAGGATGAAAATTGATTGCAATTTATCTATTTATATTATAACATCAAGCTTTTTTATCTGCAAAAAATTGTTAAAATTACTCCTCTGTCATCCATTTTCCTAATAAGGCATCATTATTTGTAGTATCTAAATATTCCTAAAGATTGTTATTCTTTTCTTATTTACTTCCTTTTATACATGGGTATTATGGTGGCGCTTATAAATACTTACCATTTTTTATCATATGATGACGATCACTTGCAAAATAATCTATATACTTTTATCCATCCACCACTCTGAACCAACTTTTCAAAGTAACTTAAGGTTTTTAAAAACCCAAAGCTTATTTAAAGTATGTATTGAAATCACAGTTCATAGGTAATGTACTATCAAAATCATAAACAAATGAATTTTAAGTAATTTTTCCTTCTTTTTATAAAGTGTGTTTAACAACCATAATGACATGATAATCCCAAATAACTAAAGGTTAGCTTTTTTAACATTTAATGTAAGTTTATTAAAATGGATTTGTAATTAAAACAGCGTAATATTATGTAAGATGATCTTATTTTTCTTCCATCATATCCTTGATAAGATTATAGATATTTTCTTCGCAATAGTAAGCTGTATATATATGTTGTTTCATATATTAATAAATATTATATTGAATAATAATAAACTTCATTTAAAATACCAATATGGTTCTTTACTTTTAAATTCTTATCCATTAAATAAATATTTCCAAGAATGTAGGTAAATTTCTAAAGGATGTTTATGATAATCCCATTCTTCTTTCCCAGCTATACAGTCATTCAATAATGAAGAATTTCCAAATTATGATTAATGTAGTTTAATTTTGGTATTATTTTATTATTTCTATTCTTATTATTATTCTTATTATTATTATTGTTATTGTTATTATTCTTATTATTATTATTGTTATTATTCTGATTATTATTATTGTTATTATTCTTATTATTATTACTATTGTTCCTGATCTTCTTATAACTATTCTTCTTATTTTTGTTATCCTTATGATGCTTATTATTCTTATTAATGTCCTTATATTATTTATTTATCTACCTTTTCTTTTTAATCTACATCAAACCCATCTTAATGTACAATCTGTTATTATTGATTTTTAATATTTAGCTCTTCTTAATTTTATTATTCTTTATTTTATTCATCTTCTTATATATTCAATTTAACCTTTTTTCCAATAATTTCAACTACTTCTCCTTCCAATACATCCTTTTATCTAATAGATTCTTATTTTAATCCCTTAAAATTCCTATTGACTATTTCATTTCCTATAAATTTTCCACCATAACCAATATCATTTAATATAGGATGACCTAAATCAGCTAAATGCACTCTAATTTAATGTGTTCTTCCTGTGATTGGTTGACATTCCAATAATGAAGAATCACTAATTGGATCATACCATAATTTTTTAAATTTTGTTGTAGCACTTTTTGCATCCAATTTTTAAACATCTTCCTCTTTGCAACAAGCAAATATAGCATCTTTCATCGATATACAATATTAAGGTTTATTATTTTCTTGAATATCATCACTAAAATTTCCTTGTACTCTTGCTAAATATGTTTTTTAAACATTAAGTTTGCTATTAGCATCATGAAACTTTTAAGCTAATGATCGATTTTTTGAAAAAATTAATAAACCTGAAGTCAACCTATCCAATCTATGCAATACATATAAATCTTTAAATCCATGTTCAAAGTGTAGAATAGCACTCAAACAATTATAATGATATCCTCCTCCTGTATGAACAATCATTGATGGAGGTTTACTCACAACAACGAAACTATCATCTTCATAGACAATATCAATAGGTAGATCTAAGATTGGAGGTTCTACTCTTGTTGTTGCATGTTCTATTTGCATACCATGTTCCAATTTATATTCTGGAGACACTTTAACACCATTAATAGTTATCTTCCCTTCATTAATGGCATTTTCATAATATTCTTTGGTATATGCTCTAAACTCTTTTTCCATGGCATCTAATAGATTCATGCCTAACCAACGTGATTTGACATTAGTCTTATAAATATGTTGGTATGGCTTAACAAATCGAAAGGGAGGAATTTTCACATATTCAGGGGGATTATCATACATATTTATTCAAATTAAACAATCTCCATTGTAATTATTCAATGTCTGTTTCATAACGCTGTCTTTTATGAAGGTACCAGAAATTTGTAGGCATCACAGAAACTGCTTCAGTCAATCTGTTTATTTTATTTTGCAGACCTTGTTTGTACATTTACTACATCGCTGGATTGTGATCTTTAACTCTTTAGATTTCCCATTTTTACAAAGCATTAAATAACTTTAGATCTCTTTCTCGTTTACATTCTAAAAATTTTTTAAATTCTTTGGGACAAGTCATTTGTGAACCATCTTAGTATGTACATCTTATTAGATCAAAGAATTCCACTTCACAGATATTTTTGGGAATGAGCTCAGAAGGGAAATCTTTAGGTAAAGAAGGACTGGGTTCAGAAATAAGATCTTTAGGCAAAGAGCCTCTTTCAAGTTCCATAATAGTTATTTTAATTAAATCACATCTTTACTTTTTTGATAGGTTTGTGGAGTATTTTTTACATATTTTTTGCTTTTTCTACAAAATCTTTAACCTTTTCATTGTCTTTAAATAGTGTAGACTTTTTTAAATTTTCAGCAAATGCTAATGTATCTATTTTCACATTATCTTTCACACATTTGCATGTTTTGGCCTCTAATAACAATGGTAACCAATTTAGAGTGGCTAAATTGACAGCTTCTGCAATATTAAATCCACAATTAAAGCCTTAATGATATGCTCCAGCAAAAATGAACATAAATTCACCTTCATGATGAGCCATTTTTGATATGCGAATTTCAGGAACCTTTTCTTTCAACAAGTAAGGATTGATTACTGTTGTTTTATGTCTCAGAAATTCTGTACATTTATTAAAATGATCTCCATATATTTACTTTGCATATTTTTCTAACAAATGACTATCTGCTTCAGGAATTGAATACCAAAATCTATTATAATTATTTATATTTAATACTTATCTTTACCCAAATGGAGATAATTGACACTGCATAGATCAAGATCCTCTTTATGCCAAGCAAAAAAGGTCTTCCAAGAACCAACATAAATGTATGGCTCATTAACTCCAGGAATACGGTTTTTGAGTCCATAATTTAAAAGACTTGTGACATTATTAAGATTCCAAGCATTATTGACATCCATTAAAGATAATTTTATATCAGCTCCATATAAGGGAGGACTAAAGGCTAAACTTTTCCAATAAAGTCTCTCGAATTAATCAGGATTTAGTTTATCATGTTATTTATCAGTCTCTAATTACTTATTTCTGTAATCTTTTAAGGGCATAGATTTTTTAAGAATGTGTAGACATTCATAGTTACCTCCCTTACCATAAACATTCTACTCTATGGGGCCTTGAACGATGAGGTTGTCAAGTGATTTATTATAATCCTATTAGCGAACTCTAAAGTTCTTAGGAGGAATGACCTGTGAATTAGTTAAATGTTTGAATTTACTTTCACCATACCAAAGTTTGCTGAATACTATTTATCAATTTTCTCAATATATTCATAGAAGTTATCAAACTCTTACTGAGTAGGTCTTAAAGTTGGACACTCTTCAATGCTAATCATGTTTTAAATAATTCTTTAAAATCTTGCAATCAAACACTTACTTTCTATACCCCGGTGTGACCAATATATATATATATATAATTATGGACTCACAGTATAGAAGGCCTATCATCCAATTTCTTTAACTAATTAAATTTCACTATTAAGTTCTCATTCTAATTTTGTAACTACTCCCCTTACCTCCCCCCCCAAACACAAAATTAATTAATTCATACATTAGAATCATTACTTCATATCTTTCATAAAGAATTACAAATTAATGTCAAGGCTTTCCTCTTCTGAGTCTCAATATACTTAAATTACAATTTCAATTTTTTATGCAAAATCCTTCTATCTTTCTTCTCTAATTAATAAAATCCCCGCCAAATGTGATAATTAATATTATTCAATATCTCCTTCATTTTAAACAATTTGCTTTACCTTACTCATTAAATAGGTTTTATGTTATATTTGAGCTTGCATTTAAAGCCAATCCATATTTTATATAAAATTCTTAAGAGAACTCCTTTGTTTAAGTGGTCATTTAAACTATTTTCAGTTTTACCATTATATTAACTAAAATCACCCCATTTAAACTTCATATTCATATTTATCCTTTATAATTCTTCATTGTTTTTCTAGCAATTTCAAATTTCTATCATAAAAACATACTCTTAGATCATTCATCTAAATAATTTAAGTCTCCTCATTTTCTTTTTTTTTTCTATAAAAAGACCTTTCTAATAGAATAAAGTGAGTAAATATATTAGATATTACTTAGACTACTAAAGTTGATGATAACTAATATGATAATTAGTATAAAATTATCATCTAACTTTCTAATGGTTAAGAATCAATATATAATTATATAATAATGTACTTACAACATCAAATACTATTATACACAAAAGTGTACTCACTAATTATCTATAAATTAAAATGAATAATACAGCAATTGCTTAAATTAGAAAATTATAAATTGGGGAAAATAGATATTGCTTTGAGTGTTAATCAGCAAGTCCAACTTGGGCCAGCTTACCTTATGGAATATACCTTTGCTATAATTGTTCAGGGCTACATAGAGGAATTGGTGTCCATCTTACATTTGTAAGATCAATTGAAATGGATTCCTGGACTGATAAATAATTGGCTATGATGCATTTAGGTGGAAATTAAGAGTTAAGAATCTTTTTTCAATCACATGGAATTTAAATTACAGATTCTAACAAATGGAAAACAAATGCTGCTCATTACTATAGAGAAAAAGTAATGTTTAAATTCTCAGATTATATAGATGAGGGCGTTAGTTAACGAAACTTAAATGCCTGAAGAGCCTGATGATTGGACAGCTATAAAAGAAACTCCAAAACCATAAATTTAATAATAGTAATTTCAAATATAACAAGACCCTCCTTCTACTCAAGAATCATAAAATGTACTTTATCGTTCCTAATAATAGTTTTGGGAATAAGCATCTAAATCTACTAAAGAAGCTTTTGCAAAGATTGATGAAAAAATCTCTAAAGTTTAAATAAAGGAAGAGGCAGTTTAATTAGGATAATAAATTACAGCAAAATCTAAATAACTTGGAGTAAATTGTTATGTAAATAAATAGGAAAAATCTACGAAGATAGCAGATAAGGCATTAAAGAGTATAAAAAGTGGATTTAATGAGGCATTTGGATTTATAAAATCAAAAGCAGATCAGGTAATAGGTAAAGATAAATAAACGGAGTCAGAATAGTAGTAATAATAATAATAATAATAATAATAATAATAATAATAATAATAATAATAATAATAATAATAATCATAAGGTAAGTAAATTCTAGATAATTAATAATAACTTTATTAATTTTAAATAGATAATTAAAGTTAAAAGGAGCCTTAAGATTTATTTTATTTTGAAAATAATAATTATTAAAATCCTCCTCCAGTAAGCCAAAATTAATAATAATAAATAAATTTTATGGACTATTCAGATTATTTTATAGATGGTTCTTCATAAAATATCATATAGGAAACTCCAAAGTATAATTAATAAATAAATCAATAAGAAAATTTAATTGATTTAATGTAAGATATAAAATAAACTCAATAAATAAGTGGAACCCCCAATTTACTTGATTTATGAAATTTTTCTTCATCACAACATCTATTAATATTAATTGTTTTATCATTATTAATTTAACTAAGGAAATAGGATTCATATGTTTAAGTTGGAGATGGAAATGTTTTTCGAAGTTTTGTAATTCTTTCCTAACTCAATAACTTTTTAATCTCATAATTAGGATCTTAATTTTCTTAACTTATTGTTAGAGTCAGAGTTGAATTTTTGGGTTAAGAACATGTTATACCCATTGTATTTTTATAGCAGTTAAATAATTTTAATTATATAATTATGAATAAAGAGTTCCTAGTGTTAGATTTTTCAATCTGTTCATTTTATTTGTATTTTAATTCTAAATTAATGACATAAAATGATTCTGAAGCCACGAAACTAAATAATGAAATCCTTACAGGATCAAAGAAAATAATTAAAAAATAAGGACACTGGAATGAAACAGAACATAAAACTTATCTTAACTTTCTCTAAGAAAATAAAAATCACACCAAAGGATAAAGATTATTTAAGAAAATGAGTTAAGTTGTAGGCACAAGAACTCCAAGTTAGTGTAGGTAATATTGAACTCTATAAGATCGCATCATCAAAAATTCAATCCATAAAAGACAAGATGCTAGTCAGAAACGGGTATTTTAAGATCTAAGTAATATGCTAGAAAATATTTTGCTTAACAAAGAATTTTAGAACATGATAGTGATTGATATCATTTATATCACATACTAAAAAGATTCGTAATATGTGTATCAAAAATTTTCATTTAGCCACTAAAGGAGAAATATTGTAGCAATAACTTTAGATAAAAATATTTTCTTTTCAAAATTTTCTTGCCTTCTTTGTTTATTTCTATCCAAATTGTTAATAATTCATTGCCATTTACATTATATTAGTATATACAACACTTAATCCAAAATCTTCAACATTCATATGATTTTTCTTAACATTTTTAATCCCACTGTAAGTTTATGTATATTACTCTTTTTTATTTATTATCAGTTTTCTAATTGGTCTGGAAATTTTAAATTCTTATTCCTCGAAATCATTTTCAGTCTTTTATTTTTTATAAATTTCAATCGTATTATTTTTTAAAGTTTTATACTTTTCAGCATACTTACTAAAAATTATAAAAATATTCTTTACTCATTCCATTTTTCAATTTCATCTTGGTAATCTTTCATTTTTATTTCAAAATCGAATTCTAATTATTCTCTAACATTTTAAGATTATTTATAATATTCTATCATTAAAAGTGAGAAAGACTATTTCCAATTGATATTTTTTTATGAAAATTTGTATCTATTTTTCATAATATATTCAAATTAAGGAGTGAGTGGCCTTATTGGTTTTGAAGGAATATTTTTTAGTTCATTCAATTAATTGATATGTTAATGATTACCACCATAAAAATAGATAAGCTACTCCTAAAACTTGTCTTCACATTATTCAAATTAATCTTCATAATATTGATGTAATTTAGATGACATATCTGACCATGCTTTTTAGATTTGACAACCAACCTAATTTATATCAATTCCTTAACTCAACATGATTTTCAGTTACTCTTAGTAAAATATTTGATAAGGGGATATATATTATCTTTTAGGAGGTTAGTTAAATTTACTACTTCGAAGCTACATAAATTTAATTTAACAATTATTCTAATAAATTAGTGAAATACATAATTTATATAAAATTCATCTTAATATTTGAGTCATTAAATTCAGTTCACTTAAAGCTTTATTTTTGGTTAAAATATATATAAATTATTTATGTATTTGATACATTGAAAAATGTTAATCACAATTATGTTTATAAATGTTATTATTTTATTAAATGAGATTAAGAATAGTGTGCAAATAATTGTTTAACACATCCAAAAAAGTTCCCCCTAAACCTTCAAGTATTATGGGTGCCCAACTTTCCCAAAAATAAATGGATGAATTAATGAATCCTTTAGGATTCTTAAAAGAAAATGAGAAAGGTGAAGTGTAAGAATAAATCGAGAAGGCAAAAGAATTAAAGGAATTGATTGAGAAATATAAGATAAACAAAAACCCATAGAGTGGAAACCAAAACAAACCTTATGAATTGGATAAAAATGGGATGCCACCTGAAGTAGGATTTAAAGTAAAAGGTCCAGAACCAACTAGATATGGAGATTGGATTGGAAGGGGAAGAGTAACAGATTTTTGAGATGCTCAAAATTTTAGATATTAATTTAATTTAAAATATATGGAGTATTGTGATTCATGCAGGGCAGTATTGAATGAGAGACATTTATTGGAAGACTAACTGGCCAGGCTCTAAAATAAGTCAGAAATAGTTGCGACATAACTATAGTTATTAAGGGAGGAGAATGAATTATTAAAGAGTAACATAAAAGTGCCTAATAAATAAAGACGCAAAAACAATAGGACGAAGGCCGAGCTTGAATAATGCTAAAAGGAGATTTAAAAATTGCAAGTGATAATCTAACACAAAGATATGATTATCCAGAGCCAAGTACGATGTGATATAATTAGTGAAAGCTCAATTATAGATATGGACTTAGTGAAGAAGAAGGTGAATCTTTGAATATAAAAATGTATATATGTCATATACTAATTTCAATGTTAGAGAGTTTTATGGAGTTTAACATGTGAAGTTCTATTTTCTTGTTCAATTCAATAGTGATAATGAAGTAATGTGGTTATTTAAAATTAGAGTAGAGTTTTAGTTACGACAATCTCTTCATGCATTTTGTCATTTGAATAGTGATTTGATAAACTTGATAAAGTACTTTTGCTTCTTTTAAAGGAACCTTTAAAATAAATACTAAGAGAATTATAAAAACTTCTACTTTACAATTCTTGCATTGTTGTGGATAAGAAATTATAAATAACGCAAAAGTCTTTAAGTATACAAGTTCCCAGTTGAAGAAGAAGTGGTGATTCTCTACAAAGTAAGTAATCTAATAATTTGACAACCTAATAATATTGAAAAATGATACTTATGACAATTCTTGTAGCATAGTTGCTAAGGGATATAATATTTGGATTTGAACAAATAATTCATATTTTAAAAACTTAATAATGTTGTCAGTTTCAATAAAATCTATTACTTCTTTGTAGTAATCAAAGTTTTCACATATTTTGAATAAAAAATTATAATAGTATATTGCCAATCTAGACTTATCAGTATGCTCTCCAGGTATGAGTTTATTTTAAATAAATCTTATAGTAAATTCTTGCTAGAGTTAATAGATGAGTTTGTGACAAATAATTAAAAATTTAAAAGAGCTAATTGTTGTTAAAGAACTATGTAGGATTTCGAAAAATTTATTGTAATGTTCATCTTTGTCCATCCCTTTCAATTCATCAACGATACCTTCAAAAAAGTAGAATATCAATCTTACATTAGATGTGCAATTCTTATAATTAAGAATACCTTTTACTTTTTTTATATTTCTTTAAGATCTATCATAATCAATATTTTATCAATAAAATACATAGATGAAGTCAGTCTAAGCTCCTTGTATCATATTATGTTAATTTTAGATTTATTTGTTCTAATTTTTTATATATAATATACTTAGTAAAATTAAAATGAGGAAACCACCTCTAAAAATATTATTTGAAGACAATGAACTCGAGATAATCAAAGCCAAAACTCATGATGTACAATCACAAAACAAAGCAACTAGTTTCTATTCCAACATTTCTGATGGTTAAGAATAATTGAGTGAAGGAAAGCTTTACTAATGTGACACTTCATACTCTTCAAGTAGTCTTCATAGTTCGAGAACATTACTTGAGGAATCTTAATGGTAGAACTACTAAAAACGTATAGGTAAACAAAAATATACCATAATATAAAAAGATTCTGAAAGTCTCTCTGAATAGGCTAAGAAGGTTTTTCTAATCCCCACTTAATCATCAGAGGAATGGTTGGCTAATTTTACTGAGAAATGTTTGAAAGTTGAGTGTTTTTTCAAAGACACTACTTTTAATACAATTATAGAAACAACTTTTAATAGTGATGATCAATAATTGAAATAAACATTGGTTCTTACATTAGATTACTTTACAAATCTAGTAACATTTACTTTTTTCTTGTTGTGGAAAGCAGTTTGGAATGAAAACTAATAAGACATGACTTAATTTGTTTCAAATTCTAATTCAATCACTGAATATTTAGCATTAATGATATCTTTAAGAGTTAATGAATTTAGAATTGATTTTTAACTCCTTTCAATATTTGAATCTATTATTTAACCTTTCCCAGATAAGAGTATCTTTAAAGAATGTACTGATTCTCAAAGAAGTTCATTATCAATTGATATTATTCAATAAAAAATATTCATGCCTTTAATGAAACATAATTAAGTCTTACCTTGGTCAACTGATGAAGTTGCTTTTATTTTAAGTTTAATTAACTCATAATTCTATGCTGATTTATAGATAAGAAATATTATTGTAAAGGGAGGATTAAATCATGTATGATATAAATTCTAAATTTAGTATTTTAGAAGAATTAATACAATCTCATAATTTATCATTTATTCTGTTGTGCGCAACCCTAACAAACATGATCGTTAGGATGCATTAGGATATTGGATAGATTTAGCAGAAAAATTATAATAAAATTATGATCTTGAAGGACTCTTTATAGTTTACAAATATGGAATTCAATTATTGTTAAAAGATTATATAGGAACAATGCCAGTCCTCTTTAGAGATTTGAATCGAATACCAAAAATAAATGCATTTTATGAAGAACATATAAAACATAATTTCAAAGATTCAGATAATTAGAAATAACATCTTTATATACCATCATTTCATAAATTTATTACATAAATTAAGAGATTAGAATTATAAATAAAAACTAATAAGAGTCTATTTCATTAGATTTCTGATATTATGTTTTTATTAATAAAAATGTCTAAACGATAGCAAGTGCTTTATCAATAAATGTGTCCAAAAGTAATATTTACATAATAAATAATTTAAGATTTCTGAAAATGAAGAATAGATGATTCATTATTTCACTAAAGGAATTGAAAAGGAATTGGAAGCCAATCTTCAAATTCCCCTTGATAAAGAAACCTTAGTGTATATAGAATTGATTAAATTGGCAAAAAATATTAATTGACTGATTATAAGATGGATAATAATAATTATGAGCTGTTTCATATATTTTTATCTTTATATTAGAACAAACATAGAATCTGAATTCAATAATCTATTGAAATAAAAACAATTAATTATAAAAATTATATTAGATTAAATTCTATTATTATTTCAAATTAAAAGACAAGAACGAAAACATAACTAAAATATCATCCTTTAATATAGTAAAAGAAGTATAGAATACCAAAATATTAAAAGATTTTAATTTATTGATAAGATTACCTTTAAGATAGCTTTGATTCAGCAATAATATTTAATAATAATTATATAATACATAATCAATAGATACATATTAAATTTAAGATGTAAACTTAGGATATATTATAAAAAGTGTTTTTTTTTATAAACATATTTTATGCATATATTTTAAAATCATATTTATGGAATAATCAAAAACCTCCTCTCAATTGAATGACCATATGAACAGTGTCTCCAGCTTACATTTGAGCATCTGAAATTTTAAATTCTTCTTATAAATGTCTTCCTTTAAATATTAACTAAATTAATATTGAATATACTTTAAATTATTCAGAGCTAATTCCCTCTTTCTCTTATAATTACATTTTAAGTTATTGAATTGTATTATCAGCTTCTATATTATATGAGACCTTCTTGCCTGCTAAAGTCTTTATAAAAATTTACATGTTTTTAAATTAAATAATTATTAAAAAGTAAATTGTCAAAGCTTTTCTATAAATAAAGCAACCCGATCAATACTGTCATATATCAGTAAGAGTTCTATTATATTCATTAAATTCAATAATTATAAATGATATAATTTTTAATTGAATATAAATTAAGTAGTCTAGTAATTAGAAAAACAAGAAAGAAATAATTTACTAAAGATTACATATTTGATTGAGAATTAAACTAATTTATTTAGTATAAATTTGAAAATAATTCAAAATTTATAATATACATGTTAGAGTATCGTTAAAATAACATCTAAGTGGTAGTAAGAGTAAAGCCTGAATAAGGTTGTATTAAGGTTGATGAGTGTGATTCCACTGTATTATTGATATCGAACAAACAATATAACTATGATCATGTGATTCCTCCAAGGGCTTCATAATAAGATGTCTTCACATTGATAGGATAACCACTGATCAATAATGCTCTACAAGGTTACAATGGTTGTGTCTTTGCATATGGTTAGACAGGTAGTGGGAAAACTCATACATTAATTGGTAATAATGATGGATTACTTCCTTAATGTTTATAATACATTTTTGCTTGTTCTATTGAAGATCCTAATGTTATAATCAAAGGTTCATATTTAGAAATCTATAATGAGTAAATATTTGATTTGCTCTCATCATCTTCAAATTCTTTACAAATAAGAGAAGATCCTAAGAAAGGCATATATGTAGAAAATTTGAATGCAGCAGTAATTTCAAATTATGATGAAGCAATAGCCTTATTAAGAAAGGGGAATTCAACTAGACATATTGCTGCTACAAAAATGAATAGTGAAAGTTCAAGAAGTCATGCAGTATTTTTAATTCAATATTCTACTTCAACTTAATAAGATAAATGTGAAGTACATTTATATTCAAAAATGTACTTTGTTGATTTGGCTGGATCAGAACGATAGAAGACAGCATAAACTGAAGGATAAAGATTAAAGGAAACTCAAGCAATAAATAAAAGTTTGACTTAACTTGGATTGGTAATTTATGCAATTGTAGAGAGAGAAAAAGGAAATAATAAAATTCATATTCCTTTTAGAGATTCTAAACTTACTACTTTATTAAAAGATTCACTTGGAGGAAATTCAAAGACATTTATGGTTGCTGCTGTTAATCCATTACATGAAGAGGAAAGTATTTCTACTTTGAAATTTGCAGAGAGAGTTAAACAAATAAAAGTTAAAGCTCATGTCAATAAAGAGTATTCAGGAGAAGAAATTACTAAACTTAATCTATAAATTTAATAACTTAAAGAAGAATTAGTTAAGAAAACAAGGGAATTAGAAAATGTATAACCTAGTGATGCTTTATAATCTTAATTACATATGTAATTTGATGAGATATAGAAATTACTTTAATAGATACATTAAAGTGCTATATAGATGGAATTAGAAACTGTTGAAGGATAATTATAGGAGTATGCAGAAAAGAAGAGTTATATTATTTAGATTTTAAAGTCATTAAATTTATCATTTAAAGAAGAGGAAACTACTAATTATTAAACATTAAATGAAAATATAGAATATTAAAATAAATTGAAAATACAATTATTATAATAGGAAGATGTAATATATAAATTACAAAAAAAGAAAAAGGAATTAGAATAAAGTATTAGTGATTAATAGTAGGCTCATAAGACTATTTTAGCTTCTACATTAAGAGGATTTGAAGATCAAATAAAGATGAAAGATTATCTTTATGATTAGATTAAAGAAGATTTTGATTAGATGGAAGTTTCTAAATTATCATTGTAACATTAATATGATGTTTTAAAAGAAGAGGTTTAATAATATGTTGAGAAAATTGAATAAATGTAGATTCAATTATTTTAAAATTAATAGAATTAATCTACTATATATGAAGAGAAGAATTAAAATATATAAAAATTAGATTAAGATTTATAGAAATAAATAGAATATAATTCTTAATTAAGATTATAATTAGAATAAATTCATGTAGAAATCTATTAAAATAATTAATCATTTTAAACAGAAACAAATTAATTGCATTCTTAAATTGAATAATAACAATTAGAAATTAATAGATTATAAGAATGTGTATAAAAATTAGAAGTTGAAAATATGAACATTAAATAAAATAATGATTTTAAAAGAGAATATGATTAATTAACATAATAATATTCTAATCTTAAAAATTAATATTAACATATAGAATAAGAATTGAAATCATTACAAACTGAAAATTAATATAATTTAAGTGTAATAGAAAATTTAGAAATATCTATTAAATCATTTGAATTATTTGAAGATAATTGGAAATAAGAAAATCAATTATATAGAAATACTATATTAGAATTGTAAGAATAATTAAATTAAAAATAAGAAATATTTTTACATATTCAAAAATCATTTAAATTAGATAATTGTGAAAATATTATTAATGAATTAAACAATAAAACAAATTAACTTCATAGAAATGAATAAAAATTAAGATAAGAAATATCATAATTGAAGTCAGAATAATAATTGTATATCTAAAAATTACAAATTAGAGATTAAACTATATCAGATTTATAAAATGAATTATAAGATTTATAAAAAACTCATAGAACAAGTGAAGTTTAAAAATAAATTGAATAAAATGAAAAAACATAAAGTTAAAGATAATTGGAATAAAAGATTGCAACCTTAAAATTAGAATATGAAAAAATTAACAAATCTAAAAATGCTTTATTAGTAGAATATACAAAATTAGAAAATAATTAAAAGGAATTTGAATCATTTTTAATAATTCTTGAAAAGAAACTCTAAGATTATGTATCAAATACATTTAGAAAAAATAGAGTTATGAGTTAAGAATAATAAATATTATATTTGAAAACTACATAAATTAAGTAATCTAAATTTGTGATCATAGAAGCTTTAGTTGACATAGTCATTGTAATTTATATTATTATAAATTTTATTAGTTAGACACAATAGATAGGTAAATTAGAACCTTTTCCTAGATTAGAATAAATTGATTAATGTTTTGTATTAATTAAATTTAAAGAATAATATTAAATATTCTCAATTATTTCTATTAATATATATATATTATTATATATAAAGAACAAAAAAAGGAAAGTAAATGTTATGAAAAATATAATTAGTATAATTAAATATTAATTCACAAAAAAAAAGATTATTGGGTTGGGAAGTCCATTATTAGATATATAAGCTGAAGTATAATTGGAATTCCTAGAAAAATATGGATTAAAATTGAATAATACATATTTTGCAGAACAAAAGCATCTTGAATTATATGAAGAATTAATCAAAATTCCATCTCACTCTCACGTTCCTGGTGGTATATTGAATTTGTTAATTATTAGGATCGGCATTGAATACAATTAGAATAGCTAGATGGATGGCATAGGCTTAGAAAGATTAAGTAAAATTTATTGGATGCGTGGGAAAATAAGATAAATTTGCAAAAATGTTAATTGAAACAACAAATAAAGATGGTGTTACAGCATTATTTGATGAACAATCATATCCAACTGGTAAATGTGCTGTTCTCTTATGTAATAAAGATAGGTATTAAAATATATAATTTTAGATGTTTAGTACCTTAAATAGGAGCATCTGCACATTTGAGTAAAGAATTTGTTGAATAGCATATTGAAGAGATTAAAACAGCTGCTGTTTTATTTTGTGAGGTTTATTTTCTATATCCAAGAGCTGAATTAACAAAAAATGTGTTCAAAGTTGCATAAGAAAGTAATGTGCATACTTGTCTTTCATTGTCTAGTGTAAATGCAGTGAATGATAGATTTAATGAAATATTAGCAGTCTTGCCATATGTTGATTATCTATTTGGAAATGAGGAAGAAGTAGGTTAATTTGGAAAAAACTTTGGATGTAGAGGTGGTCTATAAGAATCTATGTTAAGAATTGCTGAATTTAGTAAAGTAGGTGTTAAAGATAGAGTTGTTGTTTGTACATAAGGTCATAAACCTACATTAATTGCTAAGAAAAACGAACTTCTGAATATTTAGGTAGAATCAGTAGATGTACAAAAGATAGTGGATACTAATAGTGCTGGGGATTCATTTTGTGGAGGGTATATCATATAAAATATATCAAAGATTTATAGCAGAATTATTAAATGGAGCTGATTTAATTAAATGTACTAGAGCTGGAAATTATTCTGCAGCTTAAACCATTTAACATGAAGGTAGCACAATACCAAAGTATCAACCTGATAAAACATGGTGAAAAGGAGTATAAATATATGAATATTTTATAAAGTAATATTGATAAAATTCCATTTCTATTTAGTTTATTATTTTATTAAACTTCTAATATATTATTTACATTTAATAAAAATAATTTAATGAATAAATTATCATCATTTTTGTATCGTATTCTAACAAATAAGTATAACTTCAATTTAGAAATTTTCTTATTTATATTATTAAAATGTATAATAAAAATAGATGATTTAGTTACAGTATTTATTAAAGTTAAGTAAAGCAGACGTAAATTAGTTTTAATAATTATGTCCCTCTTTTAAATAATGTGGAATCATAAGAAAAATAATAATTATTATTATTAATGTTATTAATTACATAATTCTAATTCTAAATAATGATTATATTCATTAATTGATTTCCTAATATATTTTATCATTAAACACTTAGTTAATATTACAAATTTGCCAGCTAATCAATCTGATTTCTCAAATAATATTAATGATTAAATGATAGTTTAAATAAGACATGATGTAGATATATTAATGAAAAAATCAATTTATAAAATAGATTTAAACAAAAGTTCATTATTTGAGTGGGTTGAAAATGATATGAATATCAAAAAAAATTATTCATTTATTCAAACTTTTAGCTTTTTCTTACTGTTCTCTTCTTGGAGAAATAAAATAGCTTGTTTTATTGGTTCTTTTTATTTTTTCTTTTATTTGTTCTATATGTTTATTAACTCTTTCTTCTACCATTCTAGATTTAAGTGATGGTCTTGTATCTATCATCTTTTAATATTCTTCCTTAAATGACTTTACTAGTGCCCCTATTTTTGTGGAGTTATTCAATTGAATATGATCACATACTTTAGCGGTTGTTTAACCACTTTTACTTCTTTTGAATTTATTTTCTTCTTTACAAAAGTTCAAACAATTTGTTAATAATGAATACAAATCTCTTCCTAATTATGTTTATTTATTAAAGGGTTTTAAAAGCATTTTTTCACAAAATAGATAATTATTTCTATCTATGTTTCCTTAAAGAATTCTATTGATTGCAAATTCAAAATGTTATTTAGCAGAAAACCATTCATCTTCTAGTTAATTTGTTCCTAAATATATTAATGCTCTGACATAACTTTAAACATCAGGAGTAGGTTTAAGTATAGGTGTTATTTTTTAGTAGATTTGTTGTGATTATGCTTAAATAAATTCATATCTCATTAAGAGAAATTAAATTATTAATAATTATATATGAATAGTAAAATAATAATAAATTATGAATTTGATTACAATAATATTAAATTCCATCTTTAAAATATATAAATTATAGAAGTTCTGACAGATTATTTAAATATAATCAACTTAATTATTTATTTATATTAAAATAAATATTATAATCAAATTAATTAACTAAATAGAAATATAAATGATTTCATTTAAATTGTTACTAATATAAAATAACATTTTAATAATTGTTTATAAAATTTTATATTTACATATTTAAGATATTATTTATCATTTAAGTTCAAATTCATTTTGATAAATTTTATTGAATGTATGTCCTTATACTTAAATTTATGTTCCAAAACTTGGTTTTTTAGGTTAAAAACCTAAAACATCTTAAGTTGCTGTATTTCTCTTATTGCCAATTCTAGTTTATCTAGGAGATTTAGATTAATGACCCTTTTTTATCTCATTTATTTATATAGGTGGTTCATCACTTAAATAAATAAAAAAGATTATATACATCAGTTTCAATTTCCTTTTAATTCTTAAGGCTTTATTCATAGCTAAATTGTTAAAAGTATATAATGAAAAAATATTTCCGAAATTTTTCCTTTTTTCCATATTCAATTTTAATGTTCTCATAGCCCTTGCAACTATTACTTTTGGATTATTCCAACTAAAATAATATTAAAAATTCTTTAATATTTCAAAACCCTCCAATTCCATAGATATATGTTATTCATCATAAATCGGACTAGAAAATTCTTAATTTTATGTGAGTGTATGATTATCTTAAACTTTAGTTTTAAGAGATCTTGCTGTTTTACTTCTATTTGTTTTAGTAGTCTTTCTCCTTAATTAATCTCGTTTATCTATTGATTATACTGATGGATTTATTGTAATTTCTTATGACATTTCCCTAATATCCTTTAATTTAGGTTTCCTTATTTGATTTTGAACTGATTATCCCCTTTCCCTTATATCAACTTAAGTTTATGATGAAAATGGTTTGTATGAGTCCTCTTTTTTTTATTTGCGTACTAAAGTGATCTTTCTAACAGATGTCCTTGCATTTTCAGCTAAATATGGAAGTCCAAGAGAATCATTCTTCATAGAAAATTTATATTCTTCTAACTTTTATAGATTAGATTAAGAAAAATTCTGTGATGGTTTGTCATGAATAGATTCTGATAGTTATTCTTCTTAAATAGATACAAGTCTATTATGAAGAGATTCACTTACACCAAATCCAGCAGTTTATATAGTTTATTTAACTTACTTAACTCTCTATTTATTAGGACTTTTGAAACTATCTTTGGAACTATCACTTTCTTAAATAGGTTATAAAAGATTATCTTATGAGTAACTTCTATTTTATGATTATTATCTAGAGATTTTAGACAAACTTTTAGTAAGTGATGCTAAAAATGTGAAAGATAAAAAGTACAATATTCTTAAGGTGATATATCTTATTCATTATCATCATATGATACATCTAATTCATCATCCATAACTGTTACATTATCTAAAACTTATTTGGTTTAAAAATCTCTTATTAAAACCATAGTTTTTTTGCATTCTTTGAGAGTTTCAAATTTTTTATGTTAATGTTTCCTTTTATAATTAGGATTTCTGTTTTAAAAGATTGGGAAATACTCTTTTTTTAATATACGTTCTTGATCTGCTACATAATGCAAGACTGGACAATCTTTGATAAGATGAGTGAATTTTTAACAAGAATAACAACTTAATTTAGAAGGTTAATAATTATTGGAGAGTAGAATACTATCTCTAATCTCACAATATCTTTCCTATTGATAATATTTATACTATTTACTAAATCAAGAGGGATTTATGCTAAAACAATAAGTAATTATTATCTAGGTATTTTATAGGCTCTTGAAAATCCTACACTTTTAGCAGATGCAGTTCTATTCATACCTGTAAAAAATGAATATTCACCAAAAGATTATCCTTTTGTAAGATATGATAATGCTCTTGTATTACTTCCTTAGTTATCATCTTAAAATTATATACATACTATCCCTTTTGTAATTATATATAATGCCGCATCATCACAAATACCTTATTGTAATATTTAATCTTCAGGTGAAAATCTAACTTCTTCAATTTGAAGAGACAATTATTTTAAGACTTTTTAAGAAAACTTAGTTAAAACTTTATTAGTTTTCATAACATTATAACGTATTTCAAAATTAAGTTCTTCTTAAAGATTACTTGATAATTTTGTAGTAATTTAAGAAACTTCTTCATCATTAATTTCTTATTCTTCTTGAAATATATAATCATAATAGTTTCTAATACGTGATTACAATTCAATTTTAATTTAATTTTTAACCAAATATTAATTTAATAAATTAATGCTTTTTTTATATAACACTTATCTAGAATTGAGATTACTCAACATTAATCCAATAGAATTGAATGAGAATGCAAATACTCCACATGCTAAAAACATACTGATATTTGCACAGATTCTTTCTGCATTATTTTATGGAGTTAAATCACCATATCCTACAGTGATCATAGTTTATACTGCCCAATAAAATGCATAATTATATATTGAAAACATATCAGGTTCTTTAACATATTCATCTATCCATGTTTATCTATATCCTTATTAATAAAAAGCAACACCATGCCATAAACATGCAAATAAATGTCCTACATACAAAACCATAAAAAGTAATTTAATTAATTCAATAAAATCTTAATATGAACCAGTAAGATTGAAAAACCTAAATCATTCATATATATATATAATATTACTCTTCTAATTTATGAACTCGTCCTTATAATTTAAACAATCGACAATAATAATATATACAATATGGACACAATTACCAACCCAATTTTTCACTTGAAGTATCTATCTCAAATTCTATTGCTATCAAAAGAGAACAAAATGAAAACTACATAAATTATATCTAATACTAAATCATAAATTGCTTATCCTTCCAAATAATTTGTAAATATTTTTCTTCTTGATTTTATTATTACTCCCTTCTCTATATAAGATGTATTTAAAACTATCAATGCATCTATTAATATTGTAATTAGAAAATAGTTTTCAACATTCTTAACTGAAATTTCACCAAAAACAATTTGTTGATATGTGATACCAAAAGATATATTAAAAGGAGTCCAAAAAAATACTGTAATTATAGTCAAAATGTGAATGATTTGCCATCCTATTACTAGATAACTACTTTAATCTAAAATTGGAAAAAATCTTAATCTTTTACAAATAGTACTCAACCAATGTTTTGAAGATTTATTATGTTAATAAATATATCTAAGATCATCCATTAAAAAGTTTTAAAATTGAGAAAAATGGTATGGTTTCTTAATATATGATTTTTATAACATGTTTTCAATAAAACGATTGGAATAACTTTTTGCAATAACAGCTTTTAAAAAGTTTTTCATAAATTCTTTTTATGTTGTATTTGTTTGTATTAAATCCTTCAAATCTTTATTATCCTTCTATAACTCTGGCTTCTAAGTAGAAACCAAAGGATTTTCTTCAATTATTGAGTCTGGTGGTGAAAACTACAATACTCTTGGAACTTTATTCAATTCCAATTATTGGGATTATTATGAAATTACATTATCAATATATTAACTTCCAACTGTTGGTGGCTTTACTGTATTATCACCCTCATCCAATGGATCAATTTTCTAATTGAATCGAGTCGGACCCCTAAATTACTTACTATTTGATTCCTCTATATTATTACTACCATGATGTTGTTCTGCATTGTAATTATCTTCAAACTCAAGAAAGAAATCAGAACTCATTAATTAATTAATATTACTAAATATTCAAATTAAAATCTCATACATTTTTACTAATCTCTATCTTCAATCAATTTCATTTTATAAATAATTAAAATTATACAAAAGAATCTCATAATCATAATAAACTAAATCTTAGTTAATAAGATACTTAGATTTTCAATATATAAAAATTGTTTAATATTTAAAATTAATTATAGGATCTTCATAAGTATTCGAATAATTTGTAAAGTTAATTATCTTAATTCTTATCCTCTCATTTAATTTAGTTGTTATATTAAAATAAAAATAGAAGTTATCTAATAAAAAAATCATCTGCAATAAAATTAATTTATTTTTTTTAATTCGATCTTGAGTCCTCCTAAAATTTAATTTATATTTTGGGGGAAACCTTTTACAAAAAAACAAAATTTAATTTGTAAAATTGAATGATTGATTGCTCTTTTGGTATGCTTTATTTTTTTATTTTATACATGATGTCATTTAAAAAAGTAGCATTGTATCTGCAAATAAAAATAAATATATAATAATTTTATAAATATCCCATTTAATTAGTCACGTCATTTTAATTCTTAAATAAAAACAACCTATAATAATTATGTAAACTCCTTATGTACCTATTTATTGCTCTAATTCCCAACTTTTGTATTCATAATAATTGAAAAATTGTATTACAATATAGTATATATTTTACTAATTTTAGTTATTATTAACTCTAGAACTTATTTATAAATTAAATAATCTGATATCTAATTTGAGTCGTTTCTAGACTTAAACACACATAGTTGTGATTATTTAAATTTATAAAGAAAAATATATATAGAACAATCATAGAAATCATTCTAAGTCTATTGCTAGCAATACAAAAATATGAGAAAATTAAACTAATTTTGAAATTATCCTAATAGCAAACATTATGTCTTCTTTAAAAAAAGTTATTGAAATATTATACTACAAAGAGCTATAATCAAGATAAAAATAAACATACACTCGAAAATGTTTTCAAGATTTTATTCTCATTTTCTAATATAAATTCAAAAACAGTGAAAGTCTTCAAAGGAACATCGTATACATATATATAATAATCATAAATAAAACAATTTATTTCTTCCTAAAATTTAAATATTCCTTCTTCTCTTTCAAGAACACTCTATCAGATTCTTAAATATTGATGAATGAAGTTTATAAGATAGAATACAATTTTTTAAACAATATAAAATGAAAACAGTTCAAAAATCTCTACATATTTTCAGAAGTGCGTTTCTATATTATAGATGCCATTAGGGATCTTTGATTTTTGAGTTAAAGACATAGCTAACGTATTGCTTCTTTAAAAAGTACCAACTAAATTTTAAAGAAAAAAAAATACCATATATTTCGAAAACATTCATGCATTGAGTTGACCTCTGAATTTTTATGTGGTTTGATTAGTTTAAGGAGGGTTGTTAGGTTTTATATATTTTTGTTTTTCTTTATGAATGATAAAAATGTTTTGGGGTTACATTAGATGAGATGATTATAGTATCCTCTTAAAATTTGTTAAGTGATCACTTTAGAAATATTTTTCGGTATATTTTTGGACTTGGACGATTCACATAATCTAGGACTAGCCTTTTTAATGGGCAGTTTTGTCAAAACCATCTTCCTCATCTCAACTTTCCAATTAATTCTTCTTTGACTTGTAATAGGTGTATCACAACTCTCGTTATTTTTATTAAGAAAAGTAAGACTTTCTTCAAAAGATTATGTGACACTCATGTTCTTTTTAATATTTAATTATTTTTTTCTGAAATATTTGACAGGCCTATTAATACTCTTATCGTTTGGTGTAAATATGTATTAGTTAGTTATATAATATCTTATAATTCGCACTTTTCTATAATGATATTTATGTTTTAAACCAAGTTAATAACAATATATACATTGTTAATCATAAAAATTTGAATTGATAAGAGGAATAGATATAGATTTTCATATTATAATAACTTAATATTTATAAGTTAAAAATAAAATAAAAAGAATCAATATCACTAGTTTAAGCCGAATTATTGTTTTTTTTAGAAAGCGTTGAAAAGTAGTATATTATTATAATACTATAAAATTTATTAATAATTAGTTAAATTTATACAATAATCAAATTATGAAATTTATTTATTTATTATAAATAAAAAAAGAGCATTCAATATTCTAAGTGTTAATAAATAGAACTGTTAATAAAAGAATTATGTTATAAAATCTACAAAATATAATAAAGGTGTAAATCACATTGAACTTAAAAAAAACTAATTTATATTTCACTTATAGTTCTCATTTTTATGTCTACTTTATTTTTGCTAAATTGTAATTTTAGAAACTATATAAATAATAATTTAAAATTGAAAATTATAAAGACATTCCTAGAATTGACATCTAACATTTTATTTTATTATTAAAAAAAACTATTTTGAAAATAAATAGAAATAATACAATAAATATTATCTTATTTGATTTCCTTTATTAATGAATTTCCTTTAATCTTTTTCTAAAATAATTCATGTTCAAATTACTATTTACTATATATTTTATTTTTGTTATCCTAAATCCAGAATTTATATCCAGGAATTTTATTAAATTAAGTTTGAATAGTATTTATACAAATCTTAATTTATTTAATTTATTGACTCTTAAATAAGATTATAGATTAATAGATATCTTATTATAATTACATATAACATCAAAAAATAGAAATAAATTCATTAAACTTCTAAAATTAATTGATATAATGATATTTTTAATAGAAATTAAACTATAAACATTAGTACAGTTCGTGATTAAAATTTTATAGTAATAGGATATTCCAAATTTAGTTTGTCTTTCATCCTCATAAAATTTATAGATATTAAAAAATATCAAACACTCATAATTTGATGCATTTCATAAAACTATTGTATTATTGAGATCTAATATGGAATAATTGTTATTTTGTATAGATTTTTTTTGAACCTAAATGGAATTCATTAAGGAAATCTAGAAAACTTTAAGAGTTTATTGCCTGTAGGATTTGAAGAAGCGACTATAACATCTCCAAAAGAGAAAACAATATTTAAAAAATAACAAAAAGTATGTTAATTATGTATAACAATATGTTACAATAATATATCCTATATGCTAATTATTAAAATTGAACAGTTTTTATAACTTAGACTTTGGATAAAAAAATCTATACTTGTTAGGAATCGAGCAGATTTCTAAGAATACACATATAATTAATAGTTGATAAGAAAAACATCTAAAAATTCACAGAATCATCAAAAATATCACTAGTATTATATCTAAGCTTTTAAATATCTTTAAAATAGATATACTCTATTATGTGAAAAAGAGAATCAATTAAAATGATATTAAAAATGTATATAGAATATTAATTTAAATTAATTGATTTTCATAATTAAATCAACTCTAAAAACAATTCTTTTTTAGATAGAATTATATGAGTAGAATAATTTAATAGAAAACTTTAAAGTAAATCAAAATTGTTTTAAATTATGATTAATAGATAAATTATAATAAATAAAATTGATTATTAATTTAAGTTGAAATGTTAAGCAAATTAGCAAGAATTTCTCATTTTAGGCTTTTTTTTGCATTTTGTGATTAGAAGCCACCATAAGGTATTCATAATTATAATGAAAGGCTTTGAAAAATTCAAGAGAAAACCTAAATAATCAAATGAACCATCTGAATAGAAAATCGAAAATATTTAAGAAGAGAAAGTTTAAGAAAATAAATAAAACAAAAAATAAGAGGAAAATATTAAAAGGGAACGACCAATAGAGCCTTAATTTGAATAGCCTAAATAAGATTAATAATAAAATATAAATAAAAGATTTTCACAAGAATAATACAAATTTTCTAAGCGAGAGAATACAAATAATTTTGGAGAAAAGCCAAAACCAACAACACCATCATAAGATGTATTTATGCAATAATATTTAGCCTAATGATCAATTCAAGTAGTATTTGTTTATGTTTTTGGCATCTGTACCTCTTGCTTATTTAGTATATAAAGCTTATGAAGAAGGAGAAAACTATATATCATTTAATGAATTTCAAAGAGGTTATTTGGAAAAAAAATTTGTGATTTCCATACAAGTTGAAAAAATAAATGGGGAAATCATTGCAATTATATACACAATAGAAGGAAAGAAAAAATTAAAAATTATGGATTTAGATTACTTTCTTTAAAAAATTGATGATTTAAAAAATGAATAATAAATACCCATTTCCTTTTAAAATCAAGATGAAACTTAAGAAACTACAGCAAATATTACTAAATATGCTTCAATATTATTTTCTGGTGGACTATTCTTTATTATGTTCTAAATTTATAAAAATATGACAAAAAGTCTTTCAGGTATGGCTGGTGATATGATGGGTGGTATGTCTAAAATGAAATCTAAATAATTTGAATAAAAAATTAAAATAAAATTCAAAGATGTTGCAGGTTAAGATGAAGCAAAAGGAGAAATAAAAGAATTTGTAGATTTCTTAAAAGCACCAAATAAATATAAGAAATTAGGAGCTAGAATTCCAAGAGGTGCTTTATTAACAGGACCTCCTGGAACTGGAAAAACCTTATTAGCTAAGGCTTGTGCTGGTGAAGCAGGAGTGCCTTTTTTCTATGTAAGTGGATCAGAATTTGTTGAAATGTATGTTGGTTTAGGAGCAGCAAGAGTTCGTGAACTCTTTAAATAAGCTAAATCTAAAGCTCCAAGTATTGTCTTTATTGATGAAATCGATGCTGTTGGAAAGAAAAGAAATTCAAAGGGTTCAAAAAATGAAGAAAGGGATAATACTTTAAATTAACTTTTAGTAGAAATGGATGGTTTTGGAACTGATAGCACTGTTGTTGTATTGGCTGCCACTAATATGAGAGATTCTTTAGATACTGCCTTGACAAGACCTGGAAGATTTGATAGAAATATTGAAATCACATTGCCAGATATAAATGGAAGAAAAGAGATATTTTTAGTACATTTAAAACCAATTAAATTAGATCCATCTAAAACTATAGAAGAATATGCAAAAAGGTAATTATTTAAATTAAATAATTATAGATTAGCAACATTAACACCTGGTTTTTCAGGAGCTGAAATAGCAAATCTTTGTAATGAAGCTGCTATTTTAGCTGCTAGATAGAATAGTAAATATGTTACATCATTTCATTTTGAATAAGCATCTGAAAGAGTGATGGCTGGATTAGAAAAGAAGAAATTTATGAGTGAGGAAGAAAGAAAAATTGTTGCTTTTCATGAAAGTGGTCATGCTGTAGTAAGTTGGTTTTTAGCTGGAGGAGATCCTTTATTAAAAGTATTAATCTTTTTAATATTAAGCTTACAATTATACCAAGATCTAAAGGATCTTTAGGTTATGCTTAATATTTACCAAATGAGAGTAATCTTTAAACTATGGAAGAATTGAAAGACAAAATTTGTTGTGTTTTAGGTGGCAGAATTTCTGAGAATTATTTCTTTAAATCTATTACTACTGGTGCTAGTGATGATCTCAAAAGAGCTTATGACTATGCTAATGCCATTATAACTAAATTTGGTATGAATGAAACTATTGGACAAATTGGATATTAAGATGATTAATATTCTAAGGATTATAGTGATAAAACTAATGAAGTAATTAAAAATTCTATTTGATAGATAATAGATGAAGAGATGTAAAAACTTATATATCAATGTACTCAAAGAACTGAAGAATTAGTGAAAAAATATGAAGATAAAATTAAAGCTCTTGCTGAATTGCTCTTAGAGAAGGAATCATTAGATTTATAATAAATAATTAATTTACTTGGAGAAAGACCTTTTCCACCAAAATCAAATTATAAGGCTTATTTGGATTTGAAGAAGGTTGAATAAACTGAGATCAAAAATGAAATACCATAAAAGTAAGATGAATAATAATTATCTTAATCAGAAAAAAATGAATAAGAAAAGTGATTATATAAAAATGTTAACTTTTTTATAAATATGTAGTGGTATTCTTCAATTAGTATTTTGGCAGTAAGGACAAGTTTTTGATTTTTCATTCCATTTTTTAAAACAGCATAAATGAAATCTATGTATACATATTAATAATGCTAAAGTATCACCATCATTGTAATTTTATGAACAAATTAAACATTCTAAATTATCTTCTGATGTTTCATTAGTTCTTTTAAAAATAATTTCAATATATGATTATTATTCATATTATTATTATTCTTATTATTCTTATTCTTATTATTCTTATTCTTATTATTATTATTATTATTATTATTATTATTAGATAAGCTTTTATGACTATTCTTGTTCCTATATTTATTGTAATTATTATTTTAATAATTGCTCTTAATTTTATTAGTTTTAAAAATATTAAATATTTTCTATCAATGTTTTCTATTGAATTAAAATATCTAAAAATGGTAAATTTTTTAATTCTTCATTTGATTATTAAATAAACTTCAATTCCTCCTCACTTATTAAATTATTTATATCTAAGTTTCCATCAATACTTTCTCCCATATTCTTTTATTATAATTATTCTTATCCATCTTAATAATCTTATCCATCTTAATAATCTTATTAATAAAGTTGAGATCTTTATAATAATTTATTTTATTTGTATTTAAGCTTTAATTCATTTTTTTTATTTTCAATTTTCACCAATAAATCAGCTTCTGACTTATCTTTAGGATTATTTTTAGAAATATCAGTCTCAATGATTTCTCCATTCTTTTTTATATGCACTAAAATTCCTTTTTCATCTTGAAAGCTAACAAAATTACTATTTTCATTGTCTGAATTATCCATATATAAATAAATAATAGAATTATTAAATTAAGAAAATTATAAATATCACATTTTATTTTACAATAATAATTTTATAGAATAATAATTTAAAAAAATCTAAAAAAATCTGATAATTTATATACAAAAAGTATTTTGATATCACAATTATTACAATAAATAATAAGTATCATGGACTATAGAATCTTAATGCTGATTCTTTAATATGATATTTTTGTCTTGAATAAGAATTAAAATATATACAGGTATTATCTGCTAATTTATCTCATTTTTTCATAATCATAAGGTAAATGAGAAACTTTCATTTATAATAATGGATTTTCCTTTACATCTATAGATGGAAATTTAAGTAAAGCTTCTTAACCAACTTCAAGTTAACGCAATTTTTCCTCCAAAGATCTTTTTGGTGCACGCATACTCTTATCAAATTTTAACCAACCTCTGATCAAATACATCTATTCTCTACTAACTTATTTTTCAAAATCAGTTCCTCCCTTTATAGAATGCTATTTCAATTGATTGTTTAAAGGACCTGTCCTGAAAGTTCTTGGCATCTCATCTGTAGATCTTAGTACATTTCTAGGGCTACCAAAATTGACTTGATATCTATGAGAATCAAGACCTTTGTATGAGACTTCATATTAGCCTATACTAGGGCTGATGTTATGACTTCTAGTAATTTTCAGATGTTTTTATGAAGGTTGGCAACGCTACTTGATATCACTTCTAAAAAAACCCTTTTATTGGTCATCAACAGAACTACATTATAAGTAATATTTGATTTGCTGTCTAAATTTTGATTAGATTGAACAAATTTTGACAATTCTTGATCGTACAATTCTGTAATGGACTTAAGCATAATTAAAAAATATATATATCGAATAAATTTTAATAAGAAATATCAGCAACACTTCTTATTTTATTTAGAACATTTCTTTTTATGTCTTAATTTAGATTATTTATCTCTTTCTATAGCATTAATCTCATCATCACTTGTACAAGTATCTGAACTTTCAGATTCTTCTGCATGTGGTTTATGATATATACAACAAACTAAATTTAAGTTAAATGATTAGTATACTATTAGATTTGAGTCTTCCAAGATTTTCATTATCAACAGTATCTTCTGTCCATTATACAGATCCTTTCTTTTTTTCTTTCTTTTTTTATTACTACTCTATTTCATGTTATTGACTATTATTGAGATGTAATATTGTTTAACTAGTTTGACTGGTTGTCTATGTTTAAGAAATCATTTGTGTTTTTTTGTGAGAATTATTTATTATTATTATATTATAATTATATTATATTTTATAGACTCTTAGATGGATATATATATATATATATGACAATAATTAAACTTATGATTAATCTATAGATAATATAATTAATCTAATGTATTATAATAATAATTATATGAACATTGACAACATTTGTTAATTTACAAAATATTAACTAGAATAAATAAAATATTGTATCTCATCTAAATGTTCCCAATTTACGAGGACGAATGAATTAATTGATCACATAATTCTATTTTTCTATAAATTAATCAGTATTATGATAATAAGAAGCACTTCTATATGTTGAATTTCGATATGGGATTTAGTGTTTACTTGTTATTATGCCTAACATATTGTTGTACTCTCCAATGTATTTATTTGTTTTAATGTTAGTTGTATGTTGAATTTTAGGAAGAGCGAATTACTGAAGATTAATTCTTATATGGGCAGGACTTCCTCCAGGAGCTTTTTGGTTTGATTATAGTTCTTCAGTTGTATGATTATCTAATTGCATTAAAGCACTCCTCTGAAGCTTTGAGAGATCATTATTTAGTGGTGATCTTCTATGGAGAATCTCTTTCAGTTCTTCTCTTTTGTGTAATTTAAGCATTAAAAATATTTATTTTTTTCATTTTTATTATAAATTTTGATGATTTTCGGAGTTTATATTTTTTGTAATAAATCAATGTTTTCAATAAATATTGAATAATATAAAATATGAGTAATAATGGAAGAGTACAAGTGTATGAGAAATTGTGTTAATGCCTTACAACATTAGAGTTGAAGAGATATAATCATCATGTGAGAACTCCTGAAAAGGATATCACATTAATAAAAGAATAAATCAATCAAGTATTATAAATGATAATCTAAAAATAAGTATCTTAAACAACACTTCAAGACACTTTGTTACTCAACAGAATTACGTAAGACACTCAAGAAAATAATACTATAAGGTGAATTACATGAAATGAACTATAATTGGTAACACTTTCATTTCAATCCTTAGGGTATTATTGGAGTTATCAGGTGCAAGAACAAAGAGAGTTTAAAATCCTGATGTATATGATGAAGTCATTAAATTAAAAACAGACTATCCATAGTCATATTTTTAAACAATTTAATTGGTATTCTTGACAAAATAAAATTAGAGGATGTTGTAAGAACTGTTTCACCCACTTAGAGAATAAAGAACAATGAAAGAATTTATGAAAGAAATCATGAATATGAAGCTAAAATAGAAAGGATTTTAGTTGCATATTCTATTAGAAATCCTTTTGTCTCTTATTGTCAAGGTTTAAATTTTATTACGCACTTTTTGGTTAATAAGTTAAAATTTTCCGAAGAGGATGTAATTATGATAGTAAAATTAATAGACTTTTTGGGCATTGAGTTCATTAATTGAAGAGATAATGCCATTAGATTATTATACTAATATGATAAGCGTTATGGTAGACACTAAAATTTTAGAATATTTCAGTAAAATCTATGTACCTGAATTACTATAACATTTCAAAGAGATATATTTAGAAGCTAATTTTTATGCTATATAATGGTTTGTATGTTTATTTACTCCAAATCTACATATAGATATAGTTAAAGAAATATGGATGAGAGTTATGGTTTAAGGTAATAGAGCATTGATAGCATCAGGAATAGCAATATTGTTTATTTTTGAAAAAGATTTATTGAAATTTTCTGATTTTGGAGATCTATTAGAATTTTTTAAAAAGAATCTTAAAGAATATAAGAATATAAATGAATTTAGATTTATTGTGAATCAAATCTAAATAAAGAAAAAACCATTATTTGAAGCAAGAGATATGTTTAGAAAGATTCTAGAAAAAGAACATGAATAGAGTTTAGGAGATGAATCACCTATGTTAAATAAAGTTACATGTAATCCATAATGGACTGTATGTAATTAAGTTATACATTTGAATAAAACTCTAAAAAGATCATTCTCTTTTTTTGTATATTGTTAGAAAGAACCTTGTAGAGTTATAAATGATTATTGGGATAGATATGATGATTCAAGTAGTCAATGCAGTAGTACAGCATCTAGTCCAAAAAAGAAGAAATAAAAAATTTAAGGTCCTTAAGTATTACTTGGTAGATAGTTTCATATCTGTTAGAATAATGACTTAGATGAGAATGATAAATATTTATATAGATCTACTTTGTTGGTACATTAAGATTTAAACTCAGAAATATAAAGTAATGAAGATGAAGAGGATGAAAATTTAGAAAATTATGAGAGCATATAATCAATTGAATAAGGAAATAGTCGAGGAAGATCTATAACAATGAATAGATTCATGCCTCGATTAAGTGAATAAGGTTATGATGGATTCTATAAATAAGCTGTTTATTTGATGAAATAATAACAACCTGCAGAACCAAGAAAAATTAGTGGGGAATTAAATTTATTTCCTGAAACTAAAAATGAATAAGTTTAACAAAAATATAGAGTGGCAAGATAAAGTATTAGTAGCATTGCTTTTGCTACTTAATTTGTTCAAAAGTGAATGAACAAATATATATATTTAACAAATAATTATAAATTATAATTAATTTTTAATGTACGAACAAGAACTTCCATCAAATTTAGATGACTTTCCTAATTATAATCTTAAGTAATCAGCTGAATCTGAGAAAATCATTGTAGATAATGATCAAAAGAAAAAAGCAGCTTATCAATTCATGCAATCTTTAGAAAAAAATCTGAGAACTAAGATTAGTAGTCCTTAACAAAGAATTTAAACAATAGCTGTGTCTCTTGAATTGTATGATACAATTTTCAATAAAATTTATTGCAATACTCTTTATAAGGTAATATATTCAATATATTAAATAGGAAACCTTATTCCCATTAGCTGAAACTTTAGAAGAAGCTTTCAATGATGAATTTGATTCTATAACCAAATTACTTTTCAATGAAAGTTGTTATAGACATGCATTCTAAAGTGTGCAATAACAATTCAATTTACAAACATCAATAGAGTCATGGCAAAATTACTAATTGCTTTTTGCAGCACTATAATAAAAGTATACAAAATGCTGAATTAGGCAAAATATTGATCTTCCCCTACCTCCAAGTTGGATTTGGGATATTTTGGATGAATATGTGTATCAATTTTATGTGTCCTCCAGATGGAGAAAATTATTAAAGAATGATGAAATTAATCAATTGAAAAACATATAAGATTTTTGGAATCTAGAAGAGATGTTGAAAACATTAGAGGCATTCTATACTCAAAGAAATAGTTCAGTCTAAAATACTTTATAATATTTGGCATTTTATTCATATTTAGCTGCTGCAAAATTACATGTGATGTCTGGCAATTTTTAAGTAGGTTATACTTTATTATCATAAATTCAACATTCAGAATTGATTATATATAGCAAATCAGGTGGAGCTTATTAATCATTATTCAGTTATACTGGATTCTGTTTTTTATTGAATAAAGAATACAAGAAAGCTAATCTTACCTTAACATTAATTGTTAATTACTTCAATAAATTTAAATAGTTATATACAAAATCCTATCAATATGATAGTTTAATCAAATAACATGAAAAAATATTGGCATTATTAGCTGTTACATCTTTATATTATCCAGAAATTGAAGACAATATAATCACATTATTAAAAGAAAGTAGAAATAAATTATTTGAAAAATATGAAAAAATGTTAAAGTATGATCTATAAGTCATAGGAGAAATCTTATTATAATCTTGTCCCAAGATAATCAATACAATCAAGAATTTAAAGGAATTCCAAACTGAATAAGAAGTTAATCCAAATGAAATAATAATGGATATGAAAGATAAATTGTTAAAGGAAGTATTGGAAGCTAAGAAAATCAATGAAGTTGAATAAGTATTAAGTCTTTACAATTAAATTACTTTCTAGCATTTTAACAAAGTAAATTATTTAAATTATAAATTAAGTTACTTCCTGAGAAATATATTTAATTGTATATTGAGAGAAATAATGTAATATTAAATGAAAATTCCTTTGAATCTAGTGTTCTTAGTAAGTTTTGGTAGAAATCAAAATTGTTAGATATTGAGATTTAGAAAGATATCATTCATGTGAAAGAAGTTCAAATAAACTAAGTAAATTATATATAATTAAATCTTTCTAGAGAGATTTCATTAATTAATTAGCTTAGATGAATGCAAATCTTGAGAAAACATTTTTAGAGTTGAGTAGGAATTTATGATATTTGTTGTTGAAATTATAAAAAAAGTATATCAATATTTATATTAATAATGGAATTGGCTCCTCAGCTTAGATTCAAAATATATAAGTCATTATTAGATTATTTGGTACCAGAAGAGAAAATAGATTTCAAATACCTTTTTCTTTGTAGATTGTATGTTAATGTGAAATATGCATGCGGTATTAATAATTTAATGGATATTAGATTCATATATCATCCCATCAAATTTTAGACTACTTTTTTTAGATAAGAAAAATTTTTAGGTTTATGAAGTAGATCCTCCTATATTATTCAGTGACATCCCATAAAAATTCTTTGATTAATAACGATTACCATTAACTTAGAGATATTAGTATACTAGAACCAAAGAGAATAAAAAAAATAATAATTAAGATTAAACTTGTCTTAAATTTATGGAATTTTGGTCACATATTATTATAGAAATGGGTAAGGATGACATTAAGAGATTTTAAGCATTTCTATTAAAATTACCTGAATAACATAAAATGCCAATCTAATTGAGATTGTAATAGAATCTTTTGTAAAACAACTAAGAAATTAGTGATAATTATAAAGGTGATATAATAAGAAAAAAAATAAAAATAGTAAATTAAGAATAATTTTGGAATCACTAAAAACCTATTCAAGAAATGAAAAGGAATTTAATTAGTGAATATTAAAATGCATACACTAATAATTTAGATGCTGTATTATAAGAATTAATGTCTTATTGTAGTATTTATAAATTGAGTTAAAATGATAAACTCAAATATGTTGATTAGCTTTAATTGATTAATGATATTAAACTCAATACAGAATAGGATGATAATCCTTATATGAGAAATCGTCCTCCAAAAAAAACCAAAGGAAAAGAATAGAATTAAGTAAGTAAATATGGAGATGAGAAGAATGCTTAACCATATTCTTATATATAGTAATTCAAAAATATATATGAATAATAATTAATCAATACAGAATTAGGAAAATAATTTATAAAAACCTTTGGATTAAAAATTATTGATGAACTTGCATGTAATTATTATTTAAATTAATTAGAATAGAGGAATTTCAATTTAGTGAATGATTACAATTACGATGAAGAAGCTATAGGTAAATTATTTAAATTAATATAAAAATAGCTATTAGCGGGATTAAAACAATGTAATAAGATCCCATGAATGAAGAAGTGATTTGTAAAAATATATATCATAATTAAGATCAAAGAGTACAAGGAAACATATTAGATCCCTCATTTCTAGGCTAAATCGAATTAGAAAATGATGGAGTCCAACTTGATGAATAACCTAAATCAAAGGTCAAAGCATAATAAAAAGTACCTCCACTTATGAAAAAACAATATCAAACTAATTCTGAGTGGGAAAGAGATCGTAACTACATTCTTCAATCGATCAATTAATTCGATTATGAAAAGAAATTTACTAGTAATTATAATCATAATAATTTAAAAAGAGGTTGACATCTATTAAGCAATTAAAGAAGACTATAAGTTAAGCTTTAAAATTTCCTTAAGTACGATCAAAAGATAGGAGGAAAGAGAAAAAGATTTTTATGCAGAAGTAAGAAGAGTCTATTCAAATGTGAGAAGATTACTTTAATATTTGTTTGAAGGTTTGGAATAGAAAAAAAGTGAATAGTAAATGAAAGAGTACACTGAAACACTCAAAGAAGAAATAAAAGCAATCAGAAACAAAATTAATTAGCTATAAACAACTGCTACTGATAAGGATAAGTTTAAAAGTATTTTGTATGAAGATTTACAAAAATAAATTGAAAAGGCCATAAATGAGACTATTTATTAATGAATAATAGTACAAACAATTTTTTTATTCCTATTCTTCAGATTATACTAAAGAGTGGAAATTCTGTTAATAAATTACTGAATAATTAAATTGATTCCTTTTTTACATCTAAATATTTCTTTATATTTCTATCTACATCTTACAAACCATAAATCTCTTTAAATATTCTAACAAAATTACTTTTCCTTTTTATTTATAACTTTATTAATTCTTTCTTCTAATAGCTTGCCAATACTTCAAATGATGAATCTGATTAAAGATGATTAGAAATAGGATCTGTACCCAATGCCAAATTTATATACATTATTTTATTTACATTTGCAGACAATATCTAAATTTAATATTAAGAAATCTATTCATAAGATGATTTTGATCCTTCAATTCTTCTATTTTATTAATATAATATACTATCTAAAGGAGGAATGATAGATATTGTTTAATCATTAGACCAACAAACTACTTTCTTTTTATAACATGCGTAAATTAAACTAAATGTAAATGTAAATAGAATTGCACCTAAAACAGTAAAAAAAGTAATAGTCTATTATTCACAATTGTTTTATAAATAGCAAGATATATCAATGAATTGAGAACACTTTAATTCACATATTGTTCCTGTATTAGTAGCTATCTAATTATTCGATTTATTTTTATTCTCATTTATATTACTATTATCATTTTATTAATTCAAATATACAATTTTCCAATCCAATAAAGATCCTTCATTATTTAATAAACTAAAATTACATAAATTTGATTCTTTGATATCAATAGAAACATTTATTTCTTATTTAATAATTTTGCTTTTCAACGGTTATAATGAAAGCTCTGTTGAATTTATTGTTATTGTATTTATAGAACAATTAAAATAACTTTTAAATTCACTTAAAATATCACCAATATTTGTAATTTAAGCATACAATATACCAGATCCTGATGAAATAGAAAAATTTTGAATTTCAGCTAAATCAATTTATCCTTTCTAAGTACTTTATATATTTCCAACATAAGATATTCTACCAGTCGTATTTATTTTAAGTGTGATAGTTGTGAACATTTATTGATCAATGCTAAATTAAAGGAATTAGTTATTATTAATATTAATTTACTAAAATTTCCCATATTTTTAAATCAAATAGAATGGTTAAGAATTATTATTAACCATGACTATATCATTCTGATATAGATCCTCTAATTAATTTTATAAGCAAGATCTTATTTACTTTTAACACCTATTTATTTCATTTTTAAATGAAGAATATGATACTCCTATTTTATTACATTCCCCCTGTCCTAATAATTCTTTAGGTACAAACATATAAGCTGATGTTCCAGCTTAAACTCTTATATGATTAGCAGGTGAACTTGGTTTCATTAGCATAAAAGACTCCAATGAAGGTGGCTAATTTGATGGAATATAATCTTAAATAATTTTGGCAATAGAAGTCTCACCTTACCAATCTTTAATTTCACTTCCTAGTGTGTATTATTCAATTTCATCGTTAGAGTACTTAATTGAAATAGTAATATTGTAATGGATTTCAAATTTGGATATGTTGTATGAGCTTAGAATGATAATAAAAAAAAGAATTACCTGTACCAAAGTGGAGAATATCTTAGACAAAAAGCCATAGTTGTAACTGAAGCTTTGTTGCAAATATTAATTCTGGATAAATCATCATTTTAAGCAATTTAATCTGAGGATCCACAGGAACAACAGAAACCTTGGCTATCTTAAATTTTATTAGAGTTTAAATATTAGAATCCACATGTTGGTGAATTAGAATTCCAATTGTCATTACAGGGATTAACTGCTGCTGGGATTTTAAGTTCATAAGGTTGATTATTATAATGTTGGAAATATTGTAATAGATAATATGCATAAACAGGTGTTTTAGTAATAGTAAGAGTAATAGGAGTTGACAATTATAGAGTTTGATTGTTGAGTATTGTTGAGTTGATTTAGATTTATTCTGTTGATGTTGTGTTTGAATTTTCTATTGTCAATTAGATAAGCATGTTTTCAGAACAATCTGTATTGTTTTAGGAATCACAAATTTTAATTTATGAAGTTGTCAATAGTTCTTGGGAAGTATGACTAAGTAGGATTAATAAAATAAAAGACATTGTTATTAAATGAGAGTTTAATTGGTGTCTTTTAAAGTGATTAAGTAATATTTTAGTTAAATTTTTATATTCATTTTTTATATGTTTTCTTTTAACTCTTTCTTCTTTTCAATCCTTNTTATTAACCATGACTATATCATTCTGATATAGATCCTCTAATTAATTTTATAAGCAAGATCTTATTTACTTTTAACACCTATTTATTTCATTTTTAAATGAAGAATATGATACTCCTATTTTATTACATTCCCCCTGTCCTAATAATTCTTTAGGTACAAACATATAAGCTGATGTTCCAGCTTAAACTCTTATATGATTAGCAGGTGAACTTGGTTTCATTAGCATAAAAGACTCCAATGAAGGTGGCTAATTTGATGGAATATAATCTTAAATAATTTTGGCAATAGAAGTCTCACCTTACCAATCTTTAATTTCACTTCCTAGTGTGTATTATTCAATTTCATCGTTAGAGTACTTAATTGAAATAGTAATATTGTAATGGATTTCAAATTTGGATATGTTGTATGAGCTTAGAATGATAATAAAAAAAAGAATTACCTGTACCAAAGTGGAGAATATCTTAGACAAAAAGCCATAGTTGTAACTGAAGCTTTGTTGCAAATATTAATTCTGGATAAATCATCATTTTAAGCAATTTAATCTGAGGATCCACAGGAACAACAGAAACCTTGGCTATCTTAAATTTTATTAGAGTTTAAATATTAGAATCCACATGTTGGTGAATTAGAATTCCAATTGTCATTACAGGGATTAACTGCTGCTGGGATTTTAAGTTCATAAGGTTGATTATTATAATGTTGGAAATATTGTAATAGATAATATGCATAAACAGGTGTTTTAGTAATAGTAAGAGTAATAGGAGTTGACAATTATAGAGTTTGATTGTTGAGTATTGTTGAGTTGATTTAGATTTATTCTGTTGATGTTGTGTTTGAATTTTCTATTGTCAATTAGATAAGCATGTTTTCAGAACAATCTGTATTGTTTTAGGAATCACAAATTTTAATTTATGAAGTTGTCAATAGTTCTTGGGAAGTATGACTAAGTAGGATTAATAAAATAAAAGACATTGTTATTAAATGAGAGTTTAATTGGTGTCTTTTAAAGTGATTAAGTAATATTTTAGTTAAATTTTTATATTCATTTTTTATATGTTTTCTTTTAACTCTTTCTTCTTTTCAATCCTTCTATATTTTATGTAATTGTTTATAATCTTTTTAATTTACTATTATCTTAATCTGATGATTAATTTTCACTGCTTTTATCATTATCATTGTCACTTTCACTAACTACTTGATGATCTAATGCTAAAGTATTTTAATAGATCATATTATTTGGTACAGACATATATTTAACTTACCCATATTCTGGTTCAACTCTTCCATTACTACCTCTAGTTTTACGTGATAAAATCTCTACATTTCCATCATAAGAAGTATTTGAACTATTTTCATCACTAAAATACTCTTATCCTACAATAGATAACTATGCTAATTTCTATTGTTGTAATTTCTTTTTACATTTATATCTTTTCATTGCTTTAAAGGCCATTAGTACAAATAAATATTGTACAATTGGATTAACTAGATTTTCTTATTTGGAAGTATCAAATTTAGTAATTTTTTATCTTGTTTCATCTTCTTTTTATTTAATTTTCTTAGCTCCTATTTCAGTTAGATTTATATTTAATTTCTTTTATAGATAATTCTTAAGCACTGCAAATAAAACTTAATGATATCTAACATAACCATCAGAATCTGAATAAATATTCATTTTCATTATTTAAGTAGCAACATTCTTTTTGGCAGCAACAAGTAATTATTATTTAAATTTATCAAATTAAGTAATATCATGATTATCAGGATTGATATTCTTCCATTCTTAAATATCTTCTTATAATCTTTTATTGAGTTCATAACCTAATGGTTATTCCATTTCAAACATTAAATTAACTAAAGATGTTCCATGCATTTTCATACCTTTATCTTAATAAGCAAATTTTGACCAACTTTCTACAAAGATATTTTCAAATTCTTAAAATTTATTTAATGGATTATCTGAATTAAAATAATTGATTTCATATTAATCTAAAATAATCAAGATAAATAAGTTTAACATAATATACTATTAAATGATAATGAATAAGATAAAAAATACAGAATTATATTCTTATCCTCCTTTCATAGTATCAAACATTACTTTATGCCAATCTTCACCAGTTGAACATTAAAATAGAATTTCAAATGAATGATGAAAATCTTAAAAATTATTAATCTCATTAATTATTTAACCTGTTTTAATATCTTAAAATAAAAAGACACCTAAAATTGAAAATATAAAAAACACTAAAAATAACAATGCTGTTACATTAAGCATAGCAGGAAGTGAATAAAGTGCTGTTTCAATTAACTTTTATAATCCTTAAAATTATTTAACTAATCTAAATAATCTTGTAACTCTTAATACTCTAAATACTCTTGCTATTTATGGTCCTACTTTTAAAAATGTTACAAATGAATTCCCAGAAAAATCTAATACTAAATCTAAAATTGATGCACAAACCACAAAAAAATCAAATTAATTCCAACTATTTCTCATATATCCTATTATTCCTAAAGCAACTAATTTTAATATTGCCTCCAAAATAAATACAAAAGTAAATGACATATTCAAATAACTCAATATTTAATCATATTATTTTGAAGCCTCCTCTTTAGCTAAACCCATTGTGATAATATTGAAAACAATTATAGTCATAATGAAAGGATCAAAATACCTATTTTTTATCAATTTAAAAAACATCGCTCTAAAAATATTGTCAGGAGGAAAAAACATAGCCATATTTGGATTTGAATGGATAATTAACTTTTATAAATCTATCCAATCACTTTATGTTTAAGTTAGATTTTAATCTCTTGATGCCTCTTCTGCTAAATGATAATTTACTAAAATAACACCAATAAATAAATTAATCAATAGCATAGCTCCAAATAAAATAAAAACCACAAAATACCAAGAGAATTGTAATTGAGCATCAAAAATTGGTCCAGATTCATCAGCATCAATAAAATAATACATATAATCTGGCCATCCTTCTAAAGTTGATAAAACAAATAATGTTAACATTCCCTATAATACATTATCAAAATTAATATCTCTATTATCCCATACTCCTTAATATTTATTAATACAATCTTCTTTACCATAATAATATGTCTGATCATCATTTAAATTACAATAATGAAGTTTGTTTTTCATCAAACTTACTCCTAAAATAGCAAACATTAACCAAGATAGAATTATGACTATTCCAACATTAAAAATACCATTAATTGATTATAATAAAGCACTTACTAAAATCTTCATTGATTTATTATGAGTAATGAATCGAAGTGGTCTTAATGTTCTCAATAATCTCAAAATCTTAACAAAACTTAAATTGATACTAGATACACTGACATCTACAAAAGATGCTATAACAATAAAGAAATCCAAAACATTCCAAGATTCTCTCAAATAAGAAGCTTCTTCTTAAGCAAATCCAAATGCCACTATTTTTAGAATACATTCTAAACCAAATAATATAGCAAATCCTATATCAAATTATAATGAATAAAATCTCATTTCTCCATATGCTGGAATATAAGTATCCAAAACTAATTTCATACTAGTAAGAAAAATCAATATAAGAATAAATCCTTCAAATTTAGTATCCTTTACTATTCTATATGCAATTTTTCTAAATTAATTTTATTAACTAAAAATAAATAATGAATTTTAACAGATTCCTTATTCACTAAAATAAATAAATGCAGGTTCTTTCTTCTTCTATATTGTTTCATCATTATGAAAAGTTATCTTTACTTATGACCTTCTTCTCAAAATAGGTTAATTAGTTAATTAAATTTAAGTGCTATTAACATTTATATTAATTCCTGAATGTTATAATGTAGAATTAGGCAATACTTAAGTTGTTGATTAATTCTTTCCCAATTAAATATCAGATTCCAATCCTGTCTTATCTACTTTATATTCTTCTTCAAAATTCTCCAATAAAATAGCTAAAAACAGATTCAAGAAAACATAATTTCCTATCATAATCCATAATACTAAATATATTACTGTAATAACAGGACTTAATGGCTATAAAAGTAATTCATACAAAAGAGAATTCCAATTTTCTAATGTCAATACTTAAAATACTACTAAGAATGAACTCTATAAATTATCAAAGTTTTCTCTACTAGGAGTATGAGTTAATTATCCTCCAAAAAAGGACATTCCCAATAGAGTAAATATAAAAATGAATATAATCATTAATAATAGTATGTACATTAAAGATTAAAAAGAGTTTGTGAGTACTTTTATTAAGAAACCCATAAATTATAAACTCTTCATTAATTTTGTTACTCTTAATACTCTAAAAGCTCTAAATATTCTAACAGCTCTGAATGCCGATAATGAAGACTTTCCATTTGATCCACCCAAAATGAAAAGTTCAACTAAACTTAAACACACTATCAATGCATCAAAAATATTCATAGTATCTTTCATATAATTAATTGCCCCTAAAGCCATCATCTTTAAACCTAATTCAATAGTAAATAGAATAGTAAATGTAAAATTAAATTAGATAAGAAGTGCATTACTTTCTTCTGAAATCAATCCATCTAAACCTAAAATTAATGTGTTTAATGCCACAGCTAAATTCATTAATCCTTCAAAATAACTTGATTAAACTACATGATATAAATTCCTTTAACTTACTAATAATAAACCAGTAAATCCTTTAATCCATTTAAAATAAGCATTATCATCATAATTCATTGCCTTCATAACAGAATTCATTTAAATAGCAAACTTTTAATCAAAAAATGTATAATCTGACACAAGTAAGACATCCTCAATAGAAGATATTGCTTAAATAATTCCATTTGATAAAGTATCTTTTTTTCTTATCTCATAGTAATCATGATAAAATACTGCTCTCTATGCCTCTCTTTCATTATATGATAAAAAGATGTTTTTATTATTTTGTTCTATTTCTTTAATTACTGTATTATTTTTATTAAGATCTACAATACAATCAGTACTATCAGAAAAATAAGATTATAATTCTTAATATGTTAATTCTTATTTTTGATTAATTTATATTTTTTTTTTTCTTTTCATATGATCATAAGTGTCTATTAAAGGATTTTATGAAGTTTATACATCAATAATATCTTATTCTTCTTCTCGACGAGTTTCAGAATCTACTAATTCAGACAACATTAAAAATTCTTCAATTGGATGTATATCATCTAATATAGGTTTTACTCTTCTTATCCCATGAAATATTTTGAATTTCTTAGCCTTTGATTGTTTTAAATTTTAAATAATTTATTATTACTTTTTATTATTAGATTTTTGAGATTATTAACTATAAAGTATTTATTTAGAATTTTTAAAACAATATTAAACTTTAACACTCATAGTTTTAAATTTATGTTCTTAAGCTTATTTTTATAATTACAATTCCTTAATGTATTTAGTTTCAAGTACTTCTTCTGTACTAGTATATTATTCATGTTCCATTTTAATAATTGGATAAAATTATATATTATGTAATTTTGATTTAAGTTTAAGATTCTTTTCATCAAATTAATGATCATATTATTCACTTTATAGTAAATCCTTAATTTTCTTAGCTTCTGTTTTTCTTAATGTTTTCATCTCCTTAAATTCATTTTCTTTTAAATTTTATTAAGCACTCTCTAATCTAATTTAATCTAAATCAACAGCTATCTCTTAAAGTCGATTATCTAATTACTATTCAGAAAGTTCACTTAAATTAATACTACTAAATTCTGTGTTACTAAGTAAATCTACACTATCTTATTTATTGACTATTTTGACAGTTTTAGAATATTTAGAAGGTGATCTAATAAAATTTGAAAATTATTGAGATGTAGATTTTCTTTTTCTTTAATTAGGAACATCAAGTTTTTAATTTTCATCTTGATCACCATTTTTACTATATATACTATTAGTTTAATTTTTTGATTTAACTGAAGCTATTCTTTATTATTTATCTTATTTTTCTTAATTATTTTCACTATGAGTTAAATTTTCAGATGATTTATTTTTTTATTCATTAGTTTTTGATGATACTGAATGATTATCATTTTATTTTAAGACTGTATCATATTTATTATTATTTGTATTCTATTAATCTTTATCTATATTACCCATTCCATAGATACCTTAGAGTTTTACTTTATCTTTCAAATTAATTGATTTACTGTAATATTTGGCTTATTAAATTGCTTTAAATTATATATTTTTATGATTTTATATTCTATAATTGTGTTCAATATTATTAAAATTTACTGTGTTCATTTTCTTAGATTTTCGACGTATTTAATATGGATAAGTTGATTTTTATATAGTAACACCATAATTAGTAGTATCAACCTTATACCTTTTCACTTTATAGAGTCCAAGTCTTCTTAATTCCCAATAATCATAAAATTATATTTCTTCTTAAATTAATTTTAATTCTTCTTCAATTTTTTCAGGTTTAAAGTTTAATTTAATAACTGCTAAAGTTAAATTCACAAGGAAAAAGGCTCCCACAATTACCACTAATAAGAAATAGAAAATAACAAATTGAGAGAATGTGAGAATTACTGCTTCTTAGATTTATGACCACCCTTCTAATGTAGTAATAACAAAAACTTATAAAAATGCCCAACCAAATGTATCAAAATTTATTAGATTATTTTAAGGATTACTAGTTTATTTTCCACAAAGATAATTAGTTGGACAATCTGAATCTGATGTACAATAAGCATCTTTTTCAATTTATGTTATTAATGTTATACCAATATCACTAAAACAACGACGTTTTAAATATCCTGAAAACAATTGTACTCCAGCAATAGCAAAGATAGTATAAAAGAAAATTAATACTATCGCAGCATCTCTTAATTAAGCTAAAGATGCAAACAAAGCCAACAGAATCATTCTAAGAGATTTAATTGAGGATATAGTTCTGAGTGGCCTTAAAACTCGAAAGGATCGTAAAGAATTGAGATTTAATGAGTTTGATGAGACAAAATAGGGTAAATAAGCAGTAATGATAACTGAGAAATCAAGTATGTTCCAGGTTTCTCTTAAATAAGCTTTTTTTGGCCATATTAACCCCTAATTTAATATTTAAATTACTTATGCAATGATTTTTAAGATTGCTTCAATTGTATAATAGATTAAAAATATTTGATCCATCAAATTAGCAAAATCTGTTTATTCTTCAGTTGTAGGATCATCCATAGCTAACATGACAGAATTAAATATAATAATGAAGATTGTTATGATTTCAAATATCGTATTAGTAACAATTTTGTTTGCAAATAATGATATTCTCTTTTAAAATACTAACAGTTGTTTTCTGATTCCTAAGAATGGATATCTAATTAATATTATATTAATACTAATCTGTATAATTTTAAGCCAATTATAGATCACTTTAAGGAATGAGTTTCAAATAAGAATTGGAAATAGTCTTATAATTTGTTATCATGTCTTCATATTCATCTTACATTTGAGATTATAACTCTTCATAATAGACATCTTAATCTTCTGCCTTAACATCAAAAAATAAATCATGAACTTTTCGTAACAATTCCTAATTGTTTTAAACTCTCAATTCATTATTTAACTATTATAATCGGCAAATAAAATACTTCTTCAATACTGAAAACATCAAAATCTCTTCTTATTTGTTCCTTCTCGTCTTCATTGTGTAGTATTGATTGTTGAAGTATCATAAATATCGAAAATTCTTGGTGATTTGCTATTTATATAATTATTATAAATAAAACATGGAAGATGAATATGTTATGGTCAATGGCAGAAAAACTGTAAATAAAACAATCTTAAATAATAGATTCCTCGAAAGATGTATCAAGGAAATAGAATATACAATGGAATTACATTGAATTTACATTATTCAATAGGGTAATTATGCAATAATTTATATCTTTAAGTTTAAAGCAAAGAATCCAATCATACATATATCAAGAAGACTCTCTTGTTTATCTGAATGGTCATCATCTTGTGCTCTATGATATAAACAAAAAGAAACAGCAATTTATATTAAGACCTAAAGATGAAGAAGATGTAAATAAATGCAACTTAATTTTAGGTTGTAGTGATGAATCATTGTGTTAATGATAAGATGATACTCTCTGTTGGTCTAGGACTCAAGAATACTATCAAAAATTATGCAACTGTAAGAATCTATAAAACCAATCAAAAATCTTTCACTCTACTTCATTAGCATCTACCTTTTGGAACTTAAGTCAAAGATATCGCCTTTCTTCATACTGCCAAATATACTATCACACTTTGTTACAATATTAATTCTCATGACACTTCATACATCAGTGTATTCAAAACTAATACTGAATAACTTATTACTTACAGTGATATAGGTGAAAATTATGTTGGTTTATTTGGAACCTACAAAGATTTCGAATAATTTGGAACATTCGGACATAATGTATTGAAATTATGGAAATTTAATCCAACTGAAAAATAATTAGATGATGTTTTCTTAGATTATGAGGGAGTTATAACTCATGTAGTCTAATCTAACAAGTAATTAATATATATTATAATTAAAGAAAAATATTCCTCATGAATAAAAAAGGAATTTTATATTTTTATCGAAAAAACAAAATAATTAATTCAGCCAATATCCCTGCTGATTTGAATGAGACTCCTACTGTTATAGCAGCCTATTCAGAAGGAGTTGTTGTGGGATTTGAAAATAAACCTATTATAGCTATGTATGAAGCACATAAAGGAATAATAGAATATAGAAAATAATATACTCTAAATATTAGTAATCTCTAAAAACTTGTTTATATTCATGTTGGAAAAGATGACTCTTATATATCCATTACAGCATAACATAAAACTAGATAAACTGAAAATGAAGAAATCAATTGTGAAATCTATCTCTTTAATCTTGGATTTGTTGATTATATAAATTCTGCATTTAGAGATCCTTTTGAATAATTATTTCCTTAAGGTGTTCACAAAAGTAAAATTTTAAATATTGAATCATCTCCTTCAAAACCTATTATTTGTGTTTTATCTGAAGAAAGAGTATTTAAAGTATGGGAATTTACTTATGAAGAAGGTAAATTCAAGTGTCTTTATTCATCTACTTTACATGAAGTCCCATAATGTATGGCTTTGCATCCAATGGCATTTTAATGTGCAATTGGATATCGTGAAGGACTCAAATTTTATTTTGTTCTCCATGATGAACTTAAATAAGTTTATTATGAATCATTAAAATAATGCAGTGTTGTTAAATATACTCCTTTAGGAAATCAATTAGCTGTTGGATCTTAGAATTAAATTCTCATTTATGATCCATATACTTATAGATTGATATAAACAATATCAGGACATATGGGTACAATTGCATCATTAGAATGGTGTGATAATACACTTATATCTACTTGTAGTTAGGGATTAGTAATGGTATTCAATCAAACTAGATTGGTTGATCATTCATTTAAATTACATAAAGGATTTTGTTAGACTTATGATCCTGAATATGATTTCCTTATTGGAAGTTATTCTGATAATAAAGTTAGAATCTTTAATGAAAAAGGATAGAATTTATATTATGAAATGGATATCTATCCATGTCAATATGTATGTGTATAAATTCTTAGATTTCTGGATATGATTGCATTTGGAACTAATTGTGGTAAAGTGAGATTATATTTATGGCCTTTCACATAATTCAAAAATGATTAGGAAATGTTGGAATTTCAATTGCATTAAGGACCAATAACATAAATTAGAATGTCTTCAGATCAATAATTTCTTATTACTGGAGCTGAAGATGGTTCAATATAAATTTGTAAGGTTAAAGAATGGTATGATGGTAAAGATATGACACCACAAGAAACATAAAAAGGATAAAGAGTTAATTCAAAAGGGTTACTTGTATCCAACTTATACAGTTTTAGTATATTAGCTTTTGTGAGTAAGAATAGTATTGAAATGAAGAAGGATCTTATTAAAGAATTAGATTTTAGGATTTCTAATCAAAAAAGTGATTAAGAAGATTAAAAATAAGATATAACTTAGAAATATTAAAAATAAGAAAAAGAATTAGAATAACAATATTAACATTAGATTGCTAGATATAAGGAAGAATTATCTTAAATTATGGAAGCAAAAGATACTAGAAATAAAAATTTAGATATTGATTTAATTGATTTTAGAAAAAAGTATTAGGCAGAATCACACTAAATATAAGAAAAAACTGAGAAAGATCTTTTATAATTATATTAGAAGAATGATGAAGTTAAATAAAGATTATAATTGACAAATGAAGAAAATCAAAGAGAATATGAATAAAAGAAAGCTCATTTAGAATCTATTAGAACAAATATTAAAAATGATTAAGATACTAAATTTAATGATTTATTTTCAAGATTTTAATCATCTAAAGAATCTTTTGAATTAGATGAAAAGAAGTATTTAGAGGTATTCAAAGAAACTGAAAAAGAATTTGAATAATTAATAAATGAATAGAAAGAGAAAAAACTAATTAAATTAAAGGAATTATTAGATAAAAGTGAAAAGATAAGATCAAGTAATACTAAATTTAAAAAAGAATGTGATAGATATTAATTAAGAAAATAAGAATTAGAAAATATGATAAGAGAAACAAGAACTTAAAAAGATTTAATTAACAAAGAAAAAGATAATTTCAAATTAATAAATTAAGAAAAAAAGAATTAATTAAAAGAAAGAGAAAGATAAATCTTTTAAAAAGAAAAGGAAATTAAAAATTATAGAAATAAAAATGGTCATTTATAAAATTTTAAGAATGTCAATTCATATCGTTTATAATCTTTATAAGAATAAAAAGCACCTTTACAAGAACATTTATAAGATTTAGATTAGAATGTTAAAATTATGTACTAAGAATTGACTGATGAAGCAGAAGCTGAAAAGAATTTAGAAAACTTAATAGAAGATACTTCCAATAAAATTAAAGAATTGAAAAATTAATATCTGATAAAAAGGGATTCCTTATTCTCAAAAAGAGGAGAGGTCTAAGAAATAGAAAATAATATATTCAAAGTATTAGCTGATCCTGAAATCACTAATTTTAAAGAAATGTTATAAAATGTTCACAAACAACATTTCATTAATGGCAAAATTAACAAAGGTGATGTTAATGAAGATTCTATTTATGCTGAAATTGAAAAGAATACAGAAGTAGCCATACGTGAAGAAATGCTTAGATAAAGAGATTTCTTAAGTAAAAAGATCAACACAATCACTAGAACAAGCAAAGCAGCTGATGAGGATAAAACTAGTCTTATTATTAGAGTTTAAAAGGAAAATACTAATCTAGTAAAATCTTGTAATGAATTAAGAGAATAAAGAGCAAATCTCATCTCTCATCTGTCTAATATGTAAAAAGCCTTAGATATATTACAAAAGGAAATTTCTTCTTTAAATAATGGTGAATCTATTGAATTATAACCATCAGATGAAGATGTTCCACTCTATATAGAGAAAAACAAAATATAAAAACAAATTTCAGCTCCAAAATTAACACCATTTTAATAATATCACTAAGAAAAGGACATATCAAAAATTAGAAAATCTGACACTTTTCTGAAAAGAGATAAAGGATAATTAGATTTATAATAATTGATTAAAGAAATTAAAACATATAATTTAACTGATTAAGAATTAAGAGTAATAATATTTTTATAATTAGGATTAAGTATAGCAATTTTTAAGAAATGATGAATCTTCATCTATTCTTCCTTAAATTCTAAAATATCCATTCAATTAATCTCAAGAGGAAACCCAATTAGCAGGATTAGAGTAATCCATCATTAATACATCCTTGGAAACCTAAAAACTTTAATTGCCATTAATTAAATAATGATGGAAATGAATTTCTATATCGGATTTATTTACATATAATTAATATCTTTATGAATCTATTCCTTTTCTAAGTAGCTCTTAATTTGATTTCAGTGAATTCTTACATTGAAAATTAGATGTAATATTGATATCTGATAAAAATATAATTCTAGAAGTCATAATTATTGTGAACTTAATTTATTGATGTTGATGTTATTTACTATTTAAAATGTCGTATTATAATACTACTATAAATATAACAATTTGGTTTTGATCAAAATAAATTTAGGATAATTTTAATAAACTAATAACTTCTAATTAAAAATCTTTTATGATATTTTAAACTGTTGACTTTTTTAAGTTGGTTACAAATTATTAATTATTCAATTTATTTATTATTTCATATATATTTCCAAAAATTTATGTAGTATTCTTGAATAATAGTAATCATATCCATGTAAATTTTTTTTTGTCATCTCAAACAATTTATTCCAACTCCAATTCTTTAAATAATTTATAGACTATAAAATCAAATACATAAAATAAGGTCCCTTTAATTTATTCATCTAGTATATTACTTTAATCTCTATATCAGAATTTATAGCCAACCTCTAAAAAAACCAAAATAACTCTATAACATTATTTAATTAATTTATTATAGGTACATTACTAATTAATAAATATTGCTAGATCAACAAAATTGTCAAATAGTTTTAATCTAATAATAACCATTATTTATTATTCACAATAATAATGATGTAGTCTCACTTATACTACTATTTTAGGTTCTATTCATGTTAAATCAATTCTGATTTATTTAAAGTGATTTTTATAAGTAAAAATGAAAATTATATTATTAAATTTTTATAAAAAGACAGATTTTCTATAGAATATTAAGATGTTAAGAAATATATAATAAAGTGTGGTAATTATAAAACAATAAATTTTAGTATAACAAAGTCAGAGACTATACTAATCCATTTAATTTACTTATTCCATGGTTGAATGCAATTTTTAAAAAATATATGGGAAATTTCTTTAATGAAGAGATTAATAAAGAATAATTCACATCTATGGGATTAAAAAAGTTAACTCTTAAAGTGAGTTCTCTAAATTAATAAATGGCACCTAATATTCCCTTTGTTTTAGAATCAGGATAGATTTCTCTTTTAAAATTAGATTTACATAAATTAACATGTCTAATCGAGGAAGTGGAATTAACTTTAAATTTCAAGACGATAGAATAATATCGTTTATTTGTGTAAACCTATACAAAATAAAAGATGACAGCAGATAAACTTTAGAAAATTAAAGATGAAATCATTAAAGCATATAAAGTAAAAAGTGAGACATCAAATAATGTAAATTAGAATGCATGGAATATAATTAGATAGTTTTTATAAAAAATAACATTTACAGTTAATAAATTTGTTTTACATATTGTAGAACCAATCCACAATGATAAAATATCTTTGGCAATCAACTAAATTAGTATGAGAGTTAGAAAACTATAGGAAGAAAAAGATTAAATGGTCAGTACTATGATTATTGGTGGTTGTTCACTTCATATTAATGAATAAAATTAATTGTTTGATGTAAACAATTTTTAAAAAGAATCTTGTATATTTAGTTTATAATAACAATATACTAATAAGTATGATTAACATGTTGTTATTCATTTAAAAACTGAATTAAAGGAAAGGTTAAAATTTAATAGTACACTTTGCATCAGATTGATGTAAATGAACTTTAATTATAAATAATTTTAGATAGCATTAAGAATTATAATGAGTATTTTGGATCATAATAAATTTATCTAATCTCAAGATAAAATAATCATTGAATCTATAAAATAAGAAACTCCATAATTTTAATTTACATGGTGTGAATCATAGATTAATATTAATTATTGTGATTAGATAGGAGAACTTATATAGGATGATGTTGAAAGTAAATCATTAAGTGAAGAAGATATGGTTGAATTTAATGAGGATTTAGAATAAGCTTTAGAGAAAAGTTAATTTAATGAAGAAGAAGGTGATTAACAATTTGAGGAATCTTAGATTGAAGGATTAAATTAATCTGTTCTAAATTAATCTAATCTTGGTGATTTAAATCAAAGTACATTAAAATAATCAATTTTCTCAATGTCTGTTTTTAAAGAATTGATAAATGATGAAGATGATAAATAAGGTTTAGAAGAATTGGACGATTGTTAGTTAATTTTTAAATTGAAAATCTAGAAAATAAGATTTAGATTATCAAGAGATAACATAATTGATAAATGGAATATAGATAAATTAAAAAAGACTAATTATTATGAATTAGAATTAGATTAATTAAATTGGTTGATGACAAAAGAAATAACTTAATAATAAATAACAACTGTCAAATAAACAAAAATTGAGATTCCCATTATTTAAGTTTTTCATTATGAATATTGTAATATATTCCCTGAATAAACAGTTGAAGAACAAAATAATAAAGAGGATGATGATAATCAAGACATATTTAAGAGTATAAATGAGGATTTTCCTAATAATTCTTAGGCTTAAGAAAATCAAATGTTTCATTCTTGCTATAATTTAAGTTAAAATGATGTCTTAGATAAGATATCTCAGAAGAAGAATGAATTTATTAAGGAATAAGGAAATTATTATTATAAAAAGAAGTGTTTGATCAGCATTTATGATGGCATAAAAGATGAAAAACCATTAATCACAAAAGTAGATAACCAATTCATATATTCAAATAATAAAATTATATCTCATGGTAATGGTTTATAGATTTAAATGCATCATTTAAATAATTCTTAAGCAATTTCTATCAAATAAATTGATATTAATGTAAATATAGATGAAATCATGGAATTTATATAAATATTTTAAATAGATTATGAAAAGAAATAAATCAAAAGTATACCAAATTTAAATCTTATAACAATCCATTAAATTTAATTTGATGTTTAAATACAAGAGGCAGATTATGTTGACTTCTATTATTTATAATAAATCATAAAGAATGATCCCAATAGTAGCAGTATCATACATTAATAATAAAAAATATCCTTTTTCACATTTGATATCATTGATCTTTAAATATAACAGTCTAGTTCTGGTTTCATTACTTTTAATTCAATAACATGTATAAAGAAAGAATATGATAGAATCAAATCTATATTTCTTAATGAAACTATTGCTGAAATAGGTGCATAAGAACATTCTTAAATTTTAATTAGACCTATCATAAAACTTATGGAAACAAAAGAAATACGAGTTGCAATACCCAAAGTTGAGATTTTCATTAATATGTCTTACATGGAATATGTAAAGACACTATTTACAGTAATTTAAGATTTTTAGAAAAGAATGCTAGCAAAGAGTAAAGATTAAAAAGAAAATAAATAAATAATCAAATTGCTCTTTGATGAAATATTAATTAAAATTAATTTAGAGTAATAAACTAATTCACATTAAGCAAGATTTATTATACATGCATCTAAATTAGCTGCAGAAATTATAGGTAAAGATGAGGTTATGCTTACATTATATAATTGTTTGATCATTGATACTAATTGGAATTCCAAGAAACCAAAACAAGATATCCCAATATATGGTAGTCCCAATGATATAAAAACAGAATAACCACATTAAATATTACATTTTAGAAAATAAAAATATTAAGCAAATCAAGTTTTAATTTATAAATAAGAGAGATTCAACAGGGAAGGTTTCAAAAGTCTTGTGTAAAATGAAACAATCAAATCTGAACCAAATATGGCTTTCTAATATACTACTATCAAATTAAAGGCTAATAAATACTTAAATCCAGATTGTTTAGATGCTTTATATGGAAAAACTAATTTATTTTCATTAAAATTTAATAAAAATAAGAAAATTTAAATTCAATATTAACATGGAATAATTCAAGTAGATGAATAATGGATTAATACAATAACAACTATCTTAGATTTAGCTAAGAAATGGGAATAAACTTTAATACAATAAAAGAATAATACAAACCAAACCAAACCTATCCCAAATTTTACATTGAATGTTTAAAATATATGGTTAAATTACCTACCAACATATAGAAAGTCTACATTGTTGAAATAGTATTTATAGAAAAAAGAACCAATTAAATCATTAATTGCAATATAATCTGAATAATTATATTATTCTTGGATCCGAGTTCTAATCAGAATTAAGAGTGCTACAGTATCAAGTGATTTATAAGCACATTTGAGTTCCGCATAAATATATGTTAAAAGTACATCCAAGGATATTAAACATGCTAATTTGAGTTTCTTAAATCCAATTTTAATGGTTCCACCTTAAATTGGACTTTTTGATGAAAATAGAAAATTTTCTGATGGATTTCAAATAGATAAGGATGAATAAGGTTTATTGAGACTTCTTTGTTTCTAAAAATTATTTAAAATCAAAGGAGTTACAGTCTCAGGAAAAACTATAAATATTGGTTAAATAACAGGAAATCTCAAAAAAGATTCAATTATTAGTCTATGGGATATTACATCAATGACCATAGACAGAATAAAAAAGATTATTCCTGAATAAGAAAATGAAAAATAAATATAGGTTTTGCAAGAAGGTCATAAATACATTCCTACTGAAAATATGAATATATTTGAAGATGATGAAATTGAGTTACCACCAAAAGAAAATATATCTCATTAAAAATAATTTGAGATAGTTCTTAAGAGTCTTGAAATAAAATTAACTGTTGGTTAACATTTCCCACCGGAAGTATTTAGTGATAATAATCCTATTAACACAGAATGTTAATTACATAATTAAGAATAATATTACCTTGAACACTCAAATTTATTATAAATAGAGGAGTTTCCACAAATAAATGATTAATAATGTAGTTCTATTCTTTTGAGTATGAAAGATTTAAAATTAGTATGTTGTGGACCATCATAAAAAGAAATCAATCAATTTTATTTAACTTTATTACATTTTCAAATAACAGATAAAATCTAAAATTCCAAATTTTCTAAATTGATTGGTAAAGAACCTAATCATGAAGAATTGAATTTTGCAGAGGTCTTCTATCAAATAGATAAAACAAATAATATTATTGATTTAGAAGCTAAAATTGTTCCAATAAGAGTCTGTATCTCTGGAGCTGCATTAGAATTTTTATTAGATACTATAAATAGTAATGAATAATTGAGTCCAAAGATTGACTTATTGAGTAAATTAAATATAGGAAATGATAAAGAGTCTATTATTGAATTCTGTGTACAGGAAGGTTATTAAGTGACTTTTTCTAGAATAAGTGAATTAAGTACTAATAATATATATTATATAGAAAAATCAATAAAAGTGAATTTTTTGAATATAGAACGAATATATTGCTATATAACATTTGATGGGAGTGGTGTTAAATTAGATGGAAAGTTAAAAGGATTAGTTCGATTGGCTTCGTATGACAGTTTATTTATATTTTTAAAGAGAGCTCAAATACATAATTTAGTATTTGAAAATGAAAGAGATTTCATCAAGTTTATGTTTGAATAATACTAACATCTCATTAGAAATGATTCCTAATTAGTTTAAAAATTGATTACTTCTTTTAAAGCATTTTAAAATATAACCAATATAGTATTAGGGTAGCAATAAAATATTATTTAGAATTTAAACTATGTTTATGACAATAATAAAATAAGGATTAGTAACTGGAGTGTTTTCAGGATCCATTCCATTAGCAAAGGCACTTGGAGATGAAATAGTATATTTGGCTAAGAAGCCTATAGAAGTTTGTAGCACAATGACAGAAGGAATTGGATTAAAAATGGCAAACGTTGTGTTTAGTCCTATTGAAAGAGTTTTAGACTAATTTTCTACACTTGTATTAAATTTTTGAATGATAATTAGACAACAAGTGATAGAATCCCAAGGGAGTTTCTTAAGAAAAATAATTTAGATTAATCTAATTCATGATCAATATTACTAATTAATACATTTAAAAAATTATATTGTTATGTTTCGAGAATTCTCTGCTCCTAATTAGTATTTTAACCAAGCTCAATAAAATCCATTTAAAAATGCTGGAATGTAAACTATAGATTTTTATGGAAATATTGGATATCCAAAACCAGATTACCCAGTTTTAATGTAATAATAATACTATGACAATTATCAATACAACAAAATGTTTTCATCGTAAGTTTTTACTCCTCATGTTCAGCCTATATTTATTGCAGGTCCTATTTATAAGAATTAACCTGTTTTTTAAGGTCCTTAATATTTAAGTTAGAGCTTATTCCAACCAATCGAAAAGAATAAGTTTTATAAGTATAATTAACCAGATGAAATTATTGAAAATTAAAATAGTTTAAATTTACAATCAAAACAACAATTAGAAGAAAATATCAAGATAAGGAATGAAATTTTAAATTAATGGAATTTTGAAGAAGAATAGAAATAAAAAAGTTCTCATTCTTAAAGTGAATATGAATATGTATAAGAAACTTAAAATAAAAGAAAGAGTCAAAATGATAATGATAAAAAAAGGAGATATTAATAACATAATTAAGAAGAAGAAAAACCCCCTGTTGAGAAAAAGCATTCTTAAAAGAAGAGTGCTCATTCCTTAAAATCTTTGGAGGGGGATAAACCAAAATAACCTTAAAGTCTTCCATCAATCAAAGAAGAAGCAGAATAACCAAAAACCATTTTTACTAAGAAAAATGAAATTTAATAAACTAAATCAAGGAAAAGAGGAAAGAGGAATTTAAAAATTATATTAAAGGCTTTGACATTTCTTCTTATGTATTTCTTAGAAATGAAAAGATAAATATTAAAAAGAAAAAAACTCTAAGCAAATAAAGAAAACAGTTTAGAAATTGTAAATTAAGCAATGCAAGAAGGTGCTGATTGGATATTAAATTTTGCTGAAAATGATTTAAATGTATTTTGGAGTAAAAAAGAGTCATTAAATTGGCTAGAAAATGATTAATTATCAGATAAGGAGAAGATAAACAGAATCAATAAAGTCAAATTGTTTATCTAAAAGCTTTCTATTATTCTATCTGAAAATATGAAAGAATCTAGTTTTAAACCAGAATTTTTCTCATTTCTAGCCTAACTAACTTAAAATTTTTAATTTCCTCCAGATTAATATTTTTTTAATTTCGAAGTCTCTAGATTAGAATTCAATTCTTTTGGTGCTATTAAGAATATAAAAGTGCCATAATAAAAAATGGTTTTGGCATTCTTTATAATGATAAGATTATTGGGGTTCACAATTTTATATGCACCTTGGACTTTAGGAGTAAGCAATATTAAAAAAAGTTCTATTTTAGAATCTAATTCTTTAATCATTGTTTCTGTTCTATAAGAATTAGTACTAAGTGAGTTTAGAGAAATTAAAGTTTTAGAGAATAATTAGAATCATCTGAGTAATGAATTAAAAATAAATGCTCGACCTCAAGGTCCTCTTAAAGTAAATATTAAATAAAATAATATTAAGATAATACCTGATCCTAAGTCTTAACAAGAAAAAATGTTTTTAAAAACAACGCTTGAACCATTAATATATCCAACATATAAAAGGGAAGAAATGAAAGATTTATTTGAGAAATAAATTGAAGTATGTTTTTAACAATTATATTAGTGGGTTGACAAAACAATGACTACATTTGATGATATATATACATAATTAGTAAAAATGACAAACTCTTGGCATAAAAATAATAAGGTTTCTATTACCGCTGGGTTGAAATAGAAAAAAAAATAAAGATACTGATTTTTATCACATTAAAAAGTCTCTTTCAACTTATCCAAATTAATATTTAATATAAATACTTTAAAATTTTAATTTATTAAATTATTTATTCCCATCTATCAACAAAATAGATAATTTTAGCAACTATTCAATAAATTTAATGATTGACACAGATCCTAAATTGTAAATTCTGATATATTAAAAAATATATATTGAGTAGAATTCATCTTAAAAACAATTCAAACGATAAAGATTAAAAAATATAGAACAACTTTAAAACTATTATACCATAAGCAACCTAAGGATTTTTCTAACTCTAATTTATCTCAAATATGATAATTAGCCGCAATTTAATGATATGATAAAATTTTGATAATGGAATTACATTTTCAATTTAATCATAAAAAAAAAGAAAATTATATATTATTGTTATAAATTTTAAATAGGAAAATCTAGAAACTTTGATTTGGTAAAAACTAATGTTGATTAATTTAAAATAATATTTTAGAGTTTAATCTTATTTTCAACATAATGATTTATTAAGAATTGAAAAAGGAATTATACTTTTAGGGCGAACTCTATTCTTTTAATATTAAAGAGAATAATCAAATATATTGTAATTATTGCTATTAGCTCTCCTTTTATTAAATTGAGAGATGCAATTAGTTAAAAATTAACAATTTTTTTTATAATTACTAATTTAATTGAATTTATAAGGATTCATTAATCAGAATCTTTCACCTCTAATTCTTCTGGCTAATTAGATATCTCTTGACATGATTGTAACTCTTCTAGCATGAATAGCGCATAAGTTGGTGTCTTCAAATAATCCAACAAGGTATGCTTCAGCAGCTTCTTAGAGTGCCAAAACAGCTGAGCTTTAGAATCTGAGCTCCTTTTAGAATTCGTGTGCAATTTCTCTGACTAATCTTTAGAATGGAAGTTTTCTGATCAAAAGCTCAGTTGATTTTTGATATTTTCTGATTTCTCTCAAAGCAACTGTTCCTGGTCTGAATTTGTGGGGCTTCTTTAAACCTCCAGTTGCTCCAACAGCTGGGGCTGTTTTTCTTGCAGCCTTGGTAGCCAAATGCTTGGTTGGTTTCTTGTTACCAGCAGTGCTCTTTCTTGCAGTTTATTTTGTTCTTGCCATTATTATTTATATTTTTATTTAATTTTGAATTTGTATTATGAGGGGGGTTTTTAATCTGATATACTCAAATATGATTGGTTGAAATGGAATATTTAATAACAGTAAAAGACAATAAACTTGTCTTGAAATCAATTAGACTCCATCTCAATATATGAAATCAATCTATACTTCAAATTTGATGATCTATACTAAAAACATTTCCATTCAAGAAAGACACTTTAATATTATGGAAAAATAAAAAATTATTTGCATACTCTAAATGCAATATTATTAAACTGTTAAATATATATCAATATAGTTTAATTTTAGTTTGTGATTTAAGAAAACATCATTTTTGAAATCACTAATTAAAATAATAAAGTCCTCCCATTTTTCATATAAATTAATTTAAACCAGAAATCAAAATTCAAAGTATGAAATGCTATGGATAAACCCATGAGTCATATTTGAAAGGTTGGTGAATAGAAATATCACTAAAATAAAGGAGAAGAGCATTTCAAAGGAAAATTTGTATGATGGCTTATTGATAAATTTTTATAATAAATAATAATGTTGCCTTTACCAGTATAGACAAGAAAAATGCCAAAATTAGATTTAATGGATTTAATAGAATAAGGGTTTGGGTAAAATATGAGTTTATACTCTGAAATTCCATCAGAGCTTCAATATTGCTAATTTCATAAGTATCATTAAAAAAATGATGAATGTATGATTTTCAAAGAAGATTATTCAATTTACATGTACGCAAAAAAATACAAAAATTATTGGCAAATTTACACAAGAGATCCTTCAGATTCATAATTTGATAAAGAAAATTTTGAATGGATCTTGAAAATTGAAGATGATGTTTTGAGTCTTTGGAAGAAGCCTAATTAATTTATTTCAGTAGTCAAAATAATCCATTGCAGTAATTATACTGAATCATATAATCGTATGCGTTTACTAATTTCAAATGGGAAATTAAATAATGTGCCTTTATAGTTTGATTCAGATTATTATCCCAATGGCTGTGATTATATTTCAACTATTCCACCAATATATAATTCGAAAAAAAGAGTTTGGCATATGCAGGATTCAGAAAGGATGTAAAAAGCAAGCAAAAGGAACTTTTTGTTAGGTTTGCACTGTAATGAGGAAAAGAAATAGGTCCTTAAAATGGGTAAAATCTAAACAGGAGTATTCATAGTGGATTTTAAGGAACCTATCAATTTTGTGATAGCCTTCAGTGTTGCTTTGGCTACTTGTGACCTAAAGTCAAGAATAAGAGATTAATGAAAATTATAAATATATTATATATACTAAAGATCAATTTATTAAATAGCATAGCAATTTTTATAGATCTATTTTATTTACAGGCTTATTAATAAAATGAGACATGCCAACTTCATAACATCCTTATCTTGTTTGACTATCAGTAAATGCAGTACAAGCAATTATTTTAGGTGAACCAGCTTTATATTTATTTAAAATGGCTTTTGTTGTCACATAACCATCCATTATTGGCATATTGATATCCATAAAAATTATACTATATAAACAATGAGCTATGTAATATAAATTTATAATACCTTATTCTAATTTTTTAATTGCTTCTAAGCCATTAAATGCATGATCGGCTTCTAAATTCAAGGATTTCAACATTAATTCCAATCCCAAAATATTAATCATTTCATCATCAACAATGAGGATGGTCTTACACTTGCAATCAAGAACATAAGGTTCACTTACTCCAACTGATTGTTATCTTAATTCACGAATTATATCACTAGGACCATAATTAAATTTCACATTTTAAATTTATAATCTTTTTTAGTAATCTTCTTCATTAGTTTCTTCATTTACACTATCTGAATCTATTTTTGTGTACTACATTTACATTCCTTAAAAACAATCTTTTGTAGGTTATTTAAAATATGAATGATCTCTATTTAAATCTTCATGAAAGCTTTTAACTTTTGGTACCATGACAGTACTAAATCTTTTTGTTAATGGTTTCTTCAATCCACTTAAACTTAATTCAATTTATGATTGTTTTAAATCGACAATTACATTTTTACCTATTTTTAAAATACCACTTGAATTATCTTATGAAGCCACTAAAGTATAATTGATATTTAGTTGTTCATTAATTATCTTGAATGTTACTTTAGTACCTTTTTCTTCTTGATTGTTTGAATACTTAATTCCTCCACCTTCTTCGTACTTTAGATTGGCAAGGCTCATCGCAATTTTATTACATAAATAACTTCCTAATCCAAACCCAGCTGTATTTTTTGATATCTTTTATTCATTTTTATAGTCAGTTTTGAGTATATCTGTTAATGTTTCAAGTTCAGTAGTTGTGAGCCCAACGCCTGTGTCAACAATTTCAAATTGGATATATTTATTTTATTCAGTTGATTTGACTAACAATTTAATACCACCTTTGAAAGTAAACTTTTGAGCATTAGAAATTAAGGTTATTAAGATTTATTTTAGTCTTCTTCTATCTGTGAAGATAGTTTTTTCATTTAAAAAAACATCATAGTTAATAGTTAATCCTTTTTATTATAAAGAATGAGAAAAAATACTTTTTACTTCATCAAGAACTTCAATAATCTTTAATATTATCAGATATATCTTACATCTAATTTTTCAAATTATAATTCTAGCTTCTTTCCCAAAAAAGCATTAAAATCAATCATGTCTAACACGAAATGGTACATAATCATTCCGGTAGCTTTAATAGGTTAAAAGTAAGATTATAATTCTTAATCATTATATTTATCTATTGCTACTTAGGATAAAGCAAGTAAATAATTTAAAGATGTTCCAAACTCATGTGACATAGTATTAAATAATTATTTTAAAATTGCATAAATATAACTTCTTTTTTAATATTTATCTCTTTCTTCAATGTCATAAAATTGTATTTCAAAATCATTTTAATAAATGATTTTAATTATATGATTATCTATTTTTGGATATGTGTAATCAATAATTTATATAACCATTGGGATGGCATTATTTTTAACTTAGTCTAAAAAATATTTTAACGAAATTTAATTGCATTTTGAAGGTAATAACTATTTAGATTTTGAGTCAATCTTATTTATGTGTAAACCCTAAAGTAGATCTTACACATCACCTTCTATTAATTAGTAAATGACACTTTATTTTGAAAATTCTTAAACATTATATTAGTCATCCAAAAATAAAGAAGTAACTTTTGGATCCACAATTCGATCTCCAATGTTCCTTGGATTGGATCCGTCATTATTTACTATAGTATAGTTTATTTTAGATTGCATCATTATTTATGGTTTATTCGCTTCGTTTAGAAGTTAATCTTGGTATAAAAACAATTCCATCAACATTATTGCTATCCCTGCAAAAACACTTCGAAAAATTTCATGAATCTAAGGAGATGTCCCAAATATTAATATGACGAGAAGTAAGACTAATATTATTTATTCAGTTTGTTACCCAACCATTCTAGTAGTAAACCCCTACTTAATTTTTTTTAAAGTTATATTCGCATCACTATATGATAGGTCCCTGTAAAATATTTAAACTGAGAATTTGGCATCAATAAAAAGATTATCGTTGCCAAGCATAAAAGCAGTAATCTCTGAATTAAATCTGAATAATTCATCCTCCTTAAAAGTAATAGTATAGCTATTCCAAAAAGTTCTAAAGCCAACGCTATCACTTCTTATGGTTCTTTAAATTCTACAAAACCTATGATAGTTGATATAGATTATGTCACTATAAGAGTAATTAATATTTTCATAATTAATGAGTAATACATCTAAATTAAGGCCTATTAATCATTCGCCGGCTTATGAGGCTGTAAAGAAAGGTATCCTAAAATAGAAGTATTAATCCCTCAAAATCTAGGAATGAATGGATATTTCATATATAGAAGTTGATATGAAATTATGCAAGTAAATGCTTCATAAACCAATTACATATATATAATTAGAAAATAATATAGAATCAATTTTAATTTATAAAGTCAAAGGTAATATAGAGAAATAATTATTATATGTGCTTTTGATTGAAATACCATTTTAACCTTACTTTTGATGCAATATTGCAAATTTGAAATTATAAAAACTCAATTTCTTTTCTCTTAAGTTGTGAAATTTATTTTATTATCATTTTTCTGGTTTAATTCTTATGATTGAATTTCTCTTCTTGGAGTTTAATTATTAAATCATTTCATTAGATCTAATATAAACTAAAAATTAATGAGGCTGATATTTATATTATTATATCTATAATTTATAATTTATACACATTAATCCATTCCTAAAAGCAATAAAATACAACCAAATGTTGCAAGCGATTAATTATATCATCTTTTTTAATGGAAATGTTTATCTTATTTTATTTAAATTGAGTAAGATAATCAATTTCTAAACTCTAATCACTTGAAGAATTGAAAAATTCAAAAACGATGATAGTTCTTCTGATCCAAAAATATTCTGCACTTTGACAAATTATTTTCATTCAAAATTAACTCATGTTTTATCCAACATATTTATTATATATATCTTTTTTTTGTTGACACATTCTTTTTGATGAATTCATATTTTTGATATCTTGATATTTGCTAAATTGAGATGTGATGATGTTTCATATTATTAAATATTCATTATTGATATTAATTCAAAAAATATCTTAATTTTATAATTTCTATAATTAAAATACTTACCATACTTTGACAATGTACTAATAATGTAATTATCCTTAAATCGTCTATAATAATTCATAATTTTCATCCTCTTTTATTCTTATTAAATTTACTGGTTTTCCTTTAATATTATGTACAATCTAGTTGGTATTAACAAATTAATTATTCTGTTCTCTTTAAGTGAATTATAATCTATTAATTATTTATATTTACTTAATTATGATTTATTAAATTTAGAAAAGTCTTTTCCTTAGGTTCCATACTCCCTTTTTAATAAAAGAAAGTATATATTATTTGTTAAAAGAATAATTTTTCCTTAAATTTTATTGAAATAGTTATAAACATGATAATTTTAATCCAATTAACTATAATTAAATTTTTGATTTAATTAATTTTTTATTTTATCAAAGATTATTTTCATATAGACGTTTCTTATAATACTTCACAAATTTTAATATATAAATCATCTAAGTTATTTCTTGAAAACCTAAGAACTCCATTCTTTCATCATAGGACAATTTTTGTCAATTATTTTATCTTTAAATCTAGTTTTTTGTTTTTTTTCCTAATTTTCAAATAATTCCTTTTTTTTAGAAATCTTAAGTTAATTATCTTACCAGAGTTTATTTTAATATTTTAATCTTCTTTAATAATGATTGATATTCTACTTTATAAATATGGCATGCTGCCAGCTTAATTAAACTATTCTAATTCAATAGTTTAACTTAATATTCTAATGAATCATTCTATAGCAAATGTTTAAATAAAAAATATTATATTA